GTACGCAAACTCTCCCTCTATCTTCCTTCTCCTCTTCCCTCTCTCTCCCACGCAACCTGCAGGCTGGGTTGGAGCAGGTTCTCTTTGCCGCGGCCTTCCCCTTAGCTTCAGTCAGCCAACATGTGTCACGCACGCGCGCTGCTGCTGCTGGTAGAAGCACAGGTGCTGGTGGTGACAGCGGCGCTGCTGCTGCTTCTACTGCTGGTGCTACTGCTGGTGCTGCTGCAGGTGCAGTCACTGGTACTCGCACAGGTGCTGGCAGTGATGGAAGGGAGGGGGAGGCTGAAGAGGAGGAAAGAGGGGGCGAGGAGGAAGCAACAGAGGCACCTGCAGAGGGCGAAGCAGCAGCGGAGGCACGGGCAGAGGAGGAGGAGGTACAGGAGGTGGAGACGGAGGAAGCAGCGATCGAAGCGGAGGAGAAGAAGGAGCTTACTTTCGGAGGGATTGACGAGGGGGAGGACAGTGCTGTGTCGTGGGATCCCCCTGAGCAGGTGCTCGGCACTGCTGGGGCTGCGGATGTTATGGGCGGCATGGAGACAGGCGGCCGGGCGGCAGGGGGGCGGGTGGCAGGGGGGTGGGCGGCGGGGGGAAGGGGGGCCGGGGGAAGGGCTGGTGGGGGGAGAGATTCTGGCGTGGTGAGAGGAGGAGTGGAGAGGGGAGAAGCTGGGGCTGTGGTGGGAGGAAGGGAAGGGGGTAGGTCGAGTGGTGGGGATGCAGGAGGGTTGAAGGGAGCACTGCAGGGGGCTGCGATGGGTGGAAGGGGAGGCAGCACAGCAGGAGGTGGTGCTGTGGGCTCACGTGGTGGGCCGGATCAGAGGGTGCGAGAGGAGGATGCGGAGGACGAGGAGGAGGAACGGGAGATGCAGAAAGCAGAGGAGGAGGAAGATGCTGCGGAGGCAAGGAGCGGCAGGAATCCTGACAGCAGGAGTAGCAGCAGCAGCAGCAGCAGAAGCGGTGGAGGCAGCAATGCGGACTTTCCCCAGAGCAATACCAGCCCGACAGTTGACCCCTCCTATGAGCCTTCCGTCAACACGGAGTTTGGCGAACCGTCTCTTTCCTCGTCCTCACCGTCAGCGGAAGTGCCGTTGCAAACCAACAGAGGGAGCAGCCAGGACGGGAGTGGGGGTTCGGTGTGGTTGGGGGTGCTGCTGGTGGTGGTGGTGGGTGGGGCGCTGGCAGCGTTTGCAGCATTGCAACTGATGCGCAGGCAGAAATGGAGACGTGCGGCTGATGGCGGGACGTCGTATGTGCAGGTGCAGGAGATGGCGTATGTGCCTCCCTCCCTCTGATGTGATACGTCTGATTTTCTGGTCGTATCTTACCCCATTGCACCTTACTATCGTAATGAAGTTATTCTGCACATCAGTATCAACTCACCACCCCTGTATTTCTCTCTCAAGACTGATTCCGACCAGCCAAGTTTGGTCGAGGGACAGGGAGAGTCTGGAACGCCTTGATGCAAAAAATAGGCCCACTCAATTTTTTTCCTGTCAATGAATTTCAACAAAGCTGATCATTACACCAGCAAGCATTCTAGGTCAACCATCTAGGGTAACTCTTGGTTCCAGACTCTGCGCATGTATGGATGCTGCAGGGTGGGAAACAGGCAGAGGATTGATTGAGAAGACAAAGATGATTAGTCTGATGAATGGTCAGTAGAATTAGTGGCTTGATGACATCTAAGGCCTCGACACAGCACATCCAATCCAAGGTATCTGACAAAACCTCGGGCAACGACCGACCAGGCTTTTGCCTGTAAGACCGCCTCTGTCTCAATCATTTCTCCTACCATTAGAATATGATACGAAACCGAGGCGCCTCTCCTCCTCCTGATGGCAGCACCTCCCATCGGCACGGCTCTAGATCGTCCGACACCGGACAGTACCCCGCCAGCGTGGACTTATCTTCCGACACGGACGCGGAGCCGAACTCGAAGACGTTCGTGTTGCTCATGTCCGGAGAGGTTCCCTGTGACGGGGATGCAGCGGGTGCGGGAGCAGGCTTGCTGCTTTCCTTCGAGGGCTTCGATCCCTTGGCGGATTTCTGGGAAGAGCTCATGGTGAAAAACGGAGGGAAAATGATCGAGGAATAACCAGAGGAAGATAAGGAGGTCAGCCTCTTTGATGGATTCTGAAGGATGATGGAGGTAGCTGATGGGGCTGACTGGAAAATGGTCCACTACTGAAAAGTTGGGAACAGGTACGTTGGCGATTTTTTGTTGAAGGCTATTTTTTAGAATCTCGGCTCGGCCGTTTCCAGGCTCAATATTGTTTTCGTTCCCGATTTGTTACCACAAATTTTATCTCATGATCCTCTCGCCAAGCCCGAACGGTAACGCTAGCGAACCTCGTTAGTAGCAATTCTTTGCCGTCGATCTCTGGTTTGTTTCCTTGCCACACCAACCTGAGCCGTACATTGTAGCCATTCACATGAAGCTGCGAGTGATTCTGGTTTCGGAAGTGTTCCAGATCGAAGAATCTGTAACGCGAGTAAACAGGTCCTTTCCACATTGTACTGGAGTCAAAAAGATCAGTGCCCGACTTTTAGGGTGAAATTTGCAAGTCTGCTTACTCTCGTACAGCCTTGGGATCTTCAATTCGAGCCCTAGATCTCGGTGCAAAGCTGCCAGCTTCAGCCCTAATCGACCAGTCTTACCAGTCCTTACTTTCAATTCCCGCCACATACAGCGGCGCGAAGCCGTACGAAACCTCATCAAGGTACCATATTTGCGGTTCTTGAGTCCTAGTTAAGCCGTCAAGTGTTTCGTAAAACTACTTTTGGCCCATATTCGTGACCTCAGTGGTCATCGTCCTGATTGTTTCCATTAACGTCTATGGCAGATGATCGACGATCAAGATCTCGGGTTCTTTGCGAACGTCCTCGGCATCACGATCTTCATGTTGGTCGTGGCCTATCATTACGTGCTTGCAGACCCTAAGTATGAAGGCTGAAACTAGGGGGTAGAGCGGATTACATGTGGTGTCGTCGCTTAGACCACCCCAACTCCCCCCCACTTTTTGTATCAATACAAGCGTTGCCCGTAGTGCTTTTACCCCATTTCTGTGCTTTTACCCCACTCATCAGTATTCAGGATTGAAACGGTGATTTGTTCCATTCCTTGCATTTGGCATCCACCGCAGCACCTTGGCATTCACAGCAGCACCATCTACTTATCACAGCCTTACCTTTTCATGGAGCACCTGCAACAAGGTTGAAACGTGCACTGTGTCCCGATCCAACTACCCCTGCTGATGGCCAAGTTGCTGATTCCTCATGGGCCAAACGTGCACTTCAATGAGATGCTTATTTTGCATAGCATCGCTTGGAAAAATTAGAGGGCAACTATTGACAGAATTCGAAACAATGCCATACAGCCTAAGGCCTGAACTGTGTCTATCTAACTTCGCTTAAGCTTCTGTCTGATCATGCGAACTATTGCGTTGAGGATCTTGGAGAACCAGAAAGTGCTGACGGCTTGGATTGCCACTGCACCAACCTGTGACAAAACCAGCACCACATAGATAGAAACATAACATCCTACTGAGTGAGATGGGACACTATCCATCGGAAATGGTGGCCGATTGGGAGGGGTGGAGAGAGGGAGGGGAGAAGGTGGGAGGGAAGGAGAGAGGGGGTAGTGTGTCGACGAGTGGGATAGGCATAAAGCAGAGAGAAAAAAGACACGAGAAGTCTGTACAGTGGGACAGTAAGGAACGCGTGGTTACCTTAACAGCAGTGGGGCTCGTCCCAATGACAGTATTCCATGTTACCACCGGGCCTACTACCATGCGGGCAATTGTGAAGGAGATTAGAAAAGCCAGCTGCAACCATGTCACACAGGAGATGGGGGGCAGTAGAGAGGCAGTAGAAGAGTACGAGAAACAGGCAAGAGGGAAGGATAGGGCATGACAGGAAACAAGTGACAGTACAAGGGTGAGAAACAAGAAATTAAAATCTATTCGCCTCAACAATTTGTCCACAGAGAAATTAGGAGCTTGATTGTGTTGTGCAGTGCACAGGTTTGTAAAGTAGATTGTTCTTAAAAGCAATGCAGAATGTTTACTATAGATGGTCTTACGTCAACAGCAAAGGTGAGAGCAGACTTGGGAGCATCCAGCTCGCGAAGCATCTCCCTGGCGTGCATGAAGGGGTTGGACAGCTCCACCAGCCACAGGCACGCCATCAACTCCTCCCCACACTGCTCCAGGGAATGGTTGGAATTTAGGCAATGAAAGTGGAGGTAGTGTGTTACAATGGCTGCTGAGAGAAGACCAGGGTAAGGACAGAACAGCTAATTTCGGAATTCATGCAAAACGGTTCACAGGTTTGTTCATGGTGTTCCTAGTAAAATTTTCTGCGTGCCACGTACGTACCCGACCAGAAATGAGCCCAAAGGCGAATCCGGCTATGGAAAAGATGTGGTGGAAAGCGTTGGCCCAGTCGAATGTGACATCGAACAGGCAGCAGATGAAGTCGTAGAGGAAATAGCTGAGGCTGATCACCATAGCTTGGACCTGGTGGTGATGATGTGGCATGCAAATAAATGGGCTTTTGAGGCGCCTCAGAACAAGCAGCAGATGAAGTCATAGATGGCATAACTCAGCCTGATTAGGATGGCATGGGTCTGGTGGTGACGTGGCACACGAACGAAGTGGGTTGAATGAGCGGGATCGATCACAGAATCACTTGTGTCATGAATGCAGGAATGTTGGAGAATGTAACGATGACAGGGGATGGTAACTCAAATTGCAACCATACTTGGCAGGCTAGGTCAGAACGTGCTGAAGCCCTAGAAAACTGTGAAACAGGCATATGCTGTGCTTCAAAACGCGAAATCCACATGACAGGTTGTAATGCTCGCAGACAAAAGCGATACACTGTGGCAGGATTAGTGTTTTATGATTTTATCCCCACACACACACACACACACACACACGCACGCACACACACACACACACACACACACACACACACACACACACACGGTGCCGAAACATAGGTCATGCGGTCGAGGAGGTCACCTGAGGAAGGGTGTTGCGGGCTCCAAAGTTCCCGAGTGGATCCGACCAGTTGAGAGCCCTTGTTGCAAGGGCGAGAGCAATGACCACATGCACCTGGCGATGAGAGGGAGACGAGAGGGCGATGAGACATGCCGAATGGATGGACGATAAACAAGCACGTGCGAAAGGCATAGACTCAGTTGGTATCAGGTATCATGCATTGTGTAAGCAAGCCAAAGTGCATTGTTAGCAGCTATTTAGTGCGTGCAGGGTTCTGTAACTTAAGGTGAGGCAGCGATGAATGTGTGGCCTGGGACGCTTGAATCTGGAGCAAGACCCTGAATAGCGGTAAACGAGCGCGTAACTTGCCTGCGAGACGGCTCGATTACAGAAATCGAAGGAGACGCGCGACAAAATCGAGAGGCGGAGGGTGAGGAAGAGCAGAGCCCATGTGCCGGTGGCGACGACGAGCGTATGCAGGAGAATGTAGCTCTCCTCCTCTGACAAGCTCCCCCATGATCCAGTCGGCAGATGCTGCAGTATGGTCCCTGGCGGAATGTCGAGCCATTCCTGAAGCTTCGACGGCATTGCGGCTGCTAAGTCAGGAAATGAGAGAGCTTGTTAGTGATATGGAATTCGCTTTTGCGGATCGGCAATGAATGGGGAGGGCGATCCGATGCCGTCAATGGTGCATCAGTTGGGAAGAAATCCGTCTTATGACGACTGTGAGGTTACGGGCTGTTTCAGAGGCCAGTATGAAATAATTGGTAAGGTGGGACCAAGTATGCGCTGACACTGGGAGGGGTGTTCAGCGAAGAGAAAGGAAAGCAGGGATGCAAGATCGGCTCAAGTTATGGGGCGCAGAGCCATGAGTGATGAAGAAGGCACAAATGGCAAGTCCCTAGCACCAGGGTCATGTACGGTATTTTCTGATTCGCGGTTAAAAATAGTAACTATGCTTTACAATGATTATATCCACGGTTGGAAAAGGTGCAGTGAGTAAACTGTCGCTTGAAGGGAGAAGAGATACTTCCGAGGTTTCACAAGCAGAACTCAGAGCCACACACGTCACAAAATTCCTGGCCCCAAAAACATGCCCACAATTGTAGCATACTTTCAGGTATCCTACGTGAGCTATGTTCGAACTGCTTCCAATGATGCATGGAACTATGCTGCGAAGGTTGGGTTTCTGGAAAGCCGCCCACAGTCAGACCCGTTTTAGTGTTAAGTTCATTCTCCATGCAATTGTTAATATTTTTGTCGTTCATCCGCACCAGCATCTACACCCGGCAGTTTGCGTACTGAAACCAAACCTTCATGCCAAACCTAGTGCCAGATCGTGGTTGGTGTACAGTATCATCACAACGTGTGCTGGATTATTTTCACCGACAAAATTGGGATCCCTCGAGTCCAGCGTGCTGCGACGTGGCCACAACACGCTCTGCGTCAGAAGCATCTGGTTACACGGCGATTTTCTCCAGCGTTGCAGGAACCTCACAGCATGCCGAAAACCATTGTTACAACGTAGCTGGTTCGCAGAATTCGGCACATGGCGAAACATGCTCCTGCGCTGACCGCGGTTCTGTGCTTCCGTGAACTCAACTCTTCTCATCCCCTCGAGCACCTATTTCAACCGAGCAAACTCGCTTTCGATTCAGATTTTCTTGGCAGTCCCATCCCCTCGAGCGACTTGTTTGTTCTCCAATGTTCTAGCTCGTCGCTTTAGCATCGCGCGCTATTCGCTTAGCAGCCAACTTATTTTTTTCTCGCTTATCCTCACCCACCAATTTTAAAAGCGCCGTTTAATCTTCTTTTTTTATTTCTGATTTGTTTTTCTTTCTCTCTTTCTCTCTATGTTCTCCCTTGTCCGCCAGCTTTAGCGTCGCTTGCCACCTCGTACTCCCAGCCGCCATTCGTACCGCGCAGCGCCCTCGCCTGGTCGCGCAAGATTTTCCGCGTCTTGCGCGTGCGCCCTCTCCTTCTCGTCGACCCGCCCTCGTCTCCGTCATCGAACTCGACTGGTCGTCCACCGGCGACGCGTTTTTTGGCGCTCTCCTCATCTCTTCTTGCTCCTCCACGCTCTTCTGGCGAGCTGGAGATGGGTACCGCGAATCCGGCGTCACCGCGTGCGTCGAGGGCAGCGTCATCCTGCTCGCGGTCAGTGCTCGCTTGCTCAGGATTCCTCAACGCTCCTATGGTGGCCTTATCGACTCTTGACTCGCAATCCTCAGTAGCTCCCCCTGATCCCTCGTCGTGCTGCTACCCTCCCATTCACATCTTGTTATCGCTCTCCGTTCTCTCTCCCCCCCTCTCCCCCTCTCCCCCTCTCCCCCCTCCACCCCGCATCCCCTCACCCTCCCAGCTGCCCCTCTTACCTGGAGTGTATGTGGCGGCTCTGCCCCGCCCAGTGCGCCAGATCACCATCAACCGCCTCCTCGCCTCTCCTGCCAACCTTGCCGCCTCCGGATACTGCTCACGTATGTGCCATGGGTTGGCATGGCATGAATGGCGTGGGGTGGCGTGGGGTGGCTTGGGATGTCATGTGGTGGCATGTGGTGGCATGATGGGGCACGGAACATGATGTGATGGCATGGCGTGACGTGATGTGGTGGGGCACAGGTGAGGTGTGGAGGCATGGTGCATGTAGGTGGCATGGCGAGGCACATGGGGCACGGCGAGGCGAGGCCTGTAGAAGCATGCCTTGGCAATGCAAAGTCCATGCCTGCAGCTGGCAGTGCAATTCAGTGGGTTTTCACTGCCGCCCAATTTCCGTTCTCCTTCTTCCGCCCGCTCGCTCCCCTACCATCCCCCACTCTCTTGCCCCTGTCCCCCCGCAGCGTGTATGCATGGCATGGGAGCAGCGAGGACAACGATGAATGAGAGGGTAGCGAACACGATGCTAGCGCGCATGGTGTATGAGTGCACCGTCGCTGCCAACAGCCTGGATGCCATCCGCTGCCTGCAGACACACCCCTTCGACCTTGTGCTCATGGATGTGCAGGTGAGCGGTGCAATGCGGTGCAAGTGCATGGGGGGGGCATGGACGAGCGTGGGGGTGCAAGTGCGTGGGGTCAACTAGGGCATGCATCTATGCATGCGTGTATGGTCTATGCACCCAGGTTCTGACCAGCTCTCTGGTTTGACCAGCTCTCTGGTTTGACCAGCTCTCTGGTTTGACCAGCTCTCTGGTTTGACCAGCTCTCTGGTTTGGGCAGCTCTCTGGTTTGACCAGCTCTCTGGTTTGACCAGCTCTCTGGTTTGACCAGCTCTCTGGTTTGACCACCTCTCTGGTTTGACCAGCTCTCTGGTTTGACCAGCTCTCTGGTTTGACCAGCTCTCTGGTTTGACCAGCTCTCTGGTTTGACCAGCTCTCTGGTCAAACCTGGCTAGATCGTGTAGCTCAAATCTCACTTCAATGTTATAGTCAGTTGGCTTGAGCACTCAGTTGGGATCTGTGTCAACCGTTCAAGTGAAGTCAATGTTTGACTATTCACGCCTCTCATCTGCCCTACCCGTACGTGCCTTGTACACACCCCTTGAGCCCAATCTATTTCCCCCCGCAGCCCAATGTTACACCAATGTTCACCGACTTCGCCTGGTCATTAATCGACGCTCTGATTGTGCCCCAACGATGGTCTCTCTTGTGTGTGTTGGTTTTCTAGAGTGTTCTCATTCATATATCCCCATGTGTGCGTGCACAGGAAAAAGTGTACAACTCGTTTGAAGGCTCTCTTGCCGTCCGCTCTACACGCACTCATCTCAAATACCTGTGAAACCCCCACCTCAACTTACCGCATCAACATTCTCCCTCACCTCCAGGACCTGTAAGACCCTCCCGTATTACCCATTTCCCACTGTCCTGTCACCCTTGCCGTTCCCTACTCACTCTCACTCTATCATGATCAGCCGTCGTCGCATACATACACAATACCTCATCCCATCTCAATACCTTCCCTCCCCCCCCTCCCCTCCCCTTCCCACTTTCTTCCTCCCCCTTCCTTCCCCCCTGAACCACGCTTTTCTCATCAGTATCAGCCGGATGGCTTGTATTTAAACCTCGTTGACTGGTTTTATTGAATCAGTCTCCTGCGACGAAGGGAATGAGGCAGCTACGGGGCATCTAAGGGGGAAGAAGTGTTAAGGGAGAGGTATCGACGGGGGGGATGAAGGAGCAGCGGGGAAAGCAGCTTCGGGGGGAATGAGGGAGCAGCGGGGGAGGTAGCGATAAGGGGGATGTGGCAACTAAGGGGGATGCAGTGATGGGAGGGATGAGGGAGCAGGGGGGGAGACAGCAATGGGGGGGATGAGGGAGCAGGGTGGAAGGCAGCTATGGGGGGGAAGAGGGAGCAGGGTGGGGAGACAGCTATGGGGGGGATGAGGGAGCAAGGTGGGGAGACAGCGACAGGGGGAATGGGGGAGCAGCGGGTGAGGCAGTGACAGGAATGGGGGAGCAGTGAGGGAGGCAATGACGGGGGGGAGGGTGGGGGAGCGTCGGGGGAGGTAGCGACGGGGAGAAGGAGGGAGCAGCGGGGGAGGTAGCGATAAGGGGGATGTGGCACCTAAGGGGGATGCATTGACAGGGAGGAAGCAGGAGCAGTGGGGGAGGCAGCGATGGGGGGATGGGTGAGCAGTCGGGGAGGCATTGATGGGGGGGTGAGGGAGCAGTAGATGAGGGGATGAGGGAGCAGTTGGGGAGGCAGTGATGGGGGGAATGTGAGACGGGGAGGGGGCAACGAGGGAGATGAGGGAGCAGAGGGAGAGGTAGTGATGGGGGATGTGGAAGCAGAGGGGAAGGCAGTGATGGGCTCTTTCTCTTGCAATGATACTGCACTGCTGATAGAGGCTCCTCATCTCCCCCTGCATTATACCGGGGTAGGTTGGATGGCGCATTGTTTCGAAGAGCTTGTTATTGTAGGCTTTGTACTGTAGAGTCGGATGCAACAAGCACCCCTGATGTGTTTGATTTGTGAATGTATGACTGCTGGGTAATTTATGGCTTTTTAAAACTGATACTGTATGAACAACCAAAAAACATATTGCAATGACAGGTCATGCTGCTGGTGGGCAAATGTGACTATACGAAATGCTGCCTATAATGAGTGGATGTTCTTATAATGATAGTTTGCAGTGTCACAAATGCCCTGTAAGATTTTACATATGTATACGTTGTGTCTTTGCATTTTACGTTAGTGTACAAACTGTTACACAACGCTATACAGAAACGAGTTTCCCTTTGACGTTGTTCACCTAGTGGCGGAGGGGATTGTTCGTAGCAAGATGTGGGCTTCCAAAAAGAATGCGCGAGGTATGCAGCAACATACCCCCAGCAATGATCCACTTAAAACCAGGGTGCACATTCAACGCGGTTCGGCTTGAGATGTTGGGAAGGGGGTTTGGAGAAAAACAGTGATTGGCTCACGAGGGGCGACAAAAAAATGATTCCGCTAGAGCTTCGGGCATTTCGTAGGTGGCGGGAGGGGGTGAAATGGCGGGAGTGGGTGAAACCGAATGGCGGGAGGGATGAAACAGATTGGCGGGAGGGGGGGGAAACGAAATTGCGGGGGAGGGGGGAAACAAAATTGCGGGGGAGGGGGGAAACGAATTTCGACGGGGAGGGGGAAATGAAATTGCGGGGGCGTGGGGAAACGAAATTGCGGGGGAGGGGGGAAACGAATTTCGACTTGAAGGGGTTGAAAGCACACCTCGTAACCCACTCAGTCAAGGGATAACCTTTGATGCACATTCAGCTGAATGTGCACCCCGGTTTTAATGTCACAAGTATGTTCCGTTTGGCATACTTTGAACTATGTTAAAACATTCTTTCAGCATAGTGTTTTGGGGCCGAAATTTTGTGACGCACACAAACAAGTTGATCAGCCAATCAGACCACAGAGTGGGCCAAAGATTCGAACAGCCCCCGACCTGTCTCGTATGAACCTTTGAGTAGTGGTAGCTACGGAACGGTGCCACTCACGCTACCCATGATGATGATTATGTGAGTAGTCATGTAAGTGTCAGTAACGGGTAACTTACCCTTGCACCTTCTAGCAGAGCTATCACAGCTCACCTCACCCCCACACCAGCCCTCTCCACATAAGCTACACGGAATACAGTGGTGAATTCCCTCATTCTACGCTAAAATCGCACCACGCACCCTGGTGAGACCTCGATCGTCTACCATGGGGATCGCACCTTCGTCGCAGTCCCCTGCGGTGGACAGATCGGACATATCCGCGGTATCGCAAGCCGAAGCGCAGTTTCCGCCTCAAGAATTGGCTCGGATAAGGATAGCGTTTTCTCGGCTGGTACAGCGTAGTAGACTCGGCAAAACTTCCCGTAACACCATCCCGGCGCAGGTCCTAGCGGTGAGTACCCTTAACCTTGCAACCAGCAGATTTTGACAGACGAATTGATAATATTTTACTCCCTTTGCCGTTTTCCCATGCAGGACGAGCTGAAGCTGTCCCTTCCTCTAGAAGCGCTGCCATGCCCCTTGCTGCGTTTTGTCATGGAGCTCCAAGACCAGCACCAGCAGCAGGACCAGAGGCAGGCAGAAACAACGGCTCACAGACCGCAAAGAGGCATGGAAGACAGGGATTTGACCAACACAGCTGTTTTAGAAAGCTCGCTTACTGTCAGCGTTTCATCTGCTCAAGCAGCTGTTTTTTCTGATCCGGCGATTACTTCTAGTGATGCTAATGCTTCCGCTGGAGGTGCGGCTGCTGCTTCTGCTCCTCCTGCTTCCGCTGCTCCTCTCTCACGTGTGGCTGTTGAGGCGTTATCTCGTCAAGTGGCACGAGCTATTGCTGCAGACGTGTTTGGGGTTCGCTTCAGGAAATCAGTTCGAGAATCGGAGGAGGGGAAGAAGAAACGTGGAAGCAACAACACCGGGGAGGAGTCAAGTGGTCAGGGGGACGGTTCAGCTGAGCAGGTAGCAGTTGAAGCTATTGATCAAGACTGGGAGGCGTTCTGGATGGGTCCGATGGATGGTGCAAGTGATGAGAGCGATGAGGAGGCGGACGAGGAGGGGGAGGAGGAGGAAGACAAAGGAGAAGCACGAACGGACGCTGGGTCAGATGCTGGTAAAAGAAATTTCACGGCGTTGGTTGTCATTGCCAGGCGTGATGCCGATGGCTCCGCCTGTACTGACGCTGCTGGCGGATCTGGTTCCCACATGCGCAGCTGCTCTGCCAGGGATGCGTCACGACAGAACCTTGCTACAGCCAGGGATGAGACGCAACAGAGCCTTGCTACAGCCAGGGATGAGACGCAACAGAGCCTTGCTACAGCCAGCGGTGGAGGTGAAGGTAGTGCGAGTGGTGCTGGCAGTGGCAGTGGTGGCGGGATGCACACACACAGGAGGGTGAGCAGGAGGGCGAGGGTGACTTGGGAGGAGTTTATCGTTGGTCTGGCGGGATGCTGCAAGGAAGCTTCGTCATCAGCTCGCATGAGAAGGCTGCTGCGAATCATGTCTCTCATTCGTGTGGTGCTCCTTCCGCCGTCCAGCTACTCCCCTTCTTTACAATCACAAAGCTCACACTCACAGACCTTACAGTCACAGAGCGTAGAGTCACAGATCTCCAGCTTGGATCCAAATGATGCACACGCCCGCAGTGACGAGCCCAGCAGCCGTTTCCCTGTGATGCCCTCCATCCCCTGCGCTCCCTCCGTGCCCCAAGCCCCGCTCTCCACAACAGACAACCTGCAGGGAGAAACTCAATTGCAGCCGCAGTCGCAGCAACAGCAGCAGCAGCTAGGGGTTGGGGAAGGTGAGAGGAGGGAGGTGCATGCATGGCACGTGTGGCTGCTCTTCCTCACGTGCTGGGCGATGGGGCAGCAGGTGGAGACATTGGGCCAAGACAAGGCAGGCAATGGTATTAAAGTTGGTGATGGGGGTGCTGATGGGGGTGCTGATGGTGATGGGGATGGGGATGGGGATGGGGATGGTGGTGGTGGTGCTGATGCTGATCTCCCCAATGTGGCAGCACACACCAGTGGCCAGTCTGCCGTACCTTCAAATGTGCTCCACATGCTTCAGAGCCTTGCTCGAGGAGCTGTTTCAGCTGCTGCGAGTGCCACTGAGAGCGCTGCTGCCACGGATTACACCGCTGCTATTTCGGTGCCTGCACCACCTGGTGCTGCTACTGATAGCGGATCAGCCTATAACGAGTCTCTGCCTCGCCTGGAGTCAGCCAAGCTCGTGTCATGGCTGCTGGGTCAGCTCCCTGGTCTCTCCACCCGCCTCTCAGCCTTCGTGCTTCATCGCTTCGCCACTGCTTTATGCACGGATGATTCCTCTCATTCAACCACGCATGATGCCTGTAAGGCAGCGCCCACGCCCAAAGCCACTGCCCCTGCCGTTCCCAGCGCTGCATCTTCGCTTCCTCCTGTTACAAGCACATCTGCTGCTTCCACCAGAGAAACTGATTCCACCAATGGGAGCCCAGAAGCCATGCCACGTGGCGTTGCCTGGGCGCTTGACATGGCGTTTCCGGACCCTCTCAGTGCAGCAGGTATGACACGGGTAGGAGCAACAGGGGCGACAGGAGACAAAGAGCCGACAGCGCATGGTGCAAGGGGGGGCGTGGTGCATGGTGCACAGCTGCTGTACCGTGCGTCTCTGCATGGCCGTGGCATTCGCCGATTCATGGCCCAAGCTGAAGGGTATGGTGGTCCCTGGTTGCTGCTGCTCTCCCTCCGCCACCCGCCCTCCTCTCCCCTTTCCTCCTCCTCCTCCTCCTCCTCCTCCTCCTCCTCCTCCTCCTCCTCCTCCTCCTCCTCCTCCTCCTCCTCCTCCTCCTCCACCTCCCCATCTCACTGTCACTGCGGGGGTCTCGTCTCTCACTGCACCCGCCTGTGCATGGCAAAGCAGCCCCCGTGGCTGGTGGGAGTGATGGCGTCTGCTGCTGTGGCCAATGCTGATACCTATACTGGTGACGCCAGGGGTTGTGCTTTAATGCAGCTCTCGCCCTCCTTCGCGCTCTACAAGCCCACTGGTGAGTTTTCCCTCTCTTAGGCGCCTTTTGAGGTTAACTTATAGGCGCCTCAAAATGGTTTGTTGCTGGTGGCCAATGCTGATTCCTATACTGGTGACGCCAGGGGCTCTGTTCTCAAGCAGCTCTCGCCCTCCTTCTCGCTCTACAAGCCACTGGTGAGCCTTCTGAGACTGTTGTCGAGGCACCTGATAATGGTCTGCTGCTGTGGCCAATGCTGATACCTATACTGGTGACGCCAGGGGCTCTGTTCTCAAGCAGCTCTCGCCCTCCGTCTCGCTCTACAAGCCCACTGGTGGGTTTTCCTGCTCTTGTCCTCGTCTCATCCGTCGAGTCCCTCCTCCGTTCCCCCTTCTCTCGTGCTGCTCTCCTGATGCTTCCGTCTGCATCTCTCTGCTAGTAATCTTTCCTCGTTTCAAATCCCCTATGTTTAGATTCCTCAGAACTGATTTCCAGCATGATTTGTATTCGCGCATTTATCGCACCGCTTCCTCTCCTCCCTTTCAACCCGCTCTCTACGAATCAAACCAGGTCAAGCGAATAATTTCATCTGCACTCCATCCGCAAAGCTGGGGGGCGGCCCTGTTTCTCGTGCTGGTGTTGGTGGGGCTGCTGCTGTGCGCGGGGCAGGGGCAGCAGGGGGGAAGGCGAGGGTGTTGGGGATAGGCGTGGGGGGCAGCAGGGGGAGGGAGCGGGTGTGGGTGGATGAGGAGTTTCGATGCGCCATTGTGAGGCACCATGCAGTGGATAAGACCTTTCGTGCAGGTCACCTGCACCCGGACCAGGTGAGCTTCTGAACTTACCCACAATGGAGTGGGGGTGTGGGTTGTATGTTGGCTTCAGTTTCCCTACATTTTTTCCATGCATATATGCTGATGTTTTCCGTATATTCTCCTATGCACATGTTGGATTAAATATAATTCTCTTCAGCCAGTGTGCTACTGGCACTGCTGTGTGTTTATGTTTCTTAACGTCCAATTTCCGTGCCAAACATGCAGGGCTATGCGGAGCTGAGTGTGCGTGTAGAGGATGTGACTGTATGGGGTCTGGGCGGCAAGGTGGCAGAGGACAAGAGGGTGGCCTTTCAGCAGCGAGAGCAGCTTTTCACGGAGCAGCGGAGAAAGGTGAGTGTGGGGGAGAAGGGTGGAGGAGAGGAGAAAGGTGAGAGAGCGTGGACAGGGCACTGGAGCAGAGGGGGGGGGGTGAGATGGTGGAGGGGAATGGAGCAGAGGGGGGTGGTGAGAAGGCTAGGGGGGAAGGTCAGAGTAGGAAGGTACGAGTGGGTTTAGGGTTTCGGGTTTAGGTGCCTGACAGAAGCTGGCTCAGTGCGCTAATCCAGCACCATTGCCTCTCCTTCCATCTCAAACCTCCACCACATGCACCTCCACCACATGCACCTCCACCACATGCACCTCCACCACATGCACCTCCACCCCATGCACCTCCACCACATGCACCTCCACCCCATGCACCTCCACTACATGCCCCTCCACCACATGCACCTCCCCCACATGTGCCTCCCCCACATTCACCTCCCCAGGTGGATTTGGCCAAGTTTGTGGGCAAGTGGGAGGATGCGCCTGAGAGGGTCATGCTGGACATGGTCACCAACCCCAACAAGCCCTCCAAGGAGGAGCGGTAGCGGCAGCTGCCTGTGTATTGGGATGGGAGTAGCTTCTTGGTATGGCAGCACGACAGGACGCACCTAAGAAAGGGTCATGCTTGACATGGTCACCAACCCAATAAACCTTTCAAGGAGGAGCGGTAGCAGCAGCAGCTGCTTTGTTGAGAGGAGCAGCTTCGTATGGCAGCAGCATTGAGACGAATTCAGACAGGTCGAACCTGAGAGAGGGTCATGCTGGACATGGTCAGCAACCCCAATAAGCCCAGCAAGGAGGAGCGGTAGCAGTGGAGGGTAGCAGTGGAGGGTAGCAGGAGCTGCCATTGTGCCACTGGCTGCCGTCGTTCTGGGGGTAGGAGGCAGAGATGGCTGCAGATGGCTCCGCACTCAGGATAGCCTCCATGTCACAGCTGCTCTGAGGCGTCTCAGATAGGGATTGGAACTCCAACACGCCCTTCACGGTGCAAACGAACCCCACCCCATAGGGAGACGACTTTCGAGTCGACTCTAAAGTCATGCCCTTCAGGGTGCAAACGAACCCCACCCCATAGGGAGACGACTTTCGAGTCGACTCTAAAGTCATGCCCTTCAGGGTGCAAACGAACCCCACCCCATTGGGAGACGACTTTCGAGTCAACTCTAAAGTCATGCCCTTCAGGGTGCAAACGAACCCCACCCCATTGGGACCAGTGAGCTGGGAAGATGCCACGGCTGGTCTGGCGGTTGCACTCTCACGATGGTGCATGCACCCTAGCTGTACTGTATAGTCTCAGTTCGTCTCTTTACTACATAATGTGGGTACACGATGTTCAGTGTACATAGAGCGCCTATGTAGGCACGGTATGTGCCAGTTTGATTCTATGCTGTGCAGTTCCAGTTCCATGCCGCGTCTACGGTAGTTTTGAGTCGACTCAAAACTCGACTTATCACACACAGTGTACGTAGAGCGCCAATGTTGGCACGGTACGGTATGTGCCAGGTTGATTCTATGCTGTACAGTTCCAGTTCCTTGTCGCGTCTCGCACTACCATCAGCTCCCATTTCCTTGCCTCCCTGCCTCTCTGCCTCTCTGCCTCTCTGCCTCTCTGTCACTCTGCCTCTCTGCCTCTCTGCCTCCCTGCCTCCCTGCCTCTCTGCTTCCCTGCCTTCAGCCTTCTGACTCCTGCTCCCGTGCCTTCCCCGCGGCACATTCATGCAAACTCTTAAAAGCGACTCCTGTCCTGTGCGCTTCTGCCACTCACCGTCACTTGAGTTCACAAATGAACCGATACCGTACCTACCTTAACTACCGTAGATGACTTTTGAGTCGACTCAAAAGATGAACCGATACCTACCGTACTTCACTAGTGGGGGGCGATATACACAACACCAAATGCAGCCAGTCAAAGCACCAGCTGTAATCTGGACTTGGATTAGGGTATCAACTGGCTGGCCAGAACACTATGTACACAAATGCCGTACAAGTACTTACCAGGTTACTCCTGGTCACCGTTACACGCACGAACCGTAAGAAGTACGGTATCAAGTACCGTAGCTGTCCTACATGGGTACAATTGAGCGGTGGCCAGACTTCAACAGTCCACCGTGCCCATGCTCCTTGCAATCACTCAAACAAAAAAACCAAGCAAAACAAACCACAACAAGCAGCCAGCCAGCCATGCGCGCCAGCTTAGCCTCTTCCCTCGCAGCCACCTCAGCCAGCAACATTCCCTCCTCCTCCACCCCCCGTTCCAGCCCAAGTACTAATCCATCAACGCCCTCCTGCCCTCCACCGCACGCCTATCCGCCTCCTCGGCCTGCCTCCCTACTTCACACAGCCGCTCCCCATTCAGGAATAAGTCAACAAATCACAGCAAGCCAGCCATGCGAGCCAGCTTAGCCTCCTCCCTCTCAGCCACCTCGGCAAGCATCCTTCTCTCCTCCTCCACCCCCTGTTCAAGCTTCTCTTTCAAAATACCCAAGTACTTATCCACCAACGCCCTCTTGGCCTCCACAGCACGCCTATTCGCCTCCTCTGCCTGCTTGCCTATCTCACACAGCCGCTCCCTGGTTGCCTGCTCCAGACAGCGCATGGTGGCCCGGCTCCTCTTCCCTGCTTTCGTGCTGCAAAATTCCCGCTTACCAGCAACCTTCTTCCTCTTCCCATCGCCACCAGCGGCATTCCCGCCCCCGGCGGCTTTCGTTTCCCCATCGCCACCAGCAGCCTTCCTGTCCCCAGCGGCCTTTCCCTCCTCTTCCCCGTCAGCGGCCTTTTTCTCCATGCGATGATTGCTCCTGTGACTGCCCTTCCCAGCCACTCTGTTCTCACGACCAGAGGAAACACCAACCTCTCTCACATCCCCTGCCATGCCCTCAGGCTTATCAGCTGCTGCCGACGGCTTGCCGCGGGCGGAACTCTTCAAACCCTTGCGCGCAGCACCCCCACCAGCCACCTTTTGAGACGCCTTGGAACGCTTCAAACCCTTGCAGGAAGCATCCCCATCAACCACCTCCCCAACATCATCACCATCACCATCATCACCAGCATCAACCCTTCTGTCATCAGCCAAGCTATCACCAGCAGCAGCACCAGCAGCGGCAACAGCAGACCTAGCAGCCCTGCGACGGCGAGGGCCAGCAGCGGCCAGAGCAGCAGCAGTAGCCGCTTCCACCTGCTGCTGCCAGTCAGAGGGGCACGGCACCCCTGCCTCACCCAAAAAGAAGCAGATTTCCTTGAACCGCCGCGGCCACCGCCCCTGCGGTTTCCTCTTCCGCTTGCGCGCCGGAGCAATGCCGTCGTTTGCCCTGAGCTGCTGCTGGCGGCGGTACTCCTTCAGGCTCTCGAGAGCACGGTGGATGTTGGGGGGGTATTCGTCGAATGGCTGGATGAGGAGAAGAGGCAGGAGAGAGAGGAAGAAAGTAAGGTTTTGAGACGTCTCAAAACAAACTGGGACGGCCTGAGCTGCTGCTGGCGGCGGTGCTCCTTTAGGCTCTCGAGAGCGCGGTGGATGTTGGGAGGGTATTCGTCGAACGGCTGGATGAGGAGAAGAGGCAGGAGAGAGAGGAAGAAAGTAAGGTTTTGAGACGTCTCAAAACAAACTGGGACAGCCTGAGCTGCTGCTGGCGGCGGTGCTCCTTTAGGCTCTCGAGAGTGCGGTGGATGTTGGGAGGGTATTCGTCGAACGGCTGGATGAGGAGAAGAGGAAGGGGAGAGAGAGGGGGGGGAAAGACAGTAAGGTTTTTAGACGTCTCCAAACAAACTGGGACGGCCTGGGTGGCCTGAGCTGCTGCTGGCGGCGGTGCTCCAATCATAATTCCCGACATATTCACCAGTTTCGCACCTTGGTGGCCTGGACGACTCTGTGGTTGAGCCTCAGGTCGATCGTTCCCAACAAACCCTGCAGCAGCCCAATCGTGTGCTGCCCGTACTTCCAGAACATTCGGTACACCTCCTCATCCTGCCACGACAGCGCCTGCCTTGCTCCGGGAATTCCGAGTGCTCCGTTCGCGGCTGGCGTGCTCCCTCCTGAATGCGCCCTCACGCGCCACTCGCTGCGCTTCATTTCTGACTGAGAGAGGAGAAGAGAGGAGAGAGGAGAGGAGAGGAGAGATATTCACGTTTCGCACCTTGGTGGCCTGCACGACTCTGTGGCGGTTGACGTTCAGGCCGATCGTGCCCAGAAAGCCCTGCAGCAGCCCCATCATGTGCTGCCCGTGCTTCCAGAACATTCGATACACCTCATCGTCCTGCCACGACAGTGCCTTCCCCGCTCCGGGATTTCCGGGTGCTCCGTCCGCGGCTGGCGTGCTCCCTTCTGAATGCGGCCTCACGCGCCACTCGCTGCGCTTCATTGCTGGCTGAGAGAGGAGAGAGGATGGGAGAGGAGAGGAGAGGAGGAGGAAGAGAGGACAGGACAGGAGCGGAGAGGGCTGAAAGGGGCATTGAGGAGCCTAGGAATGACTATAAGAAATAGCATCACCTTCAAAGGAAGAAAGATATAACTACCTACAAGCTTTTTGAAGCCTTTCTGAGATTGAGATTTTGCGACGCACAACTACGAGTTGAACTCGCGAACCGCCTAATGGTGACAGGGAAACCGGCTTCGTTGAAAGGACTACGGGTGGGCTGCTGCCTAGTGACAGAAACAACGGCTGACGACGTCAAACCGCAAACGGTTACGGGCGAGAGGAAAAGACAGCGCCGACACAAGCTAGAATGCCACAGGAGCCGCCATCGCAACCCGAGTTCAGTTGTATGCCGAATGAATATGTATCAGTAACTAGCAGCAAGACAGAATGACGAGAGCTTTCGGATTGCCCGTCATAAACGTTCGGATTACATGAATTACCCGAATTTCAGGTAACTCATGCCCTTCTGTATAGGTCTCATGGAGAAGACGTTCTTTCGTCCATGAGGTAACTCATGCCCTTCTATTTAGGTCTCATGCTGCAGTAGACGTTCTTTCGTCCATGAGGTAACTCATGCCCTTCTATTTAGGTCTCATGCTGCAGTAGACGTTCTTTCGTCCATGAGGTAACTCATGCCCTTCTATTTAGGTCTCATGCTGCAGTAGACGTTCTTTCGTCCATGAGGTAACTCATGCCCTTCTATTTAGGTCTCATGCTGCAGTAGACGTTCTTTCGTCCATGAGGTAACTCATGCCCTTCTATTTAGGTCTAATGCATTAGACGTTCTTTCGTCCATGCAACCAAGTTGCTGCCGACACCACCCCGAGTGAGCTCGACGTACCCGAGCGAACACCAACATTGGTTGCTTGCTTTCTACTGGTAGAAAAGTTTCGCGATGCAGGTCGCCCCAATTTCTCACAGCTCTACTGGGTTGTGATTCGTGGCGACAAATCTTGTAATGCCTGACGAAACTCTAACGAAAATCCCACTTTCGCTTCAAAGACCCAGTTACAGAAAGCGACTCTCCTGCCCAGCTCCTTTCCCGCCCCATACTGTCACCCAGATTCGTAAAAGAACTGATTCTTCACTAGTGACAGTTTCATCCATAAAATCATATGCACTGCACTGCACCGCACCTCAAGCACAAGGTGTAGATAGAGGTGTAATTGGTCAAAAAACGATTTACACAAATGCAACTTGTCACCAGACTACTCCTAGGCTAACTGTTTACGTAGACATATAAGAAGGCGACGCCTCACTAAGTATCATGCAGTCGCCAGACCCTAAGGACGCGTCACCTGCCTCGATCGATCCTGCGCAGGATCGATTTTAGATTCGGTTAAAAAAGTTTAAAACAAATTTAAATGCAACACGCAGGATTTTAGTGCGGTGGACGATCGATCTTCCTCGATTTTGCACGATCAATCGAGGGAGGTGACGCGTCCTAACCAGGCCACTGATTATTGCTCGCTCGCTCTTTTTACAATAAATCAATCAACACATGGTAGCCAATGAGAACAAATCACAAGAAGCAGCCAGCCATGCGTGCCAGCTCAGCCTCTTCCCTTGCAGCCACCTCAGAAAGCTTCCTTCTCTCCTCCTCCCTCCCCCGCTCAAGCACCTCTTGTAAAAGAACTCAGTACTTATCCACCAACGCCCCCTTGCCCTCCACCGCACCCCAATCCGCCTCCTCTGCGTGCTTTCCTATCTCACATAGCTCCTCACCCCCCTTTAATAATTAGATCAACAATATCACAGCAAGCCAGCCAAACGCCTCAGCTTAGCCTCTTCCCTTGCAACCACCTCAGCAACCATCCTCCTCTCCTCCTCCACCCCCTCTTCAAGCTTCTCTCTCAAAATACCCAAGTACTTATCCACCAACGCCCTCTTTGCCTCCACAGCACGCCTACCCGCCTCCTCGGCCTGATTGGCAATCTCACACAGTCTCTCCCTGGTCGCCTGCTCCAAACAGCGCATGGTCGCCCGGCTCCTCCTCCCTGCCTTCGTGCTGCAGAAGTCCCGCTCACCTGCAGATTTCCTGCCACCAGCAGCTTTCTTCTTCCCATCGCCACCAACGGCTTTCCTGTCCCCAGCAGTCTTCCCCTCCCCATCCCCATCAACAGCCTTTCCCTCCCCATCCCCGCCAGCAGCTATTTTCTCCCCATCCTCGCCTCCCTCCGTCACTTTCACCCTTTGACGACCACTCCTGTACCTGCCCATCCCAGCCACTCTGTCCTCACGACCAGCGGAAACGCCAGATGATATTCCAACATCTCTTACACCCCCTGCCATGCCCGCAGGCTCATCAGCTGCCACAGTCGGCTTGCCACGAGCAGAACCTTTCAAACGCTTACGTGCAGCATTCCCACCAGCCACCTTTGGAGACTTCTTGGAACGCTTCGAACCCTTGCAGGAAGCATCCCCATCCACCACCTCTCCAACATCATCATCATCATCATCACCACCACCATTGCCACCGTTGTCATCAACCACTCCATCATCAGCCAAGCTATCACCAACTCCATCCCGCCCCTCCTGTCTTTCTTCCCCACTCCGCCTTCCCCTGCCCCCCCTCAGCCCACCTCTCACACCCTCCCTAACACTTCCTCTCACACCCTTCCTCACACTCCCTCTCACACCCTCCACAGCACCCTCTGCCTTCCGTTTCCTGCCACGCAACGGCTGACCGGGAAGCCGAACAGCAGCACCAGCACCAGCAGCAGTACTAGCAGCGGCAGCAGCAGCAGCAGCAGCGGCAGCAGCATACCCAACAGCCCTGGGGCGACCAGCACCAGCAGCAGCGGCCAGAGCAGCAGCAGTAGCCGCTTCCACCTGCTGCTGCCAGTCAGCAGGGCACGGCACCCCCGCCGCACTCAGAAAGAAGCAGATCTCCTTGAACCGCCGCGGCCACCGCCCCTGCATCCGCCTCGTCCGCTTGCGGCCCGGAGAGCCAGGGTCGCGTGCCCTGGACGGCCTGGGCGGCTGGCGTAGGCGGTACTCCAACAGGCTCTTGAGAGCGCGGTGGATGTTGGGGGGGTATTCCTTGAGAGGCTGGATGAGGGGAAGAGGCAGGGGAGAGATGGGGAGGGAAAAGAAGGATATGTTTTGAGATGTTTCAAAACAAACTTGTTATCATGTGGCGGCTGGCGTAGGCGGTACTCCAACAGGCTGTCGAGAGCGTGGAGGATGTTGGGGGGGTATTCCTTGAGAGGTTGGATGAGGAGAAGCGGGGTGAAGAAGAGGAAGGTGGGCGGGCGGGGGTTTCAAGGGGAAAAGGGAGGGCGGAAAGTGGGGGAAGGGAAATTGGGGGAGGGGGGGGGGGTTAACTAATTATTTGGTGTGTGTGTGTGTGTGTGTGTGTGTGTGTGTGTGTGTGTGTGTGTGTGTGTGTGTGTGAGTGTGTTTTGATTGTGTGCCATATCAACTCATGCGCACATACCACATATTATTGTCGTCACATTCATTAATTCTGAAATGTTCACCCATATCGCACCTTGGTGGCCTGAACGACTCTGTGGTTGATCTTGAGGTCGAGCGTGGCCAGCACACCCTGCAGCAGCCCAACCGTGTGCTGCCCGTACTTCCAAAACGTTCGGTACACCTCCTTATCCCGCCACGACAGCGCCTTCCCCGCTACGGATGTTCCCGGTGCTCCGTCCGCAGCTGGCGTGCTCCCTCCTGCATGCGCCCTCACGCGCCATTCGCTACGCTTCATTTCTGGCTGAAAGCGGAAAGGAGAGGAGAGGAGAGGAGAAGAGAGGAGTGGAGAGGAGAGGACAAGACAGGAACGCCTGAGGATCGGAGAGGAGAAGGGGAGGAATGGAGGTGAGGACAGGAGCGGAGAGGCGTGAAAGGAGTTTTGGGGAGCCGAGGAATGACTATAACAACCTTACAAGAAACACGAACACAGTTTACCTAAAAGCCTTTGATGCTCTTCTGATATTGAGATTGTTGTCAAGCAAACGACTGGTAACAGAGACCAGCTTCGTAGAAGGACTACGGGTGTCCCTGGTTGTCGTACTTTTTTAGTGAACCTGGGGCTAAATATGAGATAAATTTGAAACTAAGGAGCTGGGATGTACTTTCCCATTCACGTACCTAAATGTGCCCAAATGTGCCCTTGCTCGGTATCTGCTGGTAACCTTGCGTACGCGAGAAAACCTTTCGCGATGCCAGTTCGGCCCATATTCCTTCCCACTCAGCTGGGTCGTGATTCGGGGGTAGGCATCTCGTAATATTTCACGAACTCCCATCCGATTTTCGTCAATTCGCTTTAGAGATCCAGTTACAGAAGAGCAACCCTCAACTCATCACTCCAAACCCAGGTCATTCGCTTCGCTGATGAAAATCCACAAGCCACCCCCACGCCACACTGATGGACTGTCCCGGGTCAACTCCTCTGCTTCCCCCAGCCCTTTCATTTCAACGAGACAAAAGCTTTTCCGTGACGCCAGCCATGCTGGCTAGAGGTGTCACTACGCCTCGTCCTCTCGCGCTCAGACCTCGTCGATCCTCCTTGCTGCAGCGCGTCCTTCTTCTTTCCTTGCGCAATCTTTCCGTCACTTCCTTTGGTATCTCGAAGATTTGCACGAATTTGAACGAATTCGCCATGGCGAACCCCCTCGCGTTACCACTTATAAGGCCGCACGATGGCATCGTCACTCGTTATCCTCGCCATTCCAGATTTTTTCGGCACGAAAACGCGTCCACAGCGCGTTTGACTCGAATACCCGTTCAAGCGTCACAGGCTGACTCTGGGAAACACGTCATCACCGCGACTTCATGTTCTCGCTCTCTCGGTTCGCTTCGCTCCTTAACCTCCGCGTCGTCGTCGTCGTCGTCGTCCGTTACCGTTAGGGTTAGCCGCGTCGCTCGGATCGACAGCGTCGTGGTCCGAGCTGGCAGCGATGCCGTTGCCGACGTGGAAAATCTGCCAGATACGCCAGGCCAAAAGGAAAGAATCTCACCTAAAGCACCTGATGGGGTTCAGGATCAGGACATGACGGGAGTGGCGTTACGACGGAATAAGTTAGTGGTGCAACAAGAAATAAGGTTCGAGCAAGAGGAGATGATCGAGGAGCAGGAAGCGTTGATAGACGAGCACGAGCCTAGCGCGATGGAGGGCTGGCAGGAGGACAACGGACGGCTGTTATTGATCGATGGCCATCCTGTAGTGTACCGGGCTTACCACCAGATATCAGGCGAGTCCGATACTCCCAAGGTGATTTTGAGATTGCTCGGTAGCAATTTTAGTGTGCCAGACTTACCAGGGTCCGCGGATTATCAGGCGAATTCGCTACTTTGAGGTGGTTTATAAGAGTACAGAACATACCACCAAGCATCAGGTGATGGCTACTCGCTCATCCTCTAACTCTCTTTCCTGTTCAATGTCGTGTTATCTCACTTGTAACGAGGTGACTTTTGAGTCGACTCAAAAGTCACCTCTTTCCCGTTCAATGTCGTGTGATCTCACTTGCATCCCGGTTAGATGTGCAGCATGAGTATACCACAGCTGGTTTTTGAGAACTAAAAAAACCCAACTACTTTTTTCTCTTGCATGCCGGTGTGCCTCGCAGCGCGGTTACACCACAGCGGTTACAACACCTTCGCACACGACGAGGACGTCATGGGCACACTCTTCAAATCCTTCGAGCAGGTGTGTGCGTGCGCTGCAACGCAAGTCGTTTCTGCAGATGCGTGTGCTCCCAAGGGCTTCAGATTGATGCTTTCTCAACGTAGAGGACGTCATGGGCACGCTCTTCAAGTCCTTCAAGCAGAATACCTGCCGCAGCCCATCCCTTCCTCGTTTACCGTCTCTTTGCCTGACCTCCATCCCTTTTTTACCTGCTCTACTCTGTCGCATATGCCTGTCTTTGTGTTCTGCGGTGGTAACGTGGTTTCAGATCGTCAACCTTCTAGCGATGCTCCCAACACACGTAGCAGTGAGTGTGGTGGGGTGTGACGATGTCGTGTTCATTGAGCTATTTTTTGTCTGTGTAACGCAGAACGGGGAAGAGAGAGTCGCATACAGAGCACACAACACTCATGTCTCTCCGTATCCCTCCAACCTGCACACCATGATATGTGGCACGGCATCTTGCTCTGTCACAAGACTGCCGTAACTTTTTGAGTCGACGCACAAGTCACTTCGTGGCACGGCATCTTGCTCTGTCACAAAACTTCTCCTTTCCTCTCTTCATTCCTCTACTTCCCCCTCCCTGTTTTCTTCATTCCTCTACTGTCCCCTCTCTCTTCTTCCTCCTGCACGAAATTGCCCTGTCTGTTTCCTGCTCTGCGGCCTCCTGCTTGTGGCTCCTCGGTTCTGCCCAGCTGGTGTTCGACCATGGGGGTGAGTGAGTCAGCCCATTGTTTACCATTGTAACATACAATGCATCATGTGATTCCATGTTGTGCGTACCACTTACACATTCCAGTTCGCCTCACAAACGCAATTCCAGTTCATGGTGCCTTTCAAGAACAGTAAGACTCATGCCGAGGTTTCACAGGTCGTACAAGTCTCATCTCTTATTCCCAACTCTCCCCCATCTCTCCCCCTCCCCGTGTCAACCCCCCTTTTCTCCCATGCAGACTGTTGTAATTTTCTATATACAACACACGCAAATGCTAGAATAGGTGTAGGATTGTTGGGTGTACCTTCAACCACAATTTGTGGTTGAAACTTGGTTGGGTTCCCAACAATCATTGGACCTCCAATAATGATGGTTCAAATCAAACCCACTCAAAAATCGGAGCTCCAATAATGTTGGTCCAACCAAACCAACAATTATTGGGACCTCCATAAATTGTTGGCCAAGCTCACATTTCCTCCATCTATGAATTCATTGCCTCTCTTGAGCCCATCATCAATACAATCTTTGCTAACAAAGACACCACCACGTTCTGTCACGTGATTTTCCAGGCCTACAACAGCATCACAAGTCATTCTTAGGGAGATGACTTTCGAGTCGACTCTAAAAGTCATCTCGCTGATTTCCAGGGCTACAAGAGCATCACAAGTCAACTCCTAACGCCTAGGTCTCATACTCACCTTATAACGCCTTCCTCTCTGCTCCTCTTCCCACACAGACCCCACGTTCCGCCACGACTCCTTCCAGGGATACAAGAGCACGCGCCCGCCTCGCCCTGACGCCGTGTCACGAGCCATGGAGCTCATGCAGGCTGCTCTGCGCGCGCTGGAGCTGCCTTCCTTTGCGGTGAGTGGCAGGGCGCGAGATTGTTGTGGGCCTCTGAATAACTAAACGTAGATGCACTCCATCCATTGCTGTGGCACGAGCCATGGAGCTCATGCAGGCTGCTCTGCGTGCCCTGGAGCTGCCTTTTTTTGCGGAGTGGCGCATGTGTGATGGCAGCCTTCGGGGTGGGCTTGTGCGTTCCTGGAAGCCTGCAGGGTATGGGACGTGCTAGCAGCGCCTGTGGAGTGTGTGTGTGTCGCATGTGTGTATGCCTGTTCTTGAGCGTGCATGTGCTCTGCCCTTGTGTATGTGCCTTGTGCATCGCTCTGCCTGCAGATATCCGGAGTGGAGGCGGTCGATGTGATTGCGAGCGACTCTCGCAACAGAGGCACAGTGACTGATGCTGCTATGCGGCCTTGGTGTGATGGTGCCTTTGCCTGTGTGTGTGTATCGTGACCTTGTGTATTGTGTCCTTGTGTACCCATCGCTCTGCCCACAGATATCCGGAGTGGAGGCGGTCGATGTGATTGCGAGCGACTCTCGCAACAGAGGCACAGTGACTGATGCTGCTATGCGGCCTTGGTGTGATGGTGCCTTTGCCTGTGTGTGTGTATCGTGACCTTGTGTATTGTGTCCTTGTGTACCCGTCGCTCTGCCCACAGATATCCGGGGTGGAGGCGGACGACGTGATTGCGACTCTCGCAACAGAGGCGCTGCAGAATGGCATGAAGGTAGGTACTGTGCTGCTCCAAAGCGTGCGGGCGAGGTGAGGAGTCGTTTAGATGCCTCAAACGTTCAGACCTCGAAGCAGAATCTCTTGAGAATGGCGTGAAGGTAGCGCACTGGCTCAACAGATGAAGGCACGGTTAGGAGTGAAGGGAAGGTCAGAACTGCAGCAGACAAGATTGGCAGGTGAGGGTAGTTTGAGTGATTGTTGCATGGAGGGTGCCTGCAATGCAAGGAAGCTAGATGCAAGGGCCCTTTTCCTGTTTCTGACACATCAGATACACACCTCTTGCTCCTCCTCCTGCTTTCTTCCTATGACCGCACATACCCCCCACCCCCCCTTCCCTTCCTCCCCAAACCCCTCCCACTCCCACCTTCAGGTGGCCATGGTATTGCCATGCTCGGGAAGTGACCTCTCCCACTCCTCCCGCTCATGACATGTCTGGTGATGCTGTGCTCATGACACGTCGTACAACGCAATCATTGACTCTCTCTCTCTCTCGCCTGTGCTTTTGTTTCCTCCAATCTTCACCCTCAGGTGCGCATAGCATCGCCTGACAAGGACTTCTTTCAGCTGCTCTCTCCCAACCTCAAGATGCTGCGACCCACACAACGCCCCAAGTCAGTGCCCTTTCCCCCTCGTTCCCCCCCATTCTCCCCTTCTCCCTACTCCCTCCCCCTTCCCCCCTGCTCCCTCCCCCTTCCCCCGTGCTCTCTCCCCCTTCCCCCTCGCCCCCTTTTGGTCGCTTTGCGTTCAGATATGGTCGTTCAATCCGTTGACTCTTATGTTGATTCAATCCAGGCGTTCATGAGATATTTTCGGTCACCCCACTCTCACACCACCACCACGCTCACTTCACCCTCATGTTTCATGTCTCACCCGCCTTACTCACCTCACTCTTCCGCCTCACTCTTTCAATGAATGCTGGAGTGCGTCTGGTGTGCCCATCCAAACTCTTTCCATCCCATATAGAGCTCTCGTTCCATTCGTTCCCATACTCTTTCCCAACACACCCTTCTTCCCCTGCACCAACCCCCCTTCCTACCCGCCAACCCCTCCCTTCCCCCCACCTCCCTCCCCCTGCCTATCGCCCATCCGACACCCCCTTACCAACGCAGGCGGGGCAGCCCGCGCTACCCCACGTCGCACTTCTACACATACGCGGAGGAGGACTTTCGAGGAGACTGGGGCAACATGCTTCCCCACCTCCCGCCCCTTGCCTTCCTTTTCCCTTGTGAACAGGCGGGGCAGCCCGCGCTACCCCACGTCGCACTTCTACACATACGCGGAGGAGGACTTTCGGAGGGACTGGGGTGACGTGGATCCGCCGCTCTTTGCTGACATCCTCGCCCTCATGGGTGACGTCAGCGACAACATTCCCGGTTCGTGGTGACTCTTTCTCAAACTCTGAGTCGCTTCTGAGATTTCTCAAAGGAGCACTTCTGAAGGGACTGGGGTGACGTGGATCCGCCGCTCTTTGCTGACATCCTCGCCCTCATGGGTGACGTCAGCGACAACATTCCTGGTTCGTCCAGACTCTTTGAAGAGCTTTGTCGGAGGTGTTTTGGTGCAGTTTGCGAATTCTCCTTTTGTCCGAAGAACAATTTGAGAGTACTTTGCTATGCGTGATACTCATTCATGTGGTGTGGGTACTGGCAGTTCATGTTTGCTTCCCTGGCCTTCCCTCCCCTTCCATACTTCTCCGTTTTCCCAGGGGCGCGTGGCATTGGCCGCAAGAACGCACCCAAGCTCGTCCGCAAATACGGTGGGTTCTGCCTTCATGATGGCTGGGATAACTGCTTCTGCATGATAGGCGCACAGACTTGATGCTGAATCAGATAGTTTTCTCTCTTGTTCTCTCGCGTTCTCTCTTGTTCTCTCTTGAAAGCAGCTCTCGTGACAGCTAGACCCACCTGCCCATTACTGCAATATCATTATTGCCATGATGCCACTGCACAATCTTGCTGTTGCAGCAGCACCACCCTCCCACCATAATCTGTCACGTTCCAGCCGTAATCATTTCGCCGTGTCATGCTGCATTGCAGGGTCTGTGGAACAAATACTGGAGCGGCCTGAGCAAATATTGGACAAGAGGGGAAGAGAGGTGAGTCACTGGTGGAGCTTCTGAGCTCCCTTCAATCTTATGCTCTTGAATTGTGGGCATCCTTTGAGGAATCTCAATCTGACCTGCAAAACCTTGGCGCGTAGGATTCTGAGTTATCTTAATATCACAAACACTGTGAACCACTCACGACACGTCATATAATCCCCTGTGTTGCATCTTCTCTGTGTGTTTGTGTGTGTGTGCGCGCGTGTGTGGGTATGCATGCATGCGTGCAGGCAGTGATAGCCAGCAGAGACTCTATAATCCAATCAAAGGAACTGGTGAGCACCTCTCTTGAGCAGTCATCTTTCTCTCACGCCTTACTCACGGCCCATCGACCACCCACTTCCCTTCTCCCATTTCCCATGGACTCCCTGCTCCAAGTCGTGCCTCAGAATGTGCTGGGCATACATTTCTTTTGTTGGCAGGTGTCGCTCCGCATGAATGTGCCACATGGGAAGTCATGGGACGACCTCCGCTTTCACCCACCCGCAGTGAGTACACGAGTACCACCAGAAACGTATGTAGGTGTGGAAGGAAGTTACGGCTGGTCACCGCTGTTGATGGTTTAGTTACCAACATCCAAAGACATTACATGCATTGTTGTTTTTGAAGTTTTCATTCCTTTTTGTTTGTTTTTGTTTCCATGTTGCAGGATGGTGGTGTCGATTTTTGGAAGTTTATGCAAACATTGGAAGAGGATTCAATCCAAATGAAGTCTGGCATAAGGAAACGATTAGAGGCAGTGTGGTCTGAGATCCAAAAATAGTGCAATGTTTTTATTTACACAAGATGTTCCATAACCTTTTTATTCAGTAAACGAAATAGTAATAATGCGAGCTACTTGGCGACAATCTTGAGGCCTACCATGGGAGTGTCGTCACAGAGCCAACCAGGGCCTCGGGATTGTCGAGCGATCTTTAGTGGTTGCGCGGATTGGGTCTACAGTATCAGTGGGTGCTTGCTCGGACCTCAGGTTTGTGTCGGTCGTCAGTATGGTACGGTACGGCCTCCTCCTGCCCTCTGCTGCAGCTGAAGTTTATGCAACAGTCCACCATTCCTCTCCCCATGCCTCACAAAAGCTTCATTCGTCAATTTTCGTCAGCGATTTTGCATCAGTCAAGCGAGCCTCGTGTATTTTGAACGCGATGATTCGCCATTACCGGCTGGTCAGTTTGTCGTGCCTCGCTTCGTCCGTAGACACTAATGAGGACTAATCTGGGAGATTAGTGGTGCAATGAGATAGCGCGTGACGCGGATCGTTTACATTGTGCCGATGCGACGCTGCGATTTAAAGGCATGATCTTGCACACAGTTTCGCAAGTTCACCCTGCGAGCTCGCAAAGATTTTGAACCTAACGCGCATCAGTCCTGGGATGAGCAGTCGCACGCAAGCTTTGCAAGCGGTGCCGAACGCACACTTCGTGTTCCGAAACTCAGGACCCAGGCCGGCATCCTTGTCCTAAATCGTTGATTCTATTTGACAGCTCTGACCTAGTGTGCCAGCCATGGACGAAGTCAGAAGATTCGCGGAAAGCATGATTCGGACGGCGTCGAATCGAATTATGTCCAGTCCTCTCGATAACTCTGCCTCTCCTGCCGTCGTACGATCCGTCCAACTCCCCTACCTTCATCTCCTCAATCTTCAGACTGCTTAGCAGCGTCTTAACCCTTTTCAGGGAAACGTAATTCAAACCATTTTCACGCACAAGCTAGATGTTTACACATTCCGCATTCTTCCGGGTCAGGCCTTGGTCGATTCACTTAGCTGGTCATTTTTCACGTCTTTTTAGTTAGTTCTGATCGATCAATGTCCCGGTTTGTCCACTTCTCCACGACCCTCCCTCGCGCTTTGAGCAGCCGGACACATTCCGTTCTGGCAGCAGGAACAATTCCAATCAGGATCTTTCAAATCGCACAGGCAGTCCGAGCGGCTTTCTCTCGCGAGGAGGCAATGCGAATGGGTACGGGGACAGGGACAGAGACAGAGGGGGAAATAGGGAGTATGACAGAGACAGAGACAGAGACGGGGACAGGGACAGGGATTGGATCAGGGGGGTTAGCGGTCTTGGCGCCAAAGGCGCGGGTGCTAGCAGCAGCAGCCACAGCGGCGCATCCCGCACTCAGCGCACTCTCGACTATTCCGACGCGTCCCCCGAGCGCCCTCTAGGATCCCCCTCCCAGATCCTGCTCGCGCCTGCCTCCCCACCTCGCTTCCACTCCCCCCTGCGAAATGCTAGCCCCAACCCCGGGCCTGCCAGTAGAGGCTTCGGTCGTGGTCCCTCTGGCGCCGCCTCTTCGTCGTCCTCCTCGTTCAATCAGCTAACTCTACTCGCCTCTGGCGACGATGGGTCAGGATCCCCGGTTCCATCATCATCAGGAGCACAATTCGCAGGAGGAGCAGGAGGAGGGGTAGGAATGGGAATGGGTAGCCGTACCCCCATGACCGCCCCTCCTGCTTCTCGCAGCCGCATGGCTGCTTACTCCTCTCCCTCCCCAGACCCTCGTTACCCCAGTCCTGGTCACTCATCGGGGTATGACTCAGAGTCATCCCCCTCCGTTGCTGACGTGGCAGCTGCGGCGCTGTCTGACGTGTCAGAGGAGGATTTGCGGACGAGAACCCCGGTGATGGTGGGGAAGCGGGCGCTGATGGGAGTGGAGGGCATGGGCATGTCGGGGTCGCCTGGGTTCCTGTCAGGGTTCATAGCGTCTCGCCCCAAAAACGACCGCGCTGAGATGCTGGACCCCAAGTTCTACCTCGAGGTGGGTGCGACTGTGTGTTTGGACGAATGATTGTGGGATTGGTGGTGGGTGTTTGTGTGAGGAAAAGAGGGGATGTGGAGGCGATGGCGCATGGGAATGTCACGTGATCACCAAGGGCCAGGTTCAGTTTAGGATTCATAGCGTGTTGACTCAAAGCGAAGATGGGTATGGCTGTACAGGTAATGAAGGCCGGTGAAGAACCCCTACCCAAACCCTTTTCTCGCGGTTCCTACCCCCTTTGCTTGGTCCCCCCACCCCACCCCACCCATTTTCTCAGTCGTTTTACGTTGTGCGGGCTGACGGAGCTGGAGCAGCTGCTGTGGGACTCAGCGGCGCTTCAATGGCTGGCTTGCATTCATTTCAATTTGACCAATGAAACACAACACACCACTCTTTCTTCCCCTTCCCCGCCTTTCCCCAGTCGTTTGATGCAGAGAGGGCGGAGCTGAAGCAGCTCCCGCGGTACATGGTGGCACTGCAGCAACTGGGTTTGAGACCCCACCATCTCTTCCCCTTAACCCTCTTCCCCACCCTCCCCCAGTCGTTTGACGCAGTGAGGGCGGAGCTGGAGCAGCTACCGAGCGACACAGTGGCGCTGCAGCAGCTGGGCATGCACAGCGGGCGGCGGCTGCTGCAGCTGGACGTGATCACGGAGCAGCTGGCAACGCAGGTCATGAACCACCACCAGAAAATGGGTGCGTGGGGTGGGAGTGGTGGGGGGATGCGTGTGGTTGATGATGGTTGCTTGCTTTTTAGACTTAATTATTAAAACTTAGCAATCGAGCGGGAGTGTAGGCTTTGGTGAAGCGTAATGGCTTGGTGAATCTCCCTTGAAAATTTGTCTCTCATCGTGCGGTGCGTTGTGGCAGTGCAAGGAATGCAGCTGGTGGGGGAGCTGGACCGAGAGCTGCGGGTGGTGTCCGTCATCTGCCGGGTATGATGGCATGCCATGATATGATATGATATGCTATGATGTGATATGATATGATATGGCATGCTATAGCATCGTGGTGTCCGTTATCTGCTGGGTGCAATGGCATTGCATGGTGGAATGGAGTTGTGCTATGGAGATGGGCGAGAGATCATGTGATGGGATGCAGTGATATGGCATGGCAGGCGTTTGTGAATGAAAAGCTGTACATGTCAATCAACCCTGTCCACCACCACCACCCCTCACAAACGATTGAGGCGCCTCAAAACTGCGAGACATGAGACGACTTTTGAGGTGCCTCAAAAGTCGTTTTTGAATGAAAAGCTGCACTTGTCAACCCTGTCCACCACCATCCCTCACAAACCCTCACCCCGCCACTTCCCTCATCTCCTCCCCTACTTCTATCCCCGTTTCCTTTCAATTCTCCCCTCCCCCTCTCCCCCCACCCCCACAACCAATCCCTGCACATGCACGTGTTGAGAGCAGAATGCGAGGAGGCATCTGAACAAGGCGATGGAGGAGGTGGCAAGCGACCTGGTGGTGGCTGCCAGTGTCAACAAGAAGAAGATGCTCACCGTGAGTTGATTCATTTCACCTCCCTCCCTCGAGCTGAGCTCACTCAAACTGTGCTCACTCGCACTGTGAGCCTCTTCCAGTTTACTCAAGTGATGTTACCTGCATCGCAGCTCGCCACCAATGCTCACTACCACCCACATCCCCTGCTCCCTGTTCTCTTGCTCCCCTACCAGACCACACTGCCTTTGCTTATGCGCATGCAGCAACAGGTGGACGTGCCATGCCTTCATTCTATACATTTTCCTCTTCCCCCCTCACCAACCCTCTCACTCCCCCCACCAGAGCATGCTGCCAGTGCTGATGCGCATGCAGCAGGTGGTGGACGTGCAGGGGCGCATGGATGCGTGCATCGACGAGGGCGACTTCGCATCTTTCAACCCATCCCGTCCTTCTTCCTCTAACTCCTCCTCCCCAACCCCCACCCTCTCCCACGCCCTCTCTCCCCACCAGAGCATGCTGCCAGTGCTGATGCGCATGCAGCTGGTGGTGGACGTGAGGGGCCGCATGGATGCGTGCATCGACGAGGGCGACTTCGCCCGCGCGCTGCGCCTCTGCTCGCACTGCCTCGTGCTCATCGAACAGAACGCGCAGCTGGCTTCGATACGAGACATGAACATCAGCATTGAGGTGGGTGTGTCGGTGAGAGTGGGGTGCGAAGGGGGTGGAGGGTTGTGGGTATGAGGCACTCCCTTGTGCTCATTGAGCAGAACGGGCAGCTGGCTTCGATACGAGACATGAACATCAGCATTGAGGTGGGTGTGCCGGTGAGAGTGGGGTGCGAAGGGGGTGGAGGGTTGTGGGTATGAGGCACTCCCTTGTGCTCATTGAGCAGAACGGGCAGCTGGCTTCGATACGAGACATGAACATCAGCATTGAGGTGGGTGTGCCGGTGAGAGTTGAGTTGAGGGGGGTGTGGGGGGTGTGGGGGAGGCACATGGATGCCATTGCCATTTCTGCACCACGTGCAGAGAGGGTGTTTTTAAGACGTCTCAAAAACACCCTCTCTACACATGAAAGTTGAGTTGTGGGGGGTGTGGGGGAGGCACATGGATGCCATTGCCAGTGCTGCCATTTCTGCGCCCTGTGCCTCGGCTCGCACTGCCGCATGCTCACTGAGCAAGACGCTCAGCTGGCAGCTCTATGAAACATGAACTTGCCTCATTTCTGGTGGCTGCATTTGTGCCTAGATTCTCTTCTCTCTGTTTCTTCTTCTCTGTGTTCCCTTCTTCTCAGGAGTGGCTCACCCGAGTGGTCGACCATGTGGATGCTCTGCTCTTCACTGTCTGCAAGTCTTTCCATTTCCTTGTATTCCACCCCGCTGCGTGCCCCCCCCCCCCCCCCCCCCGCTCCTCTCTCCACTCTTCCCCTTCTTCTCAGGAGTGGCTCACCCGAGTGGTCGACCATGTGGATGCTCTGCTCTTCACTGTCTGCAAGTCTTTCCATTTCCTTGTATTCCACCCCGCTGCGTGCCCCCCCCCCCCCCCCCGCTCCTCTCTCCACTCTTCCCCTTCTTCTCAGGAGTGGCTCACCCGAGTGGTGGACCATGTGGATGCTCTGCTCTTCACTGTCTGCAAGTCCTTCGACTCGCCTTCTTATGCAGTCGTAAGCCACTTCAGCCCTACGGAACTTTCAACTCTCTGATCATATAAGTGCTTGGTGTCGCTTTTTGCCGGGTTTGCATATGTATGTGCTCATGTCCGAATCCCACCTGCAATGCATTGCCTGAGCAGCTTCCAGCAGGTGTTACCCCCGTCATGTGCATCCATCAATGCCCCATATGCATCTGATGGCCCACTGAAAGAAAACTTGCCTTTCGCCCCGCGTTACCACAGTGGTACCGCCAATCAGCCATCAGCATATGATGGTTAATGCTGCAATGGACGACTCATAGGGTCGTCACACTATCAGTTCTCTCTCCGCTTCCCCTTTTCGGCACCCCTCAGGTGATTGATGCGTATGCAGTGATGGACGATGCGGCCACGCTGGCCGACAAGGTGCAGAACTTCTTTGCACAGTCGGTCGTCACCTGCACCTACGACACCCTGCTGCAGTTCCTCGAGCAGGTATGCCACTTTGTTTGTTATCTTGCGGAATTCTCAAAGGTGATGCAGGCAAAGGTGCAGAACTTCTTCGCCCACTCTGTCGTCACCTGCACCTACGACACCCTGCTGCAGTTCCTGGAGCAGGTATGCTGCTGGCATTCTATTGCGAGTATTGACTTGCGTTTTGAGGCGTCACCTGCTCCTGCAACATGCAGTTGCATGCACTTCCTGTAGAAGGCATGTCGCGTGGCATGCCATGCCATTGAGTGTTGAGACGTCTCACTTCCTGGAGCAGGTGCGGGTTGCATTCAAGAGAAACGTGGCTTTAATGGTCGTATCAAGCGCAGCATGTCTCATAACCGCAACTCTGAGTCTGCTCTGTGGTCTCCTGCGCACACAGTGCTACTTCCCACTTTTTCACTCTCGCAACTGAGCTGTGTTATGTTACCCTCTGCTCTGCTCTGCCCTTGCTTGTCGTACAGGCAATGGGGGAGGATGACGGGCACAGAAGCAGGTGAGTGAGGCCGCATGGGGAGGAGAGGGTGATATATCTCTTAGGCGCTTGCCATGTGTGCGGCTTCTAGTGCTCCATTTTGAGACGTCTCAAAACATCACTTGTGTCACGTGATGTATCTCTTAGGCGCTTGCCATGTGTACGGCTTCTAGTGCTCCATTTTGAGACGTCTCAAAACATCACTTGTGTCACGTGATGTATCTCTTAGGCGCTTGCCATGTGCGCGGCTTCTAGTGCTTCATTCATTTCTTCCTGCTCCTGCTGCTGATCTGAGTCAGCTTTCGTCATTATCTCTTCCTTGAACTTTGCACTCTGATTCCACCTCGTGTATGAAAAGTAAAACAGGGCAGCATTGTTTTCTGCTCTTTGTGTTTCTATCTTATTCGTGTGCGTCTCCTCTGTTATGTTTTGGTGCTGAAAAAAAAAAAAAAAAAAGTTCCGTCTTTTGCCTTCTTGTGCTTCTTGCTGTCCCATTAACCCCCCCTCACAGGCTGGCCTATAGTGAGCTGTGTGTGGAGCTGCCGGACGGCGTGTTTCGTCTGTGTCTGCTGCGCACTCTGGGTGTGCTCTTTGACCTGTTCGCATCACACCACCACATGATGACGTGGCGTCACCCCTACGTCAAGGTAAGGCCATCCTCTGTGCATCCTCCATCTCATCCTTCCCTTGCTCTGCATGCTGCAATCCTATGTGTGCTGCCGTTGTGATGCCATGCTGCCACATGTGCTGCCATATGCTCTGCCATGTGTGCTGCTCCATGTGTGCTTCTCCCATATTTGCATCGATTCAAAAGGCCTCCAACATGACGCCAACGAGTCGCTTCGCTTCCCCTGCCTGCCTCGCTTCCCCTGCCTGCCTCGCTTCCCCTGCCTGCCAGCACCTTTGCCTTCCTTCATCCCTCCATCCCCGCCTACCCTTCCCGTTTCCATCCTATCTTCATCCCTCCATTCCTCCATCATCCCGTTCCCCCAACCACCCACCCACCCAACCACCTACTTGAGCGTCCCAACACCATGTGAATGGACTGCTTCCCCCGCATGGCAGCACCAGACTCTGCCGGCCTGTGTGAACATCTCCCTTACAATCCCCCTTTTCCTTACTCCCCCATCACCCATCCCCCCCTCACCACCCCCCAGCGCCCCAACGCCATGTCAATGGACCGCTTCCCCCGCATGGCAGCGCCGGACCCCGTGTGTGCCTCTCTGTGAAGATCGCAATCTATTTCCCCCCTTTTTCCTTACTACCCCACCCCACCCACTGACCCGCAGCGCCCCAACACCATGTCCATGGACCGCTTCCCCCGCATGGCAGCACCAGACCCCGTGTGTGCCTCGGCGCCTGTCTCTGCCTCCTCCTCCGCCTCCGACCTCCCCCAACTCGCCCGCGTCCCCACTCCACCTCACGGCCTTCCCCGCTCTTCCTCCGTCTCCGTTGCTTCTGGTAGTACTGCTGCTGGTGTTGGTGCTTCTAGTGGTGCTGGTGAGGCAAACGGGGCTGCAGCTTCTGAGGGCGCTGCAGCAGGTGGTGAGGGCAGGGCACCCGGGGAGTCACGAGAGGGGTTGCATGCGAGGCGGAGGAGCCAGAGCTTGGTGATCGAGATCCCTGGGAGTGGTGAGCAGCTGCAGGAGAAAGTCGAGGAGGGGGATAGTGAGAGGGACAATGGGGCTGAACCAGGGAAGGTGCAAGACGGGGAGAGAAACAGCGGGAGTGAGGGCGCTGGTGGGTCAGACGGGCAGAGATCAGGTGTGCAGAGGACAGACGCACAGAGGTCCAGTTCGGAGAGGACAGATGCACAGGCGCAGCAGCAGACGGGGCACGCGCAGTTGCAGCAGCAGAGGCGGCAGGTGAGGCGGTCGTCAAGTGAGGGGCACAACGAGGCATGGGGCAGCGCCGGTGCTGCTGCTGCTGCTGGTGCTGAGGCTCTGGTGAGAGACGGCCGCCCTCCCATCCCCTCTGCAGGGCCTTCTGGGACAGAAGCAGCCGGAGGAGGCGGAGGAGGAGGAGGAGGAGGAGGAAGGGGGGGTTTGGGAGAAGGCATTACGGCAGCAGCTGTCGCAGCAGCAGCCGCAGCAGCAGCAGGCGTTGGTGTTGGAGGTGGAGACGATAGAAGCAGAACTCGGGGTGGGGGAGGGGGAGCGGACATGGCACTGAGAACAGACGATGTGATGATGATGGGGAGTGACTTTAGAGAGGGGTCGCTGGCAGACCTGCCGCCCAACGTGGCGCGTAAGATGCGCGTCAGCACCACGGCTGCCGTCTGCCGCGCGCTGCAGAAGAATAGGAAGGCCGTGTGGGAGCTCGCAGCTCGCAGGGTGGGTGCGCTGCTTGCTGCGCCCGCACTCTGCTCGGGGTCCTCTCAGCAGTTCCTCCAGGTGGGTTTGGGGAGCGGAGCGGACGGGCAAGATCCCATTGCAGCAGTGGGCGAGGCGTTCACGGGGTGCATGCGGCAGCGCCGAGAAGCAAGTTACGACATTTGAGGAGCCCGAATGTCCGTTCCATTCATTGTCATCCTCTTCTCCCTCGCCCCCAGTGCCTGGAGTGTGTGGACGCATTTCCTGTCTGAGTCAGCTCGTATACCATGCCAAACCCACCTGGCTCTTCTTTTCTTCCCTTTCCTTCCACTGGCATCTCTTCTTCTCCCTCACCCCCCAGTGCCTGGAGTGGGTGGACAAGTTTGCAGCAGTGGGAGAGGCGTTCACGGGGGTGGAGGCGGGGGGCCTGCGAACCAAGATACGTCTTTTCAGGGGCCTCAAATGTCCTTCTCGTTTGTTGTCATCTCCTCCCATCCCTCGCCCCCAGTGCCTGGAGTGGGTGGACAAGTTCGCAGCAGTGGGAGAGGCATTTACTGGGGTAGAGGCGGCGGGGCTGCGAACCAAGATGGTGAAGCAGAGCGAGGTCTACTTCAACACCTTCCACCGCCAGAACCTCAAGGTGATGTCTATCCACGGCAAGGCAAGTGTTGCATGCTGAGAGCCTGAGAGGCCGTAATGGTGAATCAGAGTATTCTTCTCAGCACTCCTCTGAGGAGGCGTACTTCGACGCTTCCCACCACCAGAAGAACCGCAAGGTGCGGCTCTAACAGGCAAATAATCCTAAACCCCCACCCCACCTTCCCGCTCCTATTTCTCTCCCATCACGTGCTTGCATGCATGCATCCATCAGGTGCTGAAGATGATTCTGGAACGAGAAACATGGCAGCGCTTACCACCAGAGACTATCCACACGCTCAGACTCATCAGCCTCACCACCTCCTCCGCTCCTTCCTCCTCTTCCTCCTCCTCTTCCTTTGTCCTCTCCACCCAGTCGTCCTCCTCTTCAGTAGGGGGTAGAGAGAGTGGGGGAGCAGAGGGTGTGAGTTCGGGTGGTGAGGGAGCGAAGGAGAGAAGGGATTTCCGAGAGTGGTTGGAGCGAGGAAACCCGTTTGCAGCAGTGGAGGCAGGGGAGGAGGAGGCAGCGGAGGGGAGGGAGGGAGGGGAGAGAGCGGAGGGTGGTGAAAGGAGCAGGAGCGGGAGTGGCGGAGGGACTGGGGGCAGGGAAGGGGGAGCGGGAGCTGGGTCTGGTGGCGCTGCAGTGTCAGCATCAGGGGCAGCAGCAGGGACGAGGGAAGGTGGAGACGGGAGCAGCAGAGGGCAAGCAGGGAACCCGCAGGGACGGATTCTTCCAGGGGGGCGAGCAGAGTCAGACAGAGGAAGCCAAGGAAACCGGAGCCAAGCCCAAGCGAGGGGAGGAGGAGTGAGGGGCAGGGTCAGTGCAGATGGTGATGGGGTGGGGGAGGGAGAGGAGGACGAGGACGAGAGGGAGGAGCTCATGGCGGATTATATCGACGAGGAGGAGGTGGGGGTGTCGGCGGCTGTGCTGGCGGGTAGGGGCAGGCGGAGGTCGGAGGATGGAGGGGGGGATGTGGGGGGGAGAGGCGGGCTGGATACAGGCCTGGCGCTCACTGGCGCTGCTCTCACTGTCATCAGGTGTGTGGCTGCTCCTGTCTATTTGTTGGCAATATTTTCATTGTGCTCATTCATTACGCTGCTGCTTTCATGCGTGTGATTCTGTTCTACTGTTCTCCTCTTCCCCTGTGACCGCAACTCTCTCCCCTCCCTCTCCCCCAGGCTCATGGATCGTTACACGCGCCTCATGGGGCTGCTGCCTCCCATTGCTTCCGGGATCTTCGCTGTAAGTTTCCTCCTTGCTTCACTTCCTGTCCCCCTCCCTCTGTCTCTGTCCCCCTCCCTCACTCCCTGGCCCCCTCCCTCACTCTCTGCCCCGCTCCCTCACTCTCTACCCCGCTCCCTCACCCCCTGCCCCCCACCGTCAAACGGTCCTTGTATTGATGCTGTGGAGGCTATAGACATGCAGGTTACTCTCTGCCCCGCTCCCTCACTCTCAGCTCACCCTCCCTCCCTCACTCTCTGCCCCTCCTTCACTCTCATCCGTGCACCTACCTGGGATTGCATCAGCTGCTTGTATCCAACTGTTTCTCCCCTTCCGTCCATCGCTCTTTCGGCTCCTTCTCACTTGCCTCTCACGCACGCGTATACCCCTCCCTACATCACACACACACACACACGCGCGCACACACACACACACACACACACACACACACTAGGGCCTGTGCCAGCTGTTTGACCTCTACCGGGTTTGAGTCTTCCTACTCCCTCCCTCCGCCCTCTTGTTCCCCTCTCGCCTTCCCCCCTCCGCCCCCCCACCCACCATCACACACACCCATCAACCAGGGTCTGTGTCAGCTGTTTGACCTCTACCTCGTGACAGTCTTTCGGCTGTTTGGCAGCCCTGATGCCGTCAGCACCCTGCGCTCCTCCGACCCCGCTGCTGCCGCCCGTGAGTGTTTGACTCTGCAGACCTCATTGATTTGCGAGGCATTTTTCGTATTGATTTATTCATTTATTCATCTATTGATTTCTTTCTTTCTTTCTTTCTTTCTTTCTTTCTTTCTTTCTTTCTTTCTTTCTTTCTTTCTTTCTTTCTTTCCTTCCTTCCTTCCTTCCTTCCTTCCTTCCTTCCTTCCTTCCTTCCTTCCTTCCTTCCTTCCTTCCTTCCTTCCTCCCTCCCTCCCTCCCTCCCTCCCTCCCTCCCTCCCTCCCTCCCTCCCTCCTTTCTTTCTTTCTTTCTTTCTTTCTTTCTTTCTTTCTTTCTTTCTTTCTTTCTTTCTTTCTTTCTTTCTTTCTTTCTTTTTTCCTTCCTTCTTTCTTCCTTTCTTTCTACCTGTGGTGCTTCAAAGAACGTAAGGAGAACGTGTGGTTTGATTGCACCACACTGTTCTCCTCAGTCTTTCTTCCTTCTATTGACTCACCACATCTCTCCTACTGCCTCCGTCATCCCCACTCGAATCACTCCTTCCCATCCTTTCTAACCCCTCCAGTGCCGACATGTACATTCTTCCCCTAAATCACCTCCTTCACTCGCTTCTTCCTACGCCTTCCAACCACACACTCCCCCTCCCCCAGTCCTGACCCCCAAGCTGCGCACCACGCTGGCACGTGTCGCGCAGGGATTGGACGACGCGCGCAACAAGCCCATCTCGTCCCTATCCCCCACCGGCACTCCCTCCGCGACTGGCGCAGCGGCAGCAGCAGCACTGGGAGAAGCAGCTGCCGCGGCTGCAGCAGCAGCAGTGGAGGCGGTGGGGGGGGTGATTGGTGGTGGGAGCAGTGGCAGCTTGGCAGGGGGCGGTTCGAACAATGTACTGGTTTCTTCTTCAAACATGTTTGGACTAAAGGTGAGTGTGCGCGGCACTGGAGCCTGGGCAGTCCGAGGCACTCCTCTGCACCACTACATTTCTTTACTTACCTACCTGCCTTGCCTTCTCTCACGTGCTATTAATTCCTGGAGTGGTGTGCAGTCGTGGTCTCTTACATATGATGCACAGGCAAACCATGCCACGGCCACAATTTTTTCCTTCCACTGTTCAACCTTCTTCACAAATACATTCTTGCAATTACTGATTCACTCATGCAGCTCAAAGGCGACTCTAGAGTCTTTCCTGTATGCAGCTCAAAAGTCTCTCCTGGAACCGCTTATGCAGCTCACACGGACATGCCACAACAAGCACAGCCACTCTCTACTGCTCAACCCCGTGTCTCCTCCTTTCCAGTTCCCTCCCCAAGAGCACTGTGTGGCGGGCAATGGAGTCATTCATTAATGTGGCTCACAGACATGCTGTGTTCACTCGCCTTTTCTCCGCCTACCTCCCTCGCTTTCCCCCACTTCATTCCTCCATCACTCTTCCCAGGAGCGCTGTGTGGCGATAGAGTCGCTGATGTGGCTAACGGACATGCTGCGGCAGACCAAGCCTCACACCCTCCCATGCATTCCTCCCGTATCTCTTCATCCCTCCCTCCCTACCCCACTGACTTCCAACTCCCATCCAATCCCATGCAATGCTCTCCCCAGGAGCGCTGTGTGGCGATGGAGTCACTCATGTGGCTGACAGACATGCTGCGGCAGACCAAGCCGCGCTTCCAGTCGCTGCTCGCCCCGCCTGCCTGGACCGCCATGGACGTCTTCTATGCGCGCACGGTGAGTGCTTGCCCGCTCCCTCCCTGTCTGCCTGTCTCTCTGCCGGTGTGTTTTGAGTCGACTCGAAACACGCCTGCCTGGACCGCCATGGACGTCTTTTATGCGTGCACGGTGGGTGCTTGCCCGCTCCCTCCCTGTCTGCCTGTCTCTCTGCCGGTGTGTTTTGAGTCGACTCGAAACACGCCTGCCTGGACCGCCATGGACGTCTTCTATGCGCGCACGGTGAGTGCTTGCCCGCTCCCTCCCTGTCTGCCTGTCTCTCTGCCGGTGTGTTTTGAGTCGACTCGAAACACGCCTGCCTGGACCGCCATGGACGTCTTTTATGCGCGCACGGTGGGTGCTTGCCCGCTCCCTCCCTGTCTGCCTGTCTCTCTGCCGGTGTGTTTTGAGTCGACTCGAAACACGCCTGCCTGGACCGCCATGGACGTCTTCTATGCGCGCACGGTGAGTGCTTGCCCGCTCCCTCCCTGTCTGCCTGTCTCTCTGCCGGTGTGTTTTGAGTCGACTCGAAACACGCCTGCCTGGACCGCCATGGACGTCTTCTATGCGCGCACGGTGAGTGCTTGCCCGCTCCCTCCCTGTCTGCCTGTCTCTCTGCCGGTGTGTTTTGAGTCGACTCGAAACACGCCTGCCTGGACCGCCATGGACGTCTTTTATGCGCGCACGGTGGGTGCTTGCCCTCTCTCTACCCGCCTTTCTTGAGTCGAACCAAAACATGTCTGCCTGTCAGCCTGTCAGCCTGTCTGCCTGTCTGCTTCGCGTACCCTGTCCTTGCTCGCTCCGCCTGCCTGGACCGCCATGGACGTCTTTTATGCGCGCACGGTGAGTGCTTGTCCTCTCTCTACCCGCCCCATCTTCTATGCCCGCACTGTGGGTGCTTGCCCACTCACTGCCCGCCCTGTCTGCCCCTCTCACTGCCCGCCCTGTCTGCCCCTCTCACTGCCCGCCCTGTCTGCCCCTCTTACTGCCCGCCCTGTCTGCCCGTCTCATTGTCTCTTGGTACAACTTCCTTTCCCTCTCAATCACCCTTCTGACCCCTCCCTGCCTCTCTGCTTCCCTCCCTCTCAGCTGGACGCTGTACCAGACCTGTGGGAGCATGTGCTGCGCACGCTGGTGAAGCTGCTGCTGAACATAGCCGGCACGGCGGACCGCATCGCCGCTGTCAACTGGGAGCCGGCTGACATCGGCACACAGCACAACATGTGAGGTTCATGGGTGGGCTTTTTAGAATTCATCCTCGTTTCTATGATTGTTCTTTCATTAAAAAATTCATGCACCCATGCGTATCGTATCACTGACCATTGTCATCGACAATTCCATCTCCTGCCATTCTCCCTCCCTGCGACCAATCAGCTATGTGGAGAATCTGGTTGCGGAGTTCCGCCTCTTCGCCCACCGCCTGGGGCAGTCTGGAGCGCCTCGACAGGTCAGTCACACACACTCATGCTCCCTCTCTCAGGTTAGTGTCCGCACTCTTCTCACCCAAACCTCATTCTTATTTTTTCCAATGTGTGGTGCTACATGCGTCCTGTCCACACAGGCATTCATCCACTGCTTGATACGTTGTCATGCATGCATGCCGGTAGGTGCAGCACCAGCTGGCGGCGCGGCCTATGGTACGGACGAGCTCTGTCTGTCATGTGAAGTGATGCTAACAGGGTCCTTGTCTTCCATTCATGTATCCATGCTTGCATGCATGCTGGCAGGTGCAGCACCAGCTGGTGGCATGCAGATTGGGCGAGCTCTGTGATGTCATGTCATGCTCAATGGCATCTGCTGAAGGAATTCCCCTAGTCGTCATGTCAAGCACTCACCTGTAACGCCCATGCACTTGTCCATGCATGTGTGCATGCAGCTGCAGGACCAGCTGGTGGCATGCGGGCTGGACGAGCTCTGTGACCTCTTACAAAATGCTTTCTCGAGTTTGTTGAGCATTCACCTGTGACCTTCATGCATGCACATGCCTCTCGCCTATGCATGCATGCTGGCAGGTGCAGGACCAGCTGGTGGCATATGGGCTGGACGAGCTCTGTGATGTGATGCTTGATGGCATCTGCCGGGTCAAGAAGTGCAACAGCAATGGCCGCGCCCTCATGTCCCTTGACCTTCAGGTAGATTCTCATATTCTTTGACCTTGAGGTGAATCTCCCTTGACTTTCAGGTGAATCCTCATGTCCCGTTGACCTTTCAGGTGAATTTCTTGTCGCTTCAGCTTTAGGTACTCAAGTCTCGTTCTGTAGCCAGCTCCAAAACTACCACTCCAGCCGTTTCTGCCCTCCTTTTTCTCAGGACTCCTCCTGCTCCCACTCCTCCTGCTTTGCCCATCTACTTTGCTTCAAAACAACGCGCCCCCCCACCCCCCCTGCACCATGCTTTCATAATCACCCACAGGTGCTGGTGCAGGGTCTGCAACCCATAGTGGGGCGGGGGGCAGTGAAGGGCCTGCAACTAGTCGACAACTACATCAAGGTGTGTGCTCTCTGCTCGCCCTGCTTACCCTGCTTGCCCCGCTCGCCCCTCTCTACCTGCTTCACTCTGCTCTCTCTGTTGCCGGCTGGTTGCGTGGACAATGAAGGGCTGTGACGAAAGAGGGAGCGGCGTTGACATTTCCTTCTTGGCAAGACAACGCTTTTTGTTTGGTTTCTTTCGTCTCATATCGTTGGGCCAAACGTGCATCTTGTGGTTGTGGGTGTGTGTGTGTGCAGGCCTTCTACTTGAGTGAGAGTCAGATTATCGACTGGGTGCGAGCACATCCGGTGAGTGCCCTGCCCTGCTCACTGCCCGTCTCATCGTAGCTTCTTCATCATCATAGCTTCTCCACGTACTGTTGTTACGAGGGTCCTTTGTTTCCTAGTCATACCAGTACTGCTTTTGACTATCCATCCACTGCGTTTGATTTCCATTGATCGTGCAGGAATACACGAAAGCGCAGGTGATAGCATTGGTGGTGATGGCTGCTAATGGCGGCAACTGGAAACTGAAGAACAAGTTTGAGATTATTAAGAAGATTGACACGGGTGATCTGTCATGAGATGTCACTCCATGCTTAGGAGATTTATCCATGTACAGTTGCCTTCGCCTCTTCACTCACCCTGGCATATATTATGGAGGCCTAAGAAGATGTGAAGTAGATATGCATGTGAAAGGGGCACAAAGACAGGTCTGTAACATTGGTATCTCACTTTGGACAAAGTGCATTATGTTTATTAACAGGAAATAATCATTTGGTAAAGCAGCGTAAAACAGCAATCGGGTCTGTTCGCGTTCGGTTGTGATAGCGGATCATCCTAAGGGCGCGTTTCGCGTTCATTCACTTCAGCTCACGTCCCTTTCGTTTCGCCACTTTCCTAATCCTCACGTGAGCCACACGTGCACCACCAACTGGGCGACGCCACGCCATCGTCTACAGATACTGGCGTGGAGCGTGCGGCGGAATCTGCACTGTGGATTCCCCTGCAATCGGAACAGAGACAAGCGGGCCCAGTGGACCAAGTGGACTTCCTATTTCCCTCTAAAACAGTTTTATTCATGACAAACCTCATTCAACCGTTTGAAAACGTGTGAAATCTGGGTGCTCCGGCACTAAGGGCGTGTCTGAAGTGAATTTCGACGTTTGCCGACGAAACTTTCGTCGACGTTCCTTGACGAAACTCGACATCCGTTTTCAGCTGTGTTCACTTCAGACACCCACACGACAAAATAACCCACACGTGCCATAGGAGCACTGTTATAAGTTGCCCATGAAAATTCGACGTGGAATTAACAGAATCATTCATGTAACTCAATTGTTTGCAATCTCGCGAATTTCGCTTAGCATAGATTGTTGCTGGTAACACCGGATATTCTACTGTCACATTGCCAGCGAAATTTCTCTAGCACGTGTCGCTCTCGTCTTAGTTCTTATTCACGTGTGTTTGCCACAGCTATGCAGACATGGCGTGTCGAAGAATTGTTTTTTAAACACTCACTGACTACAGTGACTCAAACAGCTGCCCGGTATCACTGTTCGACATCCCTCGACATGTGCACGAACGTCGAGTTTCGTCGAGGGATGTCAGGCTGCACTTCAGACACCAACACGCGTGGGTCCCACGGATGAGTTTCGTCGACGAAATTTGACGAAACTCGACGTTTGCACTTCAGACACGCCCTAATGTGGCGTATCTTCTTGTCTCTCCGCAGTCGCAGCTGATAGACCATCATATCTCGACCACCATAGCCAAAAACATCGGTACTTGCTTTCTTCAACTCTTGGGCGGGTAATGGTGTACTAGCCGTGGCCTTCCACGCGATACCTTCGTTCCATGGTATTGCGAACTGCGGTGGAAAATTGGAACGAGTCGATAGTAACCGCTCATTAGTTTCCATGGACTTGAACTTAGACCCTCCACCAGAAGATCCTAATTACATTCCAGGAGGATCTGAATCGGGAGCTACCACGGGCGGCATTGTCCCTAGGAATACTACGGTGTCTCGTCTGGAAACCGCTGCTTTTCGCGATGGGGTTACTGATGACTGCGACGTGGTCGCCGCTGCTTTTCGCAATCGGGTTACGGATGACGGCGATGCGGCGCATCCATCGACAGCTGGTCATCATCACCACTATCCCGGACGCGACCGGCTCGATGATTTGCAACCTCCCTTAATCTACCACCGAGGCGGCCAGGCGCCGATCGCGGATAGATCGCAGCCGTTCGACGGCGGTATAGACGACGCTCCTTTAAACCACGCTCTGGTAAACGACGGTGCTGACGCTATTGGTGTTAAGGGTTTTCCTCGCAACGATGCCGCCTCTTCTCCTGACCGCACCTTGATGCGTAACGCTCCGCCGTGTTCGGGGGAGGACTCCGCGGGAACAAACTCCGCGGGGGCGGACTCCGCGGGAGCATACTCCGCGGGAGCGGAGTGCGCGCAAGCAGAGTGCGCGGGGTTTGACGTCGCGCAGCAGGCGCGCGCGGGGGAAATGGCTCCTGACTTCAGGGAAAGCAGCACGGGAAGCGAGCCTGAGCGCAGAGCAGCGCGCGCGTGGAGGGGGAGCGGGCACTTCGCGGTGCTCCCCGACAACCTGTGCGGCAAGATCGCGTCGTTCGTCGTGCACGCTAAGAGCCTCGTCGCCTTCCGCTCCACCTGCTCGTACCTCCGGGTGAGAATCACCGCACCCACGACATGACATGACAGTACCGCAGCGTGAGGACAGCCATGCCTTTTGATAACACGCCTTAGAAGTCGAAGCACTCGCATCCATGACAGTATCTGACAGTATTTCGAGATGAGATCAGACATGTCATGAAGCAGTATCAGTGTTGCACCATCGACAGCCATGGAGGCTTTAGTCCTCCTTCCCTTCCCCCATTCCTTTCCCACACTCACCCCTTCCCACGAATCCCCCTCTCCCCCCTCTCTCCCCCCTTTCTCCCCACCCCTCTCCCACCCCTCTCCCAACTCTCTCCCCCCCCTCTCTCCCCCCACTCTCCCCTCCCCTCCCCCCCTCTCCTCTCCCCCCCCCTCTCTCCCCCCACTCTCCCCTCCCCTCTCCCCTCCCCTCCCCCCCCCTCTCCCCCCGCTCCAGCGCGTGGTGCGGGTGGGCGGGGCGCTGGTGTTCCTGGCGGAGGACTTCCCCCACAGGGAGGCGGCGGAGAGGGGAATCACGCAGGCGCTGCTGCAGGCCACTGCCCCTGTCACCTCGCTCTACGTCGAAGCTCCCCCCGCCTCCGACCCCTTCCAGGTGAGCTGCTCCCCCCCCTCTGATCCGTTCCAAGTGAGCTTCCCCCGCCCGCCTCCGATCCCTTCCCTTCCAGGTGAGCAATGTTTAGCGAAACATGTTCAGTAGGCCCTCCTCACTCCACCTTCAAAGTCAGCTTAGGAGCACTTTTGTAGCTGCTCCTTACCCCTCCTTAACCCACTAGCACCTTCCCCCCACCCTCCCTCCCCCACTTTCCCCCGCTCCACACCACCCTTCCAGGGGCTAGCGGTGATGACGTGGTGCCTGGCATGCCGCGACTCTCTAGAGGAGCTCACTCTCACCTTCCCCCCCACTTTCACCCCACCGTATCCCCCCACCTTCCGCTCATCTCCCCCCCACCGTCCCTCTCCTCCCCCCCCCCCCCCCCCCCCAGGAGCTAGCGGTGATGACGTGGTGTCTGGCGTGCCGCGACTCTCTCGAGGAGCTCACTCTCGTGGACGGCACAGCAGACGCCGCCACACGCCGCGCTCAGGCGCTTGCTGCTGCTGCTGCCGCCCCTGCTGCTATCTCTGCTGCAGAAGATCCCGCAGCAGCTAGAAACGGCACTGCTGCTAGCACCAGCGCCACCACCACCACCACCAGTGCTCCTGCTGTTGCTGGGTCAAGAGAAAGAGAGAGTGAAAGACAGAGCCATGGCTTTGAAATCGGCGGAAACGTTGGTCGGGACAGCAGTGATGGCAATGGCAACGGCGGCAGCAGCGGCAGCGGCGGAAGTGATGACAGGAACGGTGCTGCTGCTGTCACTGCCGCGAGACTCCCCCCACCGCCCTACCACGTCAACAACTTCTACCGTTCAAACGAGCGGGTGGTGGCAGAAGCAGAGGAGGAAGAGGAGGAGGTGGAGGAGCAGCCGCAGGAGTGGAAGCTGGAGCACGCGTCGCGCTGCCGCAACCTGCGCCAGCTCTACCTCGAAAACGCCGTCTTCGACTGCGTCTCCACTCTCCACCGCTGCTCGCCCTTCGCCTCGCTCCTCCACTTGACTCTCGCCAAGGCTGTGGTGGCAGGGGACATGGTGGGGGATTTGTTGGCGTGCTGCCCACGCCTGCAGGAGCTGACGCTGCTGCTGTGCTCGGGGATCGGCCCGCTTGACCTCATGCACGCGCCGTGTGCGGAGTTGAGGAGGTTTGAAGTGAGATTGAGCAACCGTGCAGCGAGGAAGGACGCCTGCCTGGAGCTGCTCCGGCTGAACGCCCCTAATCTTGAGGTACGGATCTGTGGTGGTGTGTGTCGTTCCCTTTGCCTCACTCACCCACCTGACCCTCGCCAAGGCGGTGGTAGCAGGGGACATGGTGGGGGATCTGCTGGCCTGCTGCCCGCGGCTGCAGGAGCTGACGCTGCTGCTCTGCTCGGGGATCGGCCCGCTTGATTTGATGCACGCGCCGTGTGCGGAGTTGAGGAGGTTTGAAGTGAGGCTCAGCAACAGGGCTGCCAGGAAGGACGCCTGCTTGGAGCTGCTCCGCCTGAACGCCCCCAACCTGGAGGCTGGAGGTACAATACGGCTCTGCTGTTTGTCGTGCCCTGAACCCTGAATTTTGAACCCCAGATTTGAAGCCCTAAATATTGACCCCTAGACCCTGAACTCTTAACCTTGAACCCCTAGACCCGGAACTCTCGACCTCGAACCTTGGATTCATTCATTTCTTCCTGCCACTGCCAGGACCTAGAGCTGGAGGTGGATTGGGCGCCGGAGGGGCGGCTTGTTCTGAGCCCTGTTCTTCTTATCTCCATCCCTTCCGCTACTCCACTCCTCTGCCTCTTGTTGCCACTCTCAGGACCTAGAGCTGGAGGTGGATTGGGCGCCGGAGGGGTGGCTGGAGCATGAGCTGTGGGGCGACATTCGCATTGAGTCGGGGCGGCTGAGACGCCTTCCATCTCTCTTCATCCGTCCCTTTTGCTACCCACCAATCACTTGTTGCCTCTGACTGCCAGGACCTAGAGTTAGAGGTGGACTGGGCGCCAGAGGGGCGGTTGGAGCACGAGCTGTGGGGCGACATCCGCATCGAGTCGGGGCGGCTGCGGCGCATGTCTCTTGAGCTGGCTGCTGGCTTCCAGTTCCATGCCAACCCCGATGCCTTCAGCCGACTCACCGAGCTCAAGGTACGGATGTTACTTGCGATCTGATTCAATAGAGCTCTATCCACACAGGCTACATCGACTGACCCGCTGCCAGCCACCTCCATCCACACCTCCCCTTGTCCCTGCCTGTTCCCCCACTCCGTTTCTCCAGCTGACAGGTGACGATTGGAGTTGGGGCACCGTGCGGGCTATTCTCGATCTCTGCGCTCTGTCTCTCGAGGAGCTGTCTCTGACGTGCTACATCGACCCCCTCACAGCCGCCTCGATCGACACGGCAACGGCCTTCTTCTCCTCGCTGCCGTCGCTGCGCTTCCTGCTGCTCTGCCCCTCCGTCTACTACGTCATGATCGCCACGCTGGGCGACACAAAGGTTATCAGGGTGAGTGTGTGCACACATAAGGTTATCAGGTATGGTGTGCGTCCATTGGTGCTCTTCCTGTTGCTCTGCCCCTCCGTGTACTATGTCATGATCACCACGCTGGGCGACACCAAAGTGATTTGGGTGAGTGGCCGCCTGCTGCGTTCAGGCTCAGATCGCGCTCCTCGCAGTGCCGTGAATGTCGCTTCCTGCTGCTCTGCCGTTCCGTGTACTACATTATGATTGCCCCGACGCAAAGGTCATCGGGCACGTGTTTGCATACCAGAGTGGCGAGGATCAGTGATGCCAGGGCTAGGTTCCAGGGCCAGGTTTAGGGCGAGAAAGTGCAGAAAAGATCGGTTGCTGCACTTTCAGCTGCTCCGCCCCTCCGTCTCCATTTGTCATGATTTCTACGCTTGTGAGCACACCCCATGACCCCCTCCCTCCCCCTCCCTCTTCCTCCCTCCCACTCCCTCCAGGCTCCCAGTTTGGAAGAATTCCACGTGGAGTATCACGACCACGCCATGGCAGTCATCGCCTTCCTCACCGCGCTCCTGCGCGGCAGCCCGCGCCTGCGGTGCATCCAGCCCATGGTCACCGTGCCACAAGAACCGGGCACGGACCTGCTGGGGGACAAGGACTTTCGCCAGGCCATTGCCCGCCTCCAGGCTGAATTCCCCCGCGTGTCGTTCCCCTCCGTCTGGCAACTGACTTGACTGCACACGGACAATCCATTGGTGGTAAACCATAAGGCAAAATGCAGCAGCCTTGGAAACGCATGCTACCTACGCACATGGTCACGGTGCCTCAGGAGCCCGGCACTGACTTGTTAGGAGACAAGGACTTTTGGCAGGCCATCGCCCGCCTCCAGGCCGAGTTCCCCCGCGTGTCGTTCCCGTCTGTCTGGCAGCTGACGTGACCGCACGCACTCATCTAGCCCAGGTTGGAAGCAGCTCGCCCGCTTGCCTGCACTGCACTGCACTGCACTGCACTGCATCCAGGCCAGCCCATGGTCACGGTGCCTCAGGAACCAGGGACTGACTTGTTAGGAGACAAGGGCTTCCGGCAGGCCATCGCTTGCCTTCAGGCCGAGTTCCCGCGCGTGTCGTTCCCCTCCGTATGGCAACTGACATAACCGCACGCACTCATGCAGCCTTCTTTAGGAGGCAGTTTTCTCGAGCCGAGTCAAAAACAGGTGGGAATGCTGCCTCAGGAGCCAGCAGTGTTTGAAGAAGTGTTTTGAGACGTCTCAAAACACTTCTTCAAACTCATAAGCGGTGCTGCCTCTGGAGCCTGCACTGACGGCCTGACTGACTGACTGTCTGACAATCTGACCTGCTGGGAAACCATGACAGGGCCTAGGCTGCTGTGGGCATGCCATGGCCCGGTCATGGGCTGATGAAAATGGGTCCTGTTACTATCACGCTGGTGTTCTCCACCCATCTGTTTCGTGCTGGTGTAATCTATTTGTTTACTGTGATATTTATAGAATTTGTGCTTCCCTACACATCTGAGAAGGTGAACTGGACTAGACTGGTGGAGTGCACCCTCTGCAATGAGCGGGCAGTTTTTAGGGGAAAGAAAAGGGCACTAGCCTGGCAAAGGGAAATGCTATGCAAAAGGTTTTATTATTATTACTCTTTGGATCGAAAGTCACCTCGACATAACTCCATGACAAGCAAGCAGCTTTTGAGAAATAATGAGATCAATCCAGCGTTAGTGAATGCGAGCCACAAGGCCCTTGCAATAACTTCGCGCTCTGCTGGTGCGGCAAGAAAGAGAGGAGCCCAGCCCAGCCATAACACGCCAGAGTTATCACTGTTGTTAAGCCCTTGGATGGCTAAGGAGGCGCTTCCAAAAGACAAAAGACTACTGCAGCATGGAAGAAAAAGCCCATCACGAGCCTTCCAATGCAAAGCTTTTTAAAGCGGAGGCCTTGGAGGGAAGGCCCTTCACATGAAGACCACGTCAGCAGTGGCATATGCGAGCCAGAAGGCTGTGAGGATCACGTAGAGCGCTGCTGCAAGGTGACATTTGAGTTGACTCAATGACCAGAAGGCCATAACGATCACGTAGAGCGCTGCTGCAAGTTGACATTTGAGTTGACTCAATGACCAGAAGGCCATAACGATCACGTAGAGCGCTGCTGCAAGGTGACATTTGAGTTGACTCAATGACCAGAAGGCCATAACGATCACGTAGAGCGCTGCTGCAAGGTGACATTTGAGTTGACTCAATGACCAGAAGGCCATAACGATCACGTAGAGCGCTGCTGCAAGGTGACATTTGAGTTGACTCAATGACCAGAAGGCCATAACGATCACGTAGAGCGCTGCTGCAAGGTGACATTTGAGTTGACTCAATGACCAGAAGGCCATAACGATCACGTAGAGCGCTGCTGCAATGGCCGGCACTGCATCAGACAATCAGTGACCGAACTTTCACGAGAGTTAACTCAATCAATGGAAGGGTTTCAAAGGTACCGGTACTCGAAACAGAATCCCTTATGGGAAGACCACGTCAGCCGTGGCGTATGCGAGCCAGAAGACTGTGGCGAGCACGTAGAGCGCTGCTGTGACGGCCAACACTGCATGGAACGACCCCAGCTGCTCCACCATGAAGCCCGTTGCCACCGTGCTTGTGATGCCTGCTAGAGTGCCCGCTGTGTTGGACAGACCTGGTAGGAAGAGCGGGAGAGGAGGTGGAAGGGAGGCAGAGAGCATTAAGAGTGCTGATGTGCCACCCAGCACCGCATAGAATGACCCCAGCTGCTCCACCATGAAGCCCGTTGCCACTGTGCTGGTGATGCCTGCTAGCGTGCCCGCTGTGTTGGACAGACCTGGCGGGTGGTGGGGAAGAGGCAGAGGGATGAGGAGGCGGAGAGGCAGCGAGCAAAAGAATTGGTGCACTGCAGGACACTGTTAGGCGTGATTCATAACAGTATGTCACGTTTTTTAGGCGCCTCAACAAATGCTGCAGCACATTGCTAAGGCGCGATTCATAAGAGTGTTGGTGCTTAATGCACGTATGCGGATGCGGCACGAGCCGAGCAAACAGCAAGTCACACACACAGAAGCAGAGCAACTCATCATGCAAAAGATGGCGTTTGAAATTCTCCATGCATACCATGGACAGATTGCTGCAAACTGCAACTCACCATGCAGAAGACCCACGTGGCGCGGTGCTATGTCCTGTTGACAGGAGGGCGGGGAAGGAGGAAAATGGGGTGGAGCAGGGGGAGGCGGGGATGAGGTGGGAGACGAGGGAGGGTCAGAGAGAGGTGAGTAGGTCGAACGACACAGACTGTGAACTGGAGGAGTGGAGGGACTAGGGTGTGAGAGGCAGAGAAGCCACAGAGGGTGGGAGTTGAGGGCAAGAAACACCAAGCGATGGGTCCAGGGGGTAGGCGGTTGCGCCACATAAGCCTGACAGCACATGGGCAGCGCCACGTGGCACCTCGGGATAAGTGGGAAAGAAGAAGGATACAGGTGTGTAGGGCGCTTGTCTTGTAATTGAGCAAGTAAAATTTCTGCACGGCTGAAGGCTCCGAGCCCAAGTGCAGAAGTGAGCCAGAGGGTGAGAGAGAGAAAGAGGGGGAGAGGGGGAGAGGGGGAGAGCGAGTCGGGGAGAGGAGGAGAGTGGGGGAGAGAGAGAGAGGGTTGCAGAGGTGCCCACCTTGTGGTTGAGGAGCCACCCGGCTTGGCTGAACGCACTGAGGCCGAGAGCAGCAGTGAGGCAGAGGGCGGCGAGGGGGGCGGTGGTCATCTGGGTGAGCAGCAGCAGCGATGCAGCAGGACCAAGGAACCCGGCAGTCTGAGGGAGACAGTGGGGATGAGTGGAGTAGACATGAGAGCAGGTTGGCAGATTGGAGATTCTCTAAAAGAGCGGCAGCGAGTCAGAGGGTGGCGAGGGGGGGGGTGGTCACGCGTGTGAGCAGCAGCAGCGATGCAGCCGGACCCAGGAACCCAGCAGACGGACGGAGATGGTGGGGAGGGGGGCGAGAAGAGAGCAGGAAAGCGGATGGTATAATGCATTAGGGGAGAAGTGGGAGGGCCAGTGTAACAACAACCTGGGGAGTATGGATGGCCTGGTGGACAAGGCAATAGGGACCTTTTGCACAAAAGCGAATGGATGGCCTCAAAACCAGAAGGAGGGGCAGAGGACAGCAAGAGTAGTGTGGAAACGTCTTGGTCCCTCGCCGCATCATTACTCCTTCACAGTACACATAACGTCAACTTGGTCCCTATGTAAGCTGACCACTCACCTGCATGACTTTGCGCACGGCAGTGCGGGTCATGCCCTGTTGGCCTTCCATGCGGTTCGCCAGCTCTGCTGCCAGCAGCCCCGTGCCCGCCATGACCGCCCATGGGCCCGCACTGAACCACGCCGCCTGCCTGATGTCCGTGTGCAGCACCTGCGAGGGCGGGAGAGAGTGTGAGAGAAGGAGAGTGACTGTAAGTGAGAGGGTGTGAGATTACAGGTAGCCAGCCATCCGTGCTTCCAGCAGCCCCGTGCCCGCCATCACAACCCATGGGCCCGCACTGAACCATGCTGCCTGGCGGATGTCCGTGTGCAGGACCTGGTGGGGTGAGGGCAGACAGTGGGAGGGAGAGTGCGGGAGTGAGGGAGTGAGGGAGTGAGTGTGTGACGGTGAGAGTGCGACCAGCCCCATGCCTGCCATGACCGCCCATGCCTGCCATGACCGCCCATGCCTGCCATGACCGCCCGTGCCCGCCATGACCGCCCATGGGCCCGCACTGAACCACGCTGCCTGGCGGATGTCCGTGTGCAGCACCTGGTGGGGTGAGGGTTCAGATTGGGAAAGAGTGTGAGCGAGAGATTATGGGAGGGAGATTGTGAGATAGTGAGCGAGCGAGAGAGAGAGAGAGAGAGAGAGTGTGTAGGAGAGGAGATGTCGGGTGAATAAGAGGGTTCCAGCATCCATTTCCTACATTCAAGAGCTTGTCCAAGACAAGACTAGTACAAGACTAGTAAGCTACGTCACCAGTAAGCTAGGTGCAAGAATGGCCCACCTGGTTGAAGTAGAGTGGCATCCAGGAGAGCAGAATGAAGTCGCCTGTCAAGACGGGCGCTCTTTCAGAATTCACAAAAACGAATTTCAGAATTTACAAAACCGAACTGCAAAAATAGGACTCCATCCGCTTTTAACTAACAACCTACCTGGTTGAAGTAGAGTGGCATCCAGGAGAGCAGAATGAAGTAGCCCTGGTGAGGGGTTGGGAGGAGCAACGGGTGGGGAGCAACGGGTGGGGAGCAACGGGTGGGGAGCAACGGGTGGGGAGCAAGAGGTGGGGAACAAGAGGTGGGGAGCAAGAGGTGGGGAACAAGAGGTGGGGAGCAAGAGGTGGGGAACAAGAGGTGGGGAACAAGAGGTGGGGAGCAGGGGACAGGGAGAAGAGGGTGAGGAGCGAGTTTGAAGAACAAGCGGTGTGGAGCAGCGATGATGAGTCGATGACGATGACGGGGCTGGTATTGAATTGATGGTTGTGAAACTGGAATATGAACAAATATTTCTCACCCAGTTATTGACGGTATTGGCGATGATGATGGCCCATGAGGCCGGGTGCGACAGCAGCTGCCACACCGCCATACAGTGGTGGCAGTGATGATGGTGATGGGGCGGTGGTGACAGTTGTCAAACAAACCCATGCGCCTCTTCTCACCCAGTTATTGACGGTGTTGGCGATGATGATGGCCCATGAGGCCGGGTGCGACAGCAGCTGCCACACCGTCACGCGCGACCCACTGGCACCAACACCACTCTGCATCTTCTGCTTCCCTTCCTGCTGCCCGCCACTCTCTGCACTGGGCGTGGCAGCAGATGCAGCGATGGGACTAGGCGCAGCAGAAGCATCTCCAGGAATGAGGAGCAGCCAAAGAGCGAGCCACAGCAGTCCCAGCGCGCCGAAGAGGAGGAAGGGGCCTGTCAAGCCCAGGCCTGGAATGGCCATGAGGGAGGGAGCGGAGAGCAGCCCGAGCATGCTGCCCACGTGGAAGCCCGCGAAGCAGATTCCCACCGCCCAGGCCCGCCTGTTCTCTGGCACGTAGCTGTGGTGGGGGATGGGGGGACGGGGCACGGGGTACAGGGGTTGTGGTGGAATGGAGACATGGGGGTGGAATGGAGACATGGGGGTGGAATGGAGACATGGGGGTGGAATGGAGACATGGGGGTGGAATGGAGACATGGGGGTGGAATGGAGACATGGGGGTGGAATGGAGACATGGGGGTGGAATGGAGACATGGGGGTGGAATGGAGACATGGGGGTGGAATGGAGACATGGGGGTGGAATGGAGACATGGGGGTGGAATGGAGACATGGGGGTGGAATGGAGACATGGGGGTGGAATGGAGACATGGGGGTGGAATGGAGACATGGGGGTGGAATGGAGACATGGGGGTGGAATGGAGACATGGGGGTGGAATGGAGACATGGGGGTGGAATGGAGACATGGGGGTGGAATGGAGACATGGGGGTGGAATGGAGACATGGGGGTGGAATGGAGACATGGGGGTGGAATGGAGACATGGGGGTGGAATGGAGACATGGGGGTGGAATGGAGACATGGGGGTGGAATGGAGACATGGGGGTGGAATGGAGACATGGGGGTGGAATGGAGACATGGGGGTGGAATGGAGACATGGGGGTGGAATGGAGACATGGGGGTGGAATGGAGACATGGGGGTGGAATGGAGACATGGGGGTGGAATGGAGACATGGGGGTGGAATGGAGACATGGGGGTGGAATGGAGACATGGGGGTGGAATGGAGACATGGGGGTGGAATGGAGACATGGGGGTGGAATGGAGACATGGGGGTGGAATGGAGACATGGGGGTGGAATGGAGACATGGGGGTGGAATGGAGACATGGGGGTGGAATGGAGACATGGGGGTGGAATGGAGACATGGGGGTGGAATGGAGACATGGGGGTGGAATGGAGACATGGGGGTGGAATGGAGACATGGGGGTGGAATGGAGACATGGGGGTGGAATGGAATGGCCATGAGCGACGGCGCGGAGAGCAGCCGCAGCATGCTGTGCCACGTGCCGCCAAAAGAGTGCGCAGCAGCGGAGGGCGTGAGCAGGGTAGACAGCGACCAGAGCGCCAGCCCTGCTGCCGGCACAGACCGAGCCACTTGACAACCCCTGGACACTGGTCGTACATACATACCGTGAAACCATGTGGTTCATGCAGGGTAGGGCAACGCCTTCCCCCAGCCCCATGACTGCCCGCACAGTTAAGAGGGCACCCAACGAATGAGCAGCAGCGGAGGGAGTGAGCAGTGTGGCCAGCGACCAGAGCGCCAGCCCAGCTGCCAGCACGGGGCGCCCGCCGTAACGGTCGGCGAGCGACCCCCCGATGATGGGCGTTATGAGATAGCCCCATAGGAAGGAGGACTGGGAAGGTGGGAAGGGGAAAGGGGGGGAGGGAGGGGGGGAGGGCATAGGTGGGTGAGGGGGGGTGAAGCGGGAATTAGGCATGATGGGCGTTATGAGATAGCCCCACAGGAAGGAGGACTGGGAGGGGAGGAGAGGGAGGGATCGGGGTGGGGAGGAAGGGGACGGGAGTGGGAGGTGTGTGGGTGGAGAGGAAACTGCGATGGGCGCTATGAGATAGCCCCTTAGGAACGAGGACTGGGAGGGCTGGGGGAGGGGAAGGGGGGAAAGGGGAGCCATGGGAGGGAAGGGAAGGGAAGTTTGAGTGGACTTACGAAAGACCCAGGCGATCGATCGAAAGGAGAGGGTTATTCATGTCTTCGATTTGGTTTATTCTGGGGCACCACCAACGCCCCTATCGACTAAACCAAACCCCGTCTTCTCCCGCCTCTCTCTTCCTGTCCCCTCCCCCCCTCACCTGCACGATGCCTGCCACGCTGGGCGGCCAGCCGTTGGATGCGGAGAGCAGAAGCAGCGGCGCCAGCAGCGCTTCTGTGATTATGATCCCCCTTCCTCTACCCCTTCCCTTCCCCCCCTCTCCCTTTCTGCCCGCGCCCTCACCTGCACGATGCCTGCCACGCTGGGCGGCCAGCCGTTGGATGCGGAGAGGGGCAGGATGGCGACGGACATGATCACGCGGTCCGCGTTACACAGCACCAGTGCCACCGCCACCAGCGCCACCAGCGCCGGCACCGCCACCGCTGCTTGCGGCGCTACTGCTGTGGCTGATCGTGCTGCTGGCTGTGATTCTTCTTGTGGCGACGCTGCGGTTCTGTCAGATCCACTTCCTGATTCCGATGCACTAGCTGACGGCGATTCTTGTGCTGCCCCATCTCGGCGTGCATCTTGCTCCGACGCAGCTGCCACGTCAGCTTCTGATTGGTGAGCATCTGACACGTCAGCGGGTCTGTTTCGTGCCTCTTCCCGCGCTGCAGTTGCCACTGCGTTTGAAGATTTGGCCGCCTCGTCTGGCTGGCTGCTCGAGTGTACCGCGTCCGTACGATCGCCGTTTGAATCAGGCGATCCAACGGCTGCTGCTGTTTTTCGGTTACTCTTAGATCGCCACTGGTTTTGGAATGAGCAGCCGCTAGAGAATGACACTGACAGGCAGTGAGAAATGGATTCGGTGAAACGGCCGCGTGAGAAGCTCGAATCGGAAAGGTCTTTCCGTAAAACGCGGCGACTACCATTCTCACGGCGGTTCTTACTGACACCGTGTCCAGCGCCGCGAATTGCAGCGTGGTTTGCGGCTGGGCTGTGGTTGTGCGTTGAACAGGCCAGCGCGGCGTGCGCTAGGCACCCAGCTGGGAGCGCGTTTCCCGCGACGGCTGGCATGACGGCGACCATGGGGATTGCCGCGTCGCGATGGGAACAGTTCGCGAATCAGTGGTATTATTTGGTTCGGTCCGATCTGGTCTGATCTGGTCTGATTCGGGAATGTGGGAGAGAGCAAAGATGAATTGGGGCCGCGCTCTGTGGGCGCATCAGCTCTGATGCGTCTGAGGCTCGGGCTGATGCGCACATTGAGAAATTGAGGTTCGTAACTGACAAAATTGAAATCGATAAATTAAGGTTCGGACGAGGTTCGGACAAGTTTCTCGAAATCTCCTATTTCCAATTTTCCGAACCTCGTCCGAACCTCGAATTTGGCCATGTCAGATCTCAATATCCAATTTCCTCAATTTTCCAAAATTTTATGGGTTTCTAGGAAGTTAGACCGCAAATTTCTTTATGGTGCCAACCAATGAGGGTTTAGGAATGAGGGTGCTCCGCACCAGCTGTGCGCGCATCATGCGACTTCTCGAGGTTGCATGATGCGCGCATCAATGATGCGCCAGATTGCTAGGACGAGAAATTTCTCGTAAATCGGCGACATGTTAAATTTTGGTCGCCGAAAAGGCCGTTCTGCAGGCATTCGGATTTGTTTCGCTTCGGCAGCCATGCGCTTATCGCGAACCTTGATAACCTGTCGGCAGTTATCACGGAAGTATCTTGGAGCCGTGGTAGAATGCATCAATGTACATTGATGCGGGCTGATGCGCCCACAGAACGCAGCCTGGGTTCAGAGGTGGCGGCGAAATCGAGACAGAGCCAATGAAGCAGGAACGCGTTATAAGAATACGAAAATTATCTGGGTACAAAACGGGTTTTTTCAAACCGAATAGTACCCTAAACCCTTAGCCACACAATTTGTTTCATCCAAGTGTACATGGCCAAACTCATACTCAGTCCCACGCAATATACATGTAGGTGCAGACACAAACACTCAGGAAAAAAGTGAGCAAAACAAACGGTGAACAAAAACAACACACGAAAAGTTGCAACTGATTTATTCAACTCCCACATAAACCTCTAAGCAGGATGCATGAGGTCGTTGGGGCCATTGGGCTGGTCAATCGCAGCCAGCTTCATCGTCGCATTCACAAACCTTCCCTTCACACCCGTGCTCGCATACTGCATAAGCGCCACCAACGCATTGCATCCAGCACTCGCCACAAGGGTCGCTATCTTGTAACCCACTAAACACGTTGCAAGAGGTCGTTGGGGCCATTGGGCTGGTCAATTGCAGCGAGCTTCATCGTCGCGTTCACCAGCCTTCCCTTCACACCCGTCGCCGCATACTGCATAAGCGCCACCAACGCATTGTACCCATCATTCGCCGCAAGCGCCTCCGTTGTCAAACCCGCAAAGCTCCAGCTTTGCGTGCCGTGGAGAACAATGACAGACGTGCAGTTCAGATCGCACGGGCTGTTGTTGCTGTAAAGAACCGCACGTGTGGAAGTGACATTGGGCGTCGTCGGCGGCAGGGGAGGAAGCGTGTCGCCATCGTCGTCGCAACACTCATCATCATCTCCACCCTTCTTCCCCTTGTCCTTGCCCTTGTTACACTTGGGTTTGTCCTTTCCCTTAACCTTGCTCTTGTCTTTGTTGTTCCCTTTCTCCTTCTTAGCGGCGCACCCCACGGCAGGGGGCAAGGGGGGTGGTGGCAGGGCGTCCAGCAGGTTGACGTTGAGGACGACGGTGATGGGCTCCTCTGAGGGCACGACCACGGCAAGAGCGAAGCTCGCCTGGAAGGACAGGCCATCGGCACTGCAGTGGGGGAGACACGGAACGGAAGGAACACAGAAGGCAGAAGTGGCAGTGAGGAGGTGGTGGTGGTGGAGGGTTGGTGGCAGGGCGTCCAGCAGGTTGACGTTGAGGAAGACGGTGACAGGCTCCTCTGAGGGCACGACCAGGGCTCCTCTGAGGGCACGACGGTGACAGGCTCCTCTGAGAGCGAAGCTCGCCTGGAAGGACAGCCCATCAGCGCTGCAGTGAAAAGGAATGGAACGGGACAGACTCAGAAGTCAGAACTGGCAATGCGGAGGTTGCAGGGCGTGGAGGAGGTTGACGGAGAGGTAGCCGGTGATGGGCTCTTGGGTGGGTACGACCACGGCAAGAGCGAAGCTCGCCTGGAAGGACAGGCCGTCAGCGCTGCGATGGGGGGGTATGAAATGGTAACGGGCACTCAGAGGGACAGAGTGAGAGGGTGGGTGAGAAGGCGAGGAGTCCCTGTGGGCGGTTGAGTCAGAAGTGGGCAAGTGGGCGGGCAGGGGGTGGCAGGGCGTGGAGGAGGTTGACGGAGTGGTAGCCGGTGATGGGCTCTTGGGTGGGTACGACCACGGCAAGAGCGAAGCTCGCCTGGAAGGACAGGCCGTCAGCGCTGCGATGGGGGGGTATGAAATGGTAACGGGCACTCAGAGGGACAGAGTGAGAGGGTGGGTGAGAAGGCGAGGAGTCCCTGTGGGCGGTTGAGTCAGAAGTGGGCAAGTGGGCGGGCAGGGGGTGGCAGGGCGTGGAGGAGGTTGACGGAGTGGTAGCCGGTGATGGGCTCTTGGGTGGGTACGACCACGGCAAGAGTGAAGCTCGCCTGGAAGGACAGGCCGTCAGCGCTGCGATGGGGGGGTATGAAATGGTAACGGGCACTCAGAGGGACAGATTGAGAGGGTGGGTGAGAAGGCGAGGAGTCCCTGTGGGCGGTTGAGTCAGAAGTGGGCAAGTGGGCGGGCAGGGGGTGGCAGGGCGTGGAGGAGGTTGACGGAGTGGTAGCCGGTGATGGGCTCTTGGGTGGGTACGACCACGGCAAGAGCGAAGCTCGCCTGGAAGGACAGGCCGTCAGCGCTGCAGAGGGGTGTAAGACACGGAACAGGCACAGAGGAGCGCAGCGCTGTTCCTCTGTGCCTGTTCCGTGTCAGAGGCACAGAGGAGCACTGTGAGATGTTTGGTGAGAAGGCGAACAGCGGAATGCAACGGCGTAGAACAAGGGGAGGGGAAGGAGAGAGGAAGGCGGGAAGTCACAGTGAGTTGTTAAGACAGAAGTAGACCATTAGGTGGGTGGGAGTGGGCCAAAAGGCATGGCTCAAGCGAGGCACGACACTGCTGTAGTTGTGCCCAAAAGTGGGATCAGGAGATGGGATGGGAGTGGCTTACGACTGCGAGAGGGAGATGTTGGCACCGCCTGCCATGTAGGAGAGGAAGCGGACCACGTATTGCGGGCTCGGCACGTTTTTTAGTCGACTCAAAAACAGACTGTGACTCACGACTGTGAGAGGGAGATGTTGGCACCGCCTGGCATGTAGGAGAGGAAGCGAACCACGTATTGCGGGCTCGGCACGTATGCTGGAATGGGGCCCACTTCCACTACGGACAGAAGCAGAGGGAAGTGGGGAGAAGGTGACAGGGGGGGTTTCGAAGGGCAGGCAGAGCAGTGCAAGGTTAGCAGTCCGTCAAGGGACGGGGGGAGAAGGTGAAACGGGGGGTGTGCAAGGGCAGGCAGAGGAGTGCAAGGTTAGCAGTCCGTCAATGCTAACCTCTGCCTGCATTAGCAGTCCGTCAATGCTAACCTCTGCCTGCATTAGCAGTCCGTCAATGCTAACCTCTGCCTGCATTAGCAGTCCGTCAAGGAATATAAGGATTGAAGGAGAAAAGGATTGCCAGACGCAAGCTTGAGGTGCAAGCACAACAGAAAAGCGCCATAGAAACACACGCAGGTGAGCAAGAGAGATGTCACAAAGACAGGCCAGGCAATCAGACTGATGATTTATACTACTACTCGCAAGCTCGACCTCTTTTCCAAGAATCACACTGCCCGCTCCATGCTCCACACCCCCACTTCTTAAACTTCCGTGTGGCGTCCGCGCGAAGCTGCGCCATCACGGGGCGCATGGCGCCCTGCGCGTCCTTATACGCCATGACCACCCCGGGGAACGCCAGCGAGTTGTCTGTCAGCTCCCGCTAACCACCACCCCAACCCCCCCACTTACGGAACTTCCGCAAGGCATCGGCGCGAAGCTGCGCCATCACGGGGCGCATGGCGCCCTGCGCGTCCTTGTACGCCATGACCACCCCGGGGAACACCAGCGAGTTGTCTATCAGCTGCAGCAGCGCGCCGTAGCGCTCGGGGTCGCTCACAGGGCTGCTGGTGAAGGTGCCGATTGCCTGCCACACGGACGGCACGGGCTGCACCCACGTGGGGTTGCCCGGGGGCAGGCTGCACCTGAGCGGGTCGCATCCGGGGACGGTTGTGCCTGCCAGCGTGATGTAGACGGGCGGGGCGACGGGGAGAGCTGCGAAGATCTTGTAGGTCGCTTGGATGGTGGCGGTGGCGGAATCGAAGCTGGATGTGTGGTGGGGAGAGGAAGGGGTGGTGGAAATGGGAGAAGACGGGGGGGGAGCGGGATAAGTAGAGGAGGGAGAGCACAAAGGAAGGGGAGAGCGGCGAAGATCTTGTACGTCGCTTGGATGGTGGTGGTGGTGGCATCGAAGCTGGACGTGTGGTGGGGGGAAAGAAGGGGGGGGGAGAGAGAGAGAGTGGAGAAGAGGCAGAATTGGGGACGGGGATGAAGGAAGGTGGAAGCAGCAAAGATCTTGTTTGTAGGTGGCTTGGATCGAGTTTTGAGTCGACTCAAAACTCGACTCATTTACACGCATCTTGTAGGTGGCTTGGATGGTGGTGGTGGTGGTGGTGGCATCGAAGCTGAATGTGGGCGGGGGAGGAAAATGGGGGAAGATGGGGGGAGGGGAGAGGGTGGTAAGAAGAAGGGGGACGATGATAAAGGAAGGGGAGATCTGGCAAGATCTTGTAGGCCGCTTGGATGGTTGTGGTGGTGGCATCGAAGCTGGTGTGGGGGGGGGGGAGAGGGGGGTAACGAGAGGGGGAATTGGGTACGGGTATGAAGGAAAGGAGGAGCGGCGAAGATCTTGTAGGTGGCTTGGATGGTGGTGGTGGTGGCATCGAAGGTGGTGAGGAGGGGAGAGGGGGGTAACGAGAGGGGGAATTGGGTACGGGTATGAAGGCAGGGAGAACGGCGAAGATCTTGTAGGCCCCTTGGATGGTTGTGGTGGTGGCATCGAAGCTGGTGTGACGGGGGGGGGAGAGAGGGGGGAAATGGGGGAGAAGGGGAGGGATGGAGGGGAGGGGAGTCAAGTAAGTCGTGCAGGCCACGTGCATAGGGGAAGTGCTGGGTTGGAAGCTGGTGTGGATAGGGGGAAGGGGGCATGGAGGAAAACGGGGGAAGATGGGAGAGAACGGGGAACAGGTATGAAGGAAGGGGGTTTTGGGGAGGACATATTTTGACTTACCAGGAAGACGGTTGAAGCAAATCGAGCTGTAAGTGCGGCGTTGAAAGAAGGCATGTAAAGCGCGGCAAGGAGGCGAGTTACTCACTTGAGACAGAGGTAAACGACGGCTTTTTAAGCTCCTCAAAAGTCAACTTACGGGCGGCGTTGGCGAGAAGAGGAGGCACTCACTTGACGTGGAGGAGGCACTCACTTGACGTGGAGGTAGACGACGGCTCGCGACTCGCCGTCTACGAGGTGCGCGTAGAGATACGCATCTGCGCGTCCGTGAGGGCACGAGGGGGACGATGGGGGAGAGAGAGTGAGGGAGAGTGACGATAGGGACTCGCCGTCTACGAGGTGCGCGTAGAGATACGCATCTGCGAGTCCACCACTCAGAGGACTCGGATGGGGGCACGATGAACACAATGGGAGCGATGATGGGGACAGATTTTAGCAGACGAAAGCTTTTATTTTCCAAAAGGTGCGAGAGAGGCGAGGCGGGGGAGCGAGCAATGGAGAGAGAGCGAGGGTGAGAAGGCGACGAGGAGAGGAAAAATGCACCGAAACGAGGAGAACAGGAGCAAAATCTCTGGTCAGAACTGGCTTTCAAAATCGGAATCAGTAGACATACCACTGTCTTTCACCCAGAGTCAGTCCTATACGCATGGCATGCGCGAGGAGCGGGAATCAATCCCTCAGAAGACGACGAACGGCGGACGTACCGGCGGCAGAGGCGGCAACGGGCGACGTCAGGTGACTGGCCGCGATGATGACAGCTGCGACGCGCGTCGGAAGAATCGGGGGTGGAGGGGGCGCATGGAGAGAGGGGTGAGAGGAGGCAGAGAGGGAGACAGGGGAGAGGTTGAGAGGCAGTGATAGGGGTGAGAGATTATCCCGAGATAGTGTGGGGTGCTGCTGCTATTACGTGGCCTCCACGTAGCCTCCACGTCGGCTCCACGTGGGCTCCACGTGGGCACCCGCGGCGTGCGAGAATCTACTGGCGTGAGACTACCCATTAAAATTTCGCTGTAAAAAGAAACACCCGCTGAGAGCACGCACCACCGATCACGAGGAGCAGCGGGAGCGAGCTTCGGTACGAGGTTGGCCGCAGCCGCCGCCGCCGGAAGCACAGATTCGAGGGCGTCGCCATGATGACGGTGGGGACGCCGGGGAGCACTTAGTGTAATAACGCGGACGATACGACTCGTACGATGTCGTTTATTGTTGTGTTGCACGATGGCTGTTGTGCACAAACTTATGAGCGTCGTGAATGTAGTAATATTTACTGACCCAGCTTATCGTCCCAATCTGAAGTATTAGCGAGGACGGTCTCTGTCACCGGACACATTTGTGGCAATTGTAGTGTCTGGACCTAATAGTGGTACTAAGGCAGACGCAGGGAGGTTTGGACGAAATATCGCCTAGAAAGTCAAGAATCATCCGATGTAAACCCAAATTTCGTTAGTCAGGCGCGACGACAAAGGTCCTTACCCAGCCCAGATACCAGCTGACAATGTCTTCGCCTGACTCGTCACGTCAGGTCAGGACTCGGGAGTGTGAGTCGAGCTGACCCTTCTGCTGGCATCGCCTGACAGAGTCCCTGGGGAGCGATCGTGCGTACATACGCTCGGAAAGAAAGAATGCGGGGACAAACGGGAAATGGAGGTGGGGGGGGAAGAGGAGGCGGGAGGATGTTGGGGGAAGATGGCGGGAGGGAGGGGCAAGAAGGGGACAACGTAAGGGGGAGGGGAAAGGAGCGAAAGGGGGGAAATACAACGGAGCGGCAGTCTACGCAGTCAATCGGGCAAGAAAGGGAGCAAGCGGCAAGGGGGTGTGGTTGGCGGAGAATGTGGAACTAGTCGGCGGAAACGTAACCGCAAAATGCGGTAGGACAAGAAGAGGTTTCGGGGAATTTTGGATTCTTGCGGTGCGAACTCGCGACTCGGTTTCGAAATGCTTGACGCTTGACTTGCGTTGCTGTGCTGGCTGCAGCGCAGCATCACTGTCAGCTCTGGATTGTGCTGAGTGGACTCCTTGGCACGTGTGCCATCAGCACAGCAACGATCTGCAGCGAACAGACGAGGCTCGTGACTGAGCCGATATTCTGTGTAACAGAAGAGAGATACTAGGCATACCTAAACCCAGAAGGATATGCTTTCACATCCTACAATATCTACAACCACTTGCACTGCTTTAGGGTGCATTCCTGTGGGGACACTTGTGTCTCAATCCCCGTTTTCCCGAGTCGCGCCTGTTAATTTTCCCAATGTTGTGTCACAAACATCGAATGTACCGCGATGTAGGGCGACATATTGGCAGGTTCAGTTGGACACGTTTCACTGGCGGGGATCAAAAAGAGATGTACAGGTGTGTGCATTTGACTGGGTGACAGTACACCCGTATTTTCAACCTCCGAGCAGGGGCGTGGTTTCGATGCGCGGGATCTTTTCCCTCGCAAAATTGGCATTTTCGGATGTCCAGGTGCATGCGGTCGTGTCGGGCATTTCGAGTCGCGTGCGATTCTTTAACAATGACGGGTCGTTTCACAATTCGACAGCGATGTCAGCGCGTTTCACGCTGACCAATAATAAATACAGTACAAGTCGCCGAAAGCCGATTCGCATTTGGGACACAACACAGTTTATGTTGTTTTTGGGTGTCACAAAGTGATTGAGACACAAGTGTCCCCACAGGAATGCACCCTTAGACACCAGAACCAATGCTAAATCAACAAATGAAAATTAAACAGAACTAGCATCCTCGTCGTCAAATCGTGCCTTAATGTTTTGGAGAACCGATGCAACCTTTGTGGCGTTCGCTCGTACGGTATCATAACACCCGCCATGGCTAAACACAAGATGGTAGACGAGCGACGACGCATACGCTAGATGATTGTAACAGACCACAGGGCATCCATCTGGTCTGATTTCCAGAACGGAGGCCTTTTCTGGCATGAAGATGAGGTTGGTGAGTGCTGCCCCATGGCCTGCTACGAAGAGACGCGTGCGCTGAAACAACTCTCGAGCTGCAGCGGGGGAGAGGCAGGAAGGGGTGGGAGGGGAAGGGGACGTGACAGGGAGGGGGGAGACGAGGTTGGCGAGTGCTGCCCCGTGGCCTGCTATGAAGAGACGCATGTGCCGAAACAAACTCTCGAGCTGCATAGATGGGCGTGGTTGGGGATGTATGAAGAGAAGATGGAAGATCAGAGGAGGAGGAGACAAGAGGACAAGTGAATATGCACACCATCCAGCGCAGACAGCAAGCAATGACCTTCTTTTAAGAAGCCTCAATCATAGCCTCCAAAAGAACGATATGCTCACCACTCGCAGCACAGCAGCAGCGCACCTTCCAGCGCAGGCAGCAAGCCGGCGACCGTCTTTTGAGGCACCCCAAACATTGGCTCAAAAGAATGTTACGCGCAGTGCTCAAAACACAGCAGCAGCGCACCTTCCAGCGCAGGCAGCGGGGCAGTGACCTTCACAGCACCTTCATAATCGCCCCAAAAGCTCGGTCTGCCCAATGTCCACATCACACACACAACATCGCACCTTCCAGCACAGACAGCGAGCCGGTGAACTTCACAATCCTCTCATTCGGAAACGCCCTCTCCACCACCTCCTCCACCTCCGCAAAGTTACTAATGGATCGCCTCTTAGCGGGTCGCTTGGCCAGCACCACCACCCAGTCGGGTGGCAGCTCCTGCGCCTGCTGGGGCGACAGCGGCGGTGGTGGCTGGTAGGACCAGTCGGGGCGGAAGAGAGGCAGACCGCGTGGGTGCAGCAGGTGGGTGCGCCTGAGGGACTGCCAGAGAGCCTTGGAGGGGTTGCCACAGGTTTGGGCGATTGGCTGAAGCCAGGGGGAAGAGGGGGTGGTGAGGGGCGGGAGGGAGGAGGAAGAGGAAGGGAGGAAAGGCCTTGAGTACATTGAGAGGCAGGCAGCCTGCATGGGGGTGCAGTGCAGCAGGTGGCTCCACCTCAAGAAGTGCCAAAGCGGTTTAAAAGGGTTACTATAGGTCGGGTGAATGGGGCCGACAGAGCGGGAAGGCGGAGGGGGAGAGGGAGTAGAGGCATGAGAAACAGCTTGAGCGGTGTGGCAGGGAGAAAGCAGGGGGGCTTCTGCAGGTGCAGCACGTGGTTTGGTTTGGTGTGGAGGACTGCCAAAGCGGTTCAGAGGCATAGTCATGCGAATGGGCAATTGGATGAAGACAGGGAGAGAAGTTAGTGGATCGCGGTCACACACAGCAGAGCAGGTGGGGAGTGTCACGAGGTAGAGACCCCTGAGAATCCTCTAGAGGGTTGTGTCACAAGGCAGACACCCTTCACTTTGACTGCGACCTGATTTTGCAGGGTGTTCTTGAGAATCAGAAAAGAGAAAGAGAGTAGCAGGTGGGATGTGTCCCAACGTAAACACCCTTGGCTGCGATTTTCGTAGAATTACAAAAAAAATGATCTTACAGGGTGTTTTTGAGAATTATATATATATATATATGAATGTATATATATGTTTGTACATAGTAGCAGTTGGGATGTGCCCCAACGTATACACCCTCGACTGCGAGCTGATCTGCCAATCACCGCTCGTAGGTGCAGATAAGCAGCAGGGGGTGTGGACGACAGTGCGGAGTGGCAGAAGTAAGCAAGCATGAGCAAGCAAGCACGCATGGGCTACCAGCGCGGATATACCTCGTAGAGGGTTTCGACGAAGAAGAGATCTTGGGCTACGAGAGGCAGCACGCGCATGTCCTCGTAATTGATGCCTATGAGGGCCTCTCCGAACTGCTTGTACACCTCCCACTGCAAGGCACAGAGATAAGAAAGGAAAGGGGTAAAGAGATCGTCAGTAATAGGGAGGCGGCCCTTACATGCCTTACTGCTTGAATTCAACAAGTTTTGTATACCAAAGCTCTTACATGCTTTCAATGTCTATACCAAAGCTCTTACATGCTTTCAATGTCAAGAGGTGGAAGCCAAAGCCTCGACTCCTGCAGGTCAAATAATCTCCTCTTTGCAAGGACTCATTTGTCTGAGTGACCTACGCCTCAAAATAGACGTTTGGTTGGTGGTGGTGGTGGCAAGGACTGGTCACTTCAAATATTGAACCCACCTGAATCCGGCTGGCGAGGATGGGCGTGGAGAGCATGATGCGCGGCAGCCAGCATCGTAGCACACACGTATACAGGCGTGTGCAGGCGTGTGCAGGCGTGTGCAGGCGTGTGCAGGCGTGTACAGGTTTTCAACTGTCAGCTCATTGAACCCACCTGCATCCGGCCGGCGAGGATGGGCGTGGAGAGCATGATGCGCGGCAGCCAGCATCGTAGCACACACGTATACAGGCGTGTGCAGGCGTGTGCAGGCGTGTGCAGGCGTGTGCAGGCGTGTACAGGTTTTCAACTGTCAGCTCATTGAACCCACCTGCATGCGGCTGGCGAGGATGGGGGTGGAGGGCATGATGCGCGGCAGCCAGCATCGTAGCACACACGTATACAGGCGTGTGCAGGCGTGTGCAGGCGGGTGCAGGCGTGTGCAGGCGTGTACAGGTTTTCAACTGTCAGCTCATTGAACCCACCTGCATGCGGCTGGCGAGGATGGGTGTGGAGGGCATGATGCGCGGCAGCCAGCATCGTAGCACACACGTATACAGGCGTGTGCAGGCGTGTGCAGGCGTGTGCAGGCGTGTGCAGGCGTGTGCAGGCGTGTACAGGTTTTCAACTGTCAGCTCATTGAACCCACCTGCATGCGGCTGGCGAGGATGGGTGTGGAGGGCATGATGCGCGGCAGCCAGCATCGTAGCACACACGTATACAGGCGTGTGCAGGCGTGTGCAGGCGTGTGCAGGCGTGTGCAGGCGTGTGCAGGCGTGTACAGGTTTTCAACTGTCAGCTCATTGAACCCACCTGCATGCGGCTGGCGAGGATGGGGGTGGAGGGCATGATGCGCGGCAGCCAGCATCGTAGCACACACGTATACAGGCGTGTGCAGGCGTGTGCAGGCGTGTGCAGGCGTGTACAGGTTTTCAACTGTCAGCTCATTGAACCCACCTGCATGCGGCTGGCGAGGATGGGGGTGGAGGGCATGATGCGCGGCAGCCAGCATCGTAGCACACACGTATACAGGCGTGTGCAGGCGTGTGCAGGCGTGTGCAGGCGTGTGCAGGCGTGTACAGGTTTTCAACTGTCAGCTCATTGAACCCACCTGCATGCGGCTGGCGAGGATGGGTGTGGAGGGCATGATGCGCGGCAGCCAGCATCGTAGCACACACGTATACAGGCGTGTGCAGGCGTGTGCAGGCGTGTGCAGGCGTGTGCAGGCGTGTGCAGGCGTGTGCAGGCGTGTGCAGGCGTGTACAGGTTTTCAACTGTCAGCTCATTGAACCCACCTGCATGCGGCTGGCGAGGATGGGGGTGGAGGGCATGATGCGCGGCAGCCAGCATCGTAGCACACACGTATACAGGCGTGTGCAGGCGTGTGCAGGCGTGTGCAGGCGTGTACAGGCGTGTGCAGGCGTGTGCAGGCGTGTGCAGGCGTGTACAGGTTTTCAACTGTCAGCTCATTGAACCCACCTGCATGCGGCTGGCGAGGATGGGGGTGGAGGGCATGATGCGCGGCAGCCAGCATCGTAGCACACACGTATACAGGCGTGTGCAGGCGTGTGCAGGCGTGTGCAGGCGTGTGCAGGCGTGTGCAGGCGTGTACAGGTTTTCAACTGTCAGCTCATTGAACCCACCTGCATGCGGCTGGCGAGGATGGGGGTGGAGGGCATGATGCGCGGCAGCAGCGGCGCAGCAACGAGGAGCAGAGGCATGGTTTCGGCGACAAAGTGGTAGAAGTTGAATCCGTACGAGTTGCTCCACGTGAAGGCCGCTGGTAGTACATGCACCTGCTGCTGTGGTGTAAAGGATATCTGCGGTGGGGGTGGGAAAGGGGAGGGAGGAGTGAGAAGAGGCGGCGAGGAGCAAAGGCACGGTTTCTGCAAGGAAGTTGCTTAGAAGTTGCTTAGAAGTTGCTCCACGTGAACGTGTTGCAAGTCCAATGGAGCCCCAGACAGCACAGCAGCCATCTCTGAAAATCCAACGTTTATGTGCTGATTCAACTGTAAAAAATGTTGTAGAAGCTGCTTCACGTGAACGAGTTGGAAACCCGTGATTCAAATTCTGGACCTCGGTTCGAATGAGTTGTAGAGGCTCCCCTCACCTCACCTCATTCAAATTCCCCTGCCCCTCGTCTCAATGCAAGCTCCTGCCCCTCACCTCGTTGAACCTGCCACAGCCGGGCCGCACGAATCGGTGCGTGCGGTTGAACACGTAGCCCTTGTCCGTCACATACGCGCCCTTCACCTCAAACATCTGCAGCGCCATGGCGTCCCGCGGGTTGAAATCCTCCCTGTGCGAGCACGTCTCGTCGTACCCATCCGATATATGCTTCCGCGTGTGCGGATCCAACCCCGCCGTGGCGTTTCTTTTTGGGCAGTTCACGGGCGGGTCAAGGAAAACTCGGTCCGGGTCGACCAGGTCCGGGTTCCAGCAGGCCCGGAGGTTCGGGAAGGCCGGACCGCAGGAGGTTAGGGCGGGACACGTGTCGCCGTGGCAGTGGGCGAGGGTTCCCCAATGCGTGTCGTGCTCGTGGTACTGTAGCAGCACGATTGGCCGGTTGGAGGAGTTGTAGGCGAATCCGAGGGGTTCGATGAAGAGATTGGTTCTCTCTGGATGGTTCCTGCAGGGGGGGGGGGGGGAGAGGGAAGTGGAGGGATGGGAAAGAGATTGAGGAAGTGCGAGGGGAGAGGACTTTTGCGCCGCCTCACACGAGCCGAGGGGTTCTCTCTGGATGGTTCCTGCAGGGGGGAGAGAGAGGAGAAGGGGAGTGATCAGGGAGTCACTTTTGAGAATCCTTAAAAAGCTTGAATTTCTCTGGATAGTTTTATGAAAAAGAGAGCGATCAAGGAACGTGATTGGGGAACGAGATGCAGTGATATGAAGCACGCTCACCTGATATGAAGCACGCTCACCTGATACGAAGCACGCTCACCTGACGGGGAGAGGGACGTAGTACTGCAGCTGGGTTTCAAATGCCTTCACGTGTCCCACCATCTGCAGTTGCCTCCGATTATCGCCGGTGCTGTCGCTGTCGCTCGCATCATCATCACGCGAAGAATGATCAGTCGCATCATCATCACGCGAAGGATGATCCGTCGCATGATGGGTGCTACCGTGCCAAGTGTCGTCGATGGTATGACTACGGCCATGGAGGACGTCGGCCTGGAGAAGGCACGCGGGAGGGGTTGCATCGGACACGATTCGGAAAGGTTGGAAACAGACAGTCGGTGCTCTGGCGACAAGCGCGATCGGATGCGACGTGCTTAAAATCCACGCGACGCTGCGCGATGTGATGGTGATGGGGAGGGATAACCACACCTACTGAATCATCAAGCAGTTTCGTGGAAGCAGCACGTCTCGCGCATGTCCCAGCCACGAGGAAAACGAGGTGGAGAAAGAGCTGCGCATTCAAGCAGAGCAGACAACAGCGTACGCGGCCAGGTAATAACGCGAGACGCTTCCTGCTCGCCATTTGATTAAGGATAAGCATCTGGGTGGACTAGAATAAGGATAACTCCCTGAATTCCCACGTTGAGAGCTCATCGCTTCCGTTTCTTACTTATCTCTACGTATGAAAAGCGACAACGATGGGAGAAATCAGGACCAGAGTAGTTGACGATGAGGAGGGCCCTGGACGGAAAACCAGACGACATTCGTTGCCGAACGGATGGGATGGGGGGACGGTTCGGGACGGGACGAGACTGGGATGGGTGTGAACGGCAATGGCGAAAAAAGATGTCAGGGTAAGCTGTACTAATGAGGTGTCACCTCATCTAATCTGCCTGCGAACCAATCCCAAGGGCTGCTGACTCGCCCAATCAGCCTGATCGGCCTGCCGTCATTGGCCTGATCGGCCTGTTCGGCCTGATCTGCCTGATCGGCCCGAATCGCAGAGCGAAACTGCCGAAACCGCCAGGTGGGGGAGATCGCAGGTGATTCCTGTACTCCATAAGAGAAGTCTCATAAAAAATATTGTATCCCTGCAACTCTAATAAACTACTACACTAGGCAAGTCTATTTCAGTTGCTCATGGTCATGTTACATAATAAATAGACAACATTCTAGGGCATTAACCTTTGGCATGATTGCAGTGTGCTCGTCCTAGCTAGCCCTATTCCAGCATTTTTGCACCAAATTGCTTTCAATGGGCAACTAAAAACGTTCTTCCAACAATAAAGCATGAACAATGTGACCTCATAGTGCAGGCTAGTAGTTTTTGGGAGGGTATGTAACAGCACATGTCCAGATAAGGTCCACGTCAGACTCGACAGTGACGGTTGGCGCAACAACAAGGTTTGATGTGCTGACAAGGCCGCCAAACCGCATTGGTGTGTTCGCTGGTGGGAAGGGGAGAAAACATGGGAGGGGGAAGAGGGAGATGAGGGCGGAAGCAACGACGGGTGAGAGAGAGGGAGGAGGAAAGAGAGGGTAAGGGAGAAAGTAGACTAGGTGTGAGATCGTACGCGACACCATTTACAAAAACCACTACAGCTGCAACAACAGGTGCTCAACTCGAACCACTACGCACCCCTTCACACCACTCACATTATTTCCAAATCAGTCTGGTTGTCGTGGTCCCATGGAACAGCTCCCCCAGTGGAGTGAGATCAACCCGCAGTGCAACCCCTCCTGCTGCTACAGCTGCGACAACAGGTGCACAACTCAAACCACTACACACCCCTTCACACCACTCACATAGATTCCATCTCAGCCCAGTCGTCGTTGTTCCATGCGAAGGCTCGCCCACAGGGATCAACCCGCAGTGCGGCCCCTCCCACCGCGGGTGAGGCGTGATGACGTGGCGCCAGCCAGCTGGCAGCAGGAACAGCTGGCAGTCCTCTGACAGCAGCACGATGCTGACGTGGCGGAACCGGTGGAGCACGTTCACGTTCCCGAACTCGTGGTCCATGCGGCCGCCCAGCGACCCCACCACTATCACCCTCTGGTCCGGCCGAACCACCTTTGCTGGGAGGAGGGCTTGGGGCTGTGGTTGGTCCGGCCGAGGCAAAGCAGGAGGTTCAGGTTTGGGTTCAGGTTGGGAGAGGATTCTATTGTGTGGTTGTTGGGCAAGTCCCGAAAAGTGTGTTTCAGGTGCGGAATCAAGCGAAAGAGACGAAGATTCTGGGTATAGAGCAGCATTGTCTGTAGATCCCGTGTTGTTGGAGTTGGCAGTGGTGGAAGGGGTTTGGGTAGCAGCAGTGGATTCGGAGAGGGGAGGGGGAGAAGGTGTGGGAGGAGGGATGGCAGAGGGAGTGACGGAGCTGGAGTGGCCGGTGTCGAGCAGAATCCTGTTGATGCACTTGTGCAGGTCCGTGGTGTCCTGGTCCTTGCTCATATCCACTATCTCCGCGCCCTGTTAAGAGACAGGGCACGGGAGGGATGGGCAGAAAGAGGAAGAGCAGGGATGGAGGGAAGAGGAGGAGGAGGAGCAGGAAGAGGAATATAAGTGCATGCACTTGTGCAGGTCCGTGGTGTCCTGGTCCTTGCTCATATCCACTATCCCCGCGCCCTGTTAAGAGGCAGGGCACGGGAGGGATGGGCAGAAAGAGGAAGAGCAGGGATGGAGGGAAGAGGAGGAGGAGGAGCAGGAAGAGGAATATAAGTGCATGCACTTGTGCAGGTCCGTGGTGTCCTGGTCCTTGCTCATATCCACTATCTCCGCGCCCTGTTGGGACAAGAGAGGCACGGGAGGGATGGGGAGGAGGAGGAGAAGGAAAGGGGTGGGGGGAGGAGAAGAGGGAGGAGGGATCTCAGGGAATGCACTTGTGCGGGTCTGTGATGACCTGATCCTTGGGAATGAAATTCATCAGAAGGATGACAAAAGGGGCCGAACGAGGAAGAGGAGGAGGCGGTGGTGGAAGGGCAGGAAGACGGATATGAGATTGTGCAAATGTGAAGGTGCGTTTTGAGACGATTCAAAACAAGTGGTGGGGGAATGGCAGGAAGACGGATATGAGATTGTGCAAATGTGAAGGTGCGTTTTGAGACGATTCGAAACAAGTGGTGGGTAAAGGGCAGGAAGACGGATATGAGATTGTGCAAATGTGAAGGTGCGTTTTGAGACGATTCAAAACAAGTGGTGGGTGAAGGGCAGGAAGACGGATATGAGATTGTGCAAATGTGAAGGTGCGTTTTGAGACGACTCAAAACAAGTGGTGGGTGAAGGGCAGGAAGACGGATATGAGATTGTGCAAATGTGAAGGTGTGTTTTGAGACGATTCAAAAGAACTTTCAAAACCCAGTTTGTTTTGAGACGACTCAAAACAAGTGGTGGGGGAAGGGCAGGAAGGGGGATAAGTACTTGTGCACTTGTGTGGGTGTGTGAGACCTTGCTCAATCCCACTTTCTCCCCCCTCCCCTCCCCTAGGAGACAAGGAGCAAAGAGGATGATTTTTTCCGCTGGAGTCATCTACTAATGCAAAGGGCACCCTGTGGATGGACGATGCATGTCACAGGGTGCTCTTTGCATTGTCAGGGAAACAGCAGCATCGGCAAGAGAAGACGGGGAAACAAAAGGTTGCAGAGCAGAGGCGAATGGTTAGCAAAGAAAGAAGATACACGCTCGAGTCGAGACTAGAGCATAGCGTAGCACCACAAAGGCAGGTGAGTCAAGTCAAACAAGCACAAATGCATGCAAGAAAGCCGTCAGAAAAGGTTAACCACCAGACACAGCCACTCCTGCTTGCTCCGACGCATCCAAGCTTACAGCAGGAGAAGCAAGAAAATGCGGCATGGCACTCCGAGATTGTATTGTGGTAGGCAAGCACTCACCAGCTGCTAGTGGAAGGCAAGCACTCACCAGCTGCTAGTGGAAGGCAAGCACTCACCAGCTGCTAGTGGAAGGCAAGCACTCACCAGCTGCTAGTGGAAGGCAAGCACTCACCAGCTGCTTGTGGAAGGCAAGCACTCACCAGCTGCTTGTGGAAGGCAAGCACTCACCAGCTGCTTGTGGAAGGCAAGCACTCACCAGCTGCTAGTGGAAGGCAAGCACTCACCAGCTGCTTGTGGAAGGCAAGCACTCACCAGCTGCTAGTGGAAGGCAAGCACTCACCAGCTGCTAGTGGAAGGCAAGCACTCACCAGCTGCTAGTGGAAGGCAAGCACTCACCAGCTGCTTGTGGAAGGCAAGCACTCACCAGCTGCTTGTGGAAGGCAAGCACTCACCAGCTGCTTGTGGAAGGCAAGCACTCACCAGCTGCTTGTGGAAGGCAAGCACTCACCAGCTGCTTGTGGAAGGCAAGCACTCACCAGCTGCTTGTGGAAGGCAAGCACTCACCAGCTGCTAGTGGAAGGCAAGCACTCACCAGCTGCTTGTGGAAGGCAAGCACTCACCAGCTGCTTGTGGAAGGCAAGCACTCACCAGCTGCTTGTGGAAGGCAAGCACTCACCAGCTGCTTGTGGAAGGCAAGCACTCACCAGCTGCTTGTGGAAGGCAAGCACTCACCAGCTGCTTGTGGAAGGCAAGCACTCACCAGCTGCTTGTGGAAGGCAAGCACTCACCAGCTGCTTGTGGAAGGCAAGCACTCACCAGCTGCTTGTGGAAGGCAAGCACTCACCAGCTGCTTGTGGAAGGCAAGCACTCACCAGCTGCTTGTGGAAGGCAAGCACTCACCAGCTGCTTGTGGAAGGCAAGCACTCACCAGCTGCTTGTGGAAGGCAAGCACTCACCAGCTGCTTGTGGAAGGCAAGCACTCACCAGCTGCTTGTGGAAGGCAAGCACTCACCAGCTGCTAGTGGAAGGCAAGCACTCACCAGCTGCTTGTGGAAGGCAAGCACTCACCAGCTGCTTGTGGAAGGCAAGCACTCACCAGCTGCTAGTGGAAGGCAAGCACTCACCAGCTGCTTGTGGAAGGCAAGCACTCACCAGCTGCTAGTGGAAGGCAAGCACTCACCAGCTGCTTGTGGAAGGCAAGCACTCACCAGCTGCTTGTGGAAGGCAAGCACTCACCAGCTGCTTGTGGAAGGCAAGCACTCACCAGCTGCTTGTGGAAGGCAAGCACTCACCAGCTGCTAGTGGAAGGCAAGCACTCACCAGCTGCTAGTGGAAGGCAAGCACTCACCAGCTGCTTGTGGAAGGCAAGCACTCACCAGCTGCTTGTGGAAGGCAAGCACTCACCAGCTGCTTGTGGAAGGCAAGCACTCACCAGCTGCTTGTGGAAGGCAAGCACTCACCAGCTGCTAGTGGAAGGCAAGCACTCACCAGCTGCTTGTGGAAGGCAAGCACTCACCAGCTGCTTGTGGAAGGCAAGCACTCACCAGCTGCTTGTGGAAGGCAAGCACTCACCAGCTGCTTGTGGAAGGCAAGCACTCACCAGCTGCTAGTGGAAGGCAAGCACTCACCAGCTGCTTGTGGAAGGCAAGCACTCACCAGATGCTTGTGGAAGGCAAGCACTCACCAGCTGCTTGTGGAAGGCAAGCACTCACCAGCTGCTTGTGGAAGGCAAGCACTCACCAGCTGCTTGTGGAAGGCAAGCACTCACCAGCTGCTTGTGGAAGGCAAGCACTCACCAGCTGCTTGTGGAAGGCAAGCACTCACCAGCTGCTTGTGGAAGGCAAGCACTCACCAGCTGCTAGTGGAAGGCAAGCACTCACCAGCTGCTTGTGGAAGGCAAGCACTCACCAGCTGCTTGTGGAAGGCAAGCACTCACCAGCTGCTTGTGGAAGGCAAGCACTCACCAGCTGCTAGTGGAAGGCAAGCACTCACCAGCTGCTTGTGGAAGGCAAGCACTCACCAGCTGCTTGTGGAAGGCAAGCACTCACCAGCTGCTTGTGGAAGGCAAGCACTCACCAGCTGCTTGTGGAAGGCAAGCACTCACCAGCTGCTTGTGGAAGGCAAGCACTCACCAGCTGCTTGTGGAAGGCAAGCACTCACCAGCTGCTTGTGGAAGGCAAGCACTCACCAGCTGCTTGTGGAAGGCAAGCACTCACCAGCTGCTTGTGGAAGGCAAGCACTCACCAGCTGCTAGTGGAAGGCAAGCACTCACCAGCTGCTTGTGGAAGGCAAGCACTCACCAGCTGCTAGTGGAAGGCAAGCACTCACCAGCTGCTTGTGGAAGGCAAGCACTCACCAGCTGCTTGTGGAAGGCAAGCACTCACCAGCTGCTTGTGGAAGGCAAGCACTCACCAGCTGCTTGTGGAAGGCAAGCACTCACCAGCTGCTTGTGGAAGGCAAGCACTCACCAGCTGCTTGTGGAAGGCAAGCACTCACCAGCTGCTTGTGGAAGGCAAGCACTCACCAGCTGCTTGTGGAAGGCAAGCACTCACCAGCTGCTTGTGGAAGGCAAGCACTCACCAGCTGCTTGTGGAAGGCAAGCACTCACCAGCTGCTTGTGGAAGGCAAGCACTCACCAGCTGCTTGTGGAAGGCAAGCACTCACCAGCTGCTAGTGGAAGGCAAGCACTCACCAGCTGCTAGTGGAAGGCAAGCACTCACCAGCTGCTAGTGGAAGGCAAGCACTCACCAGCTGCTTGTGGAAGGCAAGCACTCACCAGCTGCTTGTGGAAGGCAAGCACTCACCAGCTGCTTGTGGAAGGCAAGCACTCACCAGCTGCTAGTGGAAGGCAAGCACTCACCAGCTGCTAGTGGAAGGCAAGCACTCACCAGCTGCTTGTGGAAGGCAAGCACTCACCAGCTGCTAGTGGAAGGCAAGCACTCACCAGCTGCTTGTGGAAGGCAAGCACTCACCAGCTGCTTGTGGAAGGCAAGCACTCACCAGCTGCTTGTGGAAGGCAAGCACTCACCAGCTGCTTGTGGAAGGCAAGCACTCACCAGCTGCTTGTGGAAGGCAAGCACTCACCAGCTGCTTGTGGAAGGCAAGCACTCACCAGCTGCTAGTGGAAGGCAAGCACTCACCAGCTGCTTGTGGAAGGCAAGCACTCACCAGCTGCTAGTGGAAGGCAAGCACTCACCAGCTGCTAGTGGAAGGCAAGCACTCACCAGCTGCTAGTGGAAGGCAAGCACTCACCAGCTGCTAGTGGAAGGCAAGCACTCACCAGCTGCTAGTGGAAGGCAAGCACTCACCAGCTGCTAGTGGAAGGCAAGCACTCACCAGCTGCTAGTGGAAGGCAAGCACTCACCAGCTGCTAGTGGAAGGCAAGCACTCACCAGCTGCTTGTGGAAGGCAAGCACTCACCAGCTGCTTGTGGAAGGCAAGCACTCACCAGCTGCTTGTGGAAGGCAAGCACTCACCAGCTGCTAGTGGAAGGCAAGCACTCACCAGCTGCTTGTGGAAGGCAAGCACTCACCAGCTGCTAGTGGAAGGCAAGCACTCACCAGCTGCTAGTGGAAGGCAAGCACTCACCAGCTGCTAGTGGAAGGCAAGCACTCACCAGCTGCTTGTGGAAGGCAAGCACTCACCAGCTGCTTGTGGAAGGCAAGCACTCACCAGCTGCTTGTGGAAGGCAAGCACTCACCAGCTGCTTGTGGAAGGCAAGCACTCACCAGCTGCTTGTGGAAGGCAAGCACTCACCAGCTGCTTGTGGAAGGCAAGCACTCACCAGCTGCTAGTGGAAGGCAAGCACTCACCAGCTGCTTGTGGAAGGCAAGCACTCACCAGCTGCTAGTGGAAGGCAAGCACTCACCAGCTGCTAGTGGAAGGCAAGCACTCACCAGCTGCTAGTGGAAGGCAAGCACTCACCAGCTGCTTGTGGAAGGCAAGCACTCACCAGCTGCTTGTGGAAGGCAAGCACTCACCAGCTGCTAGTGGAAGGCAAGCACTCACCAGCTGCTTGTGGAAGGCAAGCACTCACCAGCTGCTAGTGGAAGGCAAGCACTCACCAGCTGCTTGTGGAAGGCAAGCACTCACCAGCTGCTTGTGGAAGGCAAGCACTCACCAGCTGCTTGTGGAAGGCAAGCACTCACCAGCTGCTTGTGGAAGGCAAGCACTCACCAGCTGCTTGTGGAAGGCAAGCACTCACCAGCTGCTTGTGGAAGGCAAGCACTCACCAGCTGCTAGTGGAAGGCAAGCACTCACCAGCTGCTAGTGGAAGGCAAGCACTCACCAGCTGCTAGTGGAAGGCAAGCACTCACCAGCTGCTTGTGGAAGGCAAGCACTCACCAGCTGCTTGTGGAAGGCAAGCACTCACCAGCTGCTTGTGGAAGGCAAGCACTCACCAGCTGCTTGTGGAAGGCAAGCACTCACCAGCTGCTTGTGGAAGGCAAGCACTCACCAGCTGCTTGTGGAAGGCAAGCACTCACCAGCTGCTTGTGGAAGGCAAGCACTCACCAGCTGCTTGTGGAAGGCAAGCACTCACCAGCTGCTTGTGGAAGGCAAGCACTCACCAGCTGCTTGTGGAAGGCAAGCACTCACCAGCTGCTAGTGGAAGGCAAGCACTCACCAGCTGCTAGTGGAAGGCAAGCACTCACCAGCTGCTTGTGGAAGGCAAGCACTCACCAGCTGCTTGTGGAAGGCAAGCACTCACCAGCTGCTTGTGGAAGGCAAGCACTCACCAGCTGCTTGTGGAAGGCAAGCACTCACCAGCTGCTTGTGGAAGGCAAGCACTCACCAGCTGCTAGTGGAAGGCAAGCACTCACCAGCTGCTTGTGGAAGGCAAGCACTCACCAGCTGCTAGTGGAAGGCAAGCACTCACCAGCTGCTTGTGGAAGGCAAGCACTCACCAGCTGCTAGTGGAAGGCAAGCACTCACCAGCTGCTAGTGGAAGGCAAGCACTCACCAGCTGCTAGTGGAAGGCAAGCACTCACCAGCTGCTAGTGGAAGGCAAGCACTCACCAGCTGCTAGTGGAAGGCAAGCACTCACCAGCTGCTAGTGGAAGGCAAGCACTCACCAGCTGCTTGTGGAAGGCAAGCACTCACCAGCTGCTTGTGGAAGGCAAGCACTCACCAGCTGCTTGTGGAAGGCAAGCACTCACCAGCTGCTAGTGGAAGGCAAGCACTCACCAGCTGCTTGTGGAAGGCAAGCACTCACCAGCTGCTAGTGGAAGGCAAGCACTCACCAGCTGCTAGTGGAAGGCAAGCACTCACCAGCTGCTAGTGGAAGGCAAGCACTCACCAGCTGCTTGTGGAAGGCAAGCACTCACCAGCTGCTTGTGGAAGGCAAGCACTCACCAGCTGCTTGTGGAAGGCAAGCACTCACCAGCTGCTTGTGGAAGGCAAGCACTCACCAGCTGCTTGTGGAAGGCAAGCACTCACCAGCTGCTAGTGGAAGGCAAGCACTCACCAGCTGCTAGTGGAAGGCAAGCACTCACCAGCTGCTAGTGGAAGGCAAGCACTCACCAGCTGCTTGTGGAAGGCAAGCACTCACCAGCTGCTTGTGGAAGGCAAGCACTCACCAGCTGCTAGTGGAAGGCAAGCACTCACCAGCTGCTAGTGGAAGGCAAGCACTCACCAGCTGCTTGTGGAAGGCAAGCACTCACCAGCTGCTTGTGGAAGGCAAGCACTCACCAGCTGCTTGTGGAAGGCAAGCACTCACCAGCTGCTTGTGGAAGGCAAGCACTCACCAGCTGCTTGTGGAAGGCAAGCACTCACCAGCTGCTTGTGGAAGGCAAGCACTCACCAGCTGCTTGTGGAAGGCAAGCACTCACCAGCTGCTTGTGGAAGGCAAGCACTCACCAGCTGCTTGTGGAAGGCAAGCACTCACCAGCTGCTTGTGGAAGGCAAGCACTCACCAGCTGCTTGTGGAAGGCAAGCACTCACCAGCTGCTTGTGGAAGGCAAGCACTCACCAGCTGCTTGTGGAAGGCAAGCACTCACCAGCTGCTAGTGGAAGGCAAGCACTCACCAGCTGCTAGTGGAAGGCAAGCACTCACCAGCTGCTAGTGGAAGGCAAGCACTCACCAGCTGCTAGTGGAAGGCAAGCACTCACCAGCTGCTTGTGGAAGGCAAGCACTCACCAGCTGCTAGTGGAAGGCAAGCACTCACCAGCTGCTTGTGGAAGGCAAGCACTCACCAGCTGCTTGTGGAAGGCAAGCACTCACCAGCTGCTAGTGGAAGGCAAGCACTCACCAGCTGCTAGTGGAAGGCAAGCACTCACCAGCTGCTAGTGGAAGGCAAGCACTCACCAGCTGCTAGTGGAAGGCAAGCACTCACCAGCTGCTTGTGGAAGGCAAGCACTCACCAGCTGCTAGTGGAAGGCAAGCACTCACCAGCTGCTAGTGGAAGGCAAGCACTCACCAGCTGCTTGTGGAAGGCAAGCACTCACCAGCTGCTTGTGGAAGGCAAGCACTCACCAGCTGCTTGTGGAAGGCAAGCACTCACCAGCTGCTTGTGGAAGGCAAGCACTCACCAGCTGCTAGTGGAAGGCAAGCACTCACCAGCTGCTTGTGGAAGGCAAGCACTCACCAGCTGCTTGTGGAAGGCAAGCACTCACCAGCTGCTTGTGGAAGGCAAGCACTCACCAGCTGCTTGTGGAAGGCAAGCACTCACCAGCTGCTTGTGGAAGGCAAGCACTCACCAGCTGCTAGTGGAAGGCAAGCACTCACCAGCTGCTAGTGGAAGGCAAGCACTCACCAGCTGCTAGTGGAAGGCAAGCACTCACCAGCTGCTAGTGGAAGGCAAGCACTCACCAGCTGCTAGTGGAAGGCAAGCACTCACCAGCTGCTAGTGGAAGGCAAGCACTCACCAGCTGCTTGTGGAAGGCAAGCACTCACCAGCTGCTTGTGGAAGGCAAGCACTCACCAGCTGCTTGTGGAAGGCAAGCACTCACCAGCTGCTTGTGGAAGGCAAGCACTCACCAGCTGCTTGTGGAAGGCAAGCACTCACCAGCTGCTTGTGGAAGGCAAGCACTCACCAGCTGCTAGTGGAAGGCAAGCACTCACCAGCTGCTAGTGGAAGGCAAGCACTCACCAGCTGCTAGTGGAAGGCAAGCACTCACCAGCTGCTAGTGGAAGGCAAGCACTCACCAGCTGCTTGTGGAAGGCAAGCACTCACCAGCTGCTAGTGGAAGGCAAGCACTCACCAGCTGCTTGTGGAAGGCAAGCACTCACCAGCTGCTTGTGGAAGGCAAGCACTCACCAGCTGCTTGTGGAAGGCAAGCACTCACCAGCTGCTAGTGGAAGGCAAGCACTCACCAGCTGCTTGTGGAAGGCAAGCACTCACCAGCTGCTAGTGGAAGGCAAGCACTCACCAGCTGCTAGTGGAAGGCAAGCACTCACCAGCTGCTTGTGGAAGGCAAGCACTCACCAGCTGCTTGTGGAAGGCAAGCACTCACCAGCTGCTTGTGGAAGGCAAGCACTCACCAGAGTATTCTAAAAGATGACTCAAACTGTTAGACATGTTCATGATGCTGCAGGGTGTTTTTGAGAAGCCTCAAAAACACCCTGCAGCGAGAATGGGCCACAGCACCTCCGAGAATGTGCTGCAGCACTCACGAGCTGCTTGTAGAAGGCGAGCACTCACGAGCTGCTTGTAGAAGGCGAGCACTCACGAGCTGCTTGTAGACGGCGAGCACTCACGAGCTGCTTGTAGAAGGCGAGCACTTGGGGGCGCGCCGAGTCCAAATCGCCCTTGATTATGTGCGGCACGAACCTGAGGGTGGATGGCGGTGGGGGGCGAACCAGGGGGGGCGGGGAGGGAGGAGAGGGGTAGGTAGGAACAAACTTCAGTCGACTCTACTGTCTCAGTGGGCGAGCACTTGGGGGCGCGGCGCGCCAAGTCCAGATCGACCGCCCTTGATGATGTGCGGCACGAACCTGGGGGTGGACGGCGGTGGGGGGCAAATGGTGGGAGGGGGAACAAACTTACGAGGCGACTCTAGAACTTGCGTCTGTGGGCGAGCACTTGGGGGCGCGCAGAGTCCAGATCGCCCTTGATTATGCGCGGCACAAACCTGGGAGGGTTTGGGCAAGTGGGAAATGTGAGAAAATGGGGAGGCGGGGCAGGAGGAGGAGGAGGAGGAGGAGGAGGAGGAGGAGGAGGAGGAGGAGGAGGAGGAGGAGGAGGAGGAGGAGGAGGATATGTGCGGTGAAGTGAAGATGGAAGAAACAGATGGGGAGGGGGGAGAGAAGGAGAGAAGGAGAGAAGGAGAGAAGGAGAGAAGGAGAGAAGGCATCAGGAGGGGGACACGGCAAGGACAGCATTGTCAGGGCAAGGGCGGAAGGAGTGGAGTATAGGGAGGGGGGGATGGGGTGGGTGGCATGGGGAGGGAGCATGGGGTGGTGTGGATGGGGAGGGGAGGGGCATGCGGTGGGAGGGATGGGAAGGGGGGAAAGACTTTTGAGGCGCCTCAAAAGGAAGGGGGGAAAGCACGGGGTGGGGAGGCTGCGGGGACGACCTGGAGCAAGCATGAAAGAGGAGGGAGGAGGGGGGGGAAGGGGGGGGATGGTGCGCACCTTCGTCTGACGTCATCAGGGTCCTCCCCCGGGAACATTCCTGGAAGCTCGTCGTACAGGCGGTTCACTCCGCCATCCGCGCACAGCCGCAGCGACCCCGCTGGTAGGGGGAGAGTGAAGCGGGGAGGAGGTAGATACGGGGAGGTCATGGGGAGAAACGAGGAGAAACGGGGGAGAAAGAGGAGACGGAAGAGCAAGGGGAGATGGGGAAGGAGAGAGGGGCGTGGGCTGTCTGCTACGTGGCGTGGGTTGTCTGCTCCGAGTTACGACCAGAAGCTGCGCTGATCGCGTGTGCTGCGAACAGCTCAGCTCGTCGCACAGCTCCCCGGCATTGGCGAAGCGTCAACGAAAGCCCGCTTCTATTAGGTAACCCTGTTCGCCTAGAAAGGCGATATTTCGCTCCCGGGGAGAGCAGCGACGCGGCGCACCTTGCTGCCAGAGAATCGGCGTGAAAGCCGGGAGCTTGAAGTTCAAGATGACTAGAGACGTATTTGGTTGGGCTTTAATCTCCTCGCGCTTCCCGTCGACGATCGCAAGATCCGATTCATGGAGGACATAGTCGCTGACGTGGACAGCTTCTGGGAGCGAGCTCGAAAACTCGCCTAGAGCCGCCGCCGCGGCACATCCGCTAGTGCCACGTCGCATGGCGGAGGGGCTTCGCGGGGAAGGCGCGCGGGGAAGCCGCCAGAGCGGGGTAGCGGAGTGTGCGACTGTGGCGGAAAGGCGTGGCTTTGGCGCTGCATACGCGGAATGCGCAGAGAACGGAACCCCGCGCGGTTGTGCGGAAGCGGTGATCTTGCGCGATGAATCACGCACGCTGGTGGTTCCGAGGCTGATCCTCGCGATTGTCGTAGTGCTGGTTACCACTTTCGTTCGGCAGTTGGTGGCTGTCTTGGAGGATGAGATAGCGATGCGGCGGAACCCGTCAGAGAGTGTGCGAAAAGTGGCGAGGTTGGAGCGGCGAGAGCAGAGGAATAGACGAAGCATAGTGTAAGGGAAGGGACCCACCTAAAGCGTGTGGCCGGACTGTTGATGCCAGTGGCGATTGGAACAAAGTGGCGGCCAAGTGACGCCCCTTCGGGCCAAGTGACGCCCGTTCGGCTAAGTGGCGTTCAGGTAAGTGTACACCTGAGGGACCAAGGCGCGTTCGAGAAAGTTCGGGATTCGGTCGTGAGGAGTGTTCACCGAATTCGGTTCGGTTGCGTGTGCGACTAGGGGTGAAACGAGGCGCACGCGGTTACTTGGGAAACAAGTGAAGTTACGAATCGCATTTTGTGTCTTGCTTGACTATAAACCTGTTTGTACTCATTCTGGAAATACAACATTGTTAGGGTTGGTTCGCCCAACCACGGAACCTAAGGCGAAAGCATCTACGACGGCGGAATGACGGCGAAATGGAAGCGCGTGTGTGAAACGGTGGAAATCGGCCTACGGTGGGGAATAGAGGCTACGGCGTGAGAAGCGGGAGAGAAATCGAGAAGAAATGTGCTAGAAGGAGGGAGAGAGAAGGAGAAGCATCGAGAATGAGATTGACGAGGGGAAAAATGTGCTTCGAGACCAAGGCGCGTTCGAGAAAGTTCGGGATTCGGACTTGCGGAGTGTTCACCGAATTCGGTTCGGTTGCGTGTGCGACTAGGGGTGAAACGAGGCGCACGCGGTTACTTGGGAAACAAGTGAAGTTACGAATCGCATTTTGTGTCTTGCTTGACTATAAACCTGTTTGTACTCATTCTGGAAATACAACATTGATACCAATCAGATTCTGAAAATTGCTGAAGTGTGTATTGACAACTTCAAGCAGGGCTGCGCATATCATTGGATTCGGGAGATCGTGGAGAACACGATAGGCGATAGCAAGTAGACTATTGCCGACTAAGGTGCTTACGATCCTGAGAACTGGTATCAGAGCTGGTTTAAGTGGCGTTTAAGCATTCTTAAGTGCAGAGCGAAGCTTTCGAGATGGTCGGCGGACAATCGGAAGCTAGTTCGGGCTCCTCTGTGAGTATTGGAGATCCCCAAGTGAAGGCACTTCTAGAAATGCTAGCGCAAGGAGGGGTGGTGACAAAGCCCACCATGGGGCTCAGTGAAGCCCAACGATTCCACGGCCAACACTACAGCACGTGGAGATTGAAGTTCATAAGGAGGGCGAAGGAAGTCGGTTTTTGGGAGTACTACCGACCGGATGGAGAAGGTGACGCAGCCGCGCGTAAGGCGAGATCGGATGAAGAAAAGGCGGAATACAAGAAGAGGAGTAAGCATGCGTTTTTCAGTTATGTCATTCCGTTGCAGACGGAATTGCAGTGGGTCTTGATGGTTTTGCAGAGCTTGAGAACTCTGCACAAGCGGCATGGGCGTACATGGAGTCTACATACCTCGGGCACATGGACGCGAATATCGCCGATGTGAGGAAGAAGTTGCTGCTGATGAACATGGAGCCGAACCAGAAGATTATTGACTATGTCAACATGGCGAGGAGCTACAACGACGACTTAACTGCGATGGGCGAGCCGGAAACCGAGCGGGCGATGATCGGGCACATCATCAACGGTCTACCGGAAGATTGGTCGGGTGAGCGGTCGGCGTTGATCTGCCACCCACCGGAGAATATGACGAAGCTTATTGCCATGCTTCAGGCGTTGGAGCGAGCAAGAGAGCATCAGAAGCGACGGGAGAAGTTTACAAGGGGCTTTGTGGAGGAGAAGCCTGCGTTGGTGAATGCGGCAGCTGCTGGAAGGAGCTCGGGAGCGTGCTACCAGTGTGGACAACTCGGGCATCGTGCGTTTGAGTGTGTGGAGAACCCGAGGAGTAGAAACTACAAAGGGAACGGTGCGGGATGGAGTGGTGGACAGCAACACGGAAGGTTCAATGGTGCGTGCCATAACTGCAAGAAAATTGGGCATCGTGCAATTGATTGTTACTTGAATCCCAACGGCCGTAACTACAAAGGACCGTTGAAGCAGGAGCAGCAGCAGAACGTGGAGGCCAAGGCTAACGTGGCGGAAGCGGAGAAGGAAGAAGAGGATCCGATTTTGGGGGGAGCACATCTTGCGAACGTGGTGCGTTTACCAATGGAGGTTCGGCAGACGGACGGACGTGAGAAGACGACATGGTTCATGGACAGCGGATGCACGCGTCACATGACATTCAGGTCAGATTGGATGGAGAATGTGAGGGAGTCGAGTGAGGATTATATACTGCAAGGTAACAGTGGAAAGTTACCAGTGACAGGAGAGGGTGACGTGGTGCTGCGGAGTCCGTATGGAGTAGTGAAACTGGAGAGTGTGTTGCTGGTTGCGGATTTGAAGGTGAACTTGGTCAGTCAGTCACAGCTTGATGACTTGGGGTGCAAGATATTCTATGACAGTGGTGAGGTGACTGTGTTTGGTCCTGAGTGGGAGAAGTATGCTGATGGTTACTTCAGTGACGGGTTCTATGAGATGAACTTGGTCGCGACGAATGATATGGATGAGATCTATGAGGATCCTGAGTATGGTGAGATGGGAGAACTGGAGGAGTTATTGACTAAGGTTGATAAGAGCGAGGACACGGATGATACGGGAGCGAGTGTGGAGGCAGCAGTGAAGCAGGAAGAGGAGATAGTGATCACGGATGCATCAGCAGTAAACGGTGGAGATGGAGACGATGTCAACACTTTTGCAGTAGCGATCGTGGTTGAAGATGAAGCAGTAAATGCGAAGTATGTGGGAGTTGAAGCTGTGAAAGGGGACATCATGGTGAAAGGATCAAAGGCGAATGCAACTGCAAAGGGGCAAGTGCTTAAGGAGGATGAACGCGTTGAAGGGTACGAGACCCGAGAGGTGTTGGGTGTAAAGATGCCGAGGAGAAGCGAGAGACATAAGAAAATCTCTCAAGGTTTGGATGTCAAGGCGCTCAACTACAAGACACATAAGCAGAGGTTCAAGGTGCAGGAGCTGCAGGGGAGCGTGAAGCCGACTTAGACCCTGTGAAGGCTACAAGGAGCAGGGGAGCAGTGCGAGTGGTGTTCGTGGTTGACGAACCACAGGGGAGATTGGTAGGGTTGGTTCGCCCAACCACGGAACCTAAAGGGTTGGTTCGCCCAACCACGGAACCTAAGGCGAAAGCATCTACGACGGCGGGATGACGGCGAAATGGAAGCGCGTGTGTGAAACGATGGAAATCGGCCTACGGTGGGGAATAGAGGCTACTGCGTGAGAAGCGGGAGAGAAATCGAGAAGAAATGTGCTAGAAGGAGGGAGAGAGAAGGAGAAGCATCGAGAATGAGATTGACGAGGGGAAAAATGTGCTTCGAGACCAAGGCGCGTTCGAGAAAGTTCGGGATTCGGACTTGCGGAGTGTTCACCGAATTCGGTTCGGTTGCGTGTGCGACTAGGGGTGAAACGAGGCGCACGCGGTTACTTGGGAAACAAGTGAAGTTACGAATCGCATTTTGTGTCTTGCTTGACTATAAACCTGTTTGTACTCATTCTGGAAATACAACATTGATACCAATCAGATTCTGAAAATTGCTGAAGTGTGTATTGACAACTTCAAGCAGAGCTGCGCATATCATTGGATTCGGGAGATCGTGGAGAACACGATAGGCGATAGCAAGTAGACTATTGCCGACTAAGGTGCTTACGATCCTGAGAGTCTTGGAGGATGAGATAGCGATGCGGCGGAACCCGTCAGAGAGTGTGCGAAAAGTGGCGAGGTTGGAGCGGCGAGAGCAGAGGAATAGACGAAGCATAGTGTAAGGGAAGGGACCCACCTAAAGCGTGTGGCCGGACTGTTGATGCCAGTGGCGATTGGAACAAAGTGGCGGCCAAGTGACGCCCCTTCGGGCCAAGTGACGCCCGTTCGGCTAAGTGGCGTTCAGGTAAGTGTACACCTGAGGGTGAAAAAGGAACTACTTATCTTCTATTACCTTCCAGCTCACTTACGCCTGACTTCCTGGCTGCCAAACCAATCCAGCCAGAAACAAAAATCACAGAAGCTGATATCATAGGTGGGTAGAATGCATCCTTCAGGTGGCTTTAATATTATTTAACACTTATTCTGTGCGCTCACATTTTGAAATCACAATCTTGCTATGATTTTTTCCGTGCGTTCTGGTACACCTCATACCAAGCTGGAAAGCTACTTTCGGGTTTACAATATCGGGGATGCTGCTCTGGAAGGCTGCAAATGTAGGGTGTCGTACAGTACTATTGGACGACACCTGAATCACGACTCCATCAGATGGGCACTGCCTGAGCCCACCTGGGCGGACACATGAAAAGCTTGCTGAAGGGGTGCCTGCGTTGCATTCGAAAGATCTGGCGAAATTCTCGACAACACGACGCGAGACGACACATTGACACACGAGGCTGTGCGACCGCGATGCTGGCTTGACTGTTCACGTGCCGCGCAAATCGTACTGGTCATAAATTGTGAATCCAGCTGGGACATCGTGTTGACGTCTGCTTCTTCCATGGTCATTCGGTGGGGGTATAAATTTGCTGTTAACAAAAAGATGTATTTTTTGAAGCGTGCTGGTTTTGTTTTTCCCACAGACAGGAGAACTCTACCTAGTGGAATGACACCCTGCACGTAAGCACTAACAGCACTTTTCCAGTTCAGAATTCAATAGTGTGGTTTGTTTGTTCTCCCCTTTTAACAGCATCAGCAGTGTGATAGATTTCAGTGGATATTCCACGCGGTTGGAGCACAATCGTGCCGAATTACAGCTGTGAATCAATCAGTCCAACAGTTGACCACTGAACTTCGCTGGCACTGTACTGAATTTATTGAGCCGAAGCTGAGCCACACAGACCTCATCCCCCACGTTGCAACCTGGCTTGAACAGTTTGTTGAAGTGGTTACCAGCGCACATGGCCGATAACAATCGGTTAGTGTGTCACGAGTGCGACGGTTGCTTGCGACACTTCTTACCTCCAAGGCAGCTCGTTGAGGCCTTGAGCGAAGTTGAAGCGCCGCAAACGAAATGTGGTGACGCTGCATACTCTTGAGCACGCTGATGTCGCAGCTACACATCTTCGCCTAACATACTCCCATCAACCCTTTTTAGTTCCCATGAGTTCAACAACTGTTTCTCCCTTTTTAGTTTGTAGGATACCTCACATTTCAAACATATCAGGACATGGCTAAAAATGTTAATCTCCAAACGAAAGAGATTCTGTGTTGCTGTTTTTAACCTGTCTGGGAGACGGAAAATAATTGTTGCTTCTGCAGTAAAAGAATAACGGGCAGAGATCATTTAGACTTGCTGGTGGGTGCACGTTTCTGGTTTGGGTCGCACAGATCGTTCTTGTATTTCCTTGATGCTTCGCTGTCATCATGACGTCCTGCTGCTTGCTGGTTGATCTCGCCTCGCCAAGGTGGGCGCCCTGGCTGCTTCAGGAGGAATCAGGCAGCTGTCCACGGTCGAATCGCATTTCCGTTTTCGTGCCCGTCAACGCTTACACCCTGTTTCGCGCCACACTGACATTCGATGTATTGACATGCCGCCTATTCTGACATCAACGCGTCCAAAACGGTCCCAGAACATTGCATATAAGCACAATTTGCCGCACTCAACCGTACGTGATAGCAATGTTCTGTCATAAAACGTTTTGTATCGTTCAAATGGACTGCATTGCCCGCCACCTACCTGGGGTTCGGCTGCAAGCACCAGCCCGCAAAATCCAAGCGCACGTTCGCACTGTAGCCCGGGCTCCCGATTGTCAGAACGTTGAGAAACAAGGTGTATCAAAAGAAAGGTTTCAAGCGTTGAACTGCATCTCCCCTGATGTGCCCTTAGCGAAATGGTCCTACCCGAAACGAGACCAGGCTGCCCACGTCCCTTTTTTGCGCGGCGACGTCTCCTGATTCGTTCAGTTTCCCGATGACCCAATCAGATGCTGCACTGCTGCAAGCAACTCTTCGCTGCCCTGCTCTACGGTTTTTCTTGGGGAAATTATACGCGCAGTCACAATTATGGCCGTATTATCACGTTTGGTCACGGGGTTATCACGGACAGTCACAGTACAGTACTTCGCTATCACGCATGATCACAGCGCTATCACGCTTGATCACTCCTCGCCCCGCAGGGTTATCACGTTTGGTCACTCGTTGAAACGCCCGCCAAAAAGTCGAAACTCTCAAATCTACTGTACAGATTCGGGTACTTTTATCTCGCGCGCGTTTTGTCTGTAGTGAAAAACGTGATGTGACTGTCGAAATATACTCGGTCCTTGTTAGGGACCGATGCAGTTTAATGCAGAGTCCGCAAACTATTGTCTGCAGTTATTATTAAAAATAAATAAACTGTACTAATTTGTTGCAAAAGTACCAAAGAAAACCATCAATTCTAAGAAACATCATATCTTATCAATCGATTGTGATAATACGGCCATAATTGTGACTGCGCGTAAAATTTCCCGTTTTTCTTGCCCTTCCAGCCTCACCTGACCTGATGCGTCTGGCCCTGCTTCCTGCCTCTGACTTTGATCTGATTCCTGCGCCCCATACCGTACCGTGTTATCATCAACGTGGAGACCCATCACTGGCAGAGCTTTTAGCAGCGTTGCAATACAGCCCAAAAGTGCTTTTGGACTTCACACTTCCGGATAGAGTCAGTTTCGCATTCCATTATTTTCCCATAGGTGCCTTGCCCCCTTTGAACAGCAAGCACATTCAGGAGTAAACTTCAGACGCTCTTTCGTGTTCCAGCCTTTTACAAAAGCACTTTTCACGTTCCAGTTACAGCTAGCTTGCTAACCCAGCTTTTTGTCACAGGATCTAGGCCTTTACTCAAGTAGCGCCCTTTCTAATAATACTCGAGTCGTCCAAACACAATTAGTGATCTAGTCGCAGACGTAGGCGTCCCGAATTACGATGACGAGAACGCCGTGCTGCGAAAAGGCGGAGGTTCGAAAGGGGCCGTGGACGCGAGAAGAGGACGAGTTGCTCGTGAAAGCTATCAAGGAGCATGGCGAGGGGAACTGGAGCGCAATCCCCAAGAAAGCTGGTGAGCCGGCTGCGCTTGGGGTTCCTTTTGGCTTCCGATTTCAACCACATTCTCGTTCAATTCGCACGTTGAGATAGCGGCATGCGCGTTTCCGCATTACGATACGCGCTCCTATAACCATATCTCACAATTGTTTCGATTCTGATCCGTGCGCTTGCGCTATCGCAGGGTTGATCCGTTGCGGGAAGAGTTGTCGCCTCCGATGGGCCAATTACCTCCGTCCCGACTTGAAACGCGGCGCGTTTTCGGCGGAGGAGGAGGCGCTGATCGTGCGGCTGCACAAGGAGATGGGCAATCGATGGGCCAAGATCGCCCTAGAGCTGCCCGGACGTACGGACAACGACATAAAAAACCACTGGAACACGAGAATAAAGAAGAAGCTGCGCGAGTCGGGGATCGATCCCGAGACGCACCTCCCGCTAGCCACGCGCTTGGCAGATGGTAAGCCGCGACCCGAGGCCTGTTTCTCTTTGCTAAATGATCGATCGGGATCAGAAACATGCTTTATTTATTTTAAAACCATCACACTTCCCTTTTAGTCGGTGCTGCGTTATTAATGCCGTCTTATCTCTTAATGCCGTCTTGCGTCACCAGGGATGGCTCTTCATGCAATCAAACGTCCACTGCCCGCAACAACTATGCCTATGGCATCGGCCTATCCGCTCCCGCCTTCGAAGAAACAGTGCCTCGAGCCTTCCGCAACCGCAGCAGTTCCCGCTTGCGCCATTTCCCCGCCGCACGCGCAAGCGCAAGCGCCGCTTTGCCCGCCAACTGCTTTCGCGGCCGAGATCGTCAGTACCGCTGATGAGGTGAAAGCGGATCTTGCTCTTCTTCAAGTTGGGAGCGCGTCTGCGCAAGCTCAGCGCGGAATGGGCTTCCGCAGCAGCAGCTGCAGCAGCAGTGACGAGGACGAGGAGGGTGATAGCGACGGTCCGAGCCTAGTCGAGCACGATGGCGAAACCGAAGCTGGCTCGCCGACAAGCGTAATCATTTCGCAAATCGGCGCTCGTACTCGGGTAACGGCAACGGAAGTAGACGCGGATTTGGGTTTGTCCGTGCGTGCGGGAGGAATCAAGGTTGAAAAGAGTGGGGCAGATGACAAAAACGATTCGCTAGTTTCGGCATCGACGGTTCACATGACGGTTTCGCAGAACGCTCAAGTCTCGAACTCGCTTTCGCCAGCAGGAGCTGTCGCGAAGTCCCGTTCGTTCAAGGTTCCGCCTCCGACGCTTATCATTCCGTGTTCCGCTTCCGCGGACGAGGGAGAGGCTCGGGCGGAAGTTCCGTTCGCACCAGCGGTACCGGCGATTGGCGGAGCTGTTTTGGCGAGCCCCTTCATGCTCCGTAACTGGTAAGCGCCTTGTATAGCAAAGAAAATAATGCTAATTTATGCCTAGAAGCTATCCACACATTGGAAGCAAGCGTAAAGTGGTACACCCGAAACATAACAATATATTCAGTACAAGTGTGTATGCCCAGCTCGAGTCATATACGCCCGTACACCTCAGTTGCGAGGCTTTTATGACTTGTACCATTTTGCACGACTAACAATTTCCTTGCTGTTTACCCCTCTCCCCCAATTCTCCTCTTAATGCAGTTTATGGGACAGCTCCGATCTGAACTGCCCTTGGGCTGATGACCTGGATATGGACACGTCAGCAGCCCTTCCGGTACTGCCCAGTCCGAGGTTCATCCCGCTCACTCCGTCCAGCACCGCCTTTGGAAGCTTCAGCTTCGGTACAAGCACACCCGGAAACAACACCAACTCGAGCAACTACAGTTACGGCTACAGTAGCAACAGCGGCAACAGCAGCAGCTATAACGCGAACCACCACAGCAGCAGCTCAGCAGCAGCCCATTTCAGTTTCCCCACTCACCCCACCCCACCTGCCTCAACCGCTGCAGCCGATCTCACCGCGTTCGACCATCTCCCTCAACCACTCAGCGACAGCCACCTGACGCTCCACTCCGTCATGGACGGCTCAGATTCGCAGCGGCTAGGAGGCGCGATGAGCAGATGCGAGGGTCTAGGATCCGCGGGAGTGGGCAGCGGCGCAGCAGCAGCAGGGGAATTGGTTCCCATGGCGCTGGTTTCCCCACCTCTCCCCGGCACCGTCCCCCTTTCCTCAGGCGCTCTAGATGGTCTCACACTAGAAATGGACGAAAGTATTCACATGGGGTTGGGAAGGGAGGAGATGGAGGGTGTTGTGAAGGCAGATCTAGGGGAAGACGGGGGGGAGGAGGACGTGGGGTTGGATGCGGCCATGTGCCTGTCTCCAGAGGAGTTTGACTCGTTTGACTTGGGTCTGCCGCCCGGCGTGTGCCCCTCCCCCATGCCTGGATTCACGGGCAGTATTTTCATCCATGCTGCTGTTACCACTCCTGTTGCCGCTTCTGCCTCTGCCGCCCCTGCTGCCACCCCTGCTTCTGCCGCCCCTGTTGCCGATTCAGGGATTCGCTGTGGCCAATAGGCGAGCAGAAGGAGAAGATGGGCGGCGAAGGCGAGAGTGGGCATGGAGACTACTGGGATGGAATGGACGGTGGAGAGGGGTAGGGAATGGTGAGTGGAGTTTGGGTCCGAGAAGGGAGAAGGGAGGAAGGGGCCTATACCCTGGCTGGCAAGGCTGAAAACTGCTCTGGTTCCCTCGGTTTCGGTGCGAAACATGCTGGAGGGAAGCAGCGCCTTGCTCAAGATCATGTTATCTTGTTCTCGTGTGTATAGACTAGTCACTAGTTATCAAAGGGTTGGGTGGTTAGAAGAGGAGTGCTAGTGATGGGTTTTGGAAAAATGTTTAGGTGGAAGGGATTGATACTCTGGGTGTAGGGATTAATTTATGGGTAGAAGGGTCAGAGGAGGGCAAGCACCGAAGTGGTATTCTGGGTAAAGCTAAGGCCCAGATCTACTGGTGTGGCTGCAGCCTGGCCCTGGTGTACAGAAGGTGGAAGCTTCTCAAAAGGTCCGCCCAGGAATGAAATGAGGGTGGAAGGTACCATAGTGTTACGGGTGCAATGAATCGAAGTAGCGAGAAATGTTTTTTTTTCGAAAGTGTGTAACACTTTCTAAAAATGCGTATTGTGAAAGCGCAGCTGCCTGTAACGAAGCAAAGCAACGGCGAATTACAATTCGCCGAGTACATAACGAGGGTTGGAGGCCATTCGGCCTCCACCCACGACTTCATTTCAGAACTTTGCAGTTTCACTCCCCACCCACCCACCCTAGTTGTACCAATATTTGTATGATCCATGGTTGGACGAGAATGTTGTATTACTGCAATTGTAATGAAGCCAGTTGCCTTTGCAAGAACAGAAAGCAAGCTTTCTCAATTTGCACTAAGGTGTCAAACGAGTACAAAGATGTGAGCGAAGGCATGAGCGAACATTTATATGCGAAGCATGCAAACGGTAACGTGGTGCGTGCGAGCTAGCCAGTGCTATGCTGGCAGCGAGGCTCGGGCTAGTCCCGAAGCGTAGGCCGACACGGCCGGGCCAGCAGTGCGAGGTTTGGTGAAACAGTGCGCGCGAAGTCGGCGAAGTTCCGTTAGCAGTAACGGGCGAACAACGGCTGTTGCTGTACGCGATGTAGTCGGGCTCCGTAAGGAATGCCGAGAAAATTCCTTACACTACCCCCCCCCCCTCAAGAAGCCCCCTCCGCTACGCGAGTGCGTGTATGTCGCGGAATCCTCGGCTCCTCAGGTACACTTGCAGGGCAGGGTGGTTTTCAATGTTGGCCATGGGCACCCAGCTATCCTCAGTTGGCGTGCGGTCCTTCCAGCGAACGAGGAATTCAATCCTCCTGATTCCCGTGGGGTGTCGAATCCGATGGCTCAGGATTTTTTCGGGCTCGATGATCGGCTCTGATGCAGGGCGAGTCATGGATGGCGGGCGGTGGCGAGGCAATTGGCTTGTGGTTGGGATGTATGGGCGAAGCAAGCTGACGTGGAACGAAGGGCTGATGTACCAGTCGGTCGGTAACAGTAGGTGCGCGGTTACTGGCGTGATCATGTGGCTGATTTGGAATGGGCCACAGTAGCGCGGTCGCAGTTTTGGTACGTCGGGCAGTCGCAGGTTTTGCGTGTCGAGCAGTACGTAATCCCCTGACTGGTAGGTGACGGGTCGGCGGTGGCGGTCGGCGTTGCGCTTAGCGATGACATTTGCTTTTTTAATTGCTTCTGCAGCTCTGGTGCGGGCAGCTTGCAGAATTTCGGCGAATTGTTGTGCACGTGGTGTCGGATTGTCCGGACTCGGCGTCATGGGCACTGTAGGATTTTGCCCGTAGTTCAGGTAGAAGGGGGACTGCTGCGTCGTCGCTGACGTGGCGTTGTTGTACGCGAACTCGATCAGCGGCAGCTGCTGTTCCCAAGTCGTGGGGTCGTCGCACGTGGCACGAATCATCTGCTCCATCGTCTGATTCGTCCGCTCCGTTTGGCCGTCGGTCTCGGGGTGGTACGACGAACTGAACTGTAGCCTGGTCCCGAACTGCTCCCAGAGGTTTTTCCAGAAGTTGCTGGTAAACTTCGTGTCCCTGTCGCTGATAATCGCTGCTGGTATCCCGTGCAGGCGAACAACGGCTGCGATGAACAGACGAGCGGTCTCCTCGGCTGAGATCGACTTTTTGCACGCAGCGAAGTGTGCCATCTTCGTCAGCCTGTCAACGACGACCATCACCGCGTCGTTACCCCCAGGGTTCGAAGGTAACCCTGTGACAAAGTCCATGGTAACCTGCTGCCAGGCGCGCTCGGGCGGTGGTATCGGCTGCAATTGACCCGCCTTCCGCTTCCTCGAGCTCTTAATCACCTGACACGTGGGGCACGAGCCCACGTGCTGCTGTACGTCGGTCAACAGCTCCGGCCAGTAATAATACCGCTGCAGTTGCTGTCGCGTTTTTTCTACCCCAAAGTGTCCCGAGGTAATTCCGTCGTGTGCCTCCTGCAGTAGCAGCTCCCTCAGTAGTGAGTACGCAGGTACCCAGATGCGGTTGGTGCCTGTTTTTACGTAATAAACTCCTTTAGCTTCTGCCAGTTGCTGTGAGTTTCCAGTCGTGAAAAATGGGTCGGTGCGGTATCCGTGGGTGAATAGGCCTGTTAACAGCGGGTTGGTCTGGGCGAGTAGGATGGCGTGGAGTTGGGCGGTAGGGCGGGTGAGTGCGTCGGCGATGTTGGATGCGCCTTTCTTGTACGTAACTGTGTAGTGGAAGTTGGACTCGAGGTAGTCCAGCCAGCGAATTTGTCGCGGATTGAGATTTGGTTGGGCGCGTAAGTACTGTAGTGATCGGTGGTCTGTCCGTACTGTCACGTCGGCGCCAGTCAGGTAACACCGCCAAACCTTGAACGCGTGCACGATCGCCAACATTTTGCGGTCGTGTATCGGGTAGTTGCGTTCGGGCGGGTGCAGTTTGCGGGACTCGTACGCGATTGGCTGGAGGCCGTTCCCGAAATCCTGCAACAGTACTGCTCCCACAGCGATGTCACTTGCGTCAGTGACGAGCTCGAACGGACGGTGTGGATCGGCGATGTGAAGCACGGGCGGTGAGCACAAAATGTTTTTGAGGGCCGAGAAGGCAGCTTGCTCTTTCTCCCCCCACGTGTACTCAACCCCCTTCCTCAGCAGGTCAGTCAACGGGGCAGTCAGCTTCGCCATGTCGGGGACGAACCGGCGCACGTAGTTGACGAACCCCAGAAAACTCTGCAACTCTGTCAAGTTGGTCGGCGCGTGCCACGCCTGAACCGTCGCAATTTTCTTCGGGTCTATTTCCACTCCTGCGGCTGAAATAACGTGTCCCAAAAACTCCAGACGGTCCTGTAAAAATTCACACTTAGACGCTTTTGTCAGTAGGCGGTTCTCACTCATTATTTAAAAAACTGCTTCGATGTCCTGTAAGTGCTGTGCTCTGTCAGGGCTGTAAATCAGTATGTCGTCCAGGTATACTATGACGCACTTATCTAAGAGTGGGCGGAAAGCTTCGTTCATGGTCATTTGGAAAGTGGCGGGGGCGTTGGTCAGTCCGAAGGGCATGACGGTGTATTCGAAGGATCCGTAGCGTGTTCGGAATGCGGTTTTAGGGCAGTCGGGCGGATTGACACGAATCTGATGGTTACCCCCCCGGAGGTCGATTTTCGAGAAAACCCGGGCTGTGCGCAGTTGGTCGATCAGTTCGTCGGCTCATGGGATGGGGTAACGGGATTTGATGGTAACCCTGTTCAGTGCTCTGTAATCGGTGCACATGCGAAATCCCCCGTCTTTTTTCGGTGTAAACAGTATCGGTGCTGCGAAAGGCGACGAACTAGGGCGAATGAACTCCTTCTCGAGCAGGTAATCGAGCTGCTTCCTCAGTTCGTCCAGTTCGGGCTGGGTCAGTCGGAACTGTCGCTGTACTGTTGGCTGTGCCCCCGGTTCCAATTCTATTCTGTGATCGTGCGGTCGCTGAGGTGGCAGTCCCGTCGGTAAGTCGTCCGGGAAAATGTCGCTGTACTGCTTCAACAGTGCTGCCAGGTCACTCGGTACGTCGGTCAGCAGTTTCTGCAAATCCCCTCCCTTGTCTGCTGCCTCGGCTTCCCGAATGTCGACCGCGTACACGTCAGCTCCCGCCGCTACGGCGCGTTTCATCGTGATCGCGTTGACACGCACCGACGAAGACTCAGGCGAGCCCCAGCGAGGTAGGGCGATGTGGTTACCGTTCACTCGCACAGTGCAGTCACCCGACGTCCAGTCGATTCGCGGATTGTGTCGTCGCAACCAATCACGCCCGAGTAAAATATCGGTTCCGTCGAGGGTCGTTGCGAGCATTTCTTGGCTAAATGTGAAGTTACCCCCGCATCGAATCCGAACCCGGTCTACGCGTTCCCGTATTGCCAGCGGCGTGCCGTCTACCAGTCGTGCGTCGATCTCAGGTAAACATCTGTCCAGTGGCAGTCGCAGTTTTCGTGCTGTAGCAGTGTTGATGAGGCTGTGGCTGGCTCCCCCGTCTACGAAGATTTTAACTAAGTCCGTCCCGATTTTCCCACTAAGCAGTATAGGGCTGTCTACCGTAGTACCCTCCTTATTCGGCCCGGTGTGGTCGATTGCGTGAACCGGCACAATCACTCGGTGAGGGTCGGTTGGGTCGGGCGAGCGGCGTGACCTGTCAGTAGAGGGCCCGTCTGCTACTGACTCCCAGCGTTTCCCTGCTGCTTGGTCTGTTTCTGCTGCTCAGCTTCCCCCTTTCCCTTAGCGTTTTCCGGGCATTCGCTCTTGCGGTGTCCCGGCCGATTACACGCGAAGCAGCGCCCTTTGAACGGTGCGGCAGCGGCATTCGCGGCGACGGCACGTATCGTGGCGCCCTCGTTCGTCCCATGAGACCGATGTCCCCAGTTGCTGCTACTGCCGTAGGACCCCGGTCTCGGTCGGCGGAAGAAGTCGAGCTTCTCCGCCATAGCGAGAATCTCCTGAAAAGCGGTGACGCCGCGAAGCTGAATTTCTTGAGCGATGTCGTGCTTCAGGCCGCCGATGTAGCGGTCGATGCGCTCGCTCTCATGCATGTAGCCCACTTGCTCGCATAGCGCCAGAAACCCGCTGGTGTAGTCCTGGACTGAACCGAGTTGGCGCCAAGTGCGGAGCTTCTGTCGCGCCGCGATCGAAGCCGCAATTGGCTCAAATCGAGCGCGCAGACCTGCGCACCACGCGTCCCACGTGCGATATTGGGGCACCTCCACGAAGTACGACGGCGCCCAGGGTCCGGTTTGTCCTTCCCGTGTCGGTAGAGTCGCGTAGTCATTCGGCTTCGTGACGATGACGCGCCACCAGTCCATGGCGGGTCCTCGCAGCAGCGACACGGCGTAGCGAATTTTCGCCGAATCCTCCGAGACGTAGTTGGCGTCGAAAAACACGTTCATCGTGAACAACCACGCCTGAACGGTAGGACCACCCCGTTGACTCGGGTCAAAGCATGGCGGACGCTGCGGCTTCAGCGGCATCGGTGACGGCAGTCCCGAATCGTGGGTCGGTGCCGAAATCGTGACGCGAGGTTGACTTGGGGCCGCATTCGTCGCTCCGGGGTGTGTCGTGCCGTGGTCGTCGTCTCCGTCGGGGCGGACGACGCCATCACTGGCCGCGCTCGCGGGTTGCCCCACACTTCCGTGCTGTGATGTCTGTGGTGCGGGCTGAATCGGAGTGCCAGATGCTTGGGATTGTGCCCTTGTGAGGTCGTTTTGCAGGGACGAGCGTTCTGCCGTCAGCGTCGCAATTTCCTCGGCGCTCTCGCGGATTTGTCGCAGCAGATCGTTCAAATGCTCCTGCGTGAGAGTCGTGACGTCGATGTGTTCGGCCATTTCGAAGGACGTCGGCTCGTCTTAGTCTAGGCGCAGTCGTGGCTGCACGCGTTTACGAGAGAACGCGAGGACAGCGGCTCCTAGGTGCTAAGGTACGTAAGTCCCTTCGAGTGAAAAATCAAAAGTTGATTTCCTGGGGTGCGGAGATGCGCGGTCCGAAAGAAAGGGGCTCTGAATACCAAGTGTTACGGGTGCAATGAATCGAAGTAGCGAGAATTGCACTAAGGTGTCAAACGAGTACAAAGATGTGAGCGAAGGCATGAGCGAACATTTATATGCGAAGCATGCAAACGGTTAACGCGGTGCGTGCGAGCTAGCCAGTGCTATGCTGGCAGCGAGGCTCGGGCTAGTCCCGAAGCGTAGGCCGACACGGCCGGGCCAGCAGTGCGAGGTTTGGTGAAACAGTGCGCGCGAAGTCGGCGAAGTTCCGTTAGCAGTAACGGGCGAACAACGGCTGTTGCTGTACGCGATGTAGTCGGGCTCCGTAAGGAATGCCGAGAAAATTCCTTACACATAGCATTTTTGTCTGCCAAACATAATATACTGAATGTTTTCGCCATTTTGGGTTTACTGAATATACTGAATATACTGAGTGCTTCTGTGCAATTTTGGGCTTGAGCAACATCTGCATCACTTCCCCCCCTCACCTGAAGCTGGAGCTTGACCCACCCTCACCTCAGATCAGCAGCACTGCTGCTTGCATAAGCCCACCCACTGCTACCGTATAGCAGCGAATTACCGTCATCACCCAGATATAAGACAGTGTTGAATAGAAGACTGTGGGTGTCAATTATCCGGGTGTCTCTTATAAACAAGGTAGCCTCATTATAAGACACCCATTTGTGTGTACGAGTTAAACCAGTGTAGGGGTTAAGGGCAATTGTATAACGAGGGGGTATCTTCTAAACGGATTTTTGTCCATTTATAAGACTTATAAGACACCCTAAACCGTCCCAAATACAAGACAACCCAGGCATTTTTTATAGTGTATGAGATAAGACATATATGTCTTATATCCGGGCGATGACGGTATGCCATGTACTTGTGAGTGACCTGTCCAGCCATGAACCGTACCTTACCTGCTCCCACAGAGCTTGCATCGTGAGACATAACGATATACGGTACTACTACACATGTTATGCGGGTGGATTGGATCCAATCATGATGTTCCACAATGCAAGGACGTGCGGCGTGCCCTACCCTATCTCAGCAGTGCAGCAAGCACTGCCCCCCTCAATGATGCTCGCAGATACCGGTACAACAAGCACTTGTTAGCTGCTTGCTTCCCTTATCCGCCCACCGTCCCTGATAGGCAAAGCTTCGGATCACTGCCTGTTGCATTGTTCAAGGTGCCCTTAAAGCCCTCCGTGACAGGCATAGCCTGCCTACTGCAAAGCCTTAAGCGCCTTCAAACTTCCCTCCTTGAAAAGCAGAACATCTCCGTCCCCTGCTGTGGCTGTTGCTGCATAATCAACTAGAGTCAACTGGCGGGCCAACCAGGGCAAACTCTCGCAGGTCAACACCCAAATCAACTAGAGTCAGCCGGAGTCAACCAGAGCCAACCAGAGTTCAGGCGGGTCAAACAGATCCCTCAAGCTTCACGTGCGCATCTGCTGTATGAGGGCCATAGGACATGAGGCCATGAGGGGATGGGGTCACAGGGGCATGGAAGCATGTAGGCACAGGGACGCGGAGCAAGTTGGTGAAGGGACAAGGGTAGGCATGACAAGTGATGACTTTTGAGGCGCTTCAAAGGCCATGGAAGGATGGAGGCACAGGGACACGGGTCAAGTTGGTGAAGGGACAAGGGCAGGCATGACAAGGGGTGGACAAAGGGAGGGGGTAGAGACTCTCCATGTGTGTGTGTGTGTGTGTGTGTGTGTGTGTGTGTGTGTGTGAGTGTGTGTGTGTGTGTGTGGTGTGTGTGTGTGCATGTGTGCGTGTGAGTGCGTGACAGTGCACATGTGTCCATACACTGAGATTCGCCACGCTGTGTCGTTCAGCCGTGCAGAAACACACACACGGTCCGTTCATGTTGGTCCACTCACACCGCCCTCACCACACGCACCCCACTCCGTTGCCAGTCTGGAAAGTCTCACCAGGGGCGCACCTCTTGAAGCCGAAAAAAATCTCAACAGCCAGCCGCTCTCACGATTAAAAAAACAGCTAGCAGCCCTCCCAGTTGCACCTACAACAAAAGCCTTCATGAGGCTCCCAGCCCACCCTGCACCCTGCACTCATAACACCGACAGCCCACCCTGCACCCTGCACTCATAACACCGACAACCCACCCTGCACCCTGCACTCATAACACCGACAGCCCACCCTGCACCCTGCACTCATAACACCGACAGCCCACCCTGCACCCTGCACTCATAACACCGACAGCCCACCCTGCACCCTGCACTCATAACACCGACAGCCCACCCTGCACCCTGCACTCATAACACCGACAGCCCACCCTGCACCCTGCACTCATAACACCGACAGCCCACCCTGCACCCTGCACTCATAACACCGACAGCCCACCCTGCACCCTGCACTCATAACACCGACAGCCCACCCTGCACCCTGCACTCATAACACCGACAGCCCACCCTGCACCCTGCACCCTGCACCGACAGCCCACCCTGCACCCTGCACTCATAACACCGACAGCCCACCCTGCACGCACCTTTGTCGGGTGGTCTGGATCATGAAGGGCGGTGAGCCTGGCAGCAGCCCTCCCCTCCCCAGATGCACCTACGCTACACCGTCCGCCCTCACAAGCCACACTCTGCACGCACCTTTGTCGGGTGGTCTGAGAAAGTCTGCATCATCGGCATTCATGAAGGGTGGTGAGCCTGGTAGCAAGCCCAGCATGTGGCCGCCTGGGGCAGGGAAGGGAGTGCAGGAGGGGCAGGAGGGGCAGGAGGGGCAGGAGGGGCAGGATGGGCAGGAGGGGCAGGAGGGATAATAGGGGAAGGGGTGGAAGCATGGGGAGCTTTAGCACAGGGTCAGCATTGCCGGCATGGCGTTCATGAAAGGTGGAGAGCCCGGTAGCAGCCCCAGCATGTGGCCGCCTGGGGGAGGAAAGGGCGGGCAGGAAGGGAAGGAGGGGCAGGAGGGGAAGAGTGGAGGCATGGGAAAGCATAGGTGGGGCTGATTGGCATCTCAGCATCGTCGGCATTCATGAACGGTGGAGAGCCCGGCAGCAGCCCCAGCATGTGGCTCAAAAGTCTCCCCACAGCGAGGAGAGGGCCTGGGGGAGGAGAGGGCCTGGGGGAGGAGAGGGCGGGCAGGAGGGCAGGAGGGGCAGGAGGGGCAGGAGGGGCAGGAGGGGCAGGAGGGGCAGGAGGGGCAGGAGGGGCAGGAGGGGCTGGAGGGGAGGCATGGGGAACCACAAGTTGGGGTTGCTGATTCCCTAGTGGAACGGATAAACACGTGGACTGTCCTGCAAGCCATGCATGTTTGTGCTCATGGCTTCTCTCTCCTCTCTCTCTCAACCTTCCCGCATGCACCCAATTCCCCCAGCTCACGCTCGTGTTTGCGTGTGTGCGTGCGTGCTTGCGTGCGTGTGTGTGTGTGCGTGTGTGTGTGGTGTGTGTGTGTGTGTGTGTGTGTGTGTGTGTGTGTTCCGTTTCTTGCCTTCACCCTTCCTTGATGTTTCCCTTCCCCCACTCCCCATGCTCCCCTTCCCCCCACCTCCCACACCCCTCACCTTCGCTTTGAGGCCCGGGGGTTTATTTTGAGGTGGCTCAAAAGTCTCCCCACCCCACAACCCCCACCCCCCTCGCCCCACCTCCCACACCCCTCACCTTCACTTTGAGGCCCGGGGAAGTCTGCAGTCAAGTCAGAGAGGCTGAAGTTTCTTGGAAGGTGCCCCAGCAACCCCAGGGCGACTTCCCTGGGAACAGCAGCAGAGGGTTGCTGTGCGCCTGTGCTGTCATGCATGCCTGTACTGTCCTGTGCCCCTGCGCCTGTCCCATGCACCCCTGCCCCTCTGCTTGACGGGCCATGGTCGTTGTGGTTGCTGGGGTCATGTCGATCAGTGGCTGCCATCAAATCGCCATGCCCATGCCCATGCCCATGCCCATGGCCATGGCCATCCGTTGAGTGCCGCTGATGATGCTGATGCTGCTGCTGCTGCCCGTGGCTACTATGGCTATGATGGTGATGGCTGTGTGAGTGGTTTGTGTCCATACTAGCATGATGCTCGTGGGGGTGCTGATGCTCCTGCTGATGGGGATGATGTGGATGGTGGTGGTGATGTGGATGGTGATGTGATCCTTGCTGGTGTCCTGAATCCCCTCCAACATCCCCATCCCCCTCTCCCCGAGATCCGAACGCCGCCTCGTGATTGGTCGAATTCAGAGCGAGAGAGGACGAGAATGGCCCTACATCTAGAGCCGTCAACCCCATACCCATGCCCATACCCATACCCATCCCCATGCCCATGCCTATACCCGACAGATCAACCGAGCCAAACGGAAATGCCATGTCACTCCCGTCACTGTCCAGCTCCGCAGCACCGCCCACGCCTGCCATGTCATCATCATCCTCACTCACCCCCGCCCTTCCTGCCCCTCCTTCTCCTCCTCCCCCTCCTCCTCCTCCTGCCCCTGCTCCCAACGCCTCCTCCCCACCCCCCTCCTCCATGCCCACGTCTAGATCCAGATTCTCCCCATCCTCCCCTTCCATACCCTCCACTGGCTCAAGCTTCAGCATCCCCCCCATGCCCATTCCCCCCGTCCCCCCCATTCCCCCCGTCCCCCCCATGCCCCCCATTCCCCCCATGCCCCCCATGCCCCCCATTCCATCCTCTCCCCCCATCCCCACCCCTCCTTCCGCGAATCCCCCCATCTCCACAGCCTCTCCTCCCCCCGCGCCTGCACCATCCGCGACTAGAGCCCCCATCTCCCCCCCCTCTGCCCTTCCAGCCCCCGCCCCCCCTGCTGCCCCCATCTCCCCCTTTGCATCGAACCTCCCTGCTGCAGCACCAGCAGCAGCGGAGGTATTTGAAGCATGGGCCATATGGGTCATGGCATGTGCATGGGCATGGGCATGCGGATGGGCATGCGCATGGGCATGGGCCATCCCATGTGCATGGGCTTGCATCGCCGCAGCATGAGCATTAGCAGAGGACGGAACCCCTATCACCGCCATCTCACTCCCTCCCCCCCCACCATTCCCCCCACCACCACCACCACCGCCACCACCACCAGCAGCAGAAGCAGGGTGGGAGTGGGGGTGGGCGTGCGGGTGGGGGTGAGCGTGGGGGTGGGGGTGCGGGCCAAAGGGGAGCATGTGCGGGGGAAGCATTCCGGGCATCATGGGGGGAGGCATGGGCGCGCCTGGGGGAACGTGGGGGGGCATGTGGGGGGGATGCTGGCCTGGGGGAAGCATGGAGTAGGGGTGGTGGAGCATGTGGGGGGGGTGGTGCGGGTGGTGGGGGTGGTGCCCTGCTGCTGCTGCTGCGGCGGCGGCTGCGTGTGGGTGCATGAAAGGGGGAGCTGCGCCGTGCACTGTTGGGGGGGAGGGAAAGGGGGGAAAGAGGGGGGAAGGGCGGATGGGAGAATGGGGGAGGGGGGAGGATGTGGCATTCAAGAGTGTGGGCAAGGGCGGGGTGGGTAAAGGGTGTGGGGCGGGGAGCAATGGAGGTATAAAAGGTTGAAAAAGGGGGCAGTGGGCGAAAACAAGGGCGCAGGCAAAGGACAGTGGAGACAGATGAAGAGGGGAGATAGGGGAGTGGAAGTCCCTTGCAAACACATATAGAGGATCATGAACCGATTGCCTCCACCTTCCTAGACTGCATGATCCTTCTTCACCTCCTCACTCCATTCGACGTCTCTCCTTCATACCCCTTCCAACCACACTCCTCACCATCCTCACACTCCTCTCCATCCTCACACTCCTCTCCATCCTCACACTCCTCTCCATCCTCACACTCCTCTCCATCCTCACACTCCTCTCCATCCTCACACTCCTCTCCATCCTCACACTCCTCTCCATCCTCACACTCCTCTCCATCCTCACACTCCTCTCCATCCTCACACTCCTCTCCATCCTCACACTCCTCTCCATCCTCACACTCCTCTCCATCCTCACACTCCTCTCCATCCTCACACTCCTCTCCATCCTCACACTCCTCACCATCCTCACACTCCTCACCATCCTCACACTCCTCTCCATCCTCACATTCCTCACCATCCTCACACTCCTCTCCATCCTCACACTCCTCTCCATCCTCACACTCCTCTCCATCCTCACTCACTGGGAGGGCCTCGCATGGACGCAGGGACACCAGGCACGGGCGCTCCGGCAGAAGCAGCGGCCGCGTTCGAGGCAGCATGGGCTGGCGAGGGAGCAGGGGTCGCCGAAGCTGCTGCAGCAGAACCAGCAGCAGCAGCTGCACCGGCAGTCGCACCACCAGCAGAGGCACCCGTAGCACCGGTGCCAGCAGCAGCGCCTGTAGCAGCAGCAGCAGCAGCTGACGCAGGAGCAGAAGCACCCGAAGCTGCCGCTCCAGCTGTAGCAGCCGCAGAAGCTGCCGCCCCAGGGGTGGAGTGCGATGCGGAGCGGTGGAGGCGCTGGGCGCGCACGGCATGGGCGTGCTGTTCAAGCAGGGCGTTGAACTGGTGGATCTGGTCCTTTAGGCGCAGCCGCATGTGGTAGGAACGGAAAAAGTCGGGATTCTGCTCCTCCAGCTTCTGCCAAACTGCGGTGGAGAGGGGTGGAGAGGGGTGCAGAGGGATGGAGAACACGGGGTGGTAACAGGGTGGAGTGTGCTGAACTGGTGGATCTGGTCCTTTAGGCGCAGCCGCATGTGGTAGGAACGGAAAAATTCGGGATTCTGCTCCTCCAGCTTCTGCCAAACTGCGGTGGAGAGGGGTGGAGAGGGGTGCAGAGGGATGGAGAACACGGGGTGGTAACAGGGTGGAGTGTGCTGAACTGGTGGATCTGGTCCTTTAGGCGCAGCCGCATGTGGTACGAGCGGAAGAAGTCAGGATTCTGCTCCTCCAGCTTCTGCCAAACTGCGGTGGAGAGCGGTGGAGAGGGGTGGAGAGGGGTGGAGAGGGGTGCAGAGGGATGGAGAGCACGGGGTGGTAACAGGGTGGAGTGTGCTGAACTGGTGGATCTGGTCCTTTAGGCGCAGCCGCATGTGGTACGAGCGGAAGAAGTCGGGATTCTGCTCCTCCAGCTTCTGCCAAACTGCGGTGGAGAGCGGTGGAGAGGGGTGGAGAGGGGTGCAGAGGGATGGAGAGCACGGGGTGGTAACAGGGTGGAGTGTGCTGAACTGGTGGAGGAACGGAAAAAGTCGGGATTCTGCTCCTCCAGCTTCTGCCAAACTGCGGTGGAGAGGGGTGGAGAGTGGTTGCAGAGAGGGGTGGAAAGGGATGGAGAGTGGTGGAGGCGGGTGGGGAGGGGTGGAGAACAAGGGGTGGTAACTGGATGGGCACAGAGGAAAGGAAGGAAGGTGAGATTCGTCAGAAGGAGCGCGCAGTGAGGCGGATGAAAACACGGATGGAAGAAATACGGGGTTCGGGGTTTAAGGATGTGGGATGGATGGGAGAGAATCGAAGCCCACAAATGAAAGCAAAGCAAGTACGCAAATGGGTAGCCCTGGTAGCAAAGCAAGAAATGCTCATTACATTCTCTTGATTTCAGCAACAAAAGGATGCGATCAGCAGTAGGGCAGCCATACTGTCAGACAGTCAGCAGCAGTCCGTCCGTCCATACGTCCGTCCGTCCATCTGTCGGTCAGTCAATCAGTCCATCACTTAGCCTGTCACTCACTCACTTAGCCAGTCAAATAGCCCGTCAGTCAGTCAGTCAGTCAGTCAGTCAGTCAGTCAGTCAGTCAGTCAGTCAGTCAGTCAATCAGTCAGTCAGTAGGTCAGTAGGTGAGAGACAGTGAGTGAGTGAGTGAGTGAGTGAGAGAGAGAGTGAGGCAGTGAGAAGAACGCACCGAGTTTGGTGAAGCCTGGTTCGATCTTGGCCTGGTACTGCAGCGTGGACACCACCTCCCTCTGACTCATGTACAGCTGCAAGCACCGCTCGATCAGGTTCTGCACCTGCCAGTGGCGTCAACAGTGAAAACAGCGACACGGAATAGTGATAGTGAGGAGAGAGAGGCGAATGAGAAGAAGGGTGACTCATGTATTGCTGTAAGCACCGCTCGATAAGGTTCTGCACCTGCCAGCAGTGCACCCACCCGGTAACATGGAATAACAATCGGAGTGGAGAATGTGGCGGAATGGAGAATGTGGCGGAATGGAGATAAAAAGAGGGGTGACTCATGTACAGCTGTAAGCAGCACTCGACACACCTGCCAACCATGGCAGCAGCAACATGGGATAGGATCAAGAAAAGGATGGGGCGTAATGGGGTTAGAAGAAGGGTGACTCATGTATAGCTGTATGCAACGCTTAGTCAGATGTTGCACCTGCCAACAGCAGCACCACGAAAGGGGGTTCTTCATTCATACTTAGGTTTCGGGCAGAGCTCAATAATTTTTTTTCACCTGACAATAGCAGGTGGTAAAACTGAGCTGGTCGCACATTTCCCAACCAGCTCAGGTTAATCTCGTTATGATCCAACCCGTTTGAAGCCCTACCAGCTGAATGTCCTCGCAGGATATCTTCCTCCCCTCAGACGGCGCCTGCTGTGCTGATGACAGCGATGATGACGTGGCAGGCTTCGTGCACGCTGATGTGGATGGAGAGAGCACCGCCGTGGCACCAGTAGGAACACTGGCCGCAGCACCAACACCTGCAGCAGCAGAAGCACCACCGACAGTAGCAGCACCACCAGCGCCAGCGGCAGCAGTGGGCGCAGTGGTAGCAGCAGGTGCAGGGTCCGTAACGGCCATGGGCTTGGCGGCTGTCGCAGCAGGAGATGTGGCAGTAGGGGCGGAAGCTGATGGAGGGGAACCACCACCGCCGGTTCCTGCTACTGCTGCCCCCCCACCGCCAGATTTATTCCCTGCTGCTGCTGCTGCTGCTGCGGGTGCTGCTGCTGCTGTTGCTGGGGTTAATGCTAGTGGTGGTGGTGGTGGTGGTGGTGTTTTGGTTTTTGCAGCGGGAGACGTGGCGGGAGCAGCTGGGGGGGATCTGGCGGGGGACGCGGGGAGGCCTTCCACTGACGCGCCCGCGCCAAGCGCTGCAGCAGCAGCGGCGGCGGCGGCTGCAGCAGCGGCACTTGGCGGCTTCGCAGACATGGATTGGCGCTTGCAGATTGATGCTTTGATGGCTTGACGCTGGGGGCTTGGCGGTCGAGTCTCGGCGTTCGGCGTTTAGAAATTGTGGTTGACGTTCAGGGTTTGGACAAGGATAGCTTATGGCACGCACCGGCTCATGCCGCCAGTCTTTGGGCGATGCGGTTCGCCATGAAAATACCTTAACTCTCACCTCGCAACCTATTGCTATGAGGCGAAACGGAACCTCGTCGTGTTTAGCGATTGCTAAACCTGAAAGAGAAGGTGCATCTATTCTAAAGGTGTACAGTAATCAGCAATAGAATGCCACTGGCTCGGGACTAGAATGAGAAGCCTGGGCAGATGCCGAGCAAGGTACCATGCCATAATGTCACATGTCATGATGACATTGTAATGTCTCGATGCTCTAATGTTGTAGTATCTTCCCAAACTGGCAGAAGGATGGGCCCATGCACGAGATTTCTATCTCACGTGTCATGACCGCCGAATTATCATTGTCCCTTCTCGGATGTCGTGGATAGAGAACTGAAAGTAAGAGTCGAACTCAGATTACGCAGCAATAAAATCCTTTTACGAAAGAGTGGATGGAAGGAGGAGGATCAGAGTCTAGCGAGACATTTTTACATACTAATAAACAGGTTTTTATTGGCGGTGGTTTTTTTTGGCGGAACCTGCTTAGGGGATAAAGGGGGGAAGGCGGAAGGTGCACCGCAGCGCACCGAGAAGCAACAGTGCGAGGGCTAGAGACTAGAGGTAGGAGTAACGCGATGGTTACAGTACTGGGAGCGACACGTGGGGCCTGATAAGTCCCTTGTTGGAAATCGTATATTCGCCTGAGGGTACGGTTGCGAATTTTGAAGTTTATGATTTCGCAGCACTAGGGCGTGGCAGACTCGCTGCAGTTCTCACCATCGCCGCACGCTGCTAACTTTAAGCTCATTGATATTTTTTTGGAGGTTCCGTGGTTTTGTGCAGGAACCTAATCGCCTGCCTAATCCTAACGTTACAGCACAAGCCTGGATCGTCAGTTGTCCCTCTTTTATCCCGTGGGGTGGGGCCATCCAGCTAGCCTTGGGAACATCCAGCCTGGAGAAACAGAGCCTTGGGAACATCGTGCCAGTAAACCAGACAGCCTTGGGAGCGTCGTGCCAACAAAACAAGACGGCCTTGGGAATATCACGCCTTGGAAACAGCCTTGCACTGCACAGCCTTGCCAAAGACGGTCTGGTCTGGGCGGGAGGGAGGAGACTGGAGGAGTAGACATTGCTGCCAAAAATTGGCAGCGCGGACAATTTCGTCGAGCAAAAACCCCTCAGGTTCATTCGGAAACCCCGCTCCGTTGCCTTCGTCCTCGAAGCCGATTCGCGAAGCCACTTTTCCAACCTGCCCACCCTTCAAATTGCCTTTTGGAACCTCAAACGCCATGTGGCTCGTTCGTCGAGCCAATTAACGGTGCGAATGATGCGCCGCCGAGCAACTTTGCCGTGGATCCACGTCAGTCTGAGCCACTCTCTCCCAGCATCATGCATCCCATACAGAACTGCCCAGTACACTGCGAGAATGCTGACAGGTGCAGGTCTACGGAACTGTACACTGAATGACGACCGCTATGTAATGCACTCCCATCAATCTGGTGTGCACTCTTCAAATACCAGAAATAAGAGTTACATCGAGTGAATGAAACAGCTACCTTTAAAAATCGTTTTCGTACATTTCATACAATGCCCTTGGAGTTTCATGAGTGATGTTGTTCATTGAAATATAAAAATCCATAGCGTAAATCTTCTTCACCCTCTCATATGTATCCTGTAGTGCAACAAACACACAGGAGAGGATGAGCGGAGTGGAATGGATGGAGGTGGGCAAGACAAGGGAGAGGGGTGAAGCGAGTTGAGAAAAAAGGCCAGGGACACGGGAATGGGCAAGAGTGAGGGAAAAAAATGAATATGCACCTTGTCATACAGCTTCGCGAGGCGCCGATCCGTATCCGTGAAGTGCGCCCCTTTGCCGAACCTAAACACGTCCAGGTGCTCGCCGCCGAACCTGTCGACCACCGTCTCGACATCCTCCTCCAGGTGCTCGAATCGCCCCACGAAGTCGTACTTGATGGAGCCCAGCGCACAGATGTCTTCTTGTGGCGCCAGGTGGCGATCCATGTCAGCGCGGTGACTGGCCAGCAGCTTGCCAACAAGGCGGACGAAATCCGGGAAGGAGACAAGCCCTGTGCTGTCCTTGACTGCCTCGTACATGGGCTTCACTGCGTGGAAGAAGGCCTGTGGGATGGAAGGGGGCATAGGGGGACGACAGATTTAAAGAAGTAGATAGTCCACGGGTGGGCACACACGATTCTGACTTGGTTGCGCTTGACTGCCTCGTACATGGGCTTCACTGCGTGGAAAAGGCCTGGTAAATGCAGTGGAGGGGCACAGGGGGAGACTTTTGAGTCGACACAAAACAGGGGCACAGGGCATGGGGTACAGGGCATGGGGTACAGGGTGAATGAACACAAAACAGCCATACAATGCTGCAGGCAGGCACTCACGTTGCTCCAGTACTGGCGGGTGCCCCAGCCGGTGCCGGTCTTGAGCTTGGGTCGGTCGGTGCGTACGAGCTTGTTGGAATAGGCCGAGGCAATGCGCGAGAAGGGGTTGCGCACAAAGGTGAACTTGAAGAAGTCCGGGCGGGTCATAAGGCGGATCTGGAATGGAGGAAAGGGGAGAGGGATGGGGGCAACGCTTGAGGCGACTCAGAAGTAACTTCGACAGTAGAGAAGGGGCTGAAGGGGTTGAGACGGGGCTGCACACAAAGCTGCACACAACACAAAGCTGCTCACAACACAAAGCTGCACACAACACAAAGCTGCACACAACACAAAGCTGCACACAACACAAAGCTGCACACAACACAAAGCTGCACACAACACAAAGCTGCACACAACACAAAGCTGCACACAACACAAAGCTGCACACAACACAAAGCTGCACACAACACAAAGCTGCACACAACACAAAGCTGCACACAACACAAAGCTGCACACAACACAAAGCTGCACCTGAAGAAGACCTTCACTGCTTGCACTGATGCATCATGAGTCGTGCCTGCCCGCCCGCTTGTGCAGCCCTCACTGCTTCTCGTTTGCAGCACGTGATAAAACGCCCCTACTGGCTCAACACGACAATAACCCCCAGCCCACCCACCACATCCCAGCCCCACTCACGGCCTGTTCTTCGGTGAAATCAAGAGCAACCTCGTGCAGTCCCCACTGCTTCTCGTTGAGCGCCAGGAGTGGGTCCAAGGAGGCCCCCCACTGTCAGAACTGGACAGAACCCCAGCCCAGCCACCACCTCCCAGCGCGACTCACCGCCTGTTCTTCTGTGAAGTCCAAAGCCAGCTCGTGTAAGCCCCACTCCTTCTCGTTGAGAGCCAGCAGCGGGTCCTCTGGGTTGGGCAGGCCCAGGCGCGCCCTGAGCCACATGAGCCACGAGTTACACGCCACCTTGGGGATTGCGCAGTAGACCAGCTTCAGGGACTCTGAGAGGGCGGGCAGGGTGGGATTGGGGGGATGAGGTGGGGAATCTGTGTACAGCGCAGTATTGTTGCAGCCACATGAGCCACGAGTTGCACGCCACCTTAGGAATGGCGCAGTAGACCAGCTTCAGGGACTCTGAGAGTGGGTGGGTGGAATGGGAGTGGGGAATGAGGTATGAGGATGGGTGGGGGGATGCAGAGGGCAGGCGCAGGCGCCCCCTCAGGCACATGAGCCAGGAGTTGCAGGCCACCTTGGCGATGGCGCAGTACAGCAGCTTGAGGGACTCTGAGTGGGGCAGGGGGTGTGGGTGGGGAGAGGGGCGGGGATACAATGGAGCATCGCTGCAGCCACATGAGCCACGAGTTGCAGGCCACCTTGGCGATGGCGCAGTACAGCAGCACACCAGCTACAGCCTTCAGGGACTCTGAGAGTGGATGGGTGAATAGATGGGTGGGTGAGCGGCAGCAGGGGCCAGGTCAAGGGTCTAGATTTTAGAGTCTAGAGACTAGGGACTAGACTTCAGTGCCTCTCACCTTTGGTGATGGTGAAGCGAGCCAGTTCCTAGGGGGGTGGGTCTAGGGCTCAGGGCTTAGAGGCTAGCCATTAGTGCCTCGTACCTTCGATGATGGTGAATCGAGCGAGCTTCTGCTGGGTGAGGGGCAGCAGGGGCGGCGAGTCAAGCATCTAGGGTTGAAGGCATAGGGCTTTGCGTTTAGGTACTAGCCATTTGGGTGTCTCTCACCTTCGATGATGGTGAAGCGAGCGAGCTTCTGCTGGGTGAGCGGCAGCAGGAGCGGTGAGTCACAGACGGGGCGCTGCACGCGGAAGAGGTCGGAGCGGGCGGCGCCGTGGGCGGCGATGAACATGGCTTGTGGCGAGGCCAGGCCGGCCTTCAGGGCGATGAGTCCTCGGGTCATGCTGAGCGCAAACAGCTCCACTGCCTGTGTGATGGGGGGAGTGGGAGGAGGGGGAAAGATACAGTTGACCAGGTGGCTCAAACACACGTCCATGGGCAGTGATGAACATGGCTTGTGGCGACGCCAGGCCGGCCTTCAGGGAGATGAGCCCTCGGGTCATGCTGAGCGCAAACAGCTCCACTGCCTGTGTGATGGGGGGAGTGGGAGGAGGGGGAAAGATACAGTTGACCAGGTGGCTCAAACACACGTCCATGGGCAGTGATGAACATGGCTTGTGGCGACGCCAGGCCGGCCTTCAGGGAGATGAGCCCTCGGGTCATGCTGAGCGCAAACAGCTCCACTGCCTGTAATGCGACGGAGGAGGGGGGGGAAGCACAGCCGGATCCATGTTCTCCGCATCTGCATTCCATTGTGCACGCATAGACGCACCCACCCACACGCACCCACCCATACGCACCCACCCACACGCACCCACCCACACGCACCCACCCATACGCACCCACCCATACGCACCTGCAGGCGGACACAGAGCATGAGATCATCAGGTGACAGGCTCTTCTTCCTAAGCAGCTGCCTCACCTCCGTCCCGTTTCCCCCTCCCGTTCCATTCCCTCCCACTATTAACCTTACTCCATTATCCGCAACAGCAGCACCGTTCCCATCCACTCCTTCCCCCACTTCTCCGGCTCCTCCTCCGTTACCTCCTCCTCCTCCCCCCCCTCCACCTCCCTTCCTCCACTCCTCCACCCCGACTTTCCCCAAATCCGCCCTCTCCCCCTTGGGACACGTGGCAGCGCGCGATTGGGTGGCTTGCAGCACGAACGGCGAGCGGGAGGGGTGGAAGGTGTCGGAAATCCGGGCGGCGTTGAGGGCGGTGCGGGCGGCGAGGGCGAAATCTAGCGAGGGGCGCTTGAGAAAGGACATGGCGAGGCGGCGCGTGGCACAGAGGTGGGGAGAGGAGGTGGCGGATATGGGGCACCCGGGACAGCCGTCCAGTGAGAGGTCCTGAGTAAAGTTTTGTGAGAGGGTGATACGAGGGCAGAAGGAGAGAACAGGGGAGGGGCCAGAGTGAGTATTGAGGCGCCTCAAAAGGAGAGGAGGTGGCGGATATGCGGCAGCCGGGACATCCGTCTAGTGAGAGGTCCTGAGGGGTTGTGGGCAAGTGTGTGGGAGGGAGGGCAGGGAAAGGGGGGGAGAGGACGTGGGCTTTTTTCCCCTTGGCAGTGGAGACCTATGGAGCCCACGCCCCGTCCACTGCGGCTTTCCTTAAGCTGCTCTCGACCGCAGCAGCCCGGAACCGCTTCCGCGCCAACCAACCCCCCGGCCAAGACGGCGAATAAGGTGGCGCCCAGCCCACTTCCGGCAGCGCTGGGCAGTCATGTCATGCTCCAGCGCAGCCAAGCAAACGCCTTGCACGCAAAGGCGCGGGCGGGCATTGAAGCGGCACGGCACACCCGCAGGCTCCGGCGGACCCCTGGCCCCTGCAGCTAGGGGACCTCCTCCACGCCCTGGAGTAAGGGGAGGTGCTAGGGGGCGGGTAGATGTAGAGAGGTGTATTTGCATGTTCAACCTTCCGCTCTCCGTAGACCGTCTTGCTTGTACCAATCACCGCATTAATACAAAGGACCGTTTGAGAGAGGGACGATAAATGGTTGGTTTTCTTGGATCACAGGAGAGAGGGAGACAGCAATCAGGCAACCGCAGACCAAGCGAGAAGAGGGAGTTTGAGTTCAGAAGCGAGGGCAGTGTGGGGTGATGGGCGCTTGAGGAAGGAGATGGCGAGGCCAAGAGGGGAGGAGAGGAGGTGGCGGATATGAGGCAGCCAGATATGGCAGTTGTTGAATTCCTTGGATTGAATTAGGAAGGAGGGGCGGCTATTGCGCAAGTTGAGAAGTGAGGGCGGAGTGGGGCGAGGGTGGAGCGGAGTGAGGGATGCTTGAGGGGCGCCTGTAGCAGCAGCAGTGCCGCGACAGGCAGGGCGGGGTGCAGCGTTGCCATGCATGTTGCCATGCATGTTGCCATGCATGCTGCCATGCATGCTGCCATGCATGCTGCCATGCATGCTGCCATGTTCCGAATCATAAGGCGCCCCAGGGAAAGGCAACTCACATCGAGGTAGAGGCCAAGGGTGGACTTGAGGCGACCCAGGCCCTCCTGCAGCAGCAGTGCTGTCACGGTCGGGGCGGGCTGCAGCGCTGCCTTTACAGGAGACTAGAAAGGGCACTCACGTCGAGGTAGAGCCCGAGGGCGGACTTGAGGCGACCCAGGTCTTCCTGCAGCGGCAGCTCGGCCACTGGCGGGGCTGGCTGCAGCGCTGCCTTCCAAAGAGCCTAATGAGTCGAGGTTGGAGGCGCCTCAAAAGTTGAGTGAGAAGGCAACTCACGTCGAGGTAGAGCCCGAGGGCGGACTTGAGACGACCAAGGCCCTCCTGCAGCAGCAGAACCGCGGCTACTGGCGGGGCTGGATGGAGCGACTTTTCAGGCGCCTCAAAAGAGACAGCAACTCACATCGAGGTAGAGGCCAAGGGCGGACTTGAGGCGGCCGACATCTTCCTGCAGGAGCAGATCGGCCACAGGCGGGGCGGGCTGCAGCGCTGCCATGCATGCCGCCATGCGGCGTTCGAATGCACATGGGTTCACCGCGTCCTGTGTCACACAGGTTGGGGGAAAGGGGGGGTGGGCAATGTGAGTGTGGGGAGGGACGTGGGGGGGAGTGCAGCAGCAGCTCGGCCACAGGCGGGGTGGGCTGCAGCGCTGCCATGCATGCTGCCATGCATGCTGCCATGCATGCTGCCATGCATGCTGCCATGCATGCTGCCATGCATGCTGCCATGCATGCTGCCATGCATGCGGCCATGCATGCTGCCATGCATGCTGCCATGCATGCTGCCATGCATGCCGTCATGCGGCGCTCAAATGCACACGGGTTCACCGCGTCCTGTGTCACAGGTAAGTGGGGGGGGGGTGGGGGGTGGTCGTCAAGGGGGAAAAAGTGAGGTAAGTGCATGAGGGGAGGGCATGAGGGGAGTGCATGATTGGAGGGCATGAGGGGAGTGCATGATTGGAGGGCATGAGGGGAGTGCATGATTGGAGGGCATGAGGGGAGCAGCGCTGCTGCCATGCATGCTGTCATGTGGCACTCAAACGCACACGGGTTCCCCAAATCCTGCCTCACACAGGTGGGAGGGTGATGGGGGAAGGGGTAGGGGAGTAGGGGTGGAGTGAGGGGGGAGAGTGAGGAGTGGGGAGTTGGGGGGAGGGGCGTGGGGAGGGAGAGCGGATTGTGGAAGTCGGTCTATAAAAAATCATAGAGTGTTTAAGTGGGAGAAGGGAGAGGTCATTCTAATTAGGAACTCTCACCATGCGGTTTGTGGGGAGCTGTCAAAAGGTGTGGGGAGCTGTCAAAAGGTGTGGGGAGCTGTCAAAAGGTGTGGGGAGCTGTCAAAAGGTGTGGGGAGCTGTCAAAAGGTGTGGGGAGCTGTCAAAAGGTGTGGGGAGCTGTCAAAAGGAGTGGGGAGGGAGAGCGGATTGTGGAAGTCGGTCTATCAGAAATCGTGGAGAGGGTAAGTGGGAGAAGGGAGAGGCTGAGCACCAAAACGTATCCCTTCGCACCTCACCACTTCTCACATGCACACACACAGGCAGCAGTGCAGCACTCACCACGAGCCAGTTGATGGAGGCGGGCGAGAGGTACAGGCTGAGCGTGAGCGACTTGACTGGATCTTCCAACCCACCTGCACCCTTCTGCACCCTCCTGCACCAAACCCTCACACTGAACTCACCACAAGCCAGTTGATGGAGGCGGGCGAGAGGTACAGGCTGAGCGTGAGCGACTTGACTGGATCTTCCAACCCACCTGCACCCTTGTGCACCCTCCTGGACCCTATTGCACCCTCCTGCACCGAACCCTCACACTGAACTCACCACAAGCCAGTTGATGGAGGCGGGCGAGAGGTACAGGCTGAGCGTGAGCGAGGCAACAGTGGCATTCTGAGAGGCGCCCCGCTTCTGACACCCGCGGATGGTCACCTGGCATGGGCGTGGCGGGGCGAGGGAGAGAAGGCGGAGGGGCCAGAGGGGAAGGGAAGGAGGGAGAGAGGAGGCAGGTGCTCAGTGCTCGAGGTAACAGTGGCATTTGGAGAGGCACCCCGCTTCTGACACCCGCGGATTGTCACCTGGCATGGGCGTGGCAGGGCGAGGGAGAGAAGGCGGACGGACAAGGGGGAAGAAGGGTGGGGTGGGGGGGTTGAATGCGGGCAGGTGGTCAGGCGGGCAGATGGGCAGGCGGGAACAGGTGCAGTGGGGGGGGGAATGGAGCCTGGAAAAAGGAAAGAGTGGGGTGCCAAGAGAAAGGGCGTGAATAGGGGGGCCAGTAAGACGAGAGGCCTCTCGATTCTTACCGGTCGGTGGGTGAGTGCGAGGAACTGACGCCAGTGAGCAGCCGTCTCATTCGCCTCCTCTACCCACACAAACCGCCCCGCACCCCTTCCCTTGCTTCCACCACCACCACCACCACCACCACCACCACCACCACCACCACCACCACCACCACCACCACCACCACCACCACCACCACCACCACCACCACCACCACCACCACCACCACCACCACCACCACCACCACCACCACCACCACCACCACCACCACCACCACCACCACCACCACCACCACCACCACCACCACCACCACCACCACCACCAACACCACCACCGCTGCTACCACTGCTGCCACTGCCGCCCCCGCCTCCAGTGCTGCTGCTGTTGGCTCCCATTCCTCCCTCTGTGACATTCCCAAGGTCCGTACCCCCTCTTGCCTCCACTCCACCACCACTGCTTAGCCCTTCCCCGCTCCCCCCGGCCCCCCCAGCAGCAGCACGCAAGGTCCGCCCTTCCACATCAGGAGGAGGGGGGGTACCAGAGGCGTCAGCGGCAGCGGCAGTTAGAGTGAAGAGGTCGGAGAAGCGGATGTGCGGCATGTAGGCATCGGGCACCCAGAGGGCGAGCGCCGTGAGGTTGGCTGCTGGCAGCAGGGCGGCCGCGGAACAGACGGATGATAGCCGCGAACCCAGATCGCCCTGGAAGGACGGGGGGAGGAGCAGGGAAACGGGGGGAAAGGGGGGGAAACGGGGGGAAAGGGGGGGAAACGGGGGGAAAACGGAGGAAATGGGAAAACAAGGGGTGAAAGAGGGGGAAGGGAGGGTGAATGGGAGTGGGGGAAGACATGGCAGCGTCGGGGAACCAGAGGGCGAGCGCGGTGAGGTTGGCTGCTGGCAGCAGGGCGGCTGCGGCGCAGAGGGACGACAGATGCGAGCACAGATCGCCTTGGAAGGAGGGGAGACGAAGGGGAGCAGGCAGAGGAGGTGGAGAAGAGGAGGGAGGAGAGGGAGAGAACACAAGTAAGGGCCGGGAGTGGTGAGGTTGGCTGATGGGAGCAGAGCAGGTGCGGAGAAGAGCAGGCGCGGAGCAGAGCAGGTGCGGAGCAGAGCCTCGGGTGGCTGGCACACTGCTACGAGTCGCATCTCCGCTTACCTCCGCTATAATCACAGCGTCGGGCGGCCGGCACACCGCCAGCTGGCCTCGCTCCCGGCAGTAACGCCCCTGCCCCTGCTGACCCAGCCCCCAGAAGTCGTCCAACCCCCCGCTGCCACGTGTCCCGTCGTCCAGGTCATCATAGCTGCCGGTAATGCGCGTCCGCGACGAACGCGCGACGCCCCCGTCGTCGTCGTCGTCGTCATCGTCGCCGTATTCCACGGTGACTACTAGCAGCAATAGAAGCACGCTTAGGAGGCATAGTGTCATGATCCCGCGCCGCGTCCCTAATCGCCAGCTGCAATGCCATTGGCGGCTCGAGCTTCTTGTGGACTTGGTCAATGGCGTCACCATATCGAACGGCTATGATGTAGAGAAACGATTGCAATTAGGTTTCCATTTTGTTGTAAAGGTGTCGTCCTCCTGTTTCCTTGCTGACTGCCCAGCTAATGCAGTGAGCGTGTGTTGATACTAGTAGCCCGTCGTACGCGATAAGGCGCGTTCACTAGCAGCTACCGCGAGAGCGGCACGGACCGTCGTTCGTGTGTCCGCTGGACTCGGGAATACGTGGTGTACGGCTGACACCTGTCGGAGCAGATCCGCTCAACTGGCATTGATTGACCGTCTGTTAAAGCGAACCAAGAAAGCGCCAGGAGCAACCGACCTTGCGAGAAAGCACGTGCGTGCTTTCAAGCTAACGCCTTCACAGACCCAAGGATGTTGGCGTCGAGATTCGGAATGCTCTCGTGTGGTGATTTGCTGAAGTTGTATCATGTGCAACAGCTCACATGATGTGAAGCTGTTGCTACGACACTGCACTCGCTTCTAAAACGGTCTCGCTCCAAGCTGAGAGTTACACGTTTTTGTCTTCAGCCTCACTTAGGCTCCTAGATATGACCATTTCCTGCATAGATAAAGCTATCACAAGAATGGGAGCTTGTTTACGCGACTCGGACCAACATCCATCGCCTGATCTCGGTGTCTCCAAACGTGTGGTGTGGATTTGAAAAACTCTCCTGTCAGACACCCTACCCTGCACCCTCCAGATCCCAAATCCTGGAAAAGCATTCGTTGTAACATCTCTCACATATTGGTAATTGTGTTCCATATCTCTCACATAAATGCTCAAGCATTGAAGACTGTATATATGTACAGAATATCTTACAGAATATTCATCGAAGTGATAATCTACACAGTCTAAATATTATGCTGAAAAAAAGTTTTTTTACAATAAAAAAGGATATTACGATGGATCCCATAACTTACGGCTGTACTTGCACAATAACTAGTAGTAATTTATTCTATTTTGTCATGCCACATGAGTACAACAGTTCAGCATGTCCAGCAAAAGCAATGGACAGTCAGCCAACAAAGTTGTCAATCAGGCAGATTAGCGAAGCCCAAATTTCCTCGCAGGAGTCCTTGGGGCAATTTGGTTTATCACTGTTCCACATTCCGCATTCCCCCCATTCCCCCATTTCCCCACTACTGTTCCCCCAACTCCTCCCCAGATGCCCTCCATCGTCGCCCCTCGGTTTGACCTCATCACCACGCCTCCTCCTCCTCCCTCCCTCTCTCTCCCTGCCACCCCCGCTACCTCTTAGCTCCCATTCACTCCAAAGTTTTCCTCTCTTCCTGCTAAGGAGATCTTTCCCCCTCCCTTGCTCCCTTCACCCTTTCCCTAGCCGTAGCGCGAAGCGTGCAGCCATGGCGCTGTCACAGAGGGAGGCGGATATTCAGATGATGCTCGCGGCGAAGGTGCACCTGGGCACCAAGAACTGCAACTACCAGATGGAGCGCTACGTCTGGAAGCGCGGTGCGGACGGTACGTCCGCCGTGTTTTTGTGATCTTAGCGGCGTGCAGTCCGGTTTGTGACACTGGTGTGCTCCTCGCCGTGTTAGCGCGCCGGCGTGGGTTCGCGATCGCGGCATTATTGACCGGAAACGCGCGTTAGGGTTTGGAGTGGGATCTAGGTTCCGAGGCTCGTGGAAGTAGAAATATTAACTTAAGCGCAGCAGACGCGGGTTAGCTTGTCGTGCATGCAGATGCTGTCGCAGGGGCGTGGACGATCCTAGGACGATTGATCAGATACTAATAGATTCGTGACCTGCTAGTATGAGAACTAGACCTTGCTTGGGATCAGCGAGCGAGCGGAGAGATTAGGAAGAGTAGGGATTCGGGCGGGAGACCGGGGATTGTGCGGGAAATGGGGCGCTGTGGGAGGGTGTCCATGGTACCTTTTCTACACGTCTCGTGCTGCCCAAATGTCGAGGTGCCTACGACGGAGCAGACGTGCGAGTTTCCCCGGTTAGCTGTCTGCGACAGACACGGATTCGCCACTGCGAGGGTCGCAATCGCAAGAGATCATGATCGTGGCACGAAGTTGCAGGAGGATATCGTGGGGTGGAAATCGCAGTGGCGGGAGGTTGAGCAGGTTCTAAAGCGGTTTTTTTTTACGCGATGGAATTAGCCTAGAGAGTTGTTTGGTTGACGATCGGATGGACTTGGGGAATGGCGTTTCATCAGGCGTAGCAAACCCTAGGCTGACTCGGATTCTTGTCTCGTAAAAGGAGTAGCTAATTTTTCCGGAGCATTCATAATTTCGAGTCTCTGACCACGGCAATCCTGACCAGAATCGAGTTTAGAGCAATTCGAAGCGGTATATTTACTGTCCTCAAAACTTTGCCTCGCCGGCTTCCGCGCATCTCCCAGAAATTGCCGATGACATGACGTGGCCCTCGTTTCCTCTTTCCCACTTCGCCTTCTCCCGCTGCCTCTAAATCGCCATTGCAAGATCCCCGCCGCCCGTTCCATGCCGCCGGTCCCCTGCCGGCCGCCCATGGTCAGGCGTGTTTATTATTAACCTGGCCAAGACGGGGGACACGCTGCAGATGGTTTTCAAACACCTCTTCATTCTCCCACCTCCCTCCCTCCCCCCCCCCTTCCCCCACACCCCCGCTTCCTTTCCCTTCCCGCTCCCCCATGGCCAGGTGTGATAATCATCAACCTGGCCAAGACGGGGGACAAGCTGCAGATGGTTCTACGTGTGTTTTGCGTCCCCTTCATCTTCTCTCCTCTCTGCCTCCAATCACCATCATATCCTCCCTCCCCCCCCCCCTTGTTCAGGTGTGTTCATCATTAACCTCGCCAAGACGTGGGACAAGCTGCAGATGGCGGCGCGCGTGATTGTCGCGATCGAGAACCCGCAGGACATCTGCGTGCAGTCGGCGCGGCCGTACGGGCAGCGCGCGGTGCTCAAGTTCGCGCAGTACACGGGCGCCAACGCCATCGCGGGCCGCCACACGCCCGGAACCTTCACCAACCAGCTGCAGAACAACTTCAGCGAGCCGCGCCTGCTCGTCCTCACCGACCCGCGCGTTGACCACCAGGTACGCCGTTGACCGCGCTGACCACGTGGACCCGCGTATCCGAGAAGTCCCGCCCTTCATTCTTACACCCGGCTTTCTCTAGTTTCTAGGCGCATAAATTATACTCTACCCTATACCTATCTCCCGCCCTCTTACTCTACCCCCGCCCCCCCGCCCCCGGTCCCCTTCTTCCCCCCTCCTCCCTCCCCTCCCCCCTCCCCCCCCCCCCCCCCCCACAATCCCGTCCCTCCCCTCATTCCCCGCAATTTTTTCTCTCACTTCAAAATGTTCGTTTTCGCCGAGTAGCCCACGGCTGAAGCGGCGTTGACCAACATCACCACTATTGCATTCTGCGATACGGACAGCCCGATGCCTCGACCTCGGGATCCCCCCTCACCCTCCATTCTTTCTGCCCCCATTTCTATCCCCTTCCCCCCCCTTCCCTCCCCGCCCTCCACCCCTCCGCCCCACCACGCCCCCTCCCTTCCCCACCCCGCCGCCGCACCCCCGCCTCCCCACAACTCCGCCTACCCCCTTTCAGCCCACGGCTGAGGCGGCGCTGACCAACATCCCCACTATTGCGTTCTGCGATACGGACAGCCCGATGCGGTACGTGGACCTGGGCATCCCCGCCAACAACCGCGCGAAGCACTCCATCGGGTGCCTCTACTGGCTGCTGGCGCGCATGGTGCTGCAGATGCGCGGCTCCATCCTCCCCAGCCAGCCCTGGGACGTCATGGTGAGTCTGGGGAGGGGGTTTCAGGGTATTGGGAGGAGCGGGCGGGCGGGCGGGCGGGTTTGTGGGCGGGTGGGAGGACTCGAATGGGTGCCGGTGCCGGTTGCTCGCGCGCATGGTGCTGCAGATGCGCGGCTCCATCCTGCCCAGCCAGCCCTGGGACGTCATGGTGAGTCGTCTTGAAGGGGGGTGGGGATAATGGGAGGTGGGAGGGGGGGAGGCGGGAAGGGGCGAAGGGGAGGGGGGGTTGAGGGAGAGGAAATCAGCGGGCGATGCGGACGGGGGAGGGAATGCGCGGGGCGAAGGGGACGGACGAGGGAATTCGGGGGGCCAGGGGGACGGGGGAGGGAATTTGCGGGTTGAGGAGGGCGGAGGGTGAGGGAAAGGAATGGGCCTCGGGTTGAAGCATCCAGTGGGTGTCTTGTGCTGGTCGCTGCGTGATTTTGTGGACTGTCGTGGGTTTTTTGGATGGTGCTGTTGATGTGCGGCCAGGATGCAGCCTCGTAGCCACGTCTTCTGATGGGGTACAATGGGGTCGATTCCTGAGACGTTTCAGGTCGAGTTAGAATGCGTGAGGGGGTATTGGAAAGAGAATTCAGTGGGGAGAGCAAGGCGAGCAGGAGGGACGTGGATAGATAAGGGGTTGGCAGATCGGCAGACTGCACATGGCACATGGTTTTGAGACGTCTCAAAACTCTTCTTTTGTCGAGGGGTTGGCAGATTGCACATGGCACATGGTGCACGTGGCGATATAGTGCCGATTGCAGTTACAGTAGCAGCAGTACCACTAGCAACAGTCACAGCAGCTGTATCAGTAGCAGCAGGAGCAGCAGCAGCAGCGCCAGCAGCAGTGGCAGTTGGAGGAATAGCAGGAGGAGCAATGGGAGTTGGAGCAGAAGTAGCAGTAGTAGCAGCCGCAGTGGCAGCAGCTGAAGATGCAGAAGCAGCAGCTGGAGATTTAGAGGGAGGGGTGTGAGTGGGTACGGAGCGGTGCTTAATCTGTTGTAAGCAAGCGTTCCACCAGCAACCACGACACCCCATTAGCTGTTGTTAATTCTGCGCTCCTCTTCGTTTCCTCCCATCCCCACGTTGGCCCGTTCTGTTATTGTCACATCCGCTTATTGTCACGCGCAGGTCGACCTGTTCTTCTACCGCGACCCCGAGGAGACCAAGGAGGAGCAGCCCGAGGAGGGCGCTGCGGCAGAGTTCGGAGCGGTTGAGTTCGGTGCTGTGCCCCAGATCGCCGAGGGGCAATGGGATGCTGCCGCTCCCACAGCTGACTGGGACGCTGCTGCTGCCGCCCCTGGTGGTACGTGCGATGGGGGGTTGGGGGGAGAGACGCTAGGGGTTGAGGGGAGAGACGTAAGGGGTTAGGTGGTACTTGTTTCACAAGTGACTCTATTGGGATGCCGCCGCTCCCACTGCTGACTGGGACGCTGCTGCTGCCGCCCCTGGTGGTACGTGCGATGGGGGGTTGGGGGGAGGGACGCTAGGGGTTGAGGGGAGAGACGTAAGGGGTTAGGTGGTACTCCTTTAAAAAGTGACTCTAATGGGATGCCGCCGCTCCCACTGCTGACTGGGACGCTGCTGCTGCCGCCCCTGGTGGTACGTGTGGTGGGGGATTTGGTGGGGTCAAGTGTGCTGGCCGGGTAAGGATGGTCAAGGTAGAAGAGAGAGGGTTTAGGGGTTTGGCGGGGCTTAGACTTGACCAGGTCTGGCATGGGGAAATGCGCCTGCTGCTGCTGCTGCTGCTGCTGACTTTGGGCCTGGATTGTGCTGATTGCTGCTGGAGTGCTGCTGGTAGTAGCTGGATTGCTGCTACTTACTGATTGTTGCTGCTGATTTGCTTACTGCTGCTGACTCGACTGCTGCTGCTGCCAACTGGATTGCTGCTGCTGACTGGATTGCTCCTGCTGCTGACTTGACGGCTGCTGCTAATTGGCCACACTTGTTTGTACACAAACGTAGGAACCACTATGAGCCCACCTTTCCTTGCATGATGAATGGGGTCACCTGTTGGGCATGCATACACAGAAACACACGCAGCTGGACACAGGCATACCGCAACCCATCCTTTCCCTCCCACTTTCCCCTCCCATGATATCACTCCCAACACTGCAGGTGCTGTGCCGGCTGTTGCTTGTGGCTGGGATGCTGCTGCCCCCCCAGCTGCAGGCGCTCCCCCTGCTGGTGTTTCGTTAGGCTGGGATGCCGCTGCTCCCGTGCCCGGTGTGCCTCGGGCTGGCTGTTACCACTTTTGAGTCGTTTAAGAATTCCCACCCTCCCGTGCATCCAACCCCAACACTGCAGGTGCTGTGCCGGCTGTTGCTGGTGGCTGGGATGCTGCTGCCCCCCCTGCTGCGGGCGCTCCCCCTGCTGCTGTGTCGTCAGGCTGGGATGCCGCCGCTGCCCCCGTGCCTGGTGTGCCTGGGGCTGGCTGGGACGCTGCTGCCCCCGGAGGCTGGGAGGCTGCCCCTCCCCAGTAAACACCTTCTCCAGATGTGACCTTTCTAGTTGGTGTGCATGCACACTGCAGCACCACAAGAAGGCAGAAGGTCCTGTCCGCTGCTGTATTGATGTTTCGAATATCGAGGGAAGAGAGTTGTCTTGCAGGATACACGTGCTTGTTTGTGATGCGCTTAAGAAAGAAATAGAATATCCTGTTTCTGTTCCCGCAGCTCAAAGTGATTCACTTTGCTGAAAGAATTTTGCTTCTAGGATTATTGAAATTTCCATAATTTTGTGTGGTCTTAGCGTTACATGTTATACATGTTATATCCAAAATCTAGATTTGAGGACCTATTCCCAACCGCTAACTGAGCAGTGATGTGGTTGGCCGGTATCCATTTGCTATGCTCAGTCATAGCAGCGGGCTGTTGCTTATGTGGCGCGCATGAGGTGTTTGACTTGGCAGAGAGTCCACTGGGGCGTACATTAGCCGCCATCCACGTGCCTCAACGACAACTAGTGGGACTGCACGAGGATAAGGCTGCTCCTCATTTAGCCAATGACAGCTATGACCGACTTGTTATCACGTGATGCTCAGTGGAGATTTGGTTCCGAATCTGCCGAGGAGAAAAAAACGTTTTGTCGCGGCTTTAGGTTGCCACTTGAAAGACTGACTAAACGATTTTCCTTCAAATAATTTGGATTACCAATCTACAGTGTACAAATTTGCTTATGAAAGTCACTCGGTAGGCATATTTTAGGACGACGATGATCCTTTTTGGAATCGATGGCTTGAACTTTGTTTCGTTCGGCAAATCTTAGAAGTTCACAACACTGTAGCAAGCTTTTGAGCAACTTCCCACGAATGTTCTGAGACACAGAATCATGATGACAAATGTGGAATCGTTCCGTGTGCGGTCAGCACGGCTCCAAGCGTGAAAGATGCGATGACAGGGGCAGCCGCACATCCCGAAACAGTTCTCCGGTGGGTGTTGCTGCACTGGCCGCGGGCGTCCTGGACCTACTGCGGATGCTTCGTGTCTGAAAAGCAGTCTCATGGGATGGTGGTGCCCGAAAAAAGGGGCTAGGGGTGACAGCTTCTTGAGAAACTCAGTCCGCTCGCTCCCACCAGATGAGGGTTTCCTTCCTGCCGAGCACCATCCGTGCGCCTTTCTTTTCCCCGTTACTCTCCCCCCTTCCCGTTCCGCTCCCCTTACCCCTCCCTTCATCCCTTTCGTCTTCCCCTTCCCTTTCCCTTCCCCCTTTCCCTTCTTGGTTTGGCAAGGATGCGATTTTCCCTTGGCTACAAAACCTCCTCCACCTTCTCATTCCGCGGCTGTCTAGATTACGTTGCTGCAAACCTTGAGGTACCCTTCACCCATCACCAGAGCTCTCCTTGTGCCGCCCTTGTCCCTGGATTAATTAGTCGAACTGGCTTTCTCGTGCTGACGACGACCTAAGAACCCAGCCTCTTTTTTTCGCTGTCACTGACAGCGTTACAGAGGTTTCCTTTGCGAACTTCTGCCAGGATTCCCGCCATATCTTTTGAGGGTTTCTACCCTTTCTTCAAGTGCACGTTCACTCATTCCCGCTGAGAAGCATTCGCATTCAGTTTCAGCAGAAAAACTCGTGCAACAACAGCGGCTGTATATTTCCAACCTTTTTTTTCCTACGTGTCAATCCACGTGGAGAAGGGCGGCATGGAGAGCTTGATGGGTACTCGTCTTATTTTCGGCCAGCAGAACTTGCTGCAGCTTAAGCAGCTTCAGGATGCTGCAGCAGCGGCCACGGCACTGCCTGCGGGCCAGTATCTTCCGGTTGACGTTAACCTGCTTCTGCAGCTTCACAACATGTCCGGGATTCAGAGCGATGCTTCTCTTCCTTCGCTCGCGTCGGACGCTCGTCCTCGCCTTACTTGGACGGATAAGGTAATTTTGTATTTTTTTTTCCGATGTATCATTAAAATTATCGTATATCGTGGATCTAAATATAGGGTTGTCTTTGATTTCCTGTTGCAGGAGGATTGCTTGCTGAAGGAGCTGATTCGCCAGCACGGGACGAACAAGTGGGCTCTTGTTGCTTCTAAGATCCGCACCAAGACGAACAAGCAGTGCCGTCGCAGGTGGCAAGCGTTTTTGAACGCCATGGGCAACAAAGGCGTGTGGACTCCCGAGGAGGACGAGAAGCTTTTGGAAGGTCACCGCTTGTATGGCAACCGCTGGACTGAAATTGCTCGCATGGTTCCTGGAAGGTACTTATCGCTCATTCATCCATTGCCCGCTTCGCCCGCTGTTTACTCTTGTAGTTTATCTGCACCCGTATTCGTTTTTCTTAATGCCAAATTTTCTACGTGTTTATTTCTGTTTTCAGGACCGACAACGCTGCTAAGAATCGATTCGCGGCGTTGACTGCTAAGCGCGGTGTTGCTATTCCGCAAAACCAGTCCAAGTCACCCTCGCATTCTGGCGTCTCTGAAAACGTGAGCGCGAGCCAGGTCGGCGATTCGTCTTCCGCATTGAGCGAGAGACCAACTTCAAAGAGGAGCCGATCCGATGTGCACTGGATGGATCGCGCGGTGAAACCGAAGGTGGATTTCGATCTTAACTCCGCTCCAGTGGCCGCTGTTGCGTTGGCCTCCCAGACCAGCAGCGCATGTTCCGAGGTGGAGCAGTGCCTGGAAGGTTCCTTCCTTCCCGACCTCAACTCTCCACTTCCGGAGCTGACGCTCTCGCTGTAGGCGAGGCGAGTGTTTTTTGGCGACTGTGCTTTTGTCAGTCTGGAGGCTTCTCTCGTGCAGGCTCATGGCTCTATTGCCGTTTTTTTCCTGCCCGAAGGTTGTCTCTAGGCTGCTGTTAGCAGATTCGTCATGTTGAACTCGGCAGCAGCGCTTCTGTGCATAGGTGGTTCCACCTTGGCTTTTTCTTGTCTCTGTGCAAGTTGATCCCTTTCGGGATATGCCAATATCTTTTCTTTTAGCTGTTCTTGTTTACTGGTAAGACTGTCTTTTAGGATCATGCTGCTTAGCTTGTATCAACTCAGCTGCTTGCATAATCAATGTAACATGGAGAAATATCAAATACATTCTGAACAATGCTGGCACAAGTTATAACCGAAAGCTCAAATATATTCTGAAAAATATTGGCACTGAAGAGAGTGCATTGATCTGGCACGGACTTACAGGAACTGTTTTGTGCAAAGCTTGGTGTTTTTCGCATGAATTGAACTACTGTTTTTCGCAAGGCACTTTTCTGTAACCATGAATTGAACTACTGTCGACGATTATGAAGGCCACCGCACCGCCATCACTAATCATCACTTGTAATTCGCATCACTTCTCTAGCCAGGAAGGGGATGTTGGTGGGTCTTTGTGGAGGGATTGCATGAGGATTCCTGCAACGTGGTTCGCGTCCTGTGTTCCAGAATCTAGATGGAGCTTTCGGAAGAACCCATCATTCCGGGCAACAGCGCGGAAGAATCGGGAGCGGCGAAGCCTAGCGCTTCATCCGCGGCCGCTCCCTCTTCTCCTCTGCCGTCCGCGAAAGGCGTCGTTGCGTCGCTAGTGCGGGCGTTCGAGGTCCACACGCAACACCACCAACACCTCGCATTCCAACCTGGCTCTCACGGGGATGGTGATGGCGACGAGCCCGTTCAAGAGCGGCATCGCCAGCGAGAATCTAGATGTCACGAATCCGAGGACCAGCCGTTGCCGAAGCGCGCCAAGCTCGGTGACGTGGATAATTTTTTCGCCGAGTGTTCTGCTGCCGGTACATCTTCACCAGCGCATGCTGCTGATAAAGGACGTAAAACATCTTCACCAACACATGCTGCTGACGAGGGACTTCAAATACTTTCACCAGCGCATGCTGCTGATATAGGACCTCGACTAGCCTCACCTCGGACTGCTGACACGGACGCACTAGCAATTAATGCACGCTCGTTAGACGACGAGCCGTCGCTTCGTGGTCGTGGGGACGGTGCATCTGTGGCGAGCGAAGGGCTTCGTGTTAGCGCGAATCGCGCGAATGGCGCGAGTGGCGCGAATAGCGCGATTGTCGCGATTGGTACATTTCGTGATGCTGCTGCTGATGATGCGTCCGCGGCGGGGGGAATCGACGAGCTGTGGCGGAAGGCGGAGCTGCGCGCGGTGACGGCGGAGGTGGCGGAAAGCGAGGCGCGGATGAAGGCGCTGGAGGCGGAGAGAGATGCGCGGGAAGCGAGGGTTGCCCGCGCGAGCGAGAGATGCAGGAAGGTGAGGTGGCATCTCGTTACTATCAGACTCCACATAGTCATAGCAGATCGAGTTGACGATGTTGAAAGTAATGGAGGCGAAGCGGGATGCATGGGAAACGGAATCTAATGTGTTTCGTGTTACTTTTGTTCCTGTTTTTTTTTTTTTTTTTTTTTTTCCGGGCTTCAATTAGATTCTTTGTTTAAATGTAGCCATTCATGTGCCAACTATGACAACTCAGGCACCACAATCGCTTCTTCATTTCTGTCAGGCGGAAGAGTCAATCCAGCAAGCCACGTCAGCAGTGCACATGGCGCGGCATGCGCAGTACTCCCTGCGGGCGGCAGAATGGGCGGCGGCAGTGGGAGTGAGAGAGGGAGTGGCAGCAGCAGAGGAGGGGAGAAGGCGGCTGAACCAGCTATTGATGCTGGCAGGATCAGAATCAGGGCATGGGGGCGATGAAGCCAAGAGTGCTACCCTTGGAGGCGTGCTGATGCTGGAAGGATCAGATGCAGCAGCAGGGACGAGAGGTGGCTTGCTGCAGGGGAAGCAGCAGCAAAAGGCGATTTGTGGGGCGGAGGAACTAGGGGAGCGAGGAGGGGCGGAGGGACGGGGGGAGCGAGGAGCTGAGGGGGGTGGGAGGTTGGAGGGACGGCCATTGGATGCCTTGCATGAGCTGAAGGCTGTGCAGGTATGGCAGCGAGGTTGTGTGTGTGGCTGTGGCCATACCAAAACAAGTGTATTTTCACGAGGGTGGAGGGACGGCCATTGGATGCCTTGCATGCGTTCAAGGCCCTGCAGGTATGGCAGCGAGGTGTTTATGTGACTGCTGTGTCTCTGCCTCACTGCATGGCAGGAGGTGAATATGATCAATAATGAACTGTGAAGCCCGGCTCTGCCCGCTGTACATACACGTTCTCTGCTCTGTTATGTGCTCGATGCTCTCTTCTTATCCACCCCCTGCTTCCCCCTTTCTCCCCCATTCCCTTCCCCTCTCTTCTGCCGGCTCGTGAGTGATTGTGTCCAGATGGCAGCAAACGACCTCTCTACAGCATCCTTCACTATGGGAGATAATGGTGTAGATTTGGGTGCCGTGGAGGAGCATGTGCTGAGCATCAATAGGAAATGGTTAAGTTATTTAAAACTGCAGCGTGCGCTGTCGAATAAAAATGCTGCAGACGAGTAATTTTTGAAGAACAGGTTCACATACAATCATGGGTCCCTCCAACTTGGTATCAGGATGACGTAAGATACTTGCACAGGTGTTACACACAAAACTGTGAATATTGTTAAAGGTCATGGTATTTGATTTGGGATGATTGCCTTCACTGGACTTCCCATGAGGAAAGCTGAGATACATACTAATGACACACACCACAAACTCTTGCTTGAGAGAGGAAAAACAGGCTTTCAATGGCACACGGTCTAAGCAGTGGACATATGAGCTATATATACATAATCCACTGAGGCCGCAATAGAACCGCGAGTCGTGGAACCGCGAGTCGTGGAACCGCAAGTCGTGGAACCGCGAGTCGTGGAACCGCGAGTAGTGGAAGAACTGACTGATTTGATGCAAGCTGGAGCAGTGCAGTCACGCAGTGACAGCTCCTCGCAGCAGCACTGCACTGCAGCTACAGGAGCTTCTACGTTACAGCGCTTCTGCGAGGGGCTGTATCTACGTTGGGTGGTGGTCAACCAACGGCACCCCATGCGCTCGCAGCCACAGGGGCATGAATGAATGCTGCTCTTCTCCCTGCCTGCGCTGGGAGGTAGTCAGTTTCTCCCCCACTACGTTGGGTGGTGGTGGTCAACCACCGGGACCCCATGCGCTCGCAGCCACAGGGGCATGCGGTAGTGCGTGGAGAGGAAAGGGCGCACGTCTGGGTGTAGTGACAGGGTCTCGAGTAGTGGGAGCAGCACCTGCAGCAACTGAGTGGGAGGAAGGGAGCAGGAGGGAATGGGGCGGTAGTGTGAGTGAGGAGGGGAAGGGTATGGAGCTACAGGGGCATGCGGAAGTGCGTGGACAGGAAGGGGCCCATGTCTGGGCGAAAGAAAAAGTGTTCAAGTAGTGGGAGCAGCACTCATTGACAACAACTGGAGGGGGAAAAGGAGAAGGGCAGGGTAGGGTGAGTGATGACCGTAAGGAGATGCTGGAGTGTGTGAAGCGGAAGGGGCGCACGTCTGCCTGCAGCGACAGGGTCTTATTGTATGGCAGCCACGATTGCTTACCTGCCTGCCCAACCCCTAGCAACCGCTCTTAATAATAATTACAAAAAAAAAAAAAAAAAAAAAAAAAAAGGGGCCTGCAGCCGCCACTACTCCCCTGCCTGGCCAGCCGCTAGCAACCGCTTACCTGTTTATCTGACCCCTCGGCCCCAAAAAACGGCACACACGGCACGCCATTGACCGGTTGCAACAAGAAGGCGAAGGGGTTGTTGTCTATGATCACTGTGCGGCTCAAATCTCGCCCCAACACTGATAGGTCCTTCACATGCTGCCTCGTGCCTCTGGGTTTCATGAGAAAAATAAGAGCGAGGATAGTAAGGGAGAAGAGTGAGGCTATCGCGCAAGGTTGAGGATAGTATAGGTTGAGGAAAGGCAAGAGAGGCAGGCAAGTAGTGTTTGTTTGTAGGCCTAGGAAAGGTAGAGACTGAGGCACGTGAGGGGAGTGCAAGGCGAGGTAAGGTGCATGAGAGGCATGCATGCATACATGGTGAGGATGAAGCACATGAGAGGCATGCATGCATACATGGCGACGGTGGCAAGAAAGTAAGGTTTTCGAGGCACATACAGGAGGATGCATGGTGACAGTGCGGCACATACATGAGCGGCATGCATCCATGCATATATACATGGAGACGGTGCGGCACATGAGGTGAGTGGTGCATGCATGCATACATGGATACGGTGGTGGGGGTGAGGCACATGAGGAGCATGCATGCATGCATACATGGATATGGTGGCAGGACGGTAGAGGCGAGCTGAGATGAGCCCATCGGGGTCGATTCTGTCCACTAGCGGCCGAGCGTAGCCTGCCACCCACACGCAGCACACGGAGCACACAGGAGACTTTTGAGACGTCTCAGAGGTCGATTTTGTCCACTAGCGGACAAGCGTAGCCAGACACACACGCAGCACACATAGGATTGGGACATGGCGTCAGCAACACTATTAGACACCAGCTCACCCCACCTCACCCCACCTCACCCCACCTCATCCCACCTCACCCCACCTCAACCCATGAACGCACCTTCCAGCCCAGATGTGAAGAGCACCAGACGCACCCTAACCACACTCAACCGCACCCATGCGTACCCCAACCGCACTCAACCTTAACCCACCGCACCTTCGAGGCCAGCGGTGAAGAGCACGAGCTCGCCCAGGCGACTGGCGCGTCTGAGGAACTCCCGCAGCCCCGGGCGCTCGAATACCGTCACCCGCGCCCTCTCCGGTTCCCCGCTCGCGTCCTGCGCACGAGCGAGGTGACGCGGAAGGGGGCGAGGTGGTGAGAGATTGGGAGCGGTGCAGAATGGAGGAGAGAAATTAGGAGATGGGGATATCGGGGAACGAGGACGAGGTGACGGGGAACGGGATAGTGAGACATAGGGAGTGGTGAGGAGATGAGGCGAAGGGGATATTGGCTCCTCATGAAGAAGAAGAAGAAGAAAAAAACAAAAACAAACAAACAAACAAACAAACAAACAAAACACCTGAAGACAAGGAGACTGAACAGAACAGCCACCATGCAACGACCATTTACGTCTTGGCGCTATCATTGGGGCATGGCGAAGCACGAGGAGCACTGCTGAGTATATTTTTTTTCAAGGGGCTACGAGGATATCCCGATAGTCCATACAGCGGGATTGTGAGTGTACGGCGATTACATCCAAGAGGGGCAACTGCGAGTACTGAAACGAATAACGATGAAGCGGAATAAACTTACGAGGTCCGCTGTGGAGCATTCGAGCTCGAAGCTATTGACGCCGCTGGCGGCGGCTGCTTGACGGACGGACTCCGGCACGTCCTCCGCGTTGTACGCGCAGACTAGGGTTTCGTCCAGGTCCAACACGATCTGACGGAGACGGAGCGAGACGGAAAAAGGATGTAACAGACAGACGGAAGAGGGAGGTATGAGACGGTACGCGCGAGTTACGAAACGACTGCGGAACCAAGCGAGGCTCGGAAAGGTGGGGCGCAAATGGAATCTAAAGACCAACCAAAGGCCCCGAGAGTTCAGAGAGCTTAGCTAAGTAAATTCGCCCAGCACAGAAAGTGCAATTCCGTGTCGGAATTCCCCAGGGTGATATCGACGGTTCGGATAAGAAACTCGCAAAAAGCTTACAGTCAGTCTCGCGTTGTCGCCCTCGTCGCGAGGAGGCAGGAGAGGCTTAGCTGGAGGAGTATTGGCGGAGGTGGTGTTAGTCAGTAGTAACGATGTCGACTCGAGGGCTAGTTTGTCAGCGCGATCCACTATGGCATGAAGACCCGCGGAGATTAAGAACGTTCTTAATTGCGCTCCCTTTCCGAATTGAAAGAGAATTCTCAGCAAAAGAATGAAGAATATGTGCATCGTTTGCAGTATATATGTCTGTACAGCGATCCAGTAGGAGAGGCTGGGAGCCATGCTTGCCGGTACTAATTGCGTCGACGCCATTAATTCAGGCACGAAAAGAGAGTTTGAGGAGGGAGTGTTGGATTCTTCCATCATAGTTAGCATCTCGGTGCGCTGTTTAGAGGAAAAAGAGCAGAGTCCGCTCGAAAAAAAAGCTGCGCCAGGAGGATCCACGGCGAGCAGAAGTTAACCTCGAGCAGACTAACGCGCGTACTTCGAGCTATTTCAGCGCAGTCATTACTGGCGTTTGCACTTGCACTTGCACAGCACGCGCGTTTGAGTTGCAAAGCACAACACGCGCGTTCGAGTTGCACTTGCTCACCACGCGCAAGAGAAAATCCCAAGCTTCTGGACACAAACAAGGCGATGTTGCAATCAGCTGGCAGCTGGTTTGGGTGAAATGTGAAGCGGGAGTTGCTGGTGGCGCCATGGAGGCATGGCATGGTGCATCATCTCATCAGCAGCGCGTCAGCTGAGGTAGTTACTGACGGCGAATGGCGCTGGCTGCTGCTGTGAATGTCAAATGGAAGTGACACTCGAAGTGCTTGTATTTTCTAGATCAAAGAGCCCTGACTTCAATTTCTGACTTCGTAAAAAGATATCGAAACACCAACTCCTAGGTGGGAGCAACTGGCTTATGATGGTAATTTATGCTTGAAAATCACATGATCGAGAATGTGTAGGGAAATGCGCTTGTTTTTCAAGTTTTTTACAATGCCCGGAATCGATATGCGGATGTTGAGTGCTTAGGAGGAAATTCGTTGCATTCCAGAATTTGCGACTGGGCATGGTCTGCCTTGGAACCGCACCGCTGTGACCACCAGAACCAAGAAGTCTGACGGACGGTCAGATGTCTCCGTGCTTTCCTTCTGTGGGCTGGGCAGTTGGTGCGCGACCGATCCAACGACTGATCGCGACGTCCGCAGACACTTTTCTGGAGAGCAATCCATTCGGTGGTGGCGAGGGTTATAATAACGGGGGGCACACGTCTCCAAAACTTGGAAGAGCGGAGTTGCTTGTTTTGCTGGTACGTGCCCACCAGGCAAGCGCAAGCCCAGGAGAGAGTGCTGGGGTGGGGTGGGGGGCTGGGTTCGGGGATCATCAGAGCAGACGTTCAAAACTCGCTATACGAGCACCACTGTATCGAAGTCGGTAAGGATAGTCCGGCAAAAAAATGTTTTCGAACAACCGAACCGCGGCAGGGTACAGTATTTTTCCTTGGATTGAACAGATATTGTATGCTAATGACGCACCCTCTTATACATCGTAGAGTAGGTAGGGCTGACAAGGACCATACCTGTCCAGGAACCCAGCAGCAAACGGGTTCTGATAAACTATACTTCGGTTAATTTCAGTTTCGTGGTTCAAATTGTAAATGTAATCTAATCTAGCACCCACCAGACCAGACATGCATGGCCTTCCTTCTTCCCCCTGGCCAAGTACGTCCGCCTGAAGCCTGTTTCACTTAGCGCCTTAGGTCCTGACCTGATGCCTAAGCGATCCTTCCTAATTGTTTTTCGTTGACCATGGCTGGATGCATGCATTCCTGTTTGCGACATCGCACTCCCGTTCACTCATCAATCGGGATGGGGGCCATACCTGCCGTCTAATGTATGGCGTATTGGGATGGCATGTTCGTTATTCCCCATTATTCCTGCTCCTCTAGTTTAAACCGGCCTCCTTACTAAAGCAGAGCCTATTGCATTCCTTCCCATATAAGCTCCAGCTTTGGAGACTTTTACATTCCTAACGGGGCGCGTGTTGCGTGCTGCGAACGTGTGCCGCGAACGCGTGTTGCGCCTTCCCAAGCAAGACCCGAGACCCATACGCAGGGGACACGCATATCTGGAAGCGGGCTCATGGGGCCAATAAAAACCTTTATGGACCCGTCGTCCAATTCCCACTCGCAGCTTCGAAGCTTCTAAGGCTTATCCTGTACACAGAGCAGTTTAGGGTTAGTTCATCGTTAGTTTTTTTCTCCCACTTGTATACTCAGCAGTCTAGGGATAGTTCGTCTTCGTCGATTATCCTTCTTGGTTAGGTTGCGCTGGTAACAGTTTCAGTCCACGGTTCGAACGAGCTAGGTTTTCCGTTGTCCAACTCATCGTGCACTGCGTATCTCCCATTTCGTCGTCCCTCGTATCCAACGGTCGTCGTGCACTGCGACCCACCAACGGTCACGATGATGGACCCGGTGCTCGTCCTCATCATCGCGAGCTGCATGACGCTAACGCAGTTCGCGCTGCAGCTCAAGGAGAATATCACCACCAGCGCTTACCTGAAAAACTTCGATCTCATGCTGGAATCAACGGCAACCCTTCACGCGTTGCTAACGGAGTTTAAGAGCTTCAAGGGATGGGGTGTAGCCACGGACGGCGCGAAGAAATCGTTTCAGAGGCTTGAAGACCTGTTGCGGAAAGCCACAGCGTTGCTACAACGATGCATCAGCGCGCGGAGTAAATTACTGCAGGTACGAATCTTACGGTTTTTTTTGTTTGGTTCGCCTATTTCCTTTTTCCGCATGTCAGGTGCATAGTGGCGGCAATGTTGCCTGGACATTTTAATTTCGTTTGCGTTTATCCCGTAGGGTTCGACTCTGCGAAGCTGTTGCATTCCATTAGGAACTCTATGGCACACGACTGGCTGCGTCCCTGCTCCTAATGTTGAAATGGCAGCAATCAAAGCCATCTTTTATCACGAACTACAATTAATTAATTTTGCGTGTGTTACGGAATGCAGCTGGTATCGGAGCACGCGCTACAGGCGCAGGACTTCATCAAGATGCACGCGGAGCTGGAGCAGTGCCTCTCCACCGTCCCCATCCAAACCCTCCCTGAACCCCTCACCTCCAAGGTCAGTCGCCTGTCTCGCCCACGCCTCAGTCCCTCGCGTAGTAGGTAAGCGGTCAAGGCGGCTTAGACTGGGCGCATTGTAGGTAAGTCATGATCCCCTGACGTCTGGGATATGGCATCAAACGGAACCTTGTACTGCCAGGATGTAAGTAGCAATGCAGTATGCACGAGCGATCAGTCTTAAAAGCTTCACGGGCACGAGTTTGCCTTAATGGCTGGGCGGTAGTCGCAGCTCTGCGGGTGTCCACACGGTTATATGATAAAGCTATTGAGAATGGTTGTTCTGTTCTGTCGTGTGTCTGCTTTCAATCAAGCGTCATACTAATGAATGGTCGTCAATACAAAAGAGGAGACCGCTTTTAGACTTGCTCTCGTTTAATCTAACAAGCTTCCAAATCATGAACATTCTGCATACGCTAGTTCCCAGTTCCCTCTCCAAACGAGCCCGTGGGCGACAGATTGCCCACCCTCCCTAGTCTCCACTGCCCTTCCTCCGCGCTTACCCCTTCTCGTTTCGACCTCTCCCCTCTCCTCCCCCCTCTCCCCCCCCCTCCCACCCCCCCCTCCCACCCCCCCCCGCTCACTCTCTCTCGTTCCTTCTCCGTCCGTTTCAGCTTCTTTTTCTCTTCCCCTCCCTTCCTCATCTTGCTCTTCCCCCCCTGTTCCCCTCACCCCATGACCCCCACCCCCCGCCTACCCCTTCTCCCCACCCTCCCGCCCCGCGCTTTCCTCTTTCCATGATTAAGCGCACGGCCATGCGCCCTTCTCCGATTCATTCACGTCCGCCACACACCTGCACCCTCACATTCCCCCACCCCCTTCAACCCCCCTGCCTTTTCTTCCTCTTTCCACCCCCACACCCTCCCTTTCCCGCTCTCCTCCCTCACCCATGATCCCCCATCCCCTTTTCCCCTTTTTCCCCCCTCCTCCCCCCCACCCTCAGCTCACGGCGATGCGGCAGCAGCTGCTGAACACGCCCTTCACGGAGTGCGTCACGCCCGCCATGCGCGCGCAGCTGCAGCTGCTGCTCTCGTCCGCCGCGTCCCCCTCCCCCGCGCTCAAGGACGCGCCCGGCTCCGACGTCCTCGCCTTCCAGCTCGCGGAGGCGCTCGGGCTGGGGCTCTCCGCGGAAGCCGCCAACCCGGGCGCGCTGCGGCGCGAGCAAGAGGCGCTGGCGCTGGAGAAGCGCAAGGCGCAGGAAGGGCGGGACCTGGCGCAGGCGAAGGTGGTGGAGCAGGTGAGAGGGGGGGATGGGAGCAGAGAGTTTAGCGCGGATTGAATCACGTTAGGCGCAGGAGGGTGGGACCTGGCGCAGGCGAAGGTGGTGGAGCAGGTGAGAGGGGGGGAGGGGGGACTGGGGATTCGGCAGAGGAGGGGACGGGGTTGGGGAGGGGCGGCAGAAGGATGATCAATGGGCATTGAAACACATAAGGGGCGCAGGAGGAGGGGCTGGATGTTGCGCATACAAAGGGTTGTGGAGCAGGTGAGAATGGGAGAGGGGGGACTGGGGAATGGGCGAGGAGGAGTGGGAGGGGAAGGAGGGTGAGAGGGGAGATGTATGGTATTGGTATGAAACAAGCCAGCGGCGCAAGAGGGCTGGGATCTGGCACAGGCGAACGTTTTGGTGCAGGTGAGACTGGGGGAGGGGGAACCGGGGGAGGCAGAGAGGGGGAAGGGAGGGGGAGGGAGGGGGAGTTGGGCGAGAAGGGAGATATATGGGATCGGTTTGAAAGGGGAGATACATGGTGGAGATGGGTGAAAAAGGGGAGGTGAAAGGTGAATGTGATCGGTTTGATTTGAATAAGGTTAATTGCAGCAATAAGGTTGTGCCGTGTGAGACGGCGGGGAGAGGGAGGGAGGAGAGGCGGCGAGAGCAGGGATGAAAGGGGCAAAAGTAGGGAGAGGGGAAGAAGAGAAGGGACAGTGGCATGGAATAGGGTAGGAGCCTCAGAAGACGCACAAGCAGTGCACAAGCCATGCAAAGACCATGCACAGACCATGCACCATATACGCCCCCACCCCAGCAGCACATTCCACCACCCCCGCCCTATCGCTTGTTCCACCATCGCGCCTGCCCGCCCCATGGACGCCAGCAGATAGTGCTTGTGCTCAATCCATGCGCGCGGTGGATTGATGTGCTCATGCGCGTGGATTGAGAAGTGGCAGCCGGCAGGCAACTTTTGAGTCGACTCAAAAGTCTGCCCGCCCCATGGACGCCAGCAGATAGTGCTTGTGCTCAATCCATGCGCGCGGTGGATTGATGTGCTCATGCGCGTGGATTGAGAAGTGGCAGCCGGCAGGCAACTTTTGAGTCGACTCAAAAGTCTGCCCGCCCCATGGACGCCAGCAGATAGTGCTTGTGCTCAATCCATGCGCGTGGTGGATTGATGTGACTTTTGAGAATTCTCATTTGAGAATTCTCAAAGGTCACATCAACATAGCTGGACGCCAGCAGATAGTGCTTGTTGTGCTCATGCGCGTGGTGGATTGAGAAGTGGCAGCCGGCAGGCAGATATGCCGCTTCAGATCCACACAACACATTCCATCGCCTATTCCCTTTTCCTTGTTCCCCCATCCCGCCTGTCCGCGATTGCAACCCACCAGATAGTGACGTGTTTGAAGAAGTGTTTTGAGATGTCTCAAAACACTTCTTCAAACACGTGAACATAGTGCTGGTGCTCATGCGCATGGAGCGAGAGGTGGCAGCCCGTGCAGTGGCGCACCTCCCTTCATACCCCCTCTCGCGTCCCTCCTTCTCCCCCCCATGCACCCCACACCAGATAGTGCTGGTGCTGATGCGCATGGAGCGGGAGGTGGCAGCCCGCAGAGAGAAGCAGAAGCGCGCCGCTGAAGCTGCAGCAGGCAGCACTGGTGCTGCTGCTCCTGCTGCCTCAACTGCACCCGCCCCCTCCTCCATCTTCGCCCCTCAGCCCAGCCGGTCCCACGCACCAGCAGCAGCACCAGGGATTAATCTGCTGGCAGAGAGCTTGACAGAGCTGAGTGTGGGGGGGAGTGACAGACAAGCAGACGCAGCAGCAGCAGCAGCAACTTTGCAGCAGCAGCAGCAACAGGGGGCAGGGGCAGGGGCAGGGGCAGGAGCAGTGGCAGGGGTGGTGAGACATGAGGAGGGGCAGGAGGCAGCAAAGAAGGTGGTTGAGCCGATCAAGGTGGTTCTGCCAGGTGATAGCGCTGCTGGTGCTGGTGCTGGTGGCGCTGCTGGTGCTGGTGCACGGCGTGACAAGAGCCCACAGCCAGGAGTGGTAGGAGCAGAAGGGGCAGGGGTGGGAGGGGCAGCAGCGAACGGGGCTGGGGGTGTGGCAGCAGGCACAACAGCAGCAGCAGGGGCAGTGGCAGCAGCAGCAGCGGCACGAGCACGGTCACCCACGCCTGCAGCAGCAGGCACCGCCGCCAGCAGCAGTGCCACCACAGCAGCCACGAGAACTACTGCAGCAGCAGCACCAGCAGCCGCTCCAGCTGCAGCACCAGCTGCATCCCACGCGACCAGGCCAGCAGCACCAGCAGCACCAGCTGCACAAGCACCAGCAGCGGCAGCGGCACCCGCGGGGCAAGCCGCACAGGCGACAGGGGAGCAGGGCGTAGCACAGCAGATCATCCGCACACTCCGTCTCGGCACCGTGGACGAAAAAGCCCAGGCAGCCGGGCTTGTAGGGTGGCACACCAAATTCTCCGCCACCAACCGAGCCATGTTCCGCTCCGCAGGGGTCATCGACGCTCTCCTCCCCCTCGCCGCCGCCTCCTCTCCCCAGGAGGCGAAAGCAGCCGACGCGGCGGTCCGAGCCCTGGTGAATCTGCTGGCAGATGAGGATGTGAAGGTGGAGTTGATTGGGCACCTGCCGCTGCTGGTCCAGGCGCTGAAACGCGCGCAGCTGCCTGCGACGCGCGCCGGCATGGCGCGGATTTTTAAAGCGATTGCCACGATATCGGATGAGGCGTGTAAGGTCGTGGTGGATGCCGGCGCGGTGCCGCACTTAGCTAAGTTTGTCGATCCGAGCGCCGCTGCCGCGCCGGCCAACCCAGCCCCTACGGGCGGCGCGGCAGTGGCTGCGGCTGCTGCCGCAGAGGAAGCTTCCAAGCAATGCGCGGCGGAAACCCTAGCGATCCTCGCGCAAGTCCCCTCGAAGCGGAGCCGAATGGTAGCAGACGGGGCAGTGGGGCCTCTCTCCCTCCTCGTGCTCTCCACCCCGCCAAACGAAACCCTAATTGCGGCGGTGACGGCACTCGCAGGGCTGGCGAGCGTGCATGAGGGGAGGGAGGGCATGGCGGCGGTGCTGCCGACGCTGGTGAATCTGCTGAGGGTGGAGGATGAGGGGGTGATGGCGCCGACTCTTGATGCGCTGCTGCTGCTGGCCAAGCACAGCGCGGGGTACCGCAGTGGCATCCGGAATAACGGCGGCATGCGGCACCTGAGGAATGTGCTGCGCGTGGGGCCCTCGCCTCTCCACAACAAGGTGAGACTTTGAGGTTTGAGACACGCACGGCTTAATGTTGAGTTAGTGGACGTTTCAAGAACCGGAATAGCGGCGGAAAGCAAGCAGCATCTGAAGGAGAACGATCTGGGTGTTGAACACGCCTCTGCACAACAGGCTTCTCGGCCCGCCCGCCACAACAAGGCAAGGTTGAAGTCGTGAGATGTAATGGGAGCGGGATGAGATTTGCCTCCCACAGACTCTGAGGAATATGAGGTGGTGTTGTTATTGGCCTGGCCTGTTACTATTGCTGCTGCTGCTGCTGCTGCTGCTGCTGCTGCTGCTGACAGCAAGCTGTGTTGGTTAAATGCAGCACTGCTGTGAGAGCATCTCAGTTGCTGCTTCTCATCATGCCAATGCATACCGTCATGCCATCCTACCAACATACCATCATGCCATCATGGCAACGCATACCGTCATGGCAATCTGTGCTTTATCAAACGCATGCCATCATGCCAATGCATACCATCTTGCCAACGCATGGCACCATGACAATGCATGCCGTCACCTTTCTCCAAATTCTACTGCGTGTCCCGCATTTGCACGCTCCCACATGCCATGGCAGGGCATGGAGCTGCTAGCGGCTCTCTTCTCATAGCCCTTCAAGCCATGTGTGAAGCCATGGATGGGAGTATGCATGGAGTTTCCTCCTTGAGAGCGGCTGGCCATTTGTTGATTCACTTCTGTATCTTCTGGGAATTCTCAAAAGCTGACTATCTGGAAGGAAGCTTCGCACAAACAGGGAAAGGTTATCGACATAAACGTGGCAGCTATTGCGTGTTACAGAGTAACGCATTGTTTGCGGCAAATGCAGTCAGTACTCTCACGTTATTCTAGGTAGGTTGTCATTCCAGCTAGGTGGCTTGCGTAGGACTACCTACGTACGGTAGTTGAACTAGTCTAGTTCCCAAACTGGTTTGTCTAGCTGGGTGGCTAGCTAGTAGCTAGGCTCTAGCTTCATGTAGTGCTCAATACCCTTGCCTTCTAGTAGAGAGAGATTTTACACCGCAACTTTCTGCTTTGTAGCACAATGTAGTTACTCCTCTGTTATGTAGCACTAAGGAGGCACTTTTTACCGTAACTTTCTGTAATGTAGCACGATGGAGGTACAGTAAAGCTTATGAATGTAATAGACATTCGAATAAAATATAGGTACAGTCAAGATGTAAAATCCCAGACTGGTCGGATAGCCATGTTTTAGCTTGCTGCCTTGAGGATAGTCGAATTCCAGTAAAATTTCAGTAGGAGATTTACATAGGAGAGTAAAATGTTGGCTTGATGCCTTGAGGATAGTGCTCATTACACATTGGATAGTGAACTTACACTGGAACATGGGATTGCTGTAGCATGATGGAGGTCAACTTTGCATTAGATTTAGATATATATTTGTATAACAATAAGTTACATCTCCCTACTCATCCAGAGCAATGGTGCCGTACTTGTGCTTAGCGCACCTATCGATGTCACCTGTAAGGAAAAATCGTCATTATCCCCTTTCTGTCCCGATTGCGCATAATCTACAAATGTAGTAAGCTCTTTATCCGAGCGGTTAACGGATACCTCTGTAAACCCTGCACAACTGTACACCAGGGGCCTTGTTTCTGTCCATCTACATGGTAATGAGGTGCGCTGTATCCGCTTCGTGTTGCCCCCACCGCCGCTGCTGCCCCCACCATTGCCATTGCCACCACCATCACTGCTACCACCGCTGCTGCTACCACCACCACTCCCGGTCCCACTCCCATTCCCATTCCCGTTGCCGTTACCATTTCCACTTCCACTACCGCTGCCGCTCCCATTGCCACCATTGCCATTCCCATTCCCATTCCCATTCCCATTACCATTCCCGTTGACGTTGACGTTGTTGCTGGTCATGATCACGCTGTTCAGTTTCCTGCCTCCTCCAGACGAGGCTGACAGCAGCAGAGCAGCAGACTGGGGGCTGTTGTCCGGTGCCACAAGGATGATTGTATAGGAGATGCGGTAGAAGCTGGCCGTGCTGCAGTGGGGAAGGGAAGGGGTGTGAGTGAAAGGGGAGGTTGAGGGATTCATCACTTGCGTGGCTCAGACAGGGCTGTTATCCGGTGCCACGAGGATGATTGTATAGGAGATGCAGTAGAAGCTGGCCGTGCTGCAGTGGGGGAAGAGGGAGAGAGGGAGAGACAAGAAATCAAAAGGGATTGCTATCGGTATCTCACGGAGTGCAGGAGAGCAGCAGACTGAGGGTCGTTATCTGGTGCAACAAGGATGATTGTATAGGAGATGCGGTAGAAGCTGGCCGTGCTGCAGTGTGCAGTGGGGGAGGGAAGGGGTGCGAGAGGGGAGAGTGAGGGATTCATCACTTGCGTGGCTCAGACAGGGCTGTTATTCGGTGCGACGAGGATGACTGTATGGGAGATGTGGACGAAGCTGGCCGTGTTGGAGTGGGGGAGGGAGAGAGACAGGAAATGAAAAGGAATCAGCATTGGTCTTTGAAGAAGGGCTGTTATTCGGTGCGACAAGGATGATTGTACAGAAGATGCGGACAAAGCTGGCCGTGCATGAGAAATCCCTATCCTTTGCATGTCTGTACCTGCTTGGATCTAATACACGGACCGCTTGAGAGAGAGAGAGAAAGAGAGAGAGAGACACACACACACATGGACAAGAAATGAGCAGGAGTTATAATCGGTACCATATCTAACAGATGAATGTCCGTACGTAACATATCAACCCTGATGTGAGTCCCGCCCAGCAATGGAGCCAGTGAGGTTGCAGGGAGTTTTTGAGAATTCTCAAAAAACACACGCTGTCATTGAGGTTAACGTTTTTTGACGTTTTCTGACGTTTTTTTACGTTTTTTTACGTTTTTTGAGGTTAACGCTGTCATCGAGGTTAACGATTGAGGCACGCGTGTTCCACTCGGAACAAGAGAGTAGAGGAGGGAGGGAGAGGGAGAACGAGAGAGTAGAGCAGGGAGGGAGAGGGAGAACGAGAGAGTAGAGCAGGGAGGGAGAGGGAGAACGAGAGAGTAGAGCAGGGAGGGAGAGGGAGAACGAGAGAGTAGAGGAGGGAGGGAGGGAGAGGGAGAACGAGAGAGTAGAGGAGGGAGGGAGGGAGAGGGAGAACGAGCGGACAAGAGACGTACAGGCTATCGACCCTGATGTGAGCCCCGCCCGGCGTGGGGCCTGTGAGGGAGGTAGATGGTGGAGCATGCGTGATGGTGGAGCATGCGTGATGGTGGAGCATGCGTGAAGGTGGAGCATGCGTGATGGTAGAGCATGCGTGATGGTAGAGCATGCGTGATGGTAGAGCATGCGTGATGGTAGAGCATGCGTGATGGTGGAGCATGCGTGATGGTGGAGCATGCGTGTCGTGTTTTAATCAGGGCGGGAGAGGAAAGAAAGCGGGGGTTGACGAGAGACGTACAGGCTGTGGACCCTGATGTGAGCACCGCCCGGCATGGGGTCGGTGAGGTTGATGGTGAAGCGAGCATGCATGCAGCTACACTCAGAAGGGGAGGAACGAGGAGGAGAGGGAGAGGGAGAACGAGCGGACAAGAGACGTACAGGCTGTCGACCCTGATGTGAGCGCCGCCCGGCATGGGGTCTGTGAGGTTGATGGCGAATTGGGGGGACGTCACTGCTGGCAACGGGGCTGATGCACGGTCTGCAGCACAGGAGGGACGTAGGTGGGCAGGGGAGGGAGCAAAGGGGAGTAGAGGAAGCGGGCATGGGGTCTGTGAGGTTGACGGCGAATTGGGGGGACGTCACTGCAGGCAGCGGGGCTGATGCACGGTCTGCAGCATGGGAGGGCAGGGGACGGTAGAGGAGGGAAAGGGAGGGCAAAGGAGAAATATTACAGCCATGAAACACAAGGAAAAGCACGGGAGCACAAGAGAGTGCAGGACGACACAGGAAGGTGCTGGAGAGTGAAAGAAGGAGAGCAGACGAGAGAAGAGATGAGTGGAGGAGAGAGCAGCGCATACCAAAGGCAGCAATCGTGCTCCCTGCAAAATCCCCAACGGCCAATCCCTGCGTGCCACCTGGACTGCTCGACATCTCGTCATACTCCATCGCGATCAACGGCCAGGATTGCGCCACACTCCCACCTGACCCAGTTCCCCCACCCCCACTCGCCCCTCCCCCCACACAGCCTCCGTTCTCCCCCCCAGTGCGAAGGGACGCTAGTGCTGCTGCCAGTGATGCCGGGCTTGGGTTGAGAGGAGGGGAGGAGGGAGGAGGGGTGGAGGGAGGAGGGGTGGAGAGAGGTGGGGAGGAAGGAGGCAGGGGAGGGGAGGTGGATGGGGGTGCGGAAACGGGAGGAGGAGAGGAGGAAGGACCATTGCCATTGCTGTTGCCATTACCATTGCCATTGCCATTGCCAGTGCTATTGCCACTGTCACTCCCATTACCATTCCCATTCCCATTGCCATTGACAGTGCTGTTGCCACTGCTGTTGGCATTCCCATTCCCATTCCCATTCCCATTCCCATTACTGTTGCCATTGCCACTGCCGTTACTGTTACCATTGCCGTTACCACCACTGGAGTCAGGAGGAGGGGAAGAAGGGGGGTCAGGGGGGGAGGAGACTGGGGGAGACAAGGGCGGGGAAGCCGGAGGATCGAGGGGAGGGGGACTCTTGTTTCCATTTCCATTCCCATTCCCATTCCCATTGCTGTTCCCGTTGCTGTTGCCGTTCCCATTGCCGTTCCCATTGCTGTTCCCGTTGCCATTCCCGACAGGAGAATCAGGAGGAGGAGAAGCAGGAGGATCGGGCGGCGAGGAAACAGGAGGTTCGAGGGGAGGGGAGGCGGATGGAGGAGAGGGAGGAGGAGGTGAGAGGGAGGAGGGAGCACTAGAGGGTGGGCTCTTGTTAGCATTTCCGTTCCCATTCCCAATGCCATTGCCGTTGCCATTGCCATTGACAGTGGCATTGCCATTATCCGCAGGGGGAATAGGAGGAGGGGAAGCAGGAGGGTCAGGTGGTGGGGAAACTGGGGGTTCGAGGGGAGGGGAGGAGGATGGAGGAGAGGGAGGAGGACTCTTGTTGCCATTCCCATTCCCATTCCCATTGCCGTTGCCGTTGCCGTTGCTATTTGCATTGATAGTGGCATTACCATTCCCAGCAGCAGGGGGGTTAGGAGGAGGGGAAGCAGGAGGTTCAGGTGGCGGGGAAATCGGGGGTTCAAGGGGAGGGGAGGAGGATGGTGGAGTGGGAGGAGGAGAGGAAGGAGAGAGGGGAGGACTCTTGTTCGCATTTCCATTCCCGTTCCCGTTCCCGTTCCCGTTGCCATTCCCATTCCCATTCCCATTGCTAGTGACACTGCCATTCCCGGAGGGGGAGTCAGGAGGAGGGGAGACAAGGGGGTCAGGGGGAGGGGAAGCAGGGGCGTCAGGAGGCGAGGCGAGTGGGGGGGACAGGAGCGGGGAGACTGAGGGTTCGAGGGGAGGGGAGGGAGATGGAGGAGAGGGGGGAGAAGGAGAGGGAGGGGGAGGAGAGGGAGGGGGAGGAGAGGGAGGGGGAGGAGAGGGAGGAGGAGGAGAGAGAGGAGTGGGAGGAGGAGGGGAAGGAGGAGGAGGGGAAGGAGGAGGAGGGGAAGGAGGAGGAGGGGAAGGGGAGGAGGGAGGTGGGCTCTTGTTCCCATTTCCGTTGACGTTGCCGTTACCGTTACCATTGGCATTTCCGTTGACGTTGCCGTTACCGTTACCATTGGCATTTCCGTTGCCGTTGTTGCTGCTGCTGCCGCTGCTACCAGTGGTGGTGGAGGTGGTGGAGGGAGGTGGAGGGGAGGAGGAGGGAGGTGGAGGAGAGGGAGGCGGAGGATCTTTGACCTTGGGGAGCAGCATGTACAACGATCTTTGAGGCACCTCGAGCAACGACCCATCTGCAGGCGTTGCGCTGCAGGCGCCAGCAGCACAAACAGCAGCATCAGCAGAAGCGGCACCAAACGCAGCAGCAGTTGCAGCAGTCATAGCAGCAGTAGCAGCGAAGGGGGTTGAGAGAGAGGCAGTGCCCGCAGCGGAAGCAGCAGCAGCAGCAGCAGCGGTGGAAGCAGAGGGGGGGGGGAGGACGAAGTGCCCTACGGCTTCCCAGAGAGTGGGGGTGGCGGCAGCAGGCTTCCTCCAGGTGATGGCGTCTGGGAGGAGGGGGAACGGGCATGTGCCCTGTGCGCAAGGGGGTGCTGCACCGCCCCCGCTGGTGGCGCTGCTGTTGGCGGGCGCGAGCAGGGACAGCTGCGAGGGCGGCGTGTCCTTGGGTGTTGTGGCTGTCAGCTTGTATGCCACGCACGCACTGCTGCCACACGTGCTGCACATGGGGATGGGGGTGAAGGGGAATGGGGAGAGCGTGAGTGTGATGTTGAGGGCGGCATGTCCTTGGGCGTGGTGACTGTCAGCTTGTATGCCACACACGCACTGCTGCCACACGTGCTGCAGATAAGGGAGGGGAGGATGGGGGTTGGGAGATGGGGAGGGAAGGGGAGGGCACGAGTGCGATGTTGAGAGAAGGGCAGTGGTTGTCAGCCTGTATGCCACACACGCGCTACTGCCACACGCGCTACTGCCACACGCGCTACTGCCACACGCGCTACTGCCACACGCGCTACTGCCACACGCGTTGCTGCCACACGCGCTACTGCCACACGCGCTACTGCCACACGCGCTACTGCCACACGCGCTACTGCCACACGCGCTACTGCCACACGCCCTGCTGCCACACGCGCTACTGTCACACGCGCTACTGCCACACGCGCTGCAGATAGGGATGGGGGATGGGTGACAGGGGGAAAGGGGAATGGGAGAACGCGGGTGTGGTGTTGAGATACTGTCAGCTTGTACGCGGCGCTGTGCACATGTGCATGTGTTGTGTGAGAGCGCGCGTGTGCGCGTGTGTGCGCGTGTGCGCGTGTATGCCCGTGTGTGCGCGTGTGTGCGCGTGTGTGCGCGCGTGTGCGCGTGTGTGCGCATGTGTGCGTGACAGAAGGGACGCAACACACTTCGCGCGGCGGGTGACGCCTGTGGCGGAAGTGGAGGAAGTGGCGGATGGAGGCGCGAGGCGCAAGCAACTTACCCGAGCGCCAGGCTGATGCTACCGCGGCCGTTGCCCCCACACACCAGGGCCACGCGGAACGCTGCATGCGGGGGGGAATGGGGGAACAAGTGGAAGGGGAAGGGGGAAAAGGGGAAGGGAGGGGCGAAGGGGAAGGGAAGGGAAGGAAGTGGGGGAAGCGGAGGGGGGAAAAGTGGGGGAGAAAGGGGAGGGGGAAGGAAGGTGAGGAAAAAAAAAAAAACAAAAAGGAAAAAAAAAAAAAACGGAGATTACATGGGGCGCTAGATGCACAACAGAAAGCGCTTCCCCCCCTTCCTCTCCTCCCCCCCACCACCCTTAGAAAGCACGGAAACAAGAAAGTGAAGAGAGTGAAAGAAATTGAGAAAAAGCGAGCACACAAAACAAAACAAAACAAAAAAAACCAGAAAAAGACTACTCTTTCTCGAAACCCTAAAGCGTTGTACTTTCGAAACGACGCTGCGGTGACAGCCTAACGGGTTTGCACATCAGAATCGACCTACCGTCAAAGTCGCCAGTCGCGACCGGCAAGTGCAGGAGCAGCACCGCCGCTGGTGGGTGGACGGAGGGATGGGACGGGGAGGGACGGGCGCGGAGGGCGGAAAAAAGAAAAGAGATTGGCGGAACGGGGAGTGGGGAATAGCAGAAAATAGTGTCAGATAAGGTTCGTGATTATTAACGGCTGGTAGGAGCAGCAGCCGGTAGGCGCATCCGGAAGGCTCCGCCTGATCCACTGCGGGAGGCGGAGGGCGAGACAAGCGCACTTCGCAAGCCGCGGAAGGCCCGTTGCGATTTGTGGAGAGACACAATCGTAAGGGGGAAGGGCGTCACCATTCGCGGGGGAAGGAGAGTGAGAGGAGTGTTGGGGAGAATCGGAAGGGGGAAGGGCGCCACCATTCGCGGCGAAATCGACGGTCAACGAGGGTGCGCGCGCGATATTCGAGGAGTGTACGTTGGTATCAAACCAAGAAATCGATGAGCGACGACGAAGCAAACGACCGCGCGACGACGACGCGACGACAAAACGGCGACCACGCGACGACCACGCGACGACGCGAACGCAGCGACGACGTAGCGACGCGCCGTCGAAAAGGGTGAAGCGCGGCTAGCTCGCTGCCCGGCAGGTAAGCGCAGCGCATCGTAGCGCAGCGGGCGGCTTTTGCGCCGTGCCCGGCGGTTCGAGAACGGCGAATGCGGAGCACACGACACAGCTTTTTCATTTTTGAGGCGAGGCGCTTCGAATATGAACGGCGAATGAAGGACACACGACACAGCGTTCCGCACGATGGTTTTGCGACGACTCGACACACCAATGGTAGACACCTAATCACCAGCAGTGCAGAGTCCACCGGTGTGATAGTAATCTAGTTTTGAGACGTCTCAAAAGTAGATCACTCACCAGCGGTACAGTGTCCACTGGTGACGGTTCTCTCCTTTAGCTGGCAGATAAAGGTACGGTAACGGTCACTTGCGGTTCGGAAACACGGCGCTAGCGTCCAGCTGGCGGCATGGACTTTATGCGACGGCAGCGCAACGTAACAAGTAGTAATAGTAATAGTAGTAGTGGTAGTACCTAGAACGTAGCACCACGCGGGTCGACAAGCCGCGTCGTCGCCACCATGATGAGGATCGTGTCGCACGCGCCGCGTCACAGTCGCACCTCGCCGCGTCACAGTCGCATCTCGCAGCGTCACAGTCGCATCTCGCCGCGTCACAGTGATGCCGCTGGGCCGATATCTCCGGGTTGCCTTCGGAGTCGCGCGGCAAGATCTCCGATCCCCGCCGCACTTTCCGCCGCCGCGGATCTTAGTTGCGAGCCAACGCATATCGCGCCGCGCAGGAGGTAACGGAATTGTGGTTGTGCCACGTGTGACCTCTCGCAGCGAAATGGTCAATCTGAGGCCGACGGATTCTACGAGACTGCAGCCACAACTCGTGCGGTGCGAGGTGGGGGATCACGGGGAGGCGCGACGCGGGATGTTGACCGCGATCATTACAAGTGCACGTCAGAGGGTTCGACTCCTACACGTCCTAGTACCTTCCCCCCTTGCTACGAAAGACAGGGCCGCAGCGATCCGACACGAACCGAGCACTACTTGACGACTCCTGTCACACTTGCGTGGATTGTGCAGTACGCGTAAGAAACTCCGCAAACCCTAGCTTGTGAGGAATAGGAACTACTTGGGGTCCGGGGTGGCAGGGCGGAGCCGTCAAGTCTTTAATATGCAGCCGGGTGAGATCATAGGTAGGTTCAACACTAGGGTGTTGGAGTGACGAGGCTGGATTTTGAGTGGGAACTATCAGTGGTCCTTGGTGGATAGATCGGACAGGCCATGGTGAAGCGCGGTAAGGGAAGGGAAGCACTAGGAACAAGGATTGCACGCGAAAACGTCGCGGGCCAGTGGAGTTAGAACTGCACAGTGCTGCAGTGTATTGTACGGACAGAAGCGCTCCGCTTGAAACAGAGAGACTCCCGCCTGGATTCTTGGTCGCCTCACCTCGTCACGCCATGCCATGCCAAGAGTGAGAGGTGACACGGAATGGTGAGTGAGAGGTACACCATCGCGGAATGGCGATGGGGTGGGTCGGTCAGTGGATGGGTGGGCAGCAAGGAGGGTAGGAAGCAATGAGCATGCGCCAAGCACCGCTGCAATGGCGGATTTGACGGAACAGATGTGTTCAATTGAAGTTGGGGAGGGGGATGGTGAGGTGACTGTTAGTGGAGGGAGTCGGAGGGAGGTCTACTGTGCGGTGTCTACTTTCGTCCGTTCGTTGGACTTTGATAGGGGATTTCCGTCGCATGTGAGAACAAGTTGGTGATCGAGTGCTGTGCTGTACTATGCATCGATCGATTTCAATGCCTGCGGTTTGACTGGAAGACCGCTCCATTCCCCGGTTCTGGAGTGCCGTTTTGCCGTGTCAGACCGTGGCGTACCGTGGCTGTCCCTTGTGGCGCCTGGTTCTGCCCGTGCGGTGCTGAGGGGGCAGTCGTTACTGCTGCTTGCTATCCAGGCGTGGAGATTCTGGCGAAGAGCGTTTTGTGTGGGCTTGTGATTTGTCAAGGCTACGGTGAGGAAGGGAAGGCTGGAGAGGACGGGATTGGGAGTATTTTGACTTCTTGCCTTTCTACCTCATTTCTTACCCCGAAACTTACAGCTTTGTCTGAAACATCTGTTGATTGCTGAAAAGCATAGCTCGGAGCACTTATATCTTATACATAACACTGGCGAGATGAACCCGAGGCTGTACACCCAGGGCAGATTTGCCTGCCTGCCAATTATCTTCGCTGTAAATTTTCTTCCCCGTCATCGTTTACAAATGTTCTCGATTAGAGTCCCCGTAAAAAACACGCGCGCTGCAGGACTTTGTGGAAAACTCACAAACCCCGGGCAAAAGGGAACTTATAGTCCCATATAAGGAAAATTGCATGAAGAGCGATTTTACCTCGCTAGTAGTCGTTGTTTCTTGTCACATACGTACATTCGGACCACGCTGTCTTCAACTTCACGTCGCACAGTTCGCCGCGTTGATCATTGTCGCAGGACAAACGGGCAGACAAATACAAAATCAATTATGTTTAAGGCCGAAATGAAAGAAAACATGTTTCGTCTTACTCTGTAAGCGAGATTAATGAGATGGCATCGTCGAGCTCGCGGGGAACCGCGCAACAGGATTTAGACACAAGCGCGGTCAAGATAAACAGACAATAACAACTGTAAAAGTGAACAGTGAATATAAAACTATCAATATTGTTATGTTCCGTAAATGTTCTGACAGGTTCGATTTGCGTCCTCTGATTGGCTGCGAACTGATTCGTGCAATGATTCAGTCAAGATGCAAGATTTCCCGCCAAAAAGGGGACTGTAGAGGAGGGGATACACCTGGGACTTTTGTGAAAATTCTACTCGTTGTGGAAAAGGGACTCTTTTAGGAAGGGCCTCTAAGCCAGAACATTTGTATATCAGATGGCCGCGACGCAACAGCGAAGGAGGCAGGTGGGTGACTGTTGCTGACAACAAAGCTTGACGACGATTCTCGAAGAATCATCGTCAATTCTGTCGCCTTGACCTGAGGGGCAGACTGACTGACGGCGACAAAGATGACGGAAGGAAGTTGCCAGCGAATGGGAAGAGGACGTTGATTGTGGTGGTCGTCAAATTCGTGTGGAGTAGGACCGATAAGTTATCAATCTGCATGTGGTCTAGAGATTGGATCGGCATCCATCCGTACGTAACAACATTTCATACTTGTTACAGTATGACACAACATTGGGAAATGGATGGTACACGTCGATAACACTGACACTCATAAGAACGCCAACCTGAAAATCAGCACACATTCTGGATGAATGCCGTAGACAAATATTTTTAAATTGTTTCTAGGCATTTTACAACAACCTATACTTCCTCCTCCGACGGATTCACCCTAGTATTTCCGTCGCACCAGTTGATAGCTTGCATTCAGCCAAGGATCCTCGCTATAACAACCGAGTCGTTATAATCTATACCGGGTACGAGCATGGGCAAACCCGACGAGTCGTCATCCTCGCAACAAGACGAACGCACCTTTGATAGCGCAATACCAGGCGGAAGCGGCGCCGAGCCCTCATCATCGGTGCCACGTGGTACCGACGTGGATCCGGGAAAAGAGGAAGACGATGGGTGGGTCTACGATTCGAACGAGGAGGAGGACGAAATGATAATAATCCGCGGTGCTGACGTCAGCGGCCATGGAGCCGCGGATCTGCCCGAGGGGATGGAGGCGCTGATGCGCGCTGCGGAGGAGGGCGACTCGGACGCCTTGAGGGACGCGATTCGTACGTCGGTTCTTGGCGCGATCCGCGCACGCTGAGCGGAAGGGGGATTGCAGGGGGAGAGGGGAAAGGGAGTGGTACGGAGAAAGGTAGCGGGAAGGTAGGGGGGAGTGTGAAGGTAAGGGGACGCGGGAGGCTCGCTGACACTCCCTGTGGGTTGCTCTCTCCTAACCCCGAAACCCTCTCCCTTCTTCCCTCTCCCCTCTCCCCTTCCCCCTCGCCCCTACCCTCTACCTGCCCTCTTCCTCATTCCGCTTCCCTCTTCAGAGAGCGTGTCAGTGCCACTGGACGCGCCAGGCGAGGATGGCAACACGGCGCTGCACCTGGCGTGTCTGTACGGCCACACTGCATGTGTCGAGGTGGGGATTGAAGCACATTCACACGTGCACGCATGCACCCATGCGCACATGCACAAGCGCGTACTACTCTTCCCCCTCACCTCTGGCAACACGGCGCTGCACCTGGCGTGTCTGTACGGCCACACGGCATGTGTTGAGGTGTGGATTGGAGTTTGAAACACATGCACACCTATCCCTCCTCTCTCGTCCCCCTCGCCTCTGCAACACGGCGCTGCACCTGGCGTGCCTGTACGGCCACACGGCTTGTGTGGAGGTGGAGTTCAGAGTTTGAAACACATGCGCACGTACACGCATGCACCCATGCGCACATGCACCCATGCGCACATGCACAAGCGCGCACTACTCTCCCCCCTCTCTCCCGTCTGGCAACACGGCGCTGCACCTGGCATGTTTGTACGGGCCCTCGGCTTCTGTTGTGGTGGGGCTTGGAGTTTGAAACACATACACGCCTGTCCCCCCCCTCTCTTCCCCCTCGCCTCTGACAACACGGCGCTGCACCTGGATGGCGACACTTCTTGTGTCGAACTTCTTTGGGGAGGCGCCTAAAGGTTTTTATCACTCACCCCCCATTCACCCCCCACGCATCCCCCACTCACCCCCCGCTCACGCCCCACTCACCCCCCACTCACCCCCCACTCACCTCCCACTCACCCCCCACTCACCCCCCACTCACCCCCCACTCACCCCCCACGCATCGTCAACAATCACTCTCTGCTTCACCTCCCATTGAGTCACCTCCCAATCGCTCTTTCCTGTCGCTCTTTTCGTTGCCCTCTCTCTCGCCCCACCAGCTGCTGCTTGCTGCCGGAGCTGCAATCGAGGCTCGGGACGAGGATGGGGCCATTCCTCTTCACGACGCTTGTGCTGGAGGTGAGTGCATGAGTGGGTGTATGGGTGGGTAGGTGGGTTGGTGGGAAATTGGGTGGGTGGGTGGGTGGGAGAGTGGGTGGGCGGGTGGGGAGGGTGTCTCAAAAGTCATCTATTCTCCGCCTTCACTGCACTCGCATCCCCATCCCTGCCCTGCTTACCCCTCCCTTCCGCTCCCCTTCCCCAGGCTTCTCACATCGCACGTGGTGGGCATGCTGCTGCTGCCATGCACACACTCGCATACCCGTCCCCGTCCTCGCCCCGTTTACACCCACCCATCTTCCCCGATCAGGCTTCTTCAATGTGGTGGGAATGCTGCTAGCTGGCCGCGAGTGATGCGGAGCAGAGGCGCATGATCGGCGCGCAGGACAGCGCTGCTGCTGCTGCTGCCACACATCCCCATCCCCATTCCTGCTCTGCCTATACCACCCTCCCTCGCTAGGCTTCTTGAATGTGGTGAGCATGCTGCTGGCGGCGGCGAGCGATGCGGAGCAGCAGAGGCGCATGATCGGCGCGCAGGACAGTGACGGGGACACGGTGAGTTGTGGTGGGGTGGGAGAGCAGGGTGGTGGGGTGGGAGAGGAGGGTGGTGGGGTGGGAGAGCAGGGTGGTGGGGTGGGAGAGGAGGGTGGTGGGGTGGGAGAGGAGGGTGGTGGGGTGGGAGAGGAGGGTGGTGGGGTGGGAGAGCAGGGTGGTGGGGTGGGAGAGCAGGGTGGTGGGGTGGGAGAGCAGGGTGGTGGGGTGGGAGAGGAGGGTGGTGGGGTGGGAGAGCAGGGTGGTGGGGTGGGAGAGCAGGGTGGTGGGGTGGGAGAGGAGGGTGGTGGGGTGGGAGAGGAGGGTGGTGGGGTGGGGTGAGAATCATGAGCACTCTGTCAGCACTCTGTCAGCACTCTGTCAGCACTCTGTCAGCTCTCTGTCAGCACTCTGTCAGCTCTCTGTCAGCACTCTGTCAGCTCTCTGTCAGCTCTCTGTCAGCTCTCTGTCCCCACTTCCCCCCCTCTCTCCCCGTCTACCCTACTCATTCATTCCTCTCTCCCCCAACCTTTCTCCTGCCATCAGCCGCTGCACAATGCAGCAAGGGGCGAGCACCCCTCCGTCTGTCGTCTCCTGCTGGACGCCGGAGGCAACCCTGCCGCCCCCAACCATGCCGCCCAGGTGTGTGCCCTCCCTTTGCTCCATGCGCCACCTCCTTTGCTCCATGCGCCACCTCCTTTGCTCCATGCGCCACCTCCTTTGCTCCATGCGCCACCTCCTTTGCTCCATGCGCCACCTCCTTTGCTCCATGCGCCACCTCCTTTGCTCCATGCGCCACCTCCTTTGCTCCATGCGCCACCTCCTTTGCTCCATGCGCCACCTCCTTTGCTCCATGCGCCACCTCCTTTGCTCCATGCGCCACCTCCTTTGCTCCATGCGCCACCTCCTTTGCTCCATGCGCCACCTCCTTTGCTCCATGCGCCACCTCCTTTGCTCCATGCGCCACCTCCTTTGCTCCATGCGCCACCTCCTTTGCTCCATGCGCCACCTCCTTTGCTCCATGCGCCACCTCCTTTGCTCCATGCGCCACCTCCTTTGCTCCATGCGCCACCTCCTTTGCTCCATGCGCCACCTCCTTTGCTCCATGCGCCACCTCCTTTGCTCCATGCGCCACCTCCTTTGCTCCATGCGCCACCTCCTTTGCTCCATGCGCCACCTCCTTTGCTCCATGCGCCACCTCCTTTGCTCCATGCGCCACCTCCTTTGCTCCATGCGCCACCTCCTTTGCTCCATGCGCCACCTCCTTTGCTCCATGCGCCACCTCCTTTGCTCCATGCGCCACCTCCTTTGCTCCATGCGCCACCTCCTTTGCTCCATGCGCCACCTCCTTTGCTCCATGCGCCACCTCCTTTGCTCCATGCGCCACCTCCTTTGCTCCATGCGCCACCTCCTTTGCTCCATGCGCCACCTCCTTTGCTCCATGCGCCACCTCCTTTGCTCCATGCGCCACCTCCTTTGCTCCATGCGCCACCTCCTTTGCTCCATGCGCCACCTCCTTTGCTCCATGCGCCACCTCCTTTGCTCCATGCGCCACCTCCTTTGCTCCATGCGCCACCTCCTTTGCTCCATGCGCCACCTCCTTTGCTCCATGCGCCACCTCCTTTGCTCCATGCGCCACCTCCTTTGCTCCATGCGCCACCTCCTTTGCTCCATGCGCCACCTCCTTTGCTCCATGCGCCACCTCCTTTGCTCCATGCGCCACCTCCTTTGCTCCATGCGCCACCTCCTTTGCTCCATGCGCCACCTCCTTTCCCTCCACTTTCGCTCCTCCTTATTTGCTGCTCGCTGGAGATGCCCCGGCAGCTCGTGGAGAGAATAACATCACGCTGCTTTTTGACTCCACTCCTCCACAATCCTCCTCTGCTGCATCGCCTCTTGTGCCGCCGGCTCCTGTCTCTCTCTCTCTCAACCTCCCCACCACCACGTGCCATGGCAGCTAGTGGAGGACGACAGTGACCTGCGTGTTTGCCATCCTCCTTTGCCGCATTTCTCTTGTTTGCCATCCTCTCTCAACCTCCTCTTGTGCCCTCTCGTTGCTTTCACGTGCCATGGCAGCTAGTGGAGGACGACAGCGAGCTGCTTGTTGGCTTGACTCCAAAATCGATTTCTCATTTGCCGCATCTCCCCTTGTGCTCTCTTGTCACCACCAGGTGCCATGGCAGCTATTGGAGGACGACAGTGACCTGCGCTCCTTCCTGCAAGCTGCAGCTTGTTAAGTCGACTCAACAGTCGCCTCTCTGCCCTCTTGTCTTGCTTCACCTCCTCTCCTCACCACCAGGTGCCGTGGCAGCTAGTGGAGGACGACAGTGACCTGCGCTCATTCCTGCAAGCTGCAGCTGCCTCTGCATCTGCTGCCTGAGACTATGCGTTTAGGAGTGATGAGAACCTTGACACTATGTTTGTGTCACCTTCCTTCCTCCAAGCTGCAGCTGCTGCATCACCTTAGAGACTTTTCATTAGTGACCTGCGCTCCTTCCTGCAAGCTGCAGCTGCCTCTGCTGTCCAAACCGTTTCGAAGAGGTCACCTTTGAGTCAAGTCGACTCAAGGGGAGCCTGTAAAGCTGCAGCTGCCCATTCATGTGCATATGCTGCCCAAGCTGTTCAGGAGAGATGCCAAGTTCAGGAGTGGATGTTCAGAGGAGGGGATGCTTAGGCGGCCAGGGGATGCATGATCAGATGGGATAATTGGGGACACTTTGTTTAGAAGACATGTTTTTTAGGAAAGGGGTTGCTCAGGAGAGGGGATGTTCAGGCCAGGAGTTGTTAGGGGAAATAGGGCAAGGTCGTATATGCAGATGCGGTGCGGACTCAGCTGAAGCAGAACTCCTTGATTATGCCAAGGAGTAGACGTGGGGTAGGCTTGGTGTAGGCGTAAAGTAGGCTCGGAGTAAGCTCGGAGCAGTTACCTCCAAAATCCAAGGCTGTTCAGCCACTGATGTATGAGCAATTACTACAGTTGCATCGCTTGCTTACATCATCTTTGCGGTAAAGTATATCGTTTCACACTACACGCCCGTCACCAATAACCCTGCAAAAGAAAGCAATGCATGGTAAATAAAACAAGCTGCCGCTTTTACAATCTACAGTACCAGTTGTTTCAAACAAGCCACTACCCTGCTACTGTAGCTTTAGCACCTACTGCAGCCCCTACCAGCTTTTGAGTTGTCTCAAAAGCCTTTGCAACAAACCTCTACACAGCACAACACGTGATACCTCCTACACTTGCAACCCACCAGCCCTCCCTGTTCCTAATCCCCCAAAACTTTATTTCCTCAAATCCAATCCAAACCCCTACAGCTGCACCTCCCGTTAACCATCTACCCATCTCCATCCATTACTGACAGCCACATCCAACAGCAGCAGCAGTTGCAGCCGCAGAGGCGGCGGCATCAGTGCCAGTTGATCATCTCAACCCTTGCGATCCAACGAACCCCATCAGCCCAGCAGCATCAGCACTGCAACTGCTGCCACCATCAGCAACACCACCACTTGCGCCAGCAGCAGCAGCAGCAGCAGCAGCAGCAGCAGCAGCAGCCGTAGAAGCAGCAGGGGCACTCTTGTCAGTCAAATCAGCTCAAACCCAACCTTATCTCCCTTATGTTAGCACCAGCAGCACCACTCTACCACGCCAATAATCACCACACACACCATCATCGCCACCATCAGCATCACCAGCCCCAGTCAGTTCAGCAAACTGGTGCCTCATGCTGCTGAATGCAGCCCTCCTCTACTTGCCCAAGCTCCACCATCAACCCATCAGCATCACCCAAGCACATCACCAGTCATCATCAACACACCATTATCAACCAATCCTGATCAGCTCCCTAAACCTACCACTTCACGCCCAAGCTCATCACCATTCATCATGACTGCTGAGTCGACTCAAAGGTCACCTATCCTCCTCACCTTCCTCACGATGCCGCCCCCACCAAGGTCCTCCTCTTCCTCTTCCTCCCCTTCACCCCCCCTCCCTCCATACCCCCCTGCCCTTCCCCCTCCCTGGCTCTCTGTCTCCCTTGCCCGATTCCGACTAATCTTGCGAACCGGTGCCTCCTGGTGCTGCTCCTGCTGTGACTGCCACTGCTGCTGCGTCTCATACAACGTTCCCTCTGCAGCACCTGCTTCTTCTGCTCCTTCTGCTCCTCCTGCACCCCCTGCTGCCGCAGCCTCGCCTGCCCCTCCTGCCCTTCCTGCATCTCTTGCTGCTCCTGCTCCTCCTCCTCGCCCTCCCGCTCCACCTCCACCCCTCGCCCCCCCCTCTTGTGCGGTCATCACCTCTGCACCATCAGGCACCGCCTCGCACAGTTTCTGCAACAAGTGTACAATCAGGCACAATAAGGCACCATCACTCCTGATTAGTCCAAGGAAAAGGAAGAGAGTCGACGGCTCAGGCGACTCTCTAGTGTTGAAGCTACAAATCTACTAAAAACTGTAATTTAACACCTTCCCGTCCCCGTCACCTCGACCTGTACCCCTTACCCCACCCCGTCCCCCTCACCCCACCCCATCCCCCTTACCCTACCCCATCCCCCTTACCCCACCCTGTCCCTCTCACCTTCCAGTCGTTGATGTCAAGGCGCATTATAAACTGCCCCTTTGGCTGCGCGCTGCCTGATGCCGGCTCCGTGGGTGGGCGAAGGTCTGCCGGGCAGGTGGAATGAAATTATTCATGCAAATAACATTTGGTCAAGACAAAAGACTTTAACTCGACATGGGTCCGCAACCATTAACTGAATGGAAAAAGGCACAACAAGCGAACAGATCCAAACGTAGTCAAACTCACCCACAGCAGCCCCAAAAGTCGGATCAGGCGTGAGTCCCACGCGGCCCTCTTTCACAAGGAAGGAGAGCGCAAACATGTTCTCCACCGTGTGAGCAAAGGACGTGCGCGACAGCAGCAGCTGCGGCAGCTGCACGCGGTGCCGTGGCGCCCTCTTGAGCCGGCGATACATCTCCTTCACTGTCCCCTCCGTTGCCGTCTCCTTGCTGCCACTGCCACCCTCTGCTCCTTCCCCTTCCTTCCCTTGCTGCTTGTTCAGCTGCTCGAAAGCACGTGGAACAAAGGGACCAGGTAAAAGGCATGGAGGAGCAAAGGGAGGGGCAGCAATGAGAGAATAAAGAGCGGATGCAGTGAGAGAGCAGCAGGGGCACGCAGTGCCGTGGCGCCTTCTTGAGCCAACAATACATCTCCTTCACTGTCCCCTCCGTTGCTGTCTCCTTGCTGCCACTGCCACCCTCTGCTCCTTCCCTCGTCCTTCCGTTGCTGCTTGTTCAACCGCTTGAAAAGCACATCATACATAGGGATCAGGTGCAGAGGGGGGAAGGACAGAAGCGCGAAAGGACATAGCGGGGGTGGCGGAAGAGGGAGCATGAGGAAGAAGGGACGGTGAGAGAGCCGCGGCAGGTGCACGCGGTGCTGTGATGCCCTCTTTACCCAGCCATACAACTGTCCCTCTCCAACATCGCCTCCCTGCTGCCACTATCGCCAGCCTTCCCCCCCCCCCTCCCCCCTCCCCTCTCTCCCCCCTCCCCTCTCCCCACTCCCCTCTCTCTCATCGCCTTCCCCCCCATCCCCTCTCTCCCCCCTCCCCTCTCCCTACTCCCCTCTCTCTCATCGCCTTCCCCCCCCTCCCCTCTCTCCCCCCTCCCCTCTCCCCACTCCCCTCTCTCTCATCGCCTTCCCCCCCCCTCCCCTCTCTCCCTGCTGCCTCAATCGCCAGCCTGTCCCTCCTCCTCTTTAATCAGCCTTCCCACCTCCCCCCCCCCTCTCTCCCCCCGCATCCACATCCTTCTATTGAGCTGCATCCCCATCTGCGCAGGTGTTGCAGGCTCACATGCGCAGCACCACAGCTGGTAACCAGCTCGCCTGCGCTACTGACGCGCCTCAAGGCTCACCTGCGTAGGCACCACGGTCGCCCCCACCACGTCCCTCTTGCGCCTGACGGCCTGCGCCCGCGCTTGGGCGCCTCAAAACCCACGTGGTAACCAGCTTACCTGCGTAGGAACCACAGTGGCCCCCACCACGTCCCTCTTGCGCCTGACTGCCTGCGCCCTGCGCTTGGGCGCCTCCGCCTCCATGGGACCCAGCCTGCCATGCACCAGGGGATTGCGGGAGACAGGGGGGAGAGCGGGAGACAGGGGGGAGAGCGGGAGACAGGGGGAGACGGGGGGAGACAAGGAAAAGACCGGATGGGCCAAGGGAAGAAAGAGGTTAAATTGGCAGGGGAGGTAGGAGGTATGCTGAGAGGGTGGTGGGCGGGGGAAGAGGGTATGCTGGGAGGAAGGGAAGGGGGGGAGGGGAAGGGTGGTTGGCAAGTTGTAGCGACCGAAACATGCAGATATTACGTAGAGAAGGAACATGCAGTCACCTACAGACTCACATGGTGCCAATGGTCCAAGCAGGCCGCACCAGCTCCAACCCAAACTCCCTCCCCATCCTCGCCCAATCCATCTCCCCCTCCTCCTCACCCTCTTCTCCCACTCCTTCTACCCCTTCCCCTCCTTCCGTCTCCCCACCTCCCCGCGCCCTACCCCGTCCGCCCCCCCCGCGCGCCCCATGTCCGCACAGCCCTGCGCGGACAAGGTACTTGGCTCTAAGCGCCGCAACGAACTGCTCAGGCGTGGCAGCGTGGCGGCGCAGCAGCGCCTCCGTGGAGTGTGCGAGCACCTGCAAGAAGCCGCCCATTGCGTATTACTATCGAGAACACAGGTCCGGCCGAAGTGCAGCAATTAACAACTATAAAAGCAGAAGAAAAAAAAAACCAAAGTGTAGTTATTGTAAGTTAGGCAAGTGTAGATATCAAAAGTAATAACAGTAAGATACCTGAGAGAGGCCGTCCAGCACATCGGCGTCCATGAGCTTCTCGCGCAGCTTCAGGTCCGAGGCCACGCCAGGGTTCGTCGTCAGCTTGTTGGCTGTCTCCAGAATCTCCTCGAACTTGCTCGACCCGATGCTCAGCTCATTGCGGTTCGAGCACTCTGGTGGTGCGGGATGGGACGAGAAAGAAGGTAAACATATTGTTATGAGACATCACCCTTACGACTTCCTGATACAGGTTCACTGTCAGGGTTCTGACGGTTTTTACTTGATTATTTTTGTTAAAACTTTTCGTGAAAGAAGTAGGTAGACGTGTGCTGGCCGTTACAAGCATGCATTAGCAGGTCACGAACAAGACGAATCGATGTCGGTATCAGAAGAATGAGATTGCGAGTGGTAATAGCTGAGAATGGCAATTTGAAACAACTAGGGTAGATGACGAGTGAAGCTGGTGCCAATACCGCGGAACAATACGATTCTAAGAGCAAAGAAGAAAAGGTTATGGCAATGATTATGCAACAAGAATAACTAAATGTCAGTATTAAGAGAATGTGATGTCAATACCTAGAAAATAGAACAAGTAACTAACCCTTGATGGATGAAAAGTCCACCGTAAAAGAAGGGACAAATATCCTTAGCAGAAACCTTACCTGCAACTTGCGCTTGAAGGCCTCTTAGCCGAACCCTAACCTCCCGGCGCCGTTTCAGATTATTCGCCATCTGCGCCGCTCCTTCGTTCTCCTGATTTTCCCTCCTGTCCCTTTGCCGGTTCATCGGACGACCTCGGTTCAGAGCGGTGCCGGTTGGCACCGTAGAAGGGCCGGAGTGCTGCTGTTGAAACGACGGCGGCATTCCCGTGAAGGAGGTTAACCCTAATGGACGGGTCCGCTACAGTCTGACGAACTATGATTTCAATTATAAATGTTACTAAATCTGAGGCTTCAAAGGAGGCTGAAACCGAGGTAATAGAATCTTGTAGCGGCGTAGTTCGAATGTTGCACCTTGCCTAACGAATGGATGATAGTCGCGACAGTACCAACAACCCTTCGCTGTCCGTTCGTTCAGACTGGGAGCACGAGCACGTGAAAAAGAGGCTGGCGGAAAGCTGAGTTCCCGTGGTGCAGAAAAAGGCACTGATTAGGTAGCGATTGAGAAATGGTTTTAGCGACCTAAATAGTAGAAAATCGAGGTCCCCGAAGACACACACGGCTTACAGTTCAAGCTTGAAGTTACTCGCGCGAGCGCACGGTATATCTTGCTCCTCTAACTGAGGTGCTGGAACCCTAAGCTATACTGACAAGACGCAAGCATAAACGTTCTCCGTGAGCGACAGGGCTGCACCATGCACAAAGGTATTATGACACGACTTTGCGCGAGGTCGTGGTTTAGATTATTCTCAGCCTTTTGCCAAAGACTCTTCAAGGATACCTTGAAGTTTCTTCACAGTGACGCCAGGCCTTCAAACGTTGTACCTTGTTTTGCAACGCGCGGGAAAGAGCGAATGTTCGAGCAGGCTGACAAATTTGTGCGTTTCAGTTTTTTCAGTGACGCCGTCCTCCCAAGGTAATCGTGAAGTGGGAATTTTTTCAACGTTCAGGGATTATTTTTGCCGGAACATTGCAATGCTTCAAAACCATACCTGGTTAACCAATGACGTCCGAGAGTTCCGGGTACAGTGCACACTCGGGGGTAAGACAACTGGGGCAAAATTCCTGATGCTGGAGAAATGTAGACTTGGCGGGAAACGGTACCGCGTTTTCACAATTGGCGTCATGCTGACATACAGTTCGGATTTCTGTGTTCGGTTTGGAAATTCCAGAGTTTGAAAGCCCAATTCAGGCGACTTCGATAAGTGCATCACAAAGGTTCTCAAAGCCAACCACACAAGTTTGCCAGCATATTGTAATTATCTTCTCTTATCAAGAAATTTTTATTATGTGAATAGCGTAAATCTAAACGGCACCTAATAATTGCTACATATTAGTGCTCTTCATGTGAATATCCTAATCACAACAATCTAGCAAAAATATGTGTACATGAGGGACTTGATTGAAGATAGATCTAACCAAACTGGTTCGGCAACCAACCCTATTTTTTTCCCTGGTCAGCTTCATTCGACCTATAGTTACTACTAACCATGTGCTTTGGCTTATACTCGTACGGAGCTGACTTCGGACCCCACACCTGCCACAAGGGGAAATGTTAAGACACAATGACCAGTGCAGGTTGTTGAGTACAAGACAGATATAACGGGCACATGGACATAACAAGCAGATGCAAACATACCTGCACCCCATCATCCTTGTAGCCTCTGTCCCAACTGTGAACTTCTCCACTACGAAATAGAGTAAGCTCTGAAGTGCACCGGGTAGCTCCGTTCTGCATGAGTAGCCAAGCCAAGCCAGCATCCCCCACACTCAGTCATCCCCTTCCCCCCCGCCCCCCCCCCCCCAAATCCCACACCAGGAACAAACCATCAAACAAACAAATGATTGAGCTCGCTGTTGTCACATCCAGCAGCTGCACCAGTGAATGGAGCACAGCGAAAAAATGAAAATTGATAATCCATATCTGTGAGTCTGCAGATCGAAAACGTTTATGTTACAATTCCTTACCCAGTTGTTTGGAAAGCCTCCTGGAGGTGTTGAGCCTTCATATGCACACTTCCGCCCTCCCTCACATCGCGAGAGGTACACTGTGGCAAGGTGCTCCGAAATATCCTGGTGCACAATGGGGTTAACGTCGTGACAACAAGTTGAGCTTACAGTTCAACACATTGTCCCAGCAGGGCCTCGAACCAAGAGCATGCATCAAAACATGGGCTTACCCCAATGACCTCCTCTGCTTGTGGCCGCTGATTCTTTGGGCGCTCACAGTAGTTTCGGTACTCTTCAACGTCTCGAAGAGCGTAGCTGGCCACCTGCAAGTGAATTGTCAAGTTGATAATAATCCCGTCACATCATGTTTATATTGGCTGGACAGAATGGAAACAGGTACAGGGTGCTTGCGCTGCTCTGTCCTTGGCAATCAATGTTGTTAGAAACTAGCTGACTGAGATTCCTCAGCAAAGTAGCTCACCTCAGCATCACACTTCATTTCTTTGGAGCAGGGCCTCACAACATAGAAACGCTGCAGGCATGAGGAAATCAGGCATAAGAATCAGGACTGAAACTGACATAGCAGAAAAGACGACAGAGAGAGCACAAAGAACGATGAAACTTCATCCTTGTAACTGCTGGACAGAATGGAAAGGGGCGAAGCGCACCTGGCGGAAAGGCTTTTCAGGTGACCTCCAGAAGGCCTGCACAGATGGGCACACAACGAGCAGTCGACCGCTTTCAGTTCTATTCAAGCGCCAGATAAAGACCATTGACATCGGACAAGCAATCATCTCGTGGTAACGGTGGGAGAGTCGGGTGGGGTGAGGAAAGCAGGAAGAACGTACTTGTCAACTCACAAAATGGAATAAAAAGCTTTCGGCCTCTACCTAGGTAATATACCTGCTCGCAATAAAGGACACGAGAGCCATCCTCCAAAACGGCTGCAGGACAAGAATCGAGCCTGGGACGACGAAGCATTACATAAAGAGGCAGGGAGACGAAGAATGAGTACTGGAAGAAGAACGTGAAGCCTGGAGCAAAGGAAAGAACCAGCGACTAGGAAGGTAGGGAACGGCCGGGTCTACGATTTCCGTGTCGCCCAATTACGCAGCTCAAGACAAGTTCAGGCACCTGAGATTGAAAAAGTTAGCAGGATCGCGTGCTGCTTGGTCTGCTGAAAACTGCAGGAGAATAGAATCAAATTAAGTTAGCTACTGAGTTCAGCCCATTCGACGCAGAAAAAAAGGTAAGCGAGTGAGCTACCTTTTCTCCAGTCAACAGATTAGTAACTTCGCGACAGTGATCCCTCCTAGCCCGACTAATCAATCTCTTCAATATGTACGCGCCGCCAAGCACGCACGCCGCCTTGATCATAACGCCTTGGTTCAGCCATTTAGGTCCTCCGCTACCAGAATCTTCCGAACCCTTATTGCCAACTCCTGACTCTCGCTGATCATGCTTTCCAGAGAGAGGAGGCCCAACGCCAGACTCCATCCAACCAACGAGAGCACGTCAGAGACGTCTCTACTCTGGCGCGAAACTCTACCCGCGACTAAAAAAACAATCTAGGGTCACCAAATCATGGACAGCTGGTCGCGGTCTTTACTGACGACTAAATGGCTACTGTGAGTTTCCCGAGCCTGATCCTGATTTCTGAAATTGGCTTATCTCTCTGATTGTAGGATTTGGCTGGCACTCCAGGCTGCGAAAGGCTGAGTCATCTGCGCAGTTCGTGAGCTGTTCTGCGCGAATCACGGTCTTTCGCGAAACTTGTACATGCCAAGCGCTATTGGCTTATCTATATCGTGCGAGTTACACAAAATGGAAGTCACGAACATAAATGTCTCAGCATTTATGAAATAGATCAAACATTTGTATATAAAAAAAATGCTGAGACAAAGTTGCACTAGATTGAGCACATTTACAGATTCACACAGCTCTTTCATTTGACCATGCTGTCAACATTACTGTACAAATTTTCGACCTTCTAGAACTGTGCCTTCCCACCTTTCCGTAAATCACTCCCACCCCTCCCTTGCATCCCACCCCTTCGTGAGCGACTACCATTCGCATTGCCACTGGACCCCCTTCCTCTACCACCACCTCCTCCTCCGTTCCTAGAATCCCTAGCACCAGCAGCACCACCACCATATTTCAATGGCACCACTGGCTTCAAGGGGTAGGTAGATCCTTCAGCATCCCATGTGTATGCAGCTCGCTCGGAGGGAGAGAGACGGTAGGGGAAGTGGCGCAGGGATGGAGGGAGAGCTGCCAGTTCTGGGATCCAATGAGCAACATAGTCGCCATTGGGATCATACGTGGACGCCTGCATTACAGGACAGATCCAGGGAAGGAGAGATGTAATGCAAACACTCGGAGGATGAAAGAGGGAAGTACGGGCGTGTGAGTGGCACATGGGGTGCACCGTATTGAAAGAATTATGTGAGGAGCACACACACCAAGGCGGAGATCGATGACAGATGTTGGAAGCACATACCTGCTTGGAAATGCTGAAGTATCGATCCTCCCTGGGATCATTGCCCACACCTGCAGTGATACAAAGGGGGCAGGGCACACACCAGGAAAGGCAGACAGCAGAGGCCACGAAACCACTATGACACCCAAAAAGCCTCACTCCCATCATGCACTCATGCCGTCATGCCATCATGCAATGCGTCTTACCTGCGTCATAAGCTGTAACCCCACCACAAGACAAGTTCCCATACCACCCTGCACATAATCCTTATTGCTATGGACCATATCAGGGCCGTACAGCACCGTACAGTCACCAAGCGCCTTAGCTGTAACGCACCAGTGCCTTACCAACATCATACCAGTGAGGTGACTTGAGTCAGCTCAAAAGTTAGCTCCGAGCACCTTACCAGTAAAATACCAGAGCTGAACCAGCATTGTACCAGTGTCGTACGCACTAGCACCATACCAACGCTGTACCGGCGTCACCCCATACCAGCACCGCCGTATCAGCACCATACCAGCGCCATATGTCCAGTTGCCGTAGTTGGAAGCCGGGTCATGGTCAAGGAGGAGCGACTCAAACCACTCCGCCCCCATGCGCCAGTCCATGCCCATGTCGCGTACCAGGAATGAGCACACTATCTGGCACACGGCACACAGCACACATTTACAGATGTCTGATTAGTGATTCGGTGGGTTAGCGTAAGGGGTTATGCAGCTCGAACCACTCCGCCCCCATGCGCCAGTCCATGCCCATGTCGCGTACCAGAATCGAGCACACTATCTGTGGTATGGAGAGCACATGCATGGATGGGCGGCGGTTAATTGGGGTTACCAGACGAGTATTCAAACCACTCCGGCCCCATGCGCCCATCCATGCCCATGTCCCTCACCAGGATCGAGCACACATGGATGGTGGTTGGGTGGGTTAACAAAAGGGATTATCCACCTTGAACACTCCTCCCCCATGCGCCAGTCCATGCTCATGACCCGCACCAAGAATGAGCACACTTTCTGCACCGTGCAGTGTACAGCATGCATGGTGGTGGTGGTGGGTGGCTGGTTGGTTGGTTGGTTGGTTGGTTGGTTGGTTGGTTGGTTGGTTGGTTGGTTGGTTGGTTGGTTGGTTGGTTGGTTGGTTGGTTGGTTGGTTGGTTGGTTGGTTGGTTGGTTGGTTGGTTGGTTGGTTGGTTGGTTCACACAAGGCAGGGCATACCCATGTTACACACCAGGAACGAGCACACTGTTTGTGGCACACGGCACGGATGCATGCATGCATACATGGGTTGGGCGGCTTGCTCCATTGGAGTAAACGCAATGCGTGAAAGGGGCAAGTAGCCGCACACAATACCTCGCATGCACCTCAGTACCACGCGCGCCTCAGTACCACGCACGCCTCAGTACCACACGCGCCTCAGTACCACGCGCGAGGGAGGCATATACGAAGAAACCTGCATGCCGAACCTGTTCTATGCCGACCCTGTTCTATGCCGAACCTGTTCTATGCCGACCCTGTTCTATGCCAAACCTGTTCTATGCCAACCCTGTTCTATGCCAACCCTGTTCTATGCCGCACCTGTCGGCCTCGGTTGGACATGAAACCCGTGGCAGCAAGCTCCCTCATATTCGCATCCACCAGAGGGTACCTGGGGGGGAGATGGGGAATTGCAATAGGTTTTGGAATATCACGATCCCTCTTGTAGGGAGATTTTGGGCACGGCGTTTAAAAAGGAAGCTGACTCTTGACACGTCTCAAAGATTCGCCAGGTGGTATATGGCACTGAGATAAGAAATCGGTAGAGGAGGAAACATGAAGGGAAACTCAACACAGGCTTGTTACTGAGATAGTTGAAACTCCAGGCTCAACAAGTAAGCGTGTGTGAGTGTGTGTATGTGTGTGTGTGTGTGAGTGTGTGTGTGTGTGTGTGCATGTGTGAGTGTATGTGTGTGTGTGTTTGTGTGAGTGTGTGTGTGTGTGCATGTGTGAGTGTATGTGTGTGTGTGTGTGCATGTGTGTGTGTGTGTGCATGTGTGTGTGTGTGTGCATGTGTGAGTGTATGTGTGTGTGTCCACATGCCCACACATTCGCACTCACTCACTCACTCACAAACTCACTAACTCAAGACATGCAAGCACACTCACCCCGTTCGTCCCTCCCGCCACGCATCGAAGAGAGCTCTGTCCGTGGACCAATCTCGACCGTTGAATTGCAGCTTGCGGGGTCCACCTGATGCGATGCAGATTGATTGGACAGGTGGGGAGAAAGGGGTTGGTAGAGAGGAGGGGGTTGTGGAGAGAGGAGGAGGTGGTGAAGAGGAGTGAGGGGTGTAGAGGAGGGGTGGGTGGAGAAGGGTGGAGGATGAGGGGGACAGAATCACTGAAGAGGAGTGCGGTGTAAGGCACATGTGGGTATAAGGCGTAGGAATGTGGAGTGCGGTGCAAAGGAGTGGGCAACGTACCCAAGTGAAAGATGGCGTTGCCGCATTTGATGGAGAGGAAACGGAAGTAGTCCCGCCAGATGAGCTCGAAGAGCACCCTGCAGTGGTGGTGTGGAGGGGGGGCGGGTGCGGGGCATCGGAAAGGCGCATGAGAGCGAATCGGGAGCGAATTGGGAGCGAAGCGAATTGGAATTGCTGTGTTTGATGGAGAGGAATCGGCTCATCTGAAGTAGTCCCGCCAGATGAGCTCAAAGAGCACCCTGCAGTGGGGGGGGGAATGCAGGGCAGCGAGCATGGCAGAGGGAGCATGAGAGCATGGACGCATGATAGATTAACCAACTGCAGCGACAAGGAGCCAAAAGTAGTCCCTCCAGATGAGCTCAAGTAGAACTCTGGGGTGATGAGAGGGTGATCGGTAGGGAGCATGAGAGGGAGCATGGGAGGGAGCATGGGAGGGAGCATGGGAGGGAGCATGGGAGGGAGCATGGGAGGGAGCATGGGAGGGAGCACGGGAGAGAGCAGGGACGCATGGTGGATTACTCGATTGCAACAAGGAGGAACTGGAAGCGGTCTCTCTGGATGAACTCAAAGAGACACATGGGATGGGAGGGAGGAGGAGCAGGGGCGCATGGGAGGGGTGCATCGCATGGGAGGGGTGCATCGCACATACCAGTACGTGGACTCGTTTGCCACTCGCTCCTTCTCGTATCGCAGCACCTGGTGGTGGGTGCGGGCAGCAGCACAGCACAGCACAGCACAGGGGGGTGCGGCAGAGGATCGAAGCATGTGGCGAAAGGGGGGGGGGGGGGGGTTGAGAATGATCACCACTCGTCATACATAAGAATGTGGACTCATTTGCCACTCGCTCCTTCTCATATCCAAGCACCAGGTGGTGGGCGAGGGGGGTAGCACAGGCGGGTGCGGCAGGGCAGAGGAGTGAAGCATGTGGCGAAAGGGGGTGAGAGTGAAAGGGGGTGAGAGTGAACACCAGTACGTGGACTCGTTTGCCACTCGCTCCTTCTCACATCAAAGCACCTGGTGGTTTAGATAAGGCCAGCACACAACGGAAGATAGGCACACACGCACACACATGCAGCCGTTGCGGGGATGTGCTGCGATTCAATTTGATGAGCTTGCATGGGTGCGCCAGGCTTCTAAGACACAGGCAGACGCAGGCAGACAGCCATAGTGCGAGCTTGGTGCTGTAATCCAACCCCACCTAGCCGCTACACTCCCTCACCTTGCTGCACCGCAACCAACACTTCAACACCGCAGCACACACCTCTGATCTGAATGGATGTACCGAGCAGAGATGCAGCCATGAGCCAGCCACGGCGACAGCTTGGTGCTGTAGTCTGCTCCCAGCATGCCGCTGCACTCCCTGCTCTGCTCTACAGTACCTTGCTGCACCACAACCAACATCTCTCTGCACCGCACCACACACCTCTGAATGAATGTATCGAGCAGAGATGCACCCATGCGCCAGCCATGGGGATAGCTTGGTGCTGTAGTCTGCTCCCACCATGCCGTTACGAGTCAGCTTGGACTCTTTAATGCAATCCCGCTTCCACGTACCTTGCTGTTGTACCACAACCAAAACCTCGGCACCGTGTAACACACCTCTGAATGGACGAAACGAGCGGAGATGCAGCCATGAGCCAGCCACGGTGAGAGCTTGGTGCTGTAGTCTGCTCCCAGCATGCCGTTGCACTCCCTGCTCTGCTCTACTGTACCTTGCTGCACCACAACCAACATCTCACTGCACCGCACCACACACCTCTGAATGAATGTATCGAGCAGAGATGCACCCATGCGCCAGCCATGGGGATAGCTTGGTGCTGTAGTCTGCTCCCACCATGCCGTTGCGAGTCAGCTTGTACTCTTTGATGCAATCCCGCTGCCACACATACTCGTCCACCCGAGCCAGTGCTGCTGTTTCCCCGCCCCTGAACGCCAGCACACCCCTAGAGTCCTGGTATAAGGAAGACGGGGAGCAGGACGGCAAGAAATCAGTAAATCCAAGCAGCTGAATATGTCTTGTTTGTAAGCTTTAAAGCAATCCCGCTGCCATACATACTCCTCCACCCAAGCCAGTTCTGCTGACTCCCCGCCCCCTTGAGTCTTCGTTCATGGGAGTTCAGAATCAGGAAGCAGGGAGATGCAATCAATTTTAGGGTTGGCGTATTCACTAAAAGCGTCCCCACTATACTGGATTCGATTCAACCAAGAAATGCCACGCGATGCACAACCCTGAAAGAAAACGAGGGAAAGAGAGCACAGCCACTGCAGAGCTACCTGTGGTGGTGGGCCGTCAATCCCAAGGTCTGCCAGAGTAGGCAGGGAGCCCAAACCGCCGATCCTGTCAACAGCTTCGGCAGAGAGGAACGGTCCGAGGCTGGCAGGCATGGCTAGGGGTGGGCGGACCTTAGCCTTGGTTTCCACCGCCTGAGGAGAGCGGAGGGGAAAGGGTGGAGCGGACGGAACCAAGGGGGAGAGGAGGACAGGGTGATCTGATCGCCTCGTTGTTCGCCTCATGATCGCATCATTGTTCGCCTCATGATCGCATCATTGTTCGCCTCATGATCGCATCATTATTCGTCTCATGATCGCATCATTGTTCGCCTCATGATCGCATCATTGTTTTTGGCAGCAGGAGCAGCAGGGAGAGGAGGGACGACTTTTGAGACGTCTCAAAGGACAGGGTGATGGCCTCAATGCTTTTGGTTAGGCGAGGATGGACCAACCAACATTGGCTTGGGGGTTTCGGTATGGCGTTTTGATATTCCCCTTTATAGACAGACTCACTTTCCGGAACTGTGTGTAGACGTCAGGCAGGTTGGCAGGAGCGAATGGAAGATCATCCACGTGGTACATAGTCAGCCCCCACATCAGATCCAGCTTCGGGCGGCGACCGTTGGCAGTATCTGCAGCGGGCAGTTCTTGAGCTGCTGTTGGGCCTCCCGTGGCCCTCGTTATAGTCACGTTGTTCAGCGCATGCTTGAGGTTCCTCTCCACCCTGAGCTCCTCGTCTGTTGTTTCCACCTGAGCCACCACCTGGAAACTCCCAGGAAGGGAAAACAACCCAGAAGTTGAGTTAAAGGTATGTTCGACCAACTGCTTCATCTCATCTCATCTCATGAATGAACACAGAGCAGACGGACTGGTTTTGAGGCGGCTCAAGATTTTGTGTTGAGACGTCTGGTTTTGAGGCCGCTCTAAACGTTCGACCAACTGATTCATCTCATGGTGAATACGCATTTGGTTTGGACACACACAGCACAGGCACACACAGCACACACACACACGTCCATACACACAGAAAGTCCAGAGCTCACCAGGTGCGCGTTGAGAGCCGCCACCAAGGCGGGCAGCACAATTTCAGGCGGCCCCACCCGCACAACCAGCTCCGACCCCATTCCCCGCAGGCGCTGCCTCAGGTCCGCCACGCTCTCTAACAGGAAGCGCGCTCGGTGGGCTGGTGTTTGGGGGGGGGGGTGAGGGGGAAACCAAGAAAGGGGGATTCTCACGAGCACGTACGACTCCATCCCCTACAGGCGTTGCGTTGAATCTGCCACGCTCTCCACCAGGAAACGGGCGCGGTGGGCTGGTGAGGGGGAGAGGAGGAGGGGGGGGGGGGGGGGGGGGGGGGGGGTTAGGGGGGAAACCAAGAAAGGGGGATTCTCACGACCAGGTCCGACCCCATCACCTGCAGGCGCTGCGTTGAATCTGCCACGCTCTCCACCAGGAAACGGGCGCGCTCGGTAAGCTAGTGGTGGGAATGATAGGTCAGCCCCGTTTGACTTCGGGTTAAAGTGCTTTAAAGGGCCGCATTCCAGAGACTCACGTACGGCCGTGCCAATGCCAACGTGATAAAAGTAACATTTTGAGACGTCTCAATATGTTACTTCAATCAAGAGAATCACGTCCGGCCGGGCCAAGAATAGTCAAGTGCTGCCCACCCGCCCATACAAGGCAGTTCAGCCACCCCCTCTTTTCCACCAACATAGAGAAATGGAAGGAAAAACATTTTCTTATGCGTAGAACGCGCACCTGCCATTTTCGGGAAGCCGAAGTGGTGTGTGGTGGAGAAGCAGCGCGGGTCGAAGCAGAAAGGAGGTGACAGTTAAAGTCGACAAGTCGACTCAAAAGTCCCAATCGGTGTGCATTTAGCGCACCTGCCATTTTGGGGAAGCCGAAGTGGTGCGTGGTGGAGAAGCAGCGCGGGTCGAAGCAGTAAACGGGCACCGCGATCGCCGCCGCCTGCCACGCGCGCAGCAGCGCCTCGTTGTCGTGCACGCGCAGATCGCTGCGCAGCCACACGATCGCGATCCCCTCTCCGCGACCCTTCGCGTCCGCCGCCGCCGCCATTCCCGCAGCTTCCGCCGAGGTACGATCCGATACGAAATCTGTACTATTAGAAGTACTACCTTTAGCTAAAAAGGAGCCGGAAGTTGCTGCGAAGGTGCTGACTGCGCGTGACGTGGAATGGGTGCCTCTACGAGCGGGATTTTTGGGGAGGAGGTTCGATGCGATTAGCCGGGACGAGACGCAAGACGCTGGTGCTGCAACCTTGGGAATGCCGACCGTTGCGCCTGAACTCTGCAGCACCTGATAGTAGTTAAGTCTTGCGCGGGACAATCCTGGTAGACGACAAAGCACGAATCGACCACACTCTGTTACGTTTTGTAATGGTTTGAGCGTACTAGCTGTGATCAGCGGCAGCTGACGTGGAGCGCTTGAATCAAGCTGCCGACGTGGCGATCGACTCGGCAACAACGGGCTTCCGTTATTCCCGGAAATTCGAGCGGAATGAGCGGAACTGTGCAGCGTGGCGCTAACAGCGGATGTGACGGCGGCGAGTGCGGGAGGGAGAGGGCGGAAAGGCGGTGGGACGAGCGGGATGATACTCATGGTGCTTCTAGAGAGTTTTCTTGGAGGTACGAGAACTTGGCGCCATTCGCGGTTTGTGAATGAAGCAGTTCAGCCGGCGATCATGCGCAGCCAGTGCGCGGCGAATGCTTTCCGTACCGTATCGCGCGTGGCGCGAATGGAAGCATTGCGTAAGGAGACGACTGCCATGCCAAAAGCCTTGAGTGACCATTTGACTCGACTCGGAAGTAACCCGTGGCCAGAATGTTGCAAGCAATGCAAGCAATGCAACGTAAGAATTTCATTTGGCAGCGGAGCGCGTGGCGTGGAATTGGCCACGACAGGAGGCAAGCAGCGTGGCGCCATGAATGCCACTAAATTCATTCAGATCAGAAACACCTGCAACTGGAGAAACACAAGCAATGCATTCCGTTCCGACGTAAGTCCTTGTACCCCCTACAGTTCTCGTATTCTGGCTAAATACACTAAGTCACACTGTATATCCAGGTATTCAGTGGGTAAATATAAAGTCTATGTACGTTTAGAAAAACTGCAGTGCTACCATCGAAGATAATTAATAACCGAATGTGATCTGAGAATTTAAACCATTCTGCCAATCATCCGTCCTCTTTAGCACTAGTCTGTTAGACCCTTGTATGCACCATCACTCTGTTTACCGCAATTTTTTGGTGAATCCAACGCTTATGGCACTAATGAAGGAACACATGGGGTGGATTTACACATCAGACCTACCACCCGTCGAGTGGAGCCATCAGTGGTGTTGACTCCAGGGGACCGCAATTGACAACCAGAACTATTTGACCCAAAAACAAGTCACGCCCTTGCCTATCTGGCACACACCCTGACTAACCTGATCCAGTGGTTCGGGTGGGTGCGGGGATGGATGACTCACGGGTTTGGGGCCTAGAAACTAAGGCCCTGTTTGACTTGCGCATCAGGGTTTAGGCTCAGGTACCAGCACAGGTTCGTTGGTGGTGCTTGGGTACCAGGGCTGGTTCGGGGTTTGTCAAACTGGTTCTATTGGTAGGTGTTCGACTTTTACAGATCGGGCAATTGCGTGGGTCAAGTTAGTCAAACTCGGGGGGTGTTCAACTTGGCGGGCACCTTATTCTGCCCCAACCCAGCTGGTGCTGCCCCGCATCAGCTGGTGCGCGCATGGTGCCAGCTCTCCACAGATGCACCACGCGCGCATCAGTGGTGCGTCGGTTTGCCAGGAGAGAAGGGTTCTAGGAACGCACATTCGGTTCCCGAACCTGGGGCCGAAAAGGGTGTTCGGCTGGCATCATGCACCAGTTCGCTTCGGTGCTCATGCGCCTATCCCAGACCCGAGTCAGCAGATCCCAGACCCGAGTCAACACTTGTCCGCTTCTCTCAGAAACTTCGAGGGAGCACGCTTTACTGTAGCCGGTCTCCGAGCCTGTGCCTGATGCGCCAGTCGAACAGGGCGGAAAGTTGCACTCTCGGTTTGGAGCCTTTGCGACAAGCTTCCCGCGGTCCAATACTGCGCGTGCTTCCGAACTTCCTTCCGACTACGCCGTGTATCATGTCAACCGGTCCCCTGGCCTTCACGGGGCGCGCTATGCCCCGCGATGTGTCGATTCCCACTCGTTATGACGTGACTGGCTGACCGGCCGCCAGAAGTGCTTTCTCGATGTGACAAGAAGGTTTTTGTCACCGCTGCCCGCCGTTGAAAGATGGAAGATGGTGCGTCACTGCGTCCATTCTTCATAGTGCGCTGCGCGTCAAGTCAACTGGCAGCTGATTGGCGGGATAATGTCGCAATGGTGTTTCGTGGCCTTCTTGCTGTGTCATCGAAAAGAGAGCTCGAAGTCGCTTTCGTCAGTGGTCAAACACATCACAGAGTCTAGCTCGGTGATCCACCCGAGTTTCGCCAGATTTCGTTTGCCAATAGAACGGTAGAATCTGGCTGATCAGGCAGATTCCGTTTGCAGAATCATCAGCAACCAAACCAAACGGGCTCGAGGAGGATGTGCGGTTGGGATCTTCACGAGGACTGACCTGACCAACGTGCTGTTGACGGACTTTTCGAGGAAGAGAGATAGGTTAGGAACGTTTTGCTTCGGTAATAGGTTGCGGTGGGAAGACTGATGCCAAGTTCAAGCGGGCAGCACGATTTGTACACCTTGCGGGCAGCACCATTATTGCAGGTTGCGGGCAGCACCCGCCGCAAACTGGACTGGACACCATCGCGGTCACCATTATTGAGTTCCAACTTGGCGTGAGCGCTGGTGGTTGGTTTCTCTTCTCACACCCCAATACTGTAATCTCGCCTGTCTCTCGCTCGCCTTGCTGCTCCTCTTTCCTCCTTGCTGCTCATCGCTTTCCTTCCTCCCCTCACCTTTCCCGAATCCAGTCCTCCACTTTACAACCGTAACGTCAACTTGCCCATTTCGTCAGTTCGATCATCTTTCTTCTTCTTCATCTCCTGCACACTACACCTTCGCGTTTCGTCGCCTTGATTCTCTCTCTCCAGCACCACGCTGGATTTTTTCTCGTCGCGCATTAGGGAAAGTAGCACCTGACGGAGTGAATCCTGACGCCGTCACCACTGAGCAACACCCCGTCGAACGTACTTCGGCACCTGACGAATAGATTAGTTTCGGACCGTTTCTTTAACTTCGAGCCAGAAGGCCATTAGATTTACGATGTCCATCGAAGATTCACTTTCCGCTTCCATAAGCTTCTTCGATTTGAGCCGTCACCTCGTGCACAACCGGAATCCGGCGTCTACAAGCAACAGAGGACCTATCATGTCAATGTCAATTCTGACAGCTGTTACCACTGCTGCCAATGTCGTCTTCGATGCTGATGCGAGCGTTCTAGGCTGCGGATGCACGCATAAGCCGCCAGTACCGCACCTGCCGAACCTCCTTCCGGCGACGGAAACAGACAGAACCTCATCAGCGAACGTGACATCATGTGCGAGTCGCGAAGCCCTATCGCAGAACCTTTCAGTACAAGAAGCAGCAGCAGCGCCAATAGCCGAACCTTGTTGTGTCGAGGCGCCTCAACCCCGGGCGTCAGACGTGGCAGGAAGCTTATTCCAATCTTCAGCTGCAGCTGCGACGTCGCCATATCATCGTCGCCAGCATCGCGCGGCGGTAGCCTTTGTTCGCGACTGCCTTTGGCAAGCGCTACAGGTACTGTGGTACCCCTACGAATTCGCCCCTCCCTGGTACTGTGGTACCGCTACAGGTACGCTTGACACAGCGTTCCCCCGCTCCCTGCGATCCCTTCTTTCCCGTATGCCCGAGATTTGCGCGCTTACCCCACTTCCCACGTCCCCTCTCCCCTCCTCCGTCCCCCCCGTACCGCCTCCTTCCCGCGCCGACACGCATTCTCTCGTGCTCCTGGCAGGCGTGTTTGGAGCTCTGCTGGATCGCTTTGGTCATCGTCGTCTTCGTTATAGGCTGCTCGCTCTCGCGCCGTATCGAATCCATGCGCGCTTCTTGTAACAGGGCTGGACTACAAGTCGCTCTCAGCGAGGTGAGCCGAGGAGAGGTCGAATTCGCCGCGCATCCCGCCGTTCAGTACGCTGAGCCTCCCGCCGTGATTCTCGGACCCCGTTCACCAAACAAGCTGGAGGGCGATTCTCCGACATCGTTGGATTGTAGTTTAGGTAAGCCGCATTCCATGCGTGTAATTCTTCCTCGCTTACCCTTGTCACTTCAGCTGAAAGGCCTAGTAATTCCCAGATTTCCTGGATTTTCCCCGTCAGGTAACTCGCTACTTAGAACCTGCCTGAATCCCTCCTTGCTTTTATGAATTCGTTCCTCTCGGAGAACTTGTCCTTCCCCTCTTTCTGCCAACTCCCTTCTTTTTCCCACCTTCTTTCAACGCCCCTCTCTCCCACGCCACAGGGCCATCATATGCACTTGATTTGATACTCCCACACATCTGGAGCCAGTCCGCTTTGCGCAGCCACAGCATATGCGACCACATCCACGGCAACTGTAGCAGCATTCGTGCGCCAGGTGTGCTGGATTATAAACGCAATACTCGCAGGGAGAATTCGCTTCCGATGGTACGCGCCGCGTCCGCCGTGCGAGGGTTTTTGCAGACAGACTGTGACAGTCGCATCCAGCGCAACCAGTGCAAAGAGGGGGATGCTGACGCCAGCTCGTTGTATGAAGGGATGAACGGGCTCTCACACACATTGGAGACCGAGGTGGGTTCTTGAGGTTTTCAGGTCTCCAAGGCTTCTAGACATAAGTGTTTAAGGTTTCTGTAGGGTGTTGACAGCCCAAGAGGTGAAATTTTAACAGAAGAACAAGAAGAAATAGAAAATTAGAAGATACAGATTGATTTGTAGCTAGTAGGTTTCATCTTGTGTTGTTTTTCTACGCCCTTCCCTTTTGTGCACGCCCATCCAGGTGCTGCATTATCAGCAGGAAGCAACGTCAGTATCAGCCACAAGGCATCCACTGATGATTGCAGAAGAGGGGACGCGGACAGAGGATCCCAAGACAGGAGGGGAGGGGTTAGAATGGAACAAAGATGTAGGAAAGGGACTGCAGGCTGAAGAGGAAAGGGGGAGCAGGAATGTCCCTTACCTGGGACTGCTGATGAGCTCTTCCAGTAACGAGTCGCATCCACGAGAGGAGGAATTCGTGCGAACTGCCAGGAAAGGTCCTGAGGAGGTGCAACAAGGAGATGGGATGCTGTCGGATAAACAAGCAGGTGGGGCTGGGAAGCACGAATCGTTACATGAGGGATGGGCAGTTCTTGGAGAACCTCAGCCATTGAAAGCAGTCAGCATCTGATCAGATGTCAATGGTTAGTCCGAGTTGTACAGCTTGTTGTAAGGTGGAGCTCGTCAAGGAGGTGGAGGATTAGAATCATCCTCAATGCCAATAACCCCATAATGGAGGTGATACATATTGCTGCTGTGCTCCTCTTCACGTGTGGCAGCTATGCTACTGATACACTGTCGGGTCAGAGAGATTCGCAAGCTGTTTCATTGTGTGCCTGAGGTACCACTTTGAGAATGATGAGGGTTGGTTCGCGAACGCGAAGGTGCATGGCGTTAGTGCCATTTAATGTTGAAGATAATTGGGAAGCTTCGAATGTATATAGAAATTTTGAATAGCTATTTTGATTTTCCATACTTTGGTATTTTAGACGGGTGTGATGAAAAAACTGAGAGAAGGTTCTATTGGGTGATACAATGGTGTCTTTGTGTGCACTATCATCAGTTACCCAATCACCCTATTTCTGCTTTCTATAAGACATTCGTTATTAAGTTAGCGAAAGGACTTGAAACGGCCGAGTACACTACACTATGGCCTTCAGGTGACTGTTTGTTGTACGGTTTCAAAGTGGCTGCTTGCTGTTGCTCTTCCAGGCAACTGGCACTGCCGACAGGCGACCGTTCTCGCATGTGATTGGCTGGATTCACTAGAGCGGAAACGCACGGACATTTCTCTGTTGCGAGCCGCGGAGATGAACAGATACTTTCGTGCTGCTTTTCGCAGCACTGCGTTAGACTGCAGTCTGAAACGCGCGAAACGCTTTTGGCGACTGTTACACCACCGATGATTTCTCGCCCTTCGGCTGAAAGAGGCATCAGTTTTCGTTATCTATCTGCTGCTCTCCTCCAGACCTCCTGCTCCCTGGGGAAAGACCTGGGAAGTCTGGTCCGTGATGGTTTGGGGTGGGATGGGATGGGACCCACCCAACTTGCTCCCACACCAGCGCCGCTTGCCATGGCTTCTGGCCCTGCAGACTCCTTTTCGACTATGGATATGCCTTTCTCACTAATCTCGACTCGACTCTCCACCAATCACAGCCGTAGTCTTCCCTGACTCTAACGTCCGTCTTATCAAATATGTATCAGGCTGGAAGCAAACTCGAAAACTCGTCCTTTCCCACGTCTTGTGGAGTGCCAGTGCTGTATTCGTTCCGCTGTCACTGATTAGACAACGACTTTCCTGTGGTACACCAACCTAGCATTGTAGACCGCGAGCCGTCATTTCTCTAACAAGCCCTCGTTCAGATCCGGATACTTTCACCCGTCCACCATGGCGCAGCGACTTATCCATCCCGCAATCCTCCTCCGCTCCCTGCTCCTCCCGCTGCTCCTCTCGTCCCTCCTCGCCTCGCTGGCGATTCTTTCGGCCCGCGCGGGAAGCCCGGCTGATGACGAGGCGGCGCTGATCGCGTTTAAACAGGCAATCCAAGTGGACCATCTCAACGTCCTCGAATCCTGGACGTCCGATCGCCCCGTGTGCTCCTGGGAGGGCGTCTCCTGCCGAAGCGCCGCTCCTCAGCGCGTAATCGGCCTGACCATCTCGCAGGGCTTCCTCGAAGGTTCGCTAACGCCGGAGATCTCAAAACTAGACCAGCTGAGGAAGTTACACGTGGACGGCGGGATGCTTATGGGAAAGATTCCGCCGCAGGTGGCGCAGCTCCGCTGGTTGACGAGCGTTGACTTGAGCAGTAACCACCTGACTGGCGAAATCCCTCCCAGCTTCTCCCTCCTGAGCAACCTGCGCAATCTCGCCCTCCGTTCGAACAATTTCTCAGGGGCAATCCCCCCGGGGATATTCCTCCTCCCGAAACTCGAGACGCTCGCCCTTGATATCAACAACCTGACGGGTGCGCTGCCCGACGGTCCCGGCAGCTACAGCCCGAGCCTCGTGTCCCTCAGCCTCGGCGTCAACTACCTCTCCGGACCTGTTCCCAAGGCTCTTGGCGACTTGCCGAACCTGGTTCAGCTCGACCTGCACCAGAACTCGTTTTCCGGACCTATTCCGCCGGAGCTCGGCGCGCTTACGAAGCTGGAGTACCTCGATATAAGCAGTAACCAGCTGACTGGTGGTATACCACATGCGCTGGCAGGGCTGTCGTCGCTTCAGGCGGGTGTTTTCTCAAACAACCAGCTGAGTGGCGTGGTTTCGCAGCCTTTTCTGGTCGGAATCGCGTCCACTATAGACGTCCTCGATGTAGGCAGGAACGCGTTTACAGGCTCGATTTCGCGGTTTGCGTTATTAACGAATGCGGTGTACATCGAGCTGAGTAACAACAAATTTGTGGGGGGAATCACGAAAGCGTTCGGCGCAATGCCGAACCTGCAGCAGCTGGGGTTGTCCGATAATGAGCTGACAGGTGGCATTCCGGCGGGAATTACGGAGTCGAGCAGCCTCGTCGTGTTCTCCGCGGATCGCAATAAGCTGAGAGGTGCGTGGTCGAGGGGACCCCATGGGGAAATGATGAATCCTGTGGGGGATGTTGAGGGGAGGGGATGGGGGAAGGGCTGCACACATACATTTGGCACGTGTTTCATGGGGCTTGTGCTGTGAGCACCAGGGTGAGATATTGGGGTGGAAGTGGGGGGAGAGAAGGGCAGGACCAGGAAGAGCCTGAGGATGGGGTTATGTAACTATTTTTCTCTGTGCTGCATCAGTTCGGCTCATTTGTTTTGGTTTGAATGTCTCCAGCACTCTGTTTCTCACACTCCTCCATCCTACCGTACTTTCCCCACTTCCCATTACAGGAAGCATCCCCCCCTTCCGCTGCACCAACACCGGATTCATGGCTCTCACCGTGTCTGGAAACTCCTTCCATGGAGGCATCCCCCACAGCCTTGCCGGCTGCAACAGCAGCCTCTACGTGCTCGATGTCAGCCACAACAACCTCTCAGGCCCAATCCCTGCCTTTGTCGGGGATTTAGTTGAGTTACGGAATTTCTCTATTGCTTATAACAACTTCTCCGGAGGCGTTCCTCGCTATATGGGGTCTCTCGCCAATTTGGTGTCGCTGGACCTGTCATGGAACAACCTGGAAGGGCCCCTGTCGTCCTGGTTCGATATGGTGAAGCTTCTTGAGGACCTTCAACTTGCAGGAAACAACCTGTCTGGTCGAATCCCTTATACGTTTACCCGGTTTCCCAGGACATCGTTTCAGCCTGGAAATACTGGGCTCTGTGGACATCCTTTGCCAAAAATGTGCCCTCCACGCATTATGGACTGACCGAGAGGGGGAAAGGGGCATGTTCTTAGTAGGTGATGATAAGTATGTTCGCACGTGGATGAGATTTTGTGTATACGTAATGCATTATGTGTACGTAGTAAGCATTTTGCACCATAAACATGTGTACTCCATGTTCGTCCATAAATTGTCACGTTTTGTAGGGAATGATCGGCCTTCCTTCGTCTTAGTTTCCAGAACAATATGTTGTGCATAATAGTTTCATGCTTTGTAGATACGCGATAACGGTTCATGCCCCTAGTGATGTGTAGGACCTTCATATCAGACCATCCCATTGGTCAGAAGCAGTTCACTCTCTCCGCCGCAACCCCCGCCAGCGCAGACTGCTGCTCAGCCGTCAAACACCTACATCCAACGTGACAATCTCTAGGTGCTTCAATCAGACCAGACAATCCCTAGCCGTCAAACACCTATATCCAAAGAAGCATCCACCAGACCAGCCAACCCCTAGGCGCTCCTCTGTAGTTCATTGCGTGGGTCTGTTACGCAGCTCGTGCGTTGACCTGACAGCTGGCAAGCCTGATCGGTGAACAAAAAGGCGAAGCGATTCATTAGCTCGAGGCCGGTAACAAGAACTACCCGCAGCATTTTGCTGGTCCTGGAGAATAATTCATAACGAAAGCACTTAGTCTCGTCCGTGCATGGTCTCGCTGATCGCACCCCTCGTTTTCAGAAAATAACAGGCATTCAACCTCGGCACTGGCATAACTCCTTGGCTCAGATTTGCACGTGGTCCTATTGAGGCTGGTCCATCGTCCAATCTATCCGCCATGGCTCTCGCGACGACGCCCTTAGTGACCCGGACTGTCGCTCTTTCAGGTCAGCCATGCGCTCTACCTCTCACACGTAGATCATGTTTTGTTCTGCTCGTACATTGGTGTTCCAACACACCGTGCAGATACGTACTGCGTGCATTAGCTCAGATTTTCCAGCCCATTCAGGGCCTCATGAGTTCATGGAGATGAGTTAGATATTTCCATTGCATCCACCCCTCATCCAGCGTCCCACTCCCTCCTTCGTTCCCTCCACCCGACCGCAGGACCTTCCTCCCTGGTTCCAGCATTGTTGCACCTGACTCAGTCAAGCGCGCCAAACGTGTCTCGTAGAACCTGCAGAGATTACCATGCCATCCATAAACCAGCACCGACCGTTTTCCGCGGATCTGTCTCAGCCACTCCCCTGACCTCCATCTGCCTCCCCCGCTCTGCGTCTGTTGCTGCTTCCACCACTGCCAAGGCTGCTACCTCCACTGCCAAGGCTGCTGCCTCGGCCGTTGCCGAGCCTGCGCAGGAGCTTCGGGGTGCTGGACCAGTGGTGGTGATTGATAATTATGACAGCTTCACTTACAACCTCTGTCAGGTAAGCTGGCTTCGCGTCCAGGTGGGGTTCCCCTTTCCCTCTGCCGAACTACCCAGCCAGCTTGCCTCTTTCTCATCAACAGTATTCTCGGATGCGAAAATCAGTAAAACGCTGTCTTTCCAACTGTCTCTTCTCCACAAAGCGGGTGGTCGCCTCTTGACATTTCACGGGGTGGTTGTTGTGGTGGTTGCCTGCGCTGTGATGTGCTGTGAGCAGTACCTGGGCGACCTGGGGTGTGAGCACGTGGTGTATCGTAACGATGACATCACCATAGACGACCTGCAGAAGTGAGTGAGATGCCATGCCACGGAGACATGGCCACCAATGATGATGCATGCAGAGAGCAGGCTGACACGCTCTACTTCGTGCATGCGATCTACACCCGAGTTCTATGTATGCTTCTTCCAAGGCACCTATTCATCTTCTAACTGATTTGAGTATGCCTTCCCGTCCCGTCCATTGCTCCTGCTCCCTCCCCACATTACCTTCTTCCAGAATGGATCCCAGGGGCGTGCTCATCTCTCCAGGCCCTGGTAGGCCCTATGATATCCCTGCTGCTGTCAAGTCCCGCATCAGATAATAGCTGGTTTCTTTGGCGCATTGCTGCTCTGCTCTTGTGTCATGTTTGACTTGAATTCCAGCCTCGATCTTTCCCAGCTGTTTCACATGCGTTTAAAGTCTTTGAACTTGCTCCTACCCGTGTTTCAAACATCATCCCACATGATCCCCACCCACAGCACACGTATGCACAGCATATACTCTTGACATCCTCAACTCGTGTTCATGATATCCATATAATTCCTAACTCACACGCCCCCATTTCGAACGCATAGCACCATTCCCCTTGCCAACTTCTCTGCACCATGGCACCCCTTTCAAACCACCAGGCACGCCAGACGACTCGGGCATATCGCTGGACGTGGTGCGGCGCCTGGGCCCCACTGTGCCCCTTTTTGGCGTCTGCATGGGGCTGCAGTGCATGGGGCAGGCGTATGGAGGTACGTAGAGTCCGCTGCTATGGGCTTGCAGTGCATGGGACAGACATATGGTCGGCTGTCTGGGTTAAATGCATGGGCAGGCTGATAAGGCGAAACGCTCAGTCGGTATGGTTCTGCGTGTTGGGTCGGTGGTCTCAGCTCAATCCTAAACCCTAGAACCCGACCCTGACTGAGCAGGTCGCATCCTTTTCAACCTTCAGTGCTGAACCCGCAACCATGCTTCTATGCCACCATCCCGCAGCTTGAAAGCCCCGTCTTGGGTTTACCCTCGACTTAACACCTTCAACTGTACACATACCAATACCAATACAACCGCACACCATCCTCCCCGAACCGTGACTCTGTGGCAGGGCGCATAGTGCGGGCGCCCGGGGGCGTGATGCATGGCAAGACGTCACCCGTGCTGCATTCGATGGCAGACAGTGACTCAGGGCTGCTGGCTGGACTTCCCAGGTGGGTGAGCATGAGGATGGGGAAGGGCTGCTGGCAGGACTGCCAAGGTGGGCGTGACGGGGAGAGACTTACAGTGGTAGTGTGGTGACTGGCAGACGTATTTTATTGCGCATTCTTCATGTCAGCTGCCTAAGTCCACCAACCAAACCCAAAATCAACCCAAATCGGCGAGCTAACCACTCCTGAAGTGACGCAGAGCATAAAGACAACTTTGTCTCCACCCCAACCAAACCACTCTGCGCCCCACAATTCCCTCCCTCCTTTTGCAACCAGCCCCTTCACTGCATGCCGGTACCACAGCCTCATGATTAACAAGGACTTGTTCCCTGGGGTCGAGCTGGAGGTGACTGCCTGTCCTCTGATCCGCTTCCCAGGACCACCTTCAACAAGTCCCCTTTGCTCCCCAACTCCCACCCTTCCACCGTCAGCCCCTTCACTGCATGCCGGTACCACAGCCTGGTGATTGAAAAGGACACGTTCCCTGAAGACGAGCTGGAGGTGACTGCTTGGACGGAGGATGGGCTTGTCATGGCCGTGCGGCATAAAAAGTACACCCATGTGGAGGTGAGTGAGTGGGCGTGTGATTCAAAGGGTGTGAGTATGTTGAAGTCAACACACTCTCTCCTGACCTGAAGGATGGGCTTGTTCTGGCTGTGCAGCACAAGAAGTACACCCATTGCCATGCCCACCTTGTCCCCACATAACCTGCTTTGCATCCTCCCTTCTCACCCTCTCTCACTTCTCTCCCTCCTCTCTCTCCCTCATGTGTCCCCTGCCTCTCACCCCTCTCACACCTCTCCCTCCTCTCCTTCCCCTCCCTCTCCACACACCAGGGAGTGCAGTTCCACCCAGAGAGCATCATCACGAGCAATGGCAAGGAAATAGTGGCCAACTTTCTCAAGACTATGGATCGCTACTGGGCACAGTAGGACATATTAAAGCATTTTTCTTGAGGTGCCCTGAAACGCTATAATTTTGCAAACAGTGCAGCACCAGCTTCGGAAATCCTGCATTTGATGCGGTGGGAAAAGTTGTACAAGCACATACATTTTTATTTTTTTTTTGGGTTGCGAAGCAACCCTTTATAATCGATTTTGCCAAATTTTATTTTCATATTTATATATTTTTTTATAAATAATTAAAATAAAATTTGTAAACTACAATCGTACCCTTCCCATTGTTGGAAACAATCGGTCCTAAGCGCCTCTGTCGTGTCGAAACACTAAGACACAAAAGAAACGAAGTATAACGAATCACCGGCGAGTCAACCCTCGGAGGTTGAAAGTAACTGTTGGAGGTTACGCGAAAGTCAAAGGTCAGCGACCTTTGACCTGACAAAGTACAGCGCGACAGCAAGGACAAACAACTGACTCGGTATTGAGCAGTTGCCCGAGTCGTCACTGTATCGAACCGCAACAGCAATAGTAAAACGGTTATTAACTGTGTCTCTTCATATTCCTTGTACTCTTATAAAAGCTTGTATCTCTTTGTTTTAATCAACTTACTTTGCCCTCACATACTAGCGCAAGGTGGTTCACAACTCTTTAATTAACGCTTCCGCTACTACACCAAACTCTACCCAGAGTTCACCCCTGCAAAGATCCTAAGGGTTTTTTCAGCCCAACATGGTATGAGAGCTATCAGGGGGAATTCAACTTCTATACCGACAACATCAACAAGCATGGCTACACAAAAGGAAAGGAGCAACTCCAACGGCTCCCAGGGCACTACTCCTACTCCACCTCCTGCCTCTGGCCTACAGACAGAGGAGGGCACGGCAACAAGACCCAGAGCAACATCTACCGAGACTCCCGCGAATCAACCTGCAGACTTCGACCAGAGCATGATGGAGAAGTTTTTCTCCTTCATGTCCTTCTACGAGCAACACCAGCAATCGGCACCTGCGCAGTCACACAACAGCAACAACAACGGAGCAACACCCATGAGTCTCGACGGCTCATCATATGCACGAGGAAACCAACAACAGCAGCCTACCTTTGCTCCGTACGAGCGCGGGTCCATCAGCTTTATGCCACACCCACAGCCTTCACCTGGACAAGAAAAATCACTGGACGCATTACAAGTTCAGTCGCAGTTGGCACACGTTCTGAAGATGCAGACGTCAAGACCCTTCGATGGAAAGGACTTCTTCACCTGGTCGTTCGAGTTCGAGCTGATGATGGAAGGCGCGCAGATACTCGGGTTCTTCGACGGGTCTCTGCCATACCCAACAAACGGCACACAGTACGAGAAGCAGCAGTACACCTATCAGTCAATGATGGCGTACACGATCCTACTAAGGAATATCACCCCGACTCAACAGCAGAACATAAGGTCTTACCGAGGTTACGGCAACTCCGCGGAGCTCGCTTACGACCACCTGAAGAGCCTGTATCAAGCAACAGACAGCGTAAGCCAAAGTCGGTTAATGGCGCAACTGACAACGGTTGAAATGAAACAAGGGGAGAAAGGAATGGCGTATATCAGTCGATGTCGCGAGCTGCGCGACAAGCTTCTTCGATGCGGAGGGTCGATTTCTGAAGACGCCTTCGTGACAGTCATCATCGGCGGCCTCGGTCCTCAATGGCGCGCCACAAAGGCCATTCTCCGAGCTCACGGAAGAATCTCCGAAGCAGCGCTCTGCGCCGAAATCCACGCCGAGCAGCAAGACATGGACCTGCAAGAAGAACGACACAAAAAGAAGACATCAGCACCGGAATTCGCGTTCCACACTCAGCGACGCTACAACAACAACAACAACCGGCAGCAATAACCGAAGCCAGTACCTCCGTTCTGCCACATCTGCAAAACTTCAGGACACCCGCGTACGCACTGCCCGAATCGTCAACAGTCAACAACTCCACAGCGGCAACTTCGACCTTCAAGCAGCCAAATCGCCTCAACGCAAGCAAATCCCACGATCCAGATTCAAGCCTCAACGACTTCAACGGGACAACCTGCACAAGGAGCAAGAAACATCGTCAGCTGCATGGCAAAGCTGAGTGACTCCTGCATCACCGAGTCACCACCACACTGCTCACCGGAAGAACAACTCGACGAAACCACACCCCGCCGCGAGTCACTTCAGCCGAACTCGACATACGCCGCCATCGCCCAAAGCGAACCATCCGGAAAGGACACATGGTTCTTGGACAGTTGCTGCGGACAGCACATGTGCTCCTCGGGACGCTTCGTTCTGTCAGAACATTATAGCTCATGCATATTGTGTAGGCTATAGTGGGGTAGCCCATAAGGGGTACAACCCAATTAGGGTTATTACTTGTACTCAATTCATTCATAGTTCATTCATTCCTTGTTTCTTCTCATGGTATCGAGCAGGTTCCCCCGTGGGAACTGTTCCTAGGGCCCACCGTTTTTTTTCCTGCCCGGAGCGCACTCAGCCCCTGCCCGAGTCGCGCTCCCCTCTCTCGCGCCGCCCTAGCGGCCCCTTAGCGCCGCCCTCGCGGCCCCTTCGAGCCGCCCTCGCGGCTCTATCCGCCGCCCTTCGCGGCCCCTACTCCGCCGCCCTCGCGGCCCCGATCCGCCACCCTCGCGGCCCCGATCCGCCGCCCTTCGCGGCCCCGATCCGCCGCCCTCGCGGCCCCCTTCTCCGCCGCGCTCGCGGCCCCTATCCGCCGCCCTCGCGGCCCCGCTCCGCCGCCCTCGCGGCCCCGATCCGCCGCCCTTCGCGGCCCCGATCCGCCGCCCTCGCGGCCCCGCTCCGCCGCCCTCGCGGCCCCTTCTCCGCCGCGCTCGCGGCCCCTACTCCGCCGCCCTCGCGGCCCCGATCCGCCGCCTTCGCGGCCCCGATCCGCCGCCCTAGCGGCCTCCGGCCCCTGCTCCTACGGCCCCGGCGCCTGCTCCTACGGCCCCCGCGCCTACTCCTACGAGCAGCCCACCCGCCGAGCCGCCCAGCAACCGAGCAGCCCAGCCGCTGAGCCGCCGAGCCGCCCAGCAACCGAGCCGCCCAGCCGCCGAGCCGCCCAGCAGCCGAGCCGCCCAGCCGCCGAGCCGCCCAGCAGCCGAGCCGCCCAGCAGCCGAGCCGCCCTGCCGCCGATACGCCCAGCAGCCGAGCCGCCCAGCAGCCGAGCCGCCCCGCCGCCGAGCCGCCCAGCCGCCGAGCCGCCGAGCCGCCGAGCCGCCCAGCAGCCGAGCCGCCCAGCCGTCGAGTCGCCGAGCCGCCCTGCAGCCGAGCCGCCCGAACCGCCCTGTCCGGTAAGAGCAGCGCCTCTCTCACAGCACTGCCCTCACCCTACTGTTTGCACTGCTAGTCTACTGCTGTCATGGCTACCCCTAGTGTCCTCGCTTTTGACGCTGAGGGTCGGGCCATTGACTTTGAAGTCTGGATAGATGACCTGCAGCTTTTCTTACAGTGCGATAGGGCAGACGGCCTCTCCCTCTTTGACCTCACTTCTGGTGCCTCTCCTGCCCCCGCTGCTGATGCTGACGCCACTGTTCGCTCACAGTGGGCCACGCGCGATGCTGCTGCACGTCTTGCTGTGCGTCGCCACCTACCTACCTCTGAGCGTGCGCACTTTAGCCAGTACAAGAGTGCTCAGACCTTGTACGACGCTGTAGTTGCACGCTACTCCTCCCCTGCCACTGCTGCACTGAGCCGCCTCATGCTACCGTACCTCTTCCCTGACCTTGCTGCCTTTCCCACAGTCGCTGACCTCATTACGCACCTCCGCACTAGTGACACTCGCTACCGCGCTGCGCTTCCTGCTGAGTTCTGCGCCAAGAACCCCCCCCCCATGTACATCACCCTCTACTACATAGTCACCCGTCTCCCTGACTCCCTTCGCGTAGTCAGGGACCACTTCCTCTCGGTTTGTCCCACCACTCTCACCGTTGACCTCCTCGAGAAGGCCCTCCTAGCAGCAGAAAAGAGCATAGTCGCTGTAGGAGCCTCTCGTGGTGACCCTCGCACCCCCATCTTTGAGGGGTGTTCCCCCTCCCCTCTTTTGCCCTCTGTTGCCTCTGCTGCTGCGGCCGACCTCGATGGTTTGGAGTCGGTTGGGGCAGCGTCTACCCCTAGCGGGAGACGCCGCCCTGGCAGGGGCAAGGGGGGCAGGGGCGCTGGAGGAGCTAGCGGGGGCGGTGGAGGCGGCGGTGGAGGCGGTGGAGGAGGTGGGGGTGGCGGTGGGGGTGGTGGCGGGGGTGGAGGTGTAGGTGGCGGCAGTGGAGGCGCAGGCGGCAGCGGCGGTGGCGGAGGGAGCGGAGGTGGCGGCGGTGGAGGAGGAGGCGGCGGAGGAGGTGGAGCTGGTCGGGGTGGCGCTGCGCAGAGGGTCAGCTCCGGTGGTGGTCAGCGCCAGCAGCAGCAGCAGTAGCGCACTCGTGACGTCCCCTCCCCTCAGCAGCTCCGTGAGTGGTACACTGCACGCCAGAGGGGTGGGGGTACTGGTCCGTGCACCTACGTCCTGCGCACCGGCGACCGCGCGGGTGAGCAGTGCGGGGGTGCGCACTCCACCCAGCGCTGCTTTGGCCGCCTGACGGACGCTTGGCGTCACCAGTTCCCTGAGGCCACTGAGATTTCCCGCTGGGGTGAGCTGTCTAGGGCGGGTGTAGCTGTCTTTGACCTTGACTTTGATGCTATTCTTGCTGCCATGTATACTGTGACTATTAGTGATGAGGGTGACTGTTACCGGTGTTTTCCGCCCGACCCGGGCATTGAGACTGCTGCTCTAGGTCCTAGTGAGGCTGCTGCTCTAGGTGCTAGCGAGGCTGCTGCTCTAGGTGCGTCTGCTCCCTCAGGTACTGGTGAGTCTGCTCTCTCAGGTTCTGCGTCGGCTTCGGCCTCCCACACCTTTACCCTTGACTCGGGGGCTTCTCGCTCCTTCTTTCGAGACCGCACCACACTCACGCCGCTTGGCCGGCCAGTTGCGGTCTCTCTGGCAGACCCCTCTGGGGGTCCTGTCCTTGCTCACT